CCTGAGCTGCTTGAAAGGCTCCGTAGGTTTTGGTTTAAGCACTTGAACTCCGAAGAAGCTTTCATCTTGCCGCAGAAGAATCAGTTGGGACGCTGGTTCTTCTCTGATGCGGACTTTGATGAAGCCTGCGTGTTCGTATCAGCCCACTTTCCCCCCGGTAGCTCGTAGAACTGACTATAAACATAGGAGAAAGTTTCGCCCCGCCCTTGAAGCTATTAAATCAGCGCGAGCGACGGCAAAGGATATCATTGCCATCGTAAGGCCCATCACGCCACTTCAATGGTTGAGCCTCGTGCTGCTCCTGGACCAGATTCCGCGTAACTGCTATCGTGGTGCAGAATCCTCCGTTGTCTTCAAAGTCTTCGACCCGATCGCTCTTGAAATCGCCAATCATGCCCTCAAAGCTGGTGCAGCAACGCATTCCCGTACCAAGTATCGGGTGGCTTACCGCATGTGGTTCTACCTCCCACTGATGCACTCGGAAGATCTTGCCCTACACGACTTGGCGGTTGAGCATTATCAAGAGATGAAGCAAGACTTTGAAGAGCTCATGGCTGCTGACGGAGCAGCTGGTGATGACGATCAGAGGAAATGCTGGGGAGTGCTCGCAGTCCAGAAAGAAACGGCGAGGGACTTGTTGGAAACTAACTATGACTTTGAGATAAAGCACCGTGATATTATTGCCCAATTTGGGAGATACCCTCATCGCAATTACGTAATGCACCGCGAGTCAACTCCGGAAGAAGAGAAGTACTTGAGAACTGGCGGGGAGACGTTTAGCGGTGGAAGATAGGAGGCAACTATCACGTGTTGTGGACTATAAACGACATAGTTGCAGCCTCCATTGGTGAAACTCGACATAATGGTAACATTCGACTCGCAAAAATAGCCAACCAAATCGTCAGTATGTATGGAGTGTTTAATTTTAATGAGGCTTATCTCTACTCAACCAACTTCTGAATCAGTCGGATTTTAACTGGAAACAATGGATATTTAATCTTCACTGTATAGCTACCTACTATGTGCTGGCTCTTTGACTACAAGAAAGATACATTGCAAATACTACGTGATCTATAATCTCAGCAAAGTTAACTCGATAGCAAATGACTCGCTCTCTGACTTCACAGTCACTCATTCACAGCCGCCGCTGCTGGGACCCTGAATGTGTTTCTGGCGATCATCTACCATCCATCCGATATGGAGATGTCATCATCTGGCTTCAGCAATCTAATAAGGTCGTCCTATAGAACTTTGATAACCCGTCGCTCCCCATTGCAGGAAGGATCAACGAGTTGAGTCAGGCATAAGTTACCTTGGGATGAAATTGAGTCGGGGTGAACGCTGATGCTCCCAGATCAGCATGCAATATCACCAGATGCGCCTGAAAATGTTCATGCCATCCACTCGTCAACGTCATGGTTATATTGAATCTCCGCGCATCCCGAAGTAAGGACATAAATACCTGAGTTTATCAATAATCAATGTGCACGAGCTGCGGAAGAAGCCATTTTCGAAATCCTGCACCAAGGTGTCCATCGACCAACACAAACCTTACATGCATTTTGGGGGCCAATGTCAGCCAACGTCTGTCGTAAACACATGCGTCAGCATGTTAATGTGCTAAATTATCTGTATGATACACCTCTGGATGCATCCGTCGTCGCGGTGTTCTATCCGTAACTCAAAGAGGCGAACCGGCATTCTCCAGCAGGCTAGGTCAGAGTTTGAAAGTCGAAACTTTAAATCTGATAAGGGCAGCAGTTGGTCCCAAGTGAAGCGACCACTTGTTTTAACATGCCAATGTCGGCGTTTGACGTTTCCAACTCCGGATCGAAACCGAATTCAAGTCCCATATTGTCCTTCCTCCCACGTCCAATGCCAAGGTTCAAATCTTAGCGAATTAGTAGTAGGCACTGCAGTCGTTGAAACATTTCGGCGAATTAGCCTCCAACAGCCGTCGCCTGCCGATAATGCATTTGTTGCGTCAATAAACTATTGTTCTTGTGATAATGATTATTATGATATTGGTATAGTCTTGTGCCTAGTTTATTCAATTCCCTTACAGGACTATGTATTACTAGTGAGTCAATGGAAGCCGTGATTTTCTTCGACATGTCCAAGCTGTGATAAACTCAGCATTACGCTTTATCGTTTGTCTGTCCCATAAACTAGGACAGAAGTTCAATATGAAGGCCTGAAATAAGCGTCCAAGTCTTCTTTGTATGTATCGCTGTAAGCTGCGAGAGTTGGAGCTGACTAGTCGCACCTTGATTGACTGCGGCGGCTGCGGATGGATTGGGTGCATCATGTTTGCCATGTAGGTAGTCTCGCGCACATCATCTTGGAGTTTGAGCAACCGGGTGTTTTGTAGATCAGGTTCTAGCAACTTAAAAGGCCCCTTATGACGTTGGTGCTAGTTGGCTGGTGGTCTCTTCTCAAACCATATATCTCGACCGTATCTAAAGTGGAATGGGCTCGTGGTGAGGCATCGTTCGACCTTCGGGCGCAGTTTTCTAGCAACTTGAAGAGTGCGGTTCTGACTCTGATGATTCAATGTCCGCAACCTACTCATTCCTGTGAAGTCGTTTATGCACTGACCCAGTCGGATGCGACATGTAAGTGGAGCGTGCGTATCTTGTTATCTCACAGCGCCCTTGTCTGGTATCCCACCATCTGTCGCTGACTGGAGTTTGAACGCCGAATGATTTACACCACCGCCTCGCCTCGACTATGACAGCATTTCAGACGCGTGACTGTGACGCTGGGAGGCATCGACTCGGACCGCCTTTGCTCTTTCTGAACATGTATGATATCTTTTTCATCCATCCTTTTTCGTCGCCATTTCGCTCGGGGAGGCTTGATCGGCAGGTATCTCAGTCTGCTGTATCGTGAGCCTGCTGGTTTTGGAACCTCGCCGTGTCGGCGGCGCAGTAGTCAGCTCCCCGTCGAAAATGTGATCCGGCCGTAACGTCTGCCACATCGGTGACAAAGAACCTCCAGTTTGCTCGATGTCTGGAAGCGCCCCTATTACGCCGGCCTGTCCGACCTTGGTCCGGTTATCGCTGTCGGGGATCGTATTCGAAGGAACAGTTTCGGGTCCGCGGCAGTTGCACGTGCTCATACGAGTGAAGGACAGCAGCTTGTTAAGCACGACGAACTCCACCTTGAGTTTGACGCTGTAAACAAACGGTTTGCACATCGTTTGGATCTCGAATTTATCGTTATATTCAAGAATGATTAGACCGGTATCGAGCAAGAATACAACAGCAAAGAGCGCCCCTAAATGACGGACCATGCTTGCGACGGATTTCGGCTTGATCGCTGTGAGTGGCTTGAGGCTGTGGTAGCCCTCGAACAGAAAGACACTGGCGATAATGGTTTCTTGGATCGTGAAGACGATCAGTTCAACCTTCTCGTAGATCTTGAACGGCAAGACCCACTTCTGAGGATGATCGGAATTTGCCAAGAAGAATATAACGGTCTCCGGAACATGCATCGTAACCGCGTTGAAGATGATCATTGCAAGGATCAAGCGGATCTTACGCTGGCTGTGTACTACCAAGTGAAGCCGCGACCACAGTACAATAGCCTGTCCTGTCACCATTGAATACCAAGCTATCGGAATAATGATGCTCGAAGTAAATATCGCCTGGTGATAGTATCCGAAATATCGCAACACGAAGGCAATGACGTTGATGTTGATCCCCGTGTTGGATACCATCATGCTCCAAAAATACCGTCCCTGCCGCCGTTTGAACGTGGTGAAGATGGAGAAGAACGTCTCAATGGTATTGTAGTACGCGGTAGCGGCAAACGCTATCATCACCATTGCCTGGGCCTGCGAGACTGAGATAGACCCCGTCTCACCAGCCATCCTCTCGGTACGGAAATTGGACTAGGAGACAGCAGTGCCGATGGTTCGGGCCGCTTAGAAGGCATTATGAAGGGAAGGATCGCGATGAACAGGTTTGGCGCAAGACGGGATGGAAGTTGCGATGATGAGCCATTGTCGCTCACGCCATTCTGAGGTAACGTCCCGCACCCACATTTGGGCACCCCCCACATTTGGGCACCCCAAAAATCGCTCAACACCATGACTACCCCTCAACTTCAATTATTTACCACTTTTTCAACTTTTCACTAATTACAATCCAACTTCATATGCTTATTATTTATACCTATATGCGCCAATATACCGAAGATGACTTGCTCAAGGCACTTGAGGCTGTTACCAGCGGCTGCAGTATAAAAAAAGCAGCTCATGATAAGGGCATACCACGAACTACACTACAAAACAGAATAAGAGGTCACCAAACAAGAGGTGTTGCTTTCGCTGGGTTACAGAGGCTATCACCAACCCAGGAAAGTCACTTGGCTGAATGGATTCGAATACAAGCTGCCCTAGGCCTTCCACCAACCCATCAACAGCTCAAGGATTTTGCTGAGAGGATTCTACAGACACGTAGAGACTTCCAGCCTCTCGGAAGAAACTGGGTTCAATCATTTATCAAGAGAAATCCATCAATCAAGGTTCAGAGAAGCAGAGCAATTGATTCCCAGCGTGTCAATGGTGCCTCAACTAATGTAATCAGGGAATGGTTTAAGCATCTCGCTCTACCTGAGATACAGGCAATCAAAGCAAGCAATCGATACAATATGGATGAAACAGGTATTCTAGAAGGCAGAGGATCAAATGGATTAGTTCTTGGATCATCAGAAACTCGCTCTATTCGAAAGAAACAGCCTGGGTCTCGGGCTTGGACATCTCTGATTGAGTGTATCTCTGCAACTGGCAAGGCACTGCCTCCACTTGTGATATATAAGGGGAAGACTGTTCAACAGCAGTGGTTTCCTCTCGATTTAACTGAATATGATGGCTGGAAGTTTACAGCAACAGAAAATGGCTGGACGTCGGATTCTACTGCTGTTGAATGGCTACAGAAGGTCTTCATACCATTGACCCAACCCCAAGACCCTAAAGAGTCTAGATTACTCATTCTTGATGGGCATGGTAGCCATGAAACAACAGAATTCATGTATATCTGCTTTAAGAATAAGATACTCTTACTCTTCCTACCGCCACATACATCCCACGTTCTTCAGCCGCTTGATCAGTCAGTATTTGGGCCGCTGAAAGCCATATATAAGAAAGAGCTTCTATACCTGGATCAATGGGACGCTAGCACTGTTATAGGCAAGAGAAACTTTCTCCTCTGCTATGGAAAAGCACGCCATATAGCATTCACAAGCAAGAACATCATCAGCGGTTGGAAATATACAGGTCTATGGCCTGTAAGCATAGCCAAACCGCCGATGAGCCCTCTTCTACTTGGGAACCCATCAACACCAGCTAGACAGACCGATCAGCCTTACAAGGGACTGTCTAATGCTATAGCAGGCGAAAAATGGGCATCAGAGACATCAGCAGTATGCTGGTCAACGCCAACGAAGCGGTCTGAGCTACAGGATCAATTCAACTTATACAACAAGGTTGGGCATGATCGAAATACTCAACGACTGCTCTTTCGCAAGGTTCAAAAGGGATTTGATGAACAGAGCTATAAACTGGCTGTAGCTCAGCGAAAGATTGAGGCGCTGGAAGCAGAAGTTGAGGCATCTAGGGCTAGGAAGCGGAAGAAGGTCACAACGAGCCCAAATTCGAAGTTTGCCAACATTGAAGCTATTCGGAAGGCTCAAATTGAAGCGGGCGAAATTGAGGATAGCTCAGATGAATCCAGCAAGTCTGATTTACCTACTCTTGAGGGAAATAGTATTGTTGTGGCAATAGATTAAATATAATCAATGGCTGAAGTTGATGTATAGTGAAATGCATCATGATTTTTGGGGTGCCCAAATGTGGGTGCGGGACGTTACTTAACAAGGCTTTCCAGCGACTTGCCGGCCGGGCAACCGGGGAATAAGGTTTGGGAACCACTTCACGGCGAAGTTTAACACATTCACAGAAATTGTCGATTTACGCCACCCCACCTGAAACTGAGCAAATCGCAAACCACTTAAAGTCTAGAAGCTGACTCGTTTACCGATTAGAACCCTGGGCAGCGACGTGTTGCACATGGCGTAGGGCACAAGAGCCGATTGCTTCTAAACAGACTACGACGGTGCATTAACTCTAAATATGTAGGGGGGACCCATCACGAGAAAAGCTTTTGTTGGCCGTTGGTCTAGCCATTGCAAGCGTTGTATCGGTAGTCATCTAGAGTTTTCGTCACAGGAGCCAGCTTGATTGGTGGGAAAAGACGACTCTGGCTACCAGCTTGAGAAGTGCCGGGAAACGATCCAAATTCGGACGGCGTGTATGTCCCCCAGGTTCTGGAAAGTCTTTGGAAAATCTGGCCATCTGGCATTTGTCTGTGCTCGAGTTGAGGCTGCAACCTCCCGAAGACTGACGTATTACCGTTGATCTTTCTACAAAATCTTGCTAGCTCAATCTTTGAATGTTTGACGTCTGTGGGCCGGGCTGATTGAGCTGGAAAGCAAGTTTCAGAGGAGCCATCTAAGAGGTTTGGATGGAATAAAGGCGCTTTTTGATCATTTTGACCAAGACTTCATATCAGCAGCTTCAATCGTACGGGAAACCCCGGTTAAATGCCTGAGAGCAAGCCATTCGAAGAACGCTAATATCGGACGGAGATAACGCTGAATATTAGTATTCCATCCCCAGCCGCGTTGATGCTGTCAGGTCCAGCCAAAGTCACTTTTGAATAATGATGAACATGCAAAAAAGTCTTGCAAAACGGCTGATGTCGAGATTTACAAGAAATTTGGCTTTTGCTAGAACTTATCCATCTTTGCTATCTACCGGCGAAGGATTCCATATCGTTGAAGTTGGCTTTGTGAGCTCCTCTTATGACCGTCACGTAGGACATATGACAATGGAATCTCGCTTGTAGTGAACAAACTTGTTTCAAGCATTAAAATATCGGCAATCTTTTGTGAAACTACATCAGTCATGGGATATGCTACCAATTGCAATGATATTTAAGTCCCCCGAGCACCAATAAGCAGTAGATATCAGTAGTAGAATTTTCGTCCCAGATTTCAGAACTCTTTGTCAAACGCCCGCACCGGATCAAAAACCGGATTTCCGAGTAACGGAGGCGGGTTAAAGGACCTGAACTTTCGCCGTTGATCTAAGCAAAATATGTACAAGTGAAAGCATATAAGCACTAACGCCCGCGTCTTTGGGATAAATGTTGGGCTCCACATTGGTTATGATCATATTAGAAGAGCAAGCTAACGCAGAACGAGAATTAAATGAGAAGCTTTAAGTAACAAAGACATGCTCCCATTGAGAACGGCTAGTTTTACTTCATGTTAATCCTAGGTGGATACAAAAGGCGACAGCTGATATACACGCAGTTAGAACAATGAGGATAAACTTACATTTGTTGCGGCTTCGCTTGTCAGCCACTGATGAGATGGAAATATTTTTCAAAATGGCGTTTTCCTACGAGGAATTTCTGTTTTGCACATGTTCTTAGAGCCAAATATTCAGGCCTGACAGTATTGGCAGTATCTTGCCGGTAGGCTTTGGTAAAATATCCTTTCAAGTTGAAGTAGCCTGGGGTAACCAATCTAGATGCTGAAATGTTGACATATGTGCTCCAGAACGAGACCACAGAGTCCGACACACTCCATCCAATCCAATCCTCCTCTTCAATCACCCATAGATTGCTGTATTCCTTGGCATTTTCGCTTTGCCTTAACACCCGCAGCCACATTTGGGGCACGCACCACTGGACCATCCGCAAGGGTCCGACGATAGGCAATCAGAACCTGATACACATTTCTTCCATGGGCCCGAGCCGTCACCCAGAGCGGTCCAGCACCACCAACCGGCACCATTGGTGCCACACTGCCTCCAGCAGTATCCTTTATCGCAACCCTTCTGGTTTTTGGCACAAGCCAGGGTGCCTGAAGCACCCAAGTTGGGCCCAGCAAGGCTCGGGTGATCAGAGCAAAGTCGGACAAGAGCTGGGTCCGAGCCTTCGGGCAGTGCCAAAACACCCAGGGAGTCGCAAATGGCAGCAGCATCCGAGCCAGGCTTGAGGTCAGCCCAGGTCATGTTGGCAGCGGCGGACAGGACGTCCAGGTCAATGCCATCGCGGGTAGGAAGATATTGCACCCCGGCAACACCAGCCTTGACAGCGAGGAAGGCGGAAAAGGTGACAAAGGCAGAAAGTTGGAACTTCATTTTGAAGTATTAAGGTTGATGCTATGGGAGCAAAGCTTGAAAAGAATTCTGCGTTGCGTTGGTGTTGGTGTTTGTGTGACTCTTGATCAGGAGACTGAGACTTCTGGTCTGATCTGTTTTCTGTTTGCACAAATGGGCAGGTTCTGTACGCTCTTTATAGACGAGCTATATCGCCAAGCTGTTTCGCCTTTGTAGTACGAGTGAGGCATCACTTGCCACTTGAGAGGCCTAATGGTTCACAACGTCGCTTAATGACCTGCAGCTTACGGGGGTGTTTCCCAAGGGTTTGACCAGGCCCCAGGTAGTTATCTCATGGAGAATAAGTTGGCAGCAGTTACAGACTGGCCTATTTCTAAGCCCATATTTCTCCAAATACCAACCAAATAATACTAATCATTCGGCAAAGATCATGCTGTCAGTATATGATTGGCTGGAAGCCCCGCGCAATGGAATTTACCTGATGCTTAGGATTCCAAGGGTCTATCCCAAATGTTACATAGAGTATGAATAATCTATGGGTCCTGTAGTCCATTCTGTAAGCTTTGTTAGCGTTATGCTGTGCCACTAGTACTGTTGTGCTTGCTTAGTTGTCTTTGACGGCCCAATCACAATGATTTTGTCTTAGTATAGCCAGCTAGTATAAGTTCATTGCGAAAATTGTACCTAGGACGGTGTCTTAATGTAAGTGCTAAAACCTGATCCTTGAGCAACCCAAATGCAGGACGCGAACACAGATACTTCATCAGGTGATTCGCCGCAAGCTCCATCGTAAAAGCCTCCAAATCAGGATTGTAATACACAACTTAGTGTAACCCGGGGCTATTCATGCCTTATTCGCTGCGAGTTGTTTGATCAGCTCCTTTAGGTCGTTATCCGATAGCGTTTTGACTCCCAAGAGGGCATTATCGTCCTGTGACCAGGGTGATGAAAAGTCCGGTCTTGAGTTCGCATATCGAATCATATCAGCAAGCACGCCGAAATTGAAGTTTCCAGCCTGGATCTCTTTCATAGCTGCCGCAAACCTCTCCTCCATATTCGACTCCGTCTCTTCCCATCCATCAGAACCCAGAGCGTCCTTACACAAATCGGCCATCTGCTTCTGACTCTTGTAGACAGAGTGGACGTAAACTGGTCGGTTCTCTGTTTCGGCAGGATGAGAGAGGGTACCAGAAACTGCCTTGCCGACGGACTCAAGGGTCGTCCATGCAATAACGTTGCTTCCGTCATTCATGTAATTCACTTTCTTGTTGTATATATCGATGTTAAGAAAGCCGGTCCGTAAGGTATAGTCTAAGAATGCCCCATTGCAGATAATGCTCCAAGTCATCTGGGTGCTTTGGCATTTGCTAAGGAGATGCTTATCATTCGCATCCTTTTTGAACCATATGGGCAACGTGTGAGGCTTGGGATTGTTAAAATCCAGGCTAAAGTCTGAAGGAATGTAGCGGTATACTCCAGCGGCGGCGGCGGCATCAATCATTCGAGCTGGGGTGTCGTCCTGGACAAGAGTACAGTCCACAAAGGCCTCGTGGCCCTGGAAAGCTTCTTTGAGGGCGTCATATGAGTTGTAGTCAATGACTTTGACGGTGACACCGTCTGGGAAAGACCCTTGCTTCCGAGTAAGGACAGTGACCTGAAACCCATCCTGGATCAGTGCTTTTAAAACATGACTGCCAACATTTCCGGTCGCCTGGGGACGGTTAGCGCCGTGCAAACTTGTGACATAAAGGTATCTCAACTTACGCCGGCAACTGCCACTTTTTGAATCTTTGGTGCCATAATTTGCTTGATCTCAGCTGTGTGTTTGCAAATTTTTGAACTTGATGTCAAAAAGCTGTAAAACACTTTGGGTTCTTATTTAAACAACTAATGCAGAGTGCACAGATTCGTCCAGCTGATAAACATACAGCGTGTCTCACGTGTTCGATTACGACTGCTTAAACAGCCCATCTCTTGCGCCAATCACAAAGGTGTCACGGCTCGCGAAATTATTTCCTTAATAAAATGCCATTGTAGAATCTCATAGTTTATCCAACTATCGCGCCTATTTTCATGGAGACTATTGGGCCGGACCCCCGGACTGAGGAACACGTCCCACCACAGGTAGTCCGAACAGAACCTTATTTAATAATGTCGCCCTGCGACCAAAGCTTGCGGACCGTAGTTTGAAGCATAACACAAACAAATGTCTGTCTCAGGCTATCCGGCCTCCCGGGATCTTCGGTATTTGGAAGTTCATGTCATAACCCTGTCTGTCTGCGTGCGGAGCGGGAAGACGTGCGTGCCGGTTCAACTAGTCCACTTTTGGCGCGGCAATGGATGTGGCATACTTTGATTCTGACGTTGGTGACATGAAACTGACATGTACAGCAGCGCCATTAGCTATGCGCTGTAGTATTTATACGACGTAGACACTTGAATTGCAGAGTGCGCGACAAACGACAACGTGAGTAATATTCAATGAGTATTCAATTGTAAGATGCCTGACTACCGCTATTGACCAGCAATCCGCCTAGTGATCCCATAATAAGCTACCCAAAATTAAAACGCTTAGTGGGTGTTGGTGACAGAGAAGCCCTTGATGGGGTAGTGGAAGTTGACGTGGTGGCACTCAGCCTTGCCTCCAGAAGGAATGTAAGCGGACTTGTCGGCAGCTCTGCTTTGCTCAACGCTCTGCCATCCCAAGGCAGCGACAAAGACCTTGCCTCCATCCACATCGTCAACAGACATGCCGCTGGCGAGGTCGTTCAGTCCAGACATGCCCCTAACCTTCTCGATCTGAGCCCGCATCTCGTCTTCGGACATGGTCGAGCCGCTAATGGTGATGACCTCGGCGATCGGAGAGTCGATGGCACCTCTTGGTGCGTAAGGCACAAACTTGATGAAGTATGACTTGATTTCGCCGGTCATGACAGTCTTGAAGTTATCCATTACTTCTTTGCACTCGGCCGAGGCGAAAAAGCTGTCACGGGCTTCTCTTGTCTTCCAGCCTGTCAAGATGTGTTAGAAACCACGACAACCGAATAAGGCTCTCCATCAGCTAAAATTGTACTTACCAGAAATGAGATCAAGCATCTGCTCATTCTCGCTCCAAGGTCCCCAGCGAGTGCGGAGATAGCCGTCATGGTTCTTCAAAGCGAGAAGGTAGGTCTTCAGAGGCTCCTTCCAGTCCTCCTTGGTACCCTTGACAGGGATGATCATACGCTCAGTGACGCCGGCGGAGGGAGGTGCAGACATTTTGATGGTTGTGATGTAGAAGAGAGAATAAAATAAGCTTGAAAGTTATGATTATTGGTAAAAACCTTGGTGTTTAAGTTGTTGATTGATGAATTGAATTGTGATGCTGAGATAGAAGTTTTCTGCTTCAATGAGGGTGAAAGAGCTGGATTATATAGCTGAAATATTCCTCCCCTGTTATCTTAGAACCACTTACTCAAGACATGATGCTTCAGTTGTTGAAGCATAATGTTCGGAATTCCTATACGAGGAGGACACGGTCCAATTCCACAACCCGCCGGTTTTCGGTCAATGGCAACAGTCCAGGTCCGTCTGCCTAGGATTGATACACGCCAGATTACACGCTCTAAGGCTCGATGTCAAAAGCTATGGTAGGTGTCGTAATCAACTTTATCTCGGTGGGGTTGCCAAATGTGGTGATATTCTGGAAAAGAAACCGTGATCCGTCGTGGCCATGACCCGGCCTAGCGGCGGCAGTGTTAGCGCCTTTGCGAACTCAGGGCCTCAGCTTCTCCACAACATATTTCTTAGTCCGAGAAACAGATTTCGCAACATACAGAAACTGCCGAACAAGAAGTTTCAAGCATGCCTGTCATTCAGACGAACCCACAAGGCTAGGGCGACGTCATGTAATATGAGCATGGCAGACACTCTGAGCTCCGGGTGGGCAGTGTCAAGGTGCGGATCACAGACGTTGCAGCATGTGGGCTATGACGTCTGTCAGAGGATATGCAGAGAATATGGAAAGGTCAAGAAGAGCAACTTGCCGTTTTAAGGTATCCGATGCTTCGAAACGGTATCACGGACAAAGCTGGGGTTGGATGGGGAGTCGACGGGACTTCCGGAGGACAGGTGTTTCATGAGTCTCCGAAGGGAGAGAACAGACGTGCCACCCTGGTACCCGACTGCTCATATTCAGAATGGATTCAGAACACAACTAAACAGACGAATCCTCAAATTGAAAACATGTCGCTTTCGCATCTCTAATCAGGCACCCATTGGCGAGAAAGTTCCAAAGCCGGAACGCGCGGCTGCAGAACACCAAAGGCGCTTGAGGCAGATACCGCAAAGGTCTCATGGCCTGGAAGAGAATCTTTCGGAAAATAATAATGATTTGTGCCGGAATCTACAGTTACGGATGGCTCTGTATGAAATTTTGGATTAATAAGATGGTTAAGTTTGGCTGATTGGTTCAGCTGTAGTTAAGTCCAGAATTGGACCACTTCAAATAGACATTGAAGTTAGTGAGACTCCATACAAAACAATCGATTTTATATTCTTCGATTTCTCCTACTTGAGCCGCTAGAGTCTGTCATTGTTAACTGTCTCAAAATGGGCATTTTTCAATGCTCTCCTTGGTTAGCTAGTCTGTTACTGAGACGGGTGTGCCAAAATGTCCAGTCTCTGTCCGTCTTCTACCAAAATCATTTGTCACATGCCGATGTTATGTGCTGGCAAGCCGAGGAATTAAGGAATGTGGCGAGGACCAGGTATATAAGGGGCATCGAGACCCATGCAGGATACAGAGTGGGGTCAAAAGTCTGAAGCCACCCTCTATTTCCCAGCTACCTGCATTTTGACCATACTACTTCAAACAGCTGTAAAACAGCTAACTTTTCGATTTCTATAGTAATACTATAGTGAAATTGAACGCTGAAGTTTGCTTTTTAATACCGTATATACTATCCCCGTGCTTTAATTACTACCTCTAAGCGGCGCGGCAGAGACTTAATAAGCCTCTGTATTCTTGTCTAGGGTATAGCTTCCTACGCCGTAGTAAGCTGTATTTTAAAGAGATCGATATCTAGCGCGTTCTTTTTTAAATTTAATACGTCTAGGTATAGGCGACGTAGGTTATTCTTTATTATCTGCTAAACATGCTTAATAAGGTTAAGATTAGGCGAATATAGTAGCTACTTAAGCTAGGAGATCCCCTAGCTTAATAGCTATTTTGTTATTTTTGCTAAGCTATGAATAAGCGCGTTATCTTAAATAAAATGCTTTATATCGTCTATAGCAAGGAGATATCCTTCTTCTAAGTACTTAATATAGCTATTTAAGCTATAGCTTTACTTCTTAGTAGTCTTATCTTTCGTAAAGAAGATTAACTTGCTTTAGTCTTCCCTCTATATTATTACTTATACTATAATCGAGATATTTGCTTTTATATAGCTAATAAGGTTAATAAACTTAGAATCCTAGCGTTCGTAAGGTAATCTAAAGACCTAGGCGGAAGGGCTTAATGTTAGAAGTATAAGTATATTATACTTCTATTTTACTTATTTATCCTATTTAGTCTTATCTAAGACTTAGTAGGACTTACAAAAGTAACTAGCTAAGAATGGTGTTACGGCCAGCTAACTGACAGTGGGTTTGTGTTAACAGTAAGCCAGGGATTGAGAGTAGTAACAGTCGTTCCGTGGTCCTGGTCGAATAGATCGTAGATCTTCAAAGGTCTTGGTGATCAGTCAAGGCCTCAACAAGAGTCGTAGAGTAGTCGTCACTTAGGTATAGCTGAAAGTACCGGTTAGGGTAATCACAAAGTTGATTGCTGAAGAACTAGGAAAGGTAGGACTCGAGAGGACTCGAGTCCCAACTATATACAAGTCTGGTTCCATGCTGAACACTTCCTGATCCTGGGGGACCGACACCCAGGACGTCGGTCCATCGCCATGGACCGCCCTTGGCACCGTCGGTCCTGTCCCAGGACCGCTTATCGTCCGTCGGTCCTGCTTATCGTCACGTGACCTGTATCCTAGTTCTTCCGTTCCGTGGGGGTTGTTACGACGTAACGGCTGACGGCCGTCCCTATAACCGCTGAGCCCCTGCGGGGGAAAAACATCAACAACAGCGAGAACGAAATTTTTGAAAACAGCATCAAATTGATCAAACCACGCCCGCTCGCGCTCTCAGAGGTCACTTTGGGCATAATGTCATCCTCGGCATTGATTCTGCTCCCAAAGAGCCTGCTCGTGGCCGCGGGCGGGCTCTGACCACGAAAAATTCGAGAGCAAGCCACAAAGTATGACACGTCAATAGACAACACCATCGACACCACCGCGGTTGAGTCACGGGCTATCACGTGAGCACAACGACCAAGCCCAAACAAACATCAACACCACAGCCACCGATAGGTTATGGGTCGCCTATCACCCCCGACAAAGTTTGCAACGTCCCGCGACAACAACGACGACAAGCCCGACAGAACGGTATCACCTCCTGCATAGAGAAAGCACCAGACACCAGGCATGCTACGATCGATGCCACAAAATACTACAGTTTGCAGACAGATTGGTCCCCTGTCGCCCCCTCCGCGAAGAAGGATTGTCGCCCCTTCAACGTATGACAATGTCTGCGGAATCTGTGTACGAGCTCTCATACTTAGTAATCGGACGAATCGAAGCGGTTGGAGCATTGTGTTTTGCGGATTGAGTCCGACTCCAGGCGGTGGATGGAGGTGGTGGTCGAAAGATGGAAACATAGAGCCACATAGGAACCCAGCATGAGGCAACAAAAAGATTTACAGATTCAACTGAGATATAGCATATGCGAGTCTGAGAGGATGCGGACAAGATAAAGAGACGAAGCTGAGGGCTGGGGGGAGACTATAGGTATACAGAACCAGACATGGTGCCTAGCACCAACAGAACCGAAGTAGGAGGACGCGAAAGAAGGATTCTAGAAGGCAACACCAAGCGAGAGAGCAGGCAGGAGGACAATAATCTTCAACAGAGGGCATAAACACACAAGAATAGATAGCATAGTGGGAGCTTGGGGACAGCTGGTCCTGATCCAACAACAGGGCGAAGTGGGGCGTCGCGGTTTATCGTCGATGCTTCGGCTGTCTGCCAAACCCCGCTTTCCGGGCATAGCTGCTAGCATAAGAGCGGCTTCATAACCGTGTAGGAATCAATCAATCAATCAATCATGAGCCCCTGCGGGGTCGTCGTCAGTGGTCTGTTAACTGTCGGATCGTAACATCAGCTCCCCTCTTAAAGGTCTTGTCCTCGAGACCTGAGTATAGGTAGGTCGTTGGTCCCAGGTTGGGGATCCACAAATTTGCTTCCTTTGTTTTTCATGATGCCGACACCATGTCAGGTCGCGTTCGAAAGACAAAGTCGCACTTGACTGTGATAAAAGATCGTGAGAGAGCTGCGCTTATTGAATACGTAGAGTCCCGATCGATTGCTAGCGACATGCCTTGCACTCGTTGTTTCCGTGCAAAGGTCCCGTGTCGTTTTGGCGAGAAGTCTACACGCTGTAGGACTTGCATCGAGGCGAAGAAACCTTGTGACGGCGTCCTCGTGGCGTCTACTCGTAAGTCGTGTTTTTGTGTTTTCGCTGTTCTAGGGGTTGCTAATGTTTGCTTCTAGTTTAGAAGTTGAACTCTTAGCAAAAGGAGTAGGATGAGAAAGAAGAGAAAGCGGGTAAGGAGCTATTCGCGCTTCATCAAGAGTTTGCTCGTTTGCAAGTTCAAATGGCGGATGCTACGGGTCGTCTGAAACGGATTCGGACGGTCCGTAAGATGGTTCGGGAGCGGCAGACCGAAGTTTTTGAGCGTGGTATGCAGGAGGTTGACAGGGAGGATGGCGTCCTAGCGGACGACGAAGTCCTACCTGCCTTGGATGCTTACGAGAGGTTCGTCGTTAGTGACCTCCAGGCAGTAGGTCTCGGGAATGATCCTCCTTGGTCCCTTTTTGGTTTTGGTGACGAGTTTGTGGGTTTAGGTCCTCTGGTGGATGGCGCGGGTGCGGGGAGTGTTGGAGGTTCCTCGGCTACTCAGGGCTAGGTGTTCCTAGGCGAAGAAACGTTTTGTTGCCCTGGGGTTTCTTGGTTGGTCGAAACTTGGTTGAGGGTTTCTGACGCGAGGGTTGTGTGTTGGTCTTTGTATGACTTTGGCGTGCTGTCGTGTTTCCTATTGCGTCTAGTATTCTTGAAGTTCCTCTTGTGCGTGCTCCAAGTTTGATGCGGGTTCCCATGTGTTTTCTTCGTGTCCGTAGTTTTTCCACTTGATTAGGTATTGTATTTCTGTGTCATCGTGCTGATCGATGTGATCGAGGATCCTTTCGACCTCGTAGTCCTGTTCCGGGTCGACTTCGATATGGTCCATAGTTCGTGATCCTTTTGGTGCTGGCTCGAGAAGTGAAATATGAAAAACTGGATGACACTTCATAGTGTCTGGTAGTACGAGTTTGAAGTTGACGTTGGATACCTTCTTCGTGATTTCGAAGGGTCTAAGTTTCTTGAAGTCTAACTTATCGCTTGGTCGTTTTGTTTTGATGTTCCGGCGGAGAAGGTATGCGCTATCCCCCTCCTTCAGAGTTGGTCCCTCAACTCTTGTCTTGTCAGCGTATTTGCGCATGCGTTCGCGTACAAATTCAAGGTCTCTAGGAAGATCTCGTTGGATTTCCTTGAGTTTGTTGATATCTGCCACAGCTTTCAGAGCTGTTGGGCCTTGTCGGGGTTGTCCATAGGCTGTCGGGTTGAATCCGTAGTTTAAGTAGAATGGTGATTCTTTTGTACTTTCTCCTACTGCGCTGTTGTAGGCGAACTAGGCCATAGGTAGCAGTTGGACCTAGTTGTTTTGCTGATAGTTGACGTAGCAGCGTAGGTAGGTTTCCATGATCTGATTGATTCGTTCTGTCTGGCCATCGGTTTGCGGATGGAAAGCGGTGGACATCTTGTGGTCAGATCCTAGCTGCGAGATCAGGGATCTCCAAAACTTGGAAGTGAACAGCTTGTCTCTGTCGGATACGATTTCCTTCGGCATTCCGTGTTGGCTTACGATCACCTGCAGAAACTTGTAGGCGAGGTCTTCTGCAGTGCTTGACTCTATGTACGGAATGAAGTATGAGTACTTTGTGAGTCTGTCGACGATGACGAGGACACTGTCGTAGTGGACGTTGGTTATCGGTTCTCGGGACTTAGGTAACTTAGTGACGAAGTCTAGCGAGATGGATTCCTATGCGGTTTGCGGCACTGGGAGCGGCTGTATCTTTCCATAAGGCTGATGTCGGCTGGGTTTGCTTTTTGCGCAAACCTCACAGTCCTTAATCGCTAAAGATACTTCTTGTCGTGTAGCCGTTTTGTCGTAGTGTTGACGGATGCGTTTCCACGTTTTGGTTACGCCTTGGTGACTATGTGCGGGTGCGGAGTGTATCTCCCTAATGGCTTCAGGAGACATCCTTCCAGGCGTGCTGGTACTGTCTCTTCTGGCCATCATTAAGAGTCTGGCTGCTGGCACAAGGTCTCCGTTTTTGTCTGTTTTGAGGATAACTCGGGTTTCCTCAGGTACCTGGACCTCGTGGTCCGGTCGTCGGCTGAGGGCGTCGGCCCTGCCGTTCTCCTTGCCCTTCCGGTAGATGATTCTGAAATTGAATTCTGACAAGAATTCGGACTATCGAATTTGTCGTTTGTTGAGATCTTTCGATGTAGTGAAGTATGCGAGGTTCTTGTGGTCGGTGTATACTTTGACCTCGTACTTGGTTCCTGAGAGTTACGGTCTCTATTCTTTGAATGCCTCGATAATTGCTATAAGTTCCTTGTCGTATATCTGGTAGTTGAGTTCTGGGCCGTGTAACTTGTGTGAGAAGAAGGCGTAAGGGTGTAGTCGTCCTTCGTCGTCTCGTTGGCCTAGTTGTCCTCCTATAGCGTAGTCTAAGGAGTCGGTCTCGACTTCGAATGGTTTCTCGGGGTTTGGTATAACAAGTATTGGTTCCGATGTGACTTGTTGTTTGATCTCGTTGAAGGCTTGTTCTTGTTCTTCTTCCCATTGCCAGGGAACATCTTTCTTCGAGAGTCTCGTGAGAGGGTCGTTTTTGTCTAAGTACCCTTCTAGGAACCGTCGGTAGTAGTTCACATATCCAATAAAGGATTGTACGTCCTTAACGTTCTATGGTGTAGGCCAGTCTCGTACTACTGCGATTTTGTCTTTGGACATTTTGAGGATTCCTGGGGCTATCGTAAAACCTAGGAATTCGACTTCTTTGGCGTGAAACTTGCTCTTCTCGGGTTCTACTAGGAGTTTAGCGTCTTGCAGTTTCCGCAGTACTTGGTGTACGTGTTTTTTGTGGTCTTCCAGAGTCTTGGAGAAGATTAGGATGTCGTCGAGGTAAACTACGACGAATACATCTAGAAATTCTCGTAAGACGTGGTTGATCATCGTCTGGAATGTCGCGGGTGCGTTGGTAAGTCCGAAGGGCATCACAAGGTACTCGTAATGTCCTCAGCGTGTTCGAAACGCTGTCTTCCATTCTTCACCTGATTTCATCCGGATCAGGTTATAGGCTCCTTTTAGGTCGAGTGCTGTAAACCACTGTGCTCCGTGCAACAGGTCTCGTAGTTCGGAGATGAGCGGTAGTAGGTAGCAGTTCTTGATCGTAATGTCGTTGAGTTTCCGGTAGTCGACGCAGAGTCGTAGTTTGCCGTTCTTTTTTGGTACGAACAGGATTGGGTATCCCGCTGGTGATGTAGAGGGTCTGATGTATCCCTTCTGTAGATTTTCTTTGAGGTAAGCGTCGAGTGCTTCCATTTCTTTCTGGTTGAGTCCGTAGATTGCTTCTAGCTTTGGCTCCTTCCCTTCCTTAAGGGGTATCTCGTGGTCGTAGTTGCTGTGTTCCGGGAGTCCGGTCTCGAGTTCTTCGGCGAATAGCTTCTAGTATTGCCGGTATTCTTCTGGGATAGACAGAAGTCGGTCTTCCTTGCCGATGTCTGTTGCTGATAACGTCCTGGCGTTTGCATCCTTTATCCGTAGGTATGCTAGAAATCTCTTCGCTTCAGGAGTCTTGAGAGGTTCGTTTGAGGCACCGTTCCGTGGTTGCTTCTCAGTGACTGAATCCTGGTCCCAATGGAGTTGGCCTGTTCTCCAATCTATCCGTGGGTTACTGTCGTATAACCATAGTCTTCCAAGGATGACATCGTACTTGTCTCCTATCTCCGTAATATCGAAGTTCAGTCGCTCATTCCGGCCATGGATCTGCAAAGGGAGTTGCGCTGTCTCCATAGCAATGCGTCCTCCGCCGTACTAGACTTGTTCTCCTTCAACGGTGCTGAGTTCGTAGCAGTCTTCGGCTGCTTTTCTTTTCCAGGTTATCTTTCTTTCATTTACCGTTCTTGGTGATATAAAGTTTCCTTAGGCTCCGCTGTCGATCATGGCGGTAGCTGTTCTTCCGTTAAGCTGTATTTGGACTTGTACATGCTCGTGTCGTTGTGTCGTAGGCGTCGTTGCGCTACATAGGGACCTTGTCTGGACTGCCTGTCGTTGTCCCTTGTCTTCGGTAGGCGAGTCTAGTTTTTTGACTGCTCGTCCGTTCCTTGTTCGTCGTTTTCTTGCTGTTTCTTCCATGCTTCGTCTTTCTTGATATAGTGGACTCGGCGCTGGTCTTGGTAGCAGTGATACCACTGTATTTCTTCGTCAGAGTCCTCTCCAGAGCTGGTGTCGTTGACTGAAGCGACTTCAAAGGCGACTTCTAGTTAGGCATGTTGGCAGGCAATATCGCGAGGTGTTTCCGAGTCGTTGGGGGTGTTCTTGGTCGTTTCTGATTCGACCTGTTCTTCTAGTTCTTGGTTGATTTGGCGGATCCGTGCGGGATCTCCTTGTGCATGTTGTTGTCGTTCGATGTGTGCGTCTAGCGCACCGAGTTGTCGTTGCTACATAGGGTTTTGTAAGTCCTGTTGAATCCGCTGCAGGTTAGCTTGTCGTCCTGCGTAGAGGAGGTTTAGTCTTCGCTGATTGTCTTGTTCTAATTCCTCGTTATCGTTCATACTGTCGAGCTGTTCGATTGTCTTGCGCTCGATTTTGCTGTTGCTTCTATATCCCACAGCGAGGGTCCGTTTAGGTGCGTTGGTAGTGTCGTAACCAGATCGTTCTTGAGGTTTCTGGGGGTACTATCCTGCGTGTTCCTTACTGCTAGAGTGGATATGGCAGTTGTTATCGAAGCAGGTGGTCTAGTTGAGTTGTTCATGAGGGATCGTCTTCGTGGCGATACTTGCTTGTCGTTTCTCTGGTACCGGTTGGAAGCGTTCCTTCTTAGGTGACCTGCATTCGTATGCTAGGTGTCTAATCTTCTGGCAGTTATAGCACTGTCTATCTTTCTTCTAACTGTCGTTCTTTTTGTCGTTTCTCTGTGTAGCACTAAGGTCTATTGGTCTACTATGGTGACCATAGGTAGTACTTTGTCGGGGGTTGTTCTAGTTGTTGCGGGGTCTATTGTCGTTTCGCTGGTTGTTGAACTGGTGCTGAGGCTGCTACTGGTACTTGCGTCCTGAGTTGGGGTTTTGTCGTTTTTCGCTTCTTTCCTTTCGTCGTTTGAAAAGCCGGTTGTCGATTTTGATGGCGAGTTCGGCGTACTAGAGAAAGTCGTCAGGTCGATCAATCTTGATGATCTCGTCCTTGACTTCGTCTTTTAGTCCTTGATAGAACATAAAGATCTTGGTTTCCTCGGTAAGGTTAAGTTGAACGCTAAGTTGTCGGAAATTAGCAGAGTAGTCTTTAGCAGACTTAGTCTGCTTAAGTTGTGCTAGATCTCGTTCGGCTTGTCGCTTTTCGTCGGGGTCTTGGAAGAGTGACCTGAGCGTATCCTCGAATCCTTTAAAATTGGCGTAGATGTCGCGGGTCTCGGTGGTGCACTCGTCGAGGGTCTCGCATTTGAGGTATTCTTCCTGGATTGGTTCAAACCACTTGAGGGCCTTTCCTCGGAGGTAGGTGGCTGCGTGTACTACTTTTTCGGTTTCGTTGGTGAAATCTCTATGGTGAAAGTTCTGGTAGTTTTTGACCTGAATCAGGAATCCTTTAAGGGTCCCGGGGGTTCCGTCGTAGGTGACAGGCGCACTGAGCTTGAGCTTTTGTCGTCCTCCGTGGACGGGCGTGGTGACGATGTTGGCGGCGGCCCGGAGGGTGGTGATTTCCCCCTGGAGTTCCTGGATCTTCCGGAGGTTGGCGTCCCCCTTGATGTCTTCTTCCAGCTTCTTGTAGGCCTGTCTAGCGTGCTGGAGTTGCTCGTTGAGGTTTTCTATTGCTTGTCGGTTTTCGTTGACGATTTTCTGCATGTCTTTTGTCTCGGCTTCTTGTTTCTGGATTATGCGTCGGAGCTTATCGTAGCTTTCCTTGGTGAAAGAGCTATCTCTATCGGAGTCGTACTTGAGGTCCGGCATGTCGAAGTCCTCAGTGTTGGCGGGCTCCTGCGCGAGGCTCTGAGGCTGGTTGCGCGAAGAGGATGAGGATCCTGGAGTAGGTGATTTGGCAGAAGCGCGAGAAGACATCTTGTCTATACTGTTTAGTAGTTCTCAAAAGGTGACTTACTGAACAGGAGCAATCAAAGTGTTACGGCCAGCTAACTGACAGTGGGTTTGTGTTAACAGTAAGCCAGGGATTGAGAGTAGTAACAGTCGTTCCGTGGTCCTGGTCGAATAGATCGTAGATCTTCAAAGGTCTTGGTGATCAGTCAAGGCCTCAACAAGAGTCGTAGAGTAGTCGTCACTTAGGTATAGCTGAAAGTACCGGTTAGGGTAATCACAAAGTTGATTGCTGAAGAACTAGGAAAGGTAGGACTCGAGAGGACTCGAGTCCCAACTATATACAAGTCTGGTTCCATGCTGAACACTTCCTGATCCTGGGGGACCGACACCCAGGACGTCGGTCCATCGCCATGGACCGCCCTTGGCACCGTCGGTCCTGTCCCAGGACCGCTTATCGTCCGTCGGTCCTGCTTATCGTCACGTGACCTGTATCCTAGTTCTTCCGTTCCGTGGGGGTTGTTACGACGTAACGGCTGACGGCCGTCCCTATAACCGCTGAGCCCCTGCGGGGTCGTCGTCAGTGGTCTGTTAACTGTCGGGTCGTAACAAATGGCTGCTTGCTAGTTTAAACATATGATATTCAGATCCCTATGGAATACTCTCTTTAACCTTATCTAAAAGTCTATTTAGTTAAAGAAGATTCTAGTCTGATTTATAAGCTGCTTTATAAGCTAGTTGACGTATATACTTACGTATACTAAACCTAGCTTATAGCTTCCTATATTAGCTATTATAGGCGACGTTATACTACTATATAACTAGCCTAATTCTCTCCCTTAGCTAGCTATTAGTTCCTCAACCAACTCAGCTTCAATATAAGCCTATACATTCTTTACTATTAAAGCCCTACTTCATAAGTACAAGTTCCCTTACTCTAATACCCTGTTATAAGGATATCGTACTACCTACGAGATTCCTACCTACCGTTCCAACACTTAACGTATTATTCTAGTAAGAAGACTTATTAGAGAACTAGGCTTAGAAGAACTCTAATTAGCTTAAGAATCGCTTAAAAAGGTCTGATCGTAAGAAGGAGTATAGTAATTAATTCTTCTATGTTTATAAGCTACTTACGTATAAACTAAAGCTGCTTACAAGCTACTTCTTTTATAATAAATAGGCGTTTTATAGCTTTCTATTTACGAAAGTTTGCTTTCCGTAGAACCTGCTTAATAGTACTAAGGCTAGCCCGACCTTTCTACTTAGTTACAAGCTTACTATAAGACTTCCGGTAGTAGATTTTAGTAATACGTACGATAGCTTATTTCTACTAACGCGAGAGTATACCTAGGCGTCCTTTTCGTAGTTTAGAACCGAAAGTGCCGTCCTTTTTATAGCGGCGAAGGGTTTGCTCGATCGCGCCGCGTAAACAGTTGAAGAGCGTAGCAGCGTCGCGTTGAGAAGTACTACTTAAAACAACTGCTATAATTGCCACCCGTTATAAATCCGTAAGTTTATCGTTAGAGGCTCGATTTCCTATTAAATTAGAGGCAAAAGCACGTAATTTGGTCTCTATTTGCTATAGTTATGGGTGGTAGACGAAAAAGTGGTGGTTTGTAGAAGACGCGTTGGGCGCGCGCACGGGTAAAGTGGCTTCAGACTTTTGACCCCACCCTGTAAGAAATCCAGAGACAAGTGCAGTCACCTTGGGACACCGACCTGACCTAATGACCCAGTTTCTCACAGATTCAACGAATTTGCCTCTTGTAGCCGATATTCGTATCCATCTCTTTGTGTGTGCGATTCAACAATTTCATTCTGGATTTAGTTCGGCTTGTTCCAAATTACTACTCCAGTAATCTACATTTAATTCCCAATTTCTTATCTGTATCTCGATTGAACACCAAACGAACACAGCTCTCTGAAACCCACTGTACTCTAGCCAAAGTGATCGTTGGGATAGTCCTGCAGACTTAATTGTCCTGAACCTTCGGCGAGAAGTACGAAGACATATAAAGACCCTTTTCACCGTAGTTATAAGAGACGTAAGAAAGGCCGCCAGGCTTGGAATAATCTCGACCGGGTCTTGAAAGAATCTTGTTAGATCGAGATTCAGCAATGGAAGGAAGATTCCAAACTCACAGTTTTGCAGTTTCAGTCGCACCCCTCGAAAACTTCTCTGCAGAATCGTCCCATCCCACGTTTTTCAGTGCTTGCGTGAAGTTCACGATGGTCTGAGCGTCGCTCCTCGCGGTTTGGCCCCATGGCAAGTGAGCCTTGATATCAATACGCTCTTCTCCCTGCTTTAGTTCGAAGGCGAAGCATATTCCCTTGTGCAAGTTCTGCATGTCCCTAGCATCCTTTCGCTGAGTGGGAGCCATGCCCTCAGGTTCGTCAAGAAGCAAATGCCAGACTTTTTCTGCAGTCTCGACGCCCTTCATTGTTGCTTCATCCGTCTGTGTTCCACCCAGCGTGAGGACATCAGCGAGAACAGCCTTGCAATTGGAAATAGTTCGAGCATAGACCTTGACACGCGCCTTGTGGGGGTCGATGCAGTCGATGGCCATCATCTCAACTAGACATGGTTCCTTGCATGTCGCCAAGTATTTCTGAAGCTTCTCTGCTGTCTTGGCGAGTTCATCTCCACAAGGCTGCAGGTCGCGGATCATGTCAAAAACCAGCTTACTTGTCGTGACGTCCAGCGCGAAGTGCTTGAGAACAGGGAAAAAGTACGCCTTGAGAGTGCGCTGAGAACCCTTCATGTCGTAGGCGAGGAAGAGCTGTGGCACGCGCTTGACGAAAGATGGCATCTTCTTTCGGGCCATAGCGGCCTCTTCTGGTGTGACGAACCACCTCTTCATGATTTGCTCATACCAGCGCATGTCGACACCAGACGACACCTTGGAAAGCAATGGTATCAAAGCCGCCCCTATTTCCCCCGCAAAGGGATCCTCATCTGAACCAGCAGAATTGCCGAGAGGCTCAAAGGTGTAACGAATCACGTTATCGTCACCCTTGGTGAAGTTCCATGAGGGCTCAAAGGTTGAGCCATCATAGGTGAGAAGGGGTCTGACTTTAGCTTTTGGTGTCGGGTGACCAAATGAGGGTACAACCACGTCTCGGAAGACACGCAAGTGGTCTGCTTTCTCCTCCGGAGTGTATCCGTCAGCACTTGTGAGCAAGCTGTTCAAGAGCGGTGCGCAACGGTCCCACCACCAGCGGTGCTCGGGGTTTAAGGGCGGGTCAATGGGTATAGCCAATTCATTGCCGTCGGAGGATAAGTCATTGAATTTGCTGGAAGACTTCGCGGATGCCTCAAGCTTGCTACTTGCGGTGTTCAAAACTGCAGTCGGTGCCATATTGGAATAAAAAGAAGAAGAAACAGGAAGTAGGATATACGTATTAAGAATGATTTGAGCTACATATGGTTCAATTTTGGTGCAGCACACCGTTGCATTTATAACTTCGAAGTTCGCAAGCCCATTTTGGATAGTCACGAGTTGGTGTGGTATGAAGGTATGCCATAAACGTCATCCCCCATCCCGCACTCTTTCGGCTTTTGACGATTTACAGGCGATGAGACTTGCACTCTAATCATTGAAACCCATTAAATCCGTCAAGTGTGTCCGTCGGATTTCCTAAGCTGTCTAAACGGGCAAGAGCCAACTTCTGGCTGTGACCGGTGCCAGATCACGAAAACGGCGCCACAAAGCAGTGGTACCCGGGTAAGCATACATGGGTATGCCTACGATTGCTCTGTCGGGCACTTTAATATTACATGTAATGCAGGGAAACACAATGCTTTTTCCTGTCAAGCTTACATGCAATATTGCTGGATCGCTATTCATGGCACAAGGGCATTTGAAACAGACAAGGGCTGCCCTGCCACCTTTACGTGCGACAACCAGTCGAAACGAAAGCTCGTGATAATATAAGATTTACTTCATAAGCGAAACATATACGTGTACGAACCTTCGTATAAGGCAATCAATCAACGGCAAGTGACTGTCTTAAGGCTTTGATATCCCATTCTTCCCCTGAAGCTTGTCGAATTCTGAGTCCGGAAGAGGCAGGCATCTGTAACTCTAAATACGTAGCACTATCGGACAAAAGGTCAGAGCAAGTCTTACCAAAGTTTGTAGCCATCCCGAGTCTTCCGCCGCTTCCCCGGACTCCGTATCACGCATTTGACAATGACATCTCCTTTCACACTTTCAACTACGTCAAGTGACAGTCTCGGAAGTTCCCAACGGACCCATTGAGGCTCAGCCCGTAAACAATTAACCCGTTTGAGTAATTCTCAGAGAACTGGGATCTTGTAGTCGGACCTCCCTCGTTTGGCGGATTGCTTGAGTTCAGTCAATCTGTTTTCGATGAACCTCTTACAGGCGCATCGGAAATAACCCCGGCGGCAATCTCAGGAGGCCGAGGGTCCGCAAAGCTGCTCTACTGTACAGAGCTCATCCTAAGCTCTAGAGCTTGTGGGCTCTTGGACGCAAAGGCGACTTGCTATTTTTAATAAAAGAGCTACATCTCTTCTATTTTGCTGGATTGTTCTTCATCTTTACCTATTCATTTCCAAAGAAACCATTGCAAGCCCTTCTTTACAAACTAATCTTTCTCTCAATCTTCATTCTTCGCAAGACTTTTCGTTACAAGATGGCACCGGGTGTCACCAGTACAGTCAAGGACGCGACCAGCTCTAATGGCGCGGTCCCCGCCCCTCGGTTTCTCCCTCCTGGAGTCTCAATTGAGAAATTCCAGGAATTCGCGTCCCAGCTTCAGCAGGCGGTTGGAAAAGATAACCTCCAAATTATTACCAAAGACACTGTACTTGACGATGGCGACTACCTCACCATTGACTGTCTAACGCACGACATGCACCATCTTTATGAACGGGAGGAATTTGTCGGCAGCGCACTTATTCACCCCAAGAATGTCACCGATATCCAAGCTGTTGTGAAGCTCTGCAACGATTTCATTGTCCCAGTATGGACATTCAGCAAAGGTCATAATGTGGGATATGGCGGCGCCGCACCAAGAGTCTCTGGAAGTTTGGTCATGAATCTCGGAACTCACATGAATCGCATCCTTGAGGTCAATGCCGAGGATTGTTACTGCCTCGTCGAACCTGGTGTGACCTACTTACAGATGCAGAAGTATCTCAACGATAACGGCCTATCCGATAAGGTCTGGCTGGACTCCCCTGAGCTTGGCTTTGGCTCTATGATCGGCAACGCTTTAGATCATGGCGTAGGTTTCACGCCTTATGGAGATCATTGGATGATGCACTGCGGAATGGAGATTGTACTTGCTAATGGCGAGGTCGTTCGCACGGGCATGGGTGCCATGCAGAGTCCAGAAGGTCGCGCTCAGGCAGCCAAAGGTGTACCTCCTCAAGATCAGCACCAGAACGAGTGTTGGCAGCTGTTTCCTTATGGCTTTGGCCCCATCAATGATGGCATCTTTTCTCAGAGTAACAATGGCATCATCACCAAAATGGGCATGTGGGTAAGTTTCGTTCGAATTCCACCTCCTGATTATCTCGGTTATAAAGCTAATCGAACTTTTACAGCTTATGCCAGCCGCTCCTGGATTTACTCCTTTCATGGTCACTTACGAGAAAGATGAAGACCTCGCAGCAGTTGTTGATATCATCCGTCCATTGCGTGTGGTAAGTTGCAGCATCTCCGTTGGCCTAAGCATTGCTAATCGTGGTTCTAGAACATGGTTCTACAGAATGCAGCTAGTCTTCGCCACATTTCACTCGATGCTGCACACTATCATCCTCGCTCAGTGTACACCGACGCAGGACTAGATGTTCCACTCACACAAGAGCAGCTTGATGCCGCAGCCAAGAAGGTCAATTTGGGTAGATGGGTCTACATCGGCGCTGCCTACGGCCCCGATCCTATCCGCAAGGCTCATCTCGAGATCACCAAGCGCGAAATGACAAAGGTTCCAGGCAGTCGGTGGTTCCTGCTAGAAGATCGCAAGGAAGAATTTAGTACTCTGCACTGCCGCGCCGATACGATGCAGGGCATCCCCACATGGGACGAGCTGAGATGGTTGGATCAGTAAGTATCTTCAACGGACTTGTGTTATCTATGCTAACAAAAAATCTAGCTGGATTCCGAATTGCACTTTCCTCTCTTTCTCACCCATTTCAAAGGTTGACGGCAAGTCAGCACAGAAGCAGTACGAGATGGCCAAAAAGCGCTTCGCCGAAGCGAAGATGGACTATTTCGGAATTCTGAGTATTGGAATGCGTGAGATGCGTAAGTCCTTCCAACTGTTTCCCCGGATGGTCTGGAGATAAACTTGTTTGCTGACACATGATCGCACAGACAATATTGTATGCATCGTGTACAACCGCGAGGATCCTGACATGCGTCGCCGTGCGCAGTGGCTCGTCCGTACCATGATTCAAGACTGTGCGGACAACGGCTGGGGAGAGTTCCGAACCCATGTCGCCTTGATGGACCAGATCGCGGACACGTACGATTTCAATAACCATGCGCTTGGCAGACTGAACCAAACTATCAAGGACGCGTTAGACCCCAACGGCATTTTGGCACCTGGCAAGAGCGGTGTTTGGCCCAAGAGCTATGATAAGTCGAAGTGGGCACTTGGAAAGGATTATATTAAATAGGTAGAGAGAAGTAGAGAGGTCTACAGATCATGATGAAGTTGTTTAGTAATTAAGTCTGACATTGCCCAGTCTGTTTCTACAGCTATTTTCTGACTTTTAAATCCATATAATATTCTTCTCTATCCTTTTTCTTTAACCTAAACGATATCTTCGTCATGGAGAATCCACATGGCCAGCTATAACTCACTGCTGTGAACAAGTTGGTGGTGAAAGTGGCTTGGAGGCTTGGGGAACACCGCCGGGGAGGTTGAAGAAGCCTCACCGCTCGGCCCACATCCATCCAAGCGAGATATCTTGGATTATCCGCCCTGGTGGTCTAGCGGTATGATTCTTCCTTAGGGTTGCTTGTACAAATCAACTTGGAAGAGGTCCCAGGTTCGATCCCTGGCCAGGGCCTAAATCCTCACCCGATTAAACTTTTGTCACTTGAATTCACGACTCCAGTTTCTTACAATCATTCCAATGGAGTTTAGAAGAGGTAATACCTAAGTTGCATCCCTGTGTACACCAAATCGACACATGGTACCATCTAAGCTCCTGTTTAACAGTTAAGCATAAACTCAGTAGTTGTGCGCAGATGTAATTTTCTTTTGGGTTATAGAATCATGCGATTTACCACACGATCGGGAAGCTGAGTGATCATCCCGCTTCGTAGCCTGTCACTAACAAGGTCACGCATGAATGCACGTGCCTATGGTTTCAATGATATGTCAACACATTCGTATCTTCGTTTTCGTAACACAGCTGACTTGGGACGGGATGGAAAGATGGTTGCGCAAAGACCTCATAAGTTGAAACATAGTCTTGATACTAGGACAGGGATTGCTACGCTTTAGCTCTCCATCATGTGTGAGAGCCTTCAATTCAATCGTGTCTCTGTCAACCACAAAGTTTCCTCTTTCATCACTCAATTTTGGGCAAAGGCAGTTGAAGCGTAATAAAATGCTGTAGTGGTGCTGTGGGGCAGATTCAAACCTTCTTCGCACAAACTCGCGACACGGGAGAGAAGCCAACCACTGATGTTCGATTCGTCTGAACTCCCTGGGTAGGGCTTTGGGGGTGGCAAGTGTGAGTTATAAAAGTCCAAAGGTCCTTTCACAGGCTGGCTGTTGTAATCGGTCTATCATAGAATCCGCTTTTGGACCAGGCTGTCTGAGATACCTATCCCTTAAAATAGAGACCGACATTACTCAAAGTCAACATGGCTGCCAATTTATCAAACCTGACAATAGCACTCGTCACCGGAGCAAACCAAGGCATTGGATACGAAATTGCAAAGCGCTTATCATCTGAAAACCCAGACTATCATGTCTATATGACTGGCCGACGGAAAGACGCCATAGAGAAAGCCGCGGCAGAACTCCAATCTGCAGGATTGAACGTGGAGCCCCTGGTGCTTGACGTCACTTCCGACGAAAGCATAGCTTCCGCTGTGGAAAGCGTTCGCACGAAGTTCGGTCGCATCGATGTTGTCATCAACAATGCTGGTATCTGCAACGGTAATCCAAAAGACACGCCTCGACAACGTCTCAAAGAAATCTTTGACACGAACACTTTCGGAGCTGTTGTGGTCACAGATGCATTCATGCCTCTTCTGAATAACTCGACTAAGACTCGACGGATTGTATTTGTAAGCTCCGGTCTGGGGAGCCTTGCAATTCGGACAGACCCAACCATTGGTGACAGACTGGACTTAATCGAGTATGGAGCAAGTAAGGCAGCTCTCAACCACGCTGCCATGACTTTTGCCTCGCGGCACCGAGGGGACAACTCTTGGAAGTTCAATGTTTGTTGCCCCGGATACTGCGCTACGAATATGAACGGATATTCTGGACCTGATGATGCATCTTTGGGGTCTATTCAGCCAGTCAAGCTGGCAACGTTAGGGCCTGATGGAGTTAGTGCGACGTTTTCAAATAGGCAAGGCCCACTGCCCTGGTAAAGTACCTTACATGGCGGATAAAAATGAGTGGTTGTTGTTGTTGAATCAGGGCCTTGAGATTGTCATACACATTTTGTCAAAAGAATGATAATTCATAGCGTAGCCTTGCTTTTTGCATGACCTGAAGCAAGAAAAAGCGTAAGGTCTTGGTTGAATGCTTGCAGATTTAATGCTTTGTAGTAACTGAAGTGAATTACTGGAGTAGTTGGCATTGAATTTTCATGGAACTGGAGCCTTGTATGGTGTGGTTCTACATTTGACTGTTTATTGAGAAGTATTTCTGGTAACATGATTTTGACAAAGGCTGGTTCTGACTTGTACAACAGGTTTTCATCACCATTGTCTAAACAGTTTGATTTGAGAAATCCCAAAGTCAATACATAATTTCCTGAAGAGACCACTAGTCTTCCATCGAATTCGAAATAGCCTTAATACAAGAGTAACAAATCTCGCCATCGTTATTCTCAAATTGATAACCCCATAAGTGTTGTCCTGAGGGGCGTTTAGAATATTCCAGCCCCCAGAACTTTTAAACGCCCAGCTTCATATGGGTTTTTCTCAGTCCTTTTACGATTTGACACAAGTCGTCACGCAAGCGCCGTAAGCTGAAGTAGCAAGACCCAAGCAACTAGCAAGGGCAATGCTAGCGGGGACAGAGAAAGCACCGCCAGTGCCAGCCGCAGCTCCAAGGGCAGTAGTACTACAAATGCCGTCGGCGCTGGCGTAGGCAACACCGCAAAGACCTTTGCACACGAGGCAAGCGGTCTTGGAGCGCTTGGCGCAAGACAAATCAATAAGCCTACGATGCCTATTATCGCGCTCAGTTAAAGCCCTCCGGGAAGTCGCTTTAACAGATTCACGAGCAGCATTGGATTGGCGCTTGGAAACCTGATGATCCAGGTTTCCTTCAAGTATATGCTTAATGTCCTGGAGGTAGGTCTTCTTTGTCTCTTTATCCCAGGTGAGACCATCAGCGAAGTTCACTCCGAGAGGATGAGTCCAGTCGATAACGTTGATATCGGAGGTATCAGGAGACGCAATTAGCTTAGAGACCTCCTCGGGGCTTACGCCCAAAGCTGGAGCCACATCCTCTGCGACGGTTGCGTGAGCGGTAAATGGCAGGCAGGCGAGGATGGCCGCCGAAAGAAGGTTGATAGAGAAGTTCTTCATTATGAATGTGCTTCAGGAGTAGAGGTAGAGAATGTGAATGTAATGTATGAAACGAGAGTGAGTTGGATTGACTGAAATTTTTTGTAACTGGTGGAGAGAAGCAGTATTCTTATACGCTTCTGCGTTTCCTTCTATTCTAATTGAATCGTTATGGGAGCTTCCAAATATACTTCCCGATTAGATAGTACAATAACCTTCCTACTGAAAAAAATTGTTTTCTCCTTGGACTTTTAGCCTGGACATTTACTGACTTGTATGGCCTTGTCGTATGGTTCGAAGGGCATCAACCCATGCAAAATAACATGAGATAAAGTAACAGAGGTATACATTTGACCAGATGCTCCTGCGCATGCAAATTGATGTGACTGGAGCATGGAAAGCACCATACCCAAAGTCTGCACCTGTTGTGGTTACGTGCTTACCCGAGGCACGTCGCACTACAGTATCACCCTCAGCAGACCTGCTCGTTTAGGCTGCTCTAGCACCTCCTCAACGTATATGTGCAACAAAGTATGCCTTCACCACTCTGCTCTAAGTCGACTCTATGCTAATAGAACTTTCAATTCTTCTGGGTTAACTGATAATACCAGGAAAGTAATGTAATCATGAGCATTCTCATGCGCCGATAAGGCAAACACAACAGTAACAGCGATACATGAGCTAGAGGCAGCTTGAATCTTTACCAATCATTACAAATGCCTTTCATAGTAGGCCTTTTAAGATTCAGCATCCAGCAGCCATTGTAGATTCAACATGAGGGAAAATGCGACGATCCAATTGTGATGTGCGTTTCAAAAAATTATATAATTCATATGACATTTGTCACCAAACCACTGCTATTGAAAGGAACGAGACCTGGTGAGAATCACGTGAGAATATGTGTGACTCGAGCGCGAAAGAAGCCAATTTTCCATCATGAGAGGAGACCCCTTTGGTCACGGAATCTCCTATTCGTGACGAAAAGGTTATGGAAAGCGATATGTGCATAGCGGAAATAGAGCTCAACCAGCCCCTCGCACAGTGACGCATCGGGTATGATGAGATACGAGACACGGCGAGATCGACCCTCATCGGGACGACCGCTGAGGGGCTTATAATGTTGTTTCAGCAAGTAGGTTAGTCCAGCACCGGATTCTGCGACTGCAACACACTCAATACCCCCTTTAATGCAAAAATTGCCACTTAAGCCCGGCCGGGAGCGGTTGCATTTTTTTGGCGATCGCTCCATCGCTACATGTTAGATAGACTTCATCTCGTCATCGTAAGGGGGTTGGAACTGTACTTACTGACAAGCTACACACGCTGATAAGGGTCTCAACTTATGGAGCATCAACTGGTCCAGGGTTGGCAAACAGGTGCGTGAGAAGAGGCTGAACCGTGTCAGGGCCTTTCATTTCACGTGGGGTGATTCGGACTCTCCCTGGGACCCGAGTCCCACACGTATGCAATGTCGGGTCAGGAGGGGCAATTAATACAAAAGTGCCTAGTCAACAAATTGGCGTTTGACTAGAACGTAGCAACTAGTAATCAACAATAGTTATCCAAAATCCGCCCCATGAGTTAGGGTTGATAATCCTCTGATTTAGGGTGAAGAAGCATACTAACGTCGGCTTTTCATTCAAGCTTGCTACTTCTCTATTTTCTATATAACTACTTTCAGAAATGAGTGATGCATCTCTAGATCACTTTCGGAATGTTCTACACCACAAAGAACCCCCTTCTAAACCAGTTTGCTTCATCTATGATTAGACTGGAGAGGAGAAGCACGGGTCATTAAAGCTGCAACCTATAACTTTCAAGACCCCTTTTTTGCTTGGGTAGCCTTTAGATAGTGTGCTACAGTGTTCAAATCCGAACCTCCTCGAAATACCTCGTAGTTTTCGGCTTCGCCTTAGCCTACTGCAACATGCCAATGATAGATCCTGCAAAGTCCCGACCGCTAAGCTGAAGAGTATCTACAACCCCCATCTTGACCCAAGGCCCATCCTGACTGGTCCGATACTGGAACATCCATGCGAGCTCAGTATAGCAGATGCAAAAGTATATATAATCTTCTATCATAAATAGGCGGTTACTTCTATAGAGTATACGCTTGATTTATTACGCGCCTCAAAGTAGGCCTATGCCGTTCTAAAGTCATACCTAATCGTAACAAATAAATGCTTATCTTTATAGACATAAATAGTAGCTTTAAGAGACTTAGTGCTATTAGTGAGAGGGGAAGTTTATAGCATAACAGAGAAGGTTGCACGAGAGAAATCTATCGCTATCCTGCCAAGCTAAGCGTGTCTTTATGGCTTAAAAGGTCTCTAACGCTGGTGAAAATGGTTAAGCCGCTTTCTACAAATATATATCTAATTTTTTTAGTATCTTGAAGGGTAAAAAGTGTTTATTCTTAAAAGAATGCATAGAAGTGCGAGAAGCGGCAAAATCGAAAGCTATCAGATCCTATATTCTAGGCTATTCAATCTCTAGCTAGTTATTACGGTTAGCTATTCGATAGTAGGATCCTCTAAGATAAGGTATAGTAACGAAACTAGTAATAGTAATTTCTTTATAATCAGCGTTTATTCTCATAGATTCTAGAGTTAGAACAAGGTAATCAGTCTTATACTTCTTAATTGTAAGGTTTTCAGTATTTATATTTTTACTAGATTATATAACTAAAAGTTATCAACATAAATTATAAGGTAATTACTAAAGAACTATCTAAGAAGCTAGAAGTATAGTACACCCTTAGGAGTATAAAACGATAGTATTAACACTTACTAAACGTACTAAGCAAGATATATTTACGTAAGCTATATAAAACGTACAATATAGATGTATAAGTACGCGCTTCCTTACGTATATACCCTCTTTCTGAATCAAGTCACTCTTTTACACCTTTTCTAGCCCGACTGCTAAGTGCCTAGTTCATTACATGTTTCATATTCATAAAACATAGTCCGTCAATGGCAACATAAGGTGTTGTTGTGACAACGTGTGTCCCACACACCGTTCGGTTCTTATCTCTGCGCCCATGCCGGAGCCTTCTCTTACAGTTGTTCCCCAGCGTTCGATGCAGAAACCTTATCGCTGCAGTCAAATGGCGGGAGGTCCATGACATAGAGAGCTTTCATATAATCTGTCCCTTCTTCTACTTGGCCGATATTCTCCTGCGCCCGCCAAAAAGGATACCTGGCAGCGTGGGATACTCCCGTACAGGAACTTCAATACTTGGCCTTGCGCTCGGGTCCTCCTCCAACGCCAAGCTCATGACTCATACTGCTTTGTCATAAGAACTGCCTGCCAAACCCGCCCCATCATGAGGGCCGCGGAGGCGCTCGTCTTCAGTCGGTGCCGATTTTGGATTGAACGATACTTCTCTCTGTGATTTCAGGCTTGAACCCTTTTCCAGGTCATAATTTCCCACCCGCAACGAGATCGAGAAGGGACCAACATGTCGTTGAAGCAAGGGTCTAGGCACCCAAATAGCCAGAGCAAGTCTTTCCAAAGTCTCAAGTTGCTCTGGTACTAATTGAGCAAACGGAAAAGAAGAAACAGTATGACATGGTCTTTACTACGGAATGAGGTGTGACTTGGCACGGCACTTATGGCACAATAATCATTTTGGAACTAAGTAAGCTTGCAGTGTATCTTGTTGAAGGTTTAGTTTGAATGTGCGGTCTTCGTGGAAGAGGTGTTGAGATTGGACGGCGAGCGACCGGCGGTTCGGCAGGAAATCGGAAATTCAAAGAATGCCGTTCGCCGAGTGTAAAGATTTCTCGGCCCCACCCAACAACAACAGGGAACACTCGCTGTGCCATTTTACGAACAAGCAACATGTGGGACAAACCTTGAAAGATCTTTTAGTATAGTGCCCCCCTTGTCTGTCTTCTATTGGCTGACGTGACATACGAGGCGGCGTTCGGGGCAATTAACGTAAAGATGTGTTTTAATGTTCCAATCAAAACGCCCATTACAATCTAAGTCAACAAGTAATGCGTAGCATACTCGGTCAAGGACTACATCTAGTCCGAGGCTAATCTTGTTTCGCCAATCATCTACTGCAGTTTGAATGAAGATGTTTGTAATCAGGGGCTTTAAGGGGGCAGGTACGCTTTGTCAAGCAGATGGGCTTACAAAGCGCTGCTTTCCATGCCACTATTCCTTGTCAAAGAATACCAACACCGACGAAGGAGTACCTATAGATCTTCGTCAAAATTAATATATAAAGCCCTTGCTCTCGCTGCCAACTTGAATCTTCTGGAATCTTGGCTTAACTTACACATTAGGCAGAGGCTGCAACAAGTTACTCTATTTATTTACTCCGAAACATCTCAACTTATTAAATCCCTACATCTCATCTTCATTAAAATGGCAGGAAAGAAGATCATCGTCGTTTTCGGTGCCACAGGCGCTCAGGGTGGCGGAGTTGTTAAAACGTTTCTCAACGACCCGGTTTTGAAGTCTGACTGGACTGTGCGTGCTGTGACACGCGATCCGTCAAAGGAGAGCGCCAAAAAGCTCGAGCAGCAAGGGGCCGAAGTTGTCTCAGTAAGTAAATTATGAAAGAATAATGCAGCGGTCAAACTGATATAGAATGTAGGCCAACCTTGACGACAAAGCCTCTCTCTTGAAGGTTTTGAATGGTGCTACCGCAGCTTTCGCAGTTACCAATTACTGGGAGAAAGTCAACATGGAATCTGAAATTCAGCAAGGCAAAAATGTTGTCAACGCAGCGAAGGTTAGTGTGATGCGCTTCCACTCAACTTCATAAAGTACCTACTTAAAATTGCCTAGGAGTCCGACATATCGCACCTCATTTGGAGCTCGTTAACCCATGTCAAGGAGCGTAAGTTTTATACCAAAATCTTCTCATCCATGACATAATCTTGTTTACTAAGTCTCACACAAAACCTCGTGCAGTGACCAATGGAAAGCTCCCACATGTTTACCACTTTGATGGAAAAGCCGAGGTCGAGAAGTACGCCCGCGAAGTTGGAGTCCCAGCCACATTCTTTCTTCCGGGCATTTACATGGACAACATCACGAACCAAATGTTCCGATTCAACCCAGAGCACGACACATGGGTCATGGCGGCGCCCTTGCCTGAAACCGCCCAGATCCCGCTGTTTGACCCCGCCAACACTGGCATCTGGGTGAAGGCCATCATCCGCAAGCGAGACCAACTTCTTGGCAAGCGAGTCTTTGGTGCAACCAAGTACTCCACCCCGACTGAGATCGTCGAAGATTTCAGGCAGACTTTCCCAGAGGCAGGGAAGACAGTGTCCTTCTTCCAGCTTCCCGATGAGATGTTCCGACAAGCGGCAAAGGATGCTATGGGTGTACCCGATTGGCTTGCTCAAGGTATCCTCGAGAACATGAAGGTTATTTACGAAGGAGGCTACTACGGTTTCAAGTCATTGGACGAGAGCCTGGCAATCCTTGAAGACAAGCCGACACAGTGGGTGGACTTCATGAAGAAGTCTCCCGTTTTCGAGGACTTGAAATAGTCTCTTAAATTTTTCATACTCCGAACTGTGTATTTAGTCAACTAGTTATCTACCACAACCTCAACCAGACTTGACTTCACTGCACCACTACCACCAAATGAACGCATAAGACAGACGAGTTAAACAACCCCTCAGTAGTTGTAATAAGGCTAAGTTGGTAATAGCTTTGTCCTGCTAATTGAAGCTGAGGCCAGAAGGCTAATTATCTAGGTTGTATAAGTGTTCGAACCTCACAGCCAATTAGGAAATTGAGGGCTGTATTGTGGTGCCGAGGTAACCTCTTATTCCCATATTTCCGGCATAGACATGTCCTATAGCCGCAAGGTACCCTGTGGGGCCTGTCTGGTTATGATGTGCCAAAGTGTTGTAGGACTAATGCCAGAAAGATCCTTGACCGAGCACGCAACCGCGGCTCCAGTCCTAGATCCCGTAATGGAGCCTCTCCCAATCGCGTCATCACTTCACGACTGTCTTTACGTATTCAAATTCCCGAAAGACTCGTGTTTCTAGCCACTAAGCCCACATCCCGCGGCTAGACAATAGTCTCGATAAGAATTACGGTCGGGAAGAGGAAGACAGGTCGAATTTTGTTCGGCAGTCTGTCTGATATTGGGTAATAGGTCAAAATCATACTTGCTAACAGCCCATTTGGGCTACTATTGGGATCCTAGATTTGCATTAATCTAGAACTTCCAGTGTGATGGCCAGGCTGCGTCTTTATGACCCTGCAAGCAGCACCATAGCTGAAGGACGTTGCGATAGTTAAACACGCACGAGGCACTGTGCCGGTGATCAACTCCTTCGGATGTTGGTTTTCGGGAGCGGAAGCGGAAGCGGAAATTCGCCATGTTGGTGATATCTGTTGTCATCGCCAAACCCTGTCTTGCGGCCTAGTCGGTGCCCTGCTTCGGCGTCGATTGTATCATCTACCCCTCGAATGTGCAAATCGCCATCGGCCCGTAAACCAACACTCACCATTAAGAGGCCCTGAATTGAAAGTCCACAGTCCCATTGTAAACATTCCAGTAGAAGATTCTATTGGGCAATGAGTGTTCACGGGAAAAAGAGGGACCAGTGCGAGTGGAATTTCAATAATCAACTTGGCTGTCCGTCTCTATTCAGCTGAGTTTTAGCCTATCATTGCTCGAAAAGAAATTTGAAGAGGGGTGTCGGAAAGTTGGGCATTGTTAGAAATCATGTATTATGTATATAATCCATGAATCTGCGTGTCTTTCTCCTTTCTCTTGGACGTTGGTCGCATGCACTCAATCCTGGTGTCTCGACGCACTTCGACAACCGCTTTGAAACGCTTTTCGTGCCGCACCCTTTCTTCAGCCTTACCCGCTAGCGTCCCGTCTCTCCCGTGTCTTGGTACTTGGCGATCCGATGGCTTGGCGAAAGCCCTTTGGTGATCGCGCCGCGGCGCCCAGTACCGTGTCGGACGCGCAAAGAGAGCAGATCTCCAATGGAAGTGTGCAGTACATTGGGGAGAAAGGAGGCAATGATGCGCCCCCGACATATCAGGATGCATCCGGAGCGCCCGTCGAGAACAACTCGCCGTTGGGATACTCTGTTGGCCCGGTCACAATTACCTTGTTAAATATTACAATGATGATTGGTGCCGGAATTTATTCTACGCGTGCGTTATCCCCAGAATGTCTGCTTGGATTTCCGGTTAACGTTCTTAGCTGCTTCCATTTTGGTTGGCACTGGCTCTGTTGGTGTCAGCTTCGTATATTGGACTCTCGGTTACTTGGTATGTCACCCATGCACATGATTAAATTTGAACTGGTTTGCCGCAAGATCAAGGGAGGGCATAGCTGACCGGTTATTTAAAAATTTAGCTGTGCATGGCATCTGGAGCCGTTTATCTCGAGTTCACTGCGTACTTTCCTAGTCGATCCGGTTCCGAAGTTGTCTTCCTCGAACAAGCATATCCTCGCCCGATGTGGCTTTTCCCAACAACGTTTGCCGTGCAGAGTGTCATTCTTTCATTCGGCAGTGCCAATGCTACAGGTATGATACCTTTGAGAAGATAACCTGGCATTGAATGAATATCTAATATCCGTAATAGTCATGGCAAACTACTTGATCGCCATCTCGGGCCATTCAGGAACTGATTGGCAAATTAAAGGCACTGCCTTGGCATGCTATTCCCTTGCAACCTTGAGTGAGTCTTGGCCTTCGGCATCTTGAGTATGGCTTTCGAGGCTGACTGGCTACAGCGCTTGTATTCAACACGAAATACGCCTATTGGTTCTCCAATGGTGTTGGTGTTGTCAAGATTTGCACCCTGCTTTTTGTGATCATCACTGGCTTTGTTGTGTTGGGCGGCAACACCAAGGTGGAAAATCCCACAGCCAACTTCAAAGATGCATGGTCAGGTAGTTCATCAGCTACAGCATATGGTTTGACTACCGCATTGTATCGCATCATTTTTTCGTATGGTGGTTACAACAACGCTTTCAATGTTGCGAACGAGGTCAAGGTACGAATGAACGTCTACGCTTTGGAGATGTGCCGGTCTAACATTGAAATCTTAGAACCCCGTTCGATCGCTCAAGATCTATGCCACTGCCGCCTTGACGACCGTCTATGTCCTTTACATGTTCGCCAATGTTGCTTTCTTTGCTGCTGGTAAGTTTTCTCAACCGCCGTACTCAAATGTAACCAGGAGTACTGACAATGGTGGCAGTTCCTAGGGAACAGTTTGAAAATTCCGGACTCACCGTTGCAAGTTTATTCTTTACGGCGGTTTTTGGCAACTCTGGAGCTGTCCGTGGTCTCAACTTTCTCATCGCCCTGGCTTCCTTCGGCAACATGATTGCCGTTATTATTGGTTTGTCTCGCCGTATCAGAGAGTGTGGACGCCAGGGAGTCCTGCCTTGGACTAGATTCTGGGTCTCTACTAAGCCGTTTGGGACACCTCTGGGGCCTTATGCTGTCATTTGGTTTTTGACTGCTCTGATGATCCTTGCTGTTCCTGCCGGAGATGCCTTTACGTTCGGTAAGCACGTCCAAACCAGTATTTCTACTTTAGCAGAGACGTTTTGTGACTAACGGGTAAACAGTAAACGATCTCGGCATCTTTCCTCAAGCTGCCTTCAACCTGGCCATGGCTGTGGGAATTTACGTTGTCCGCTGGCGAAGAAGCAAGCTCAACCTTCCCGAGCCTGAGTTCAAGGCGTGGCACGTCGTCATTATCTTCAACATCTGCATTCAACTCTATCTGCTGATCATGCCTTGGTACCCTCCCGCAGGTGGGCAATATGCCGGTGATGTCAGCTTCTGGTATGCCACTTACGCCGTTACGGGCGTTGGAATGTGAGTAAACACTTTCTTGAGAAATGACACTCTTAGAGACTAATGATGTGACAGCCTTCTTGCTTGCGCGGCTTACTACTGGCTCTGGGCGTCCCTTATTCCCAAGTGGAGGCGCTACAAGTTGCGCCAGGAACTCGTCAGCTTTGAAGATGGTGCTCAAAGCAACCAACTTCGGAAAGTCCCTTACGACCAAGTCGCTGAATGGGACGCCACCCATGACGCATCTGGGCGTTTGATTAGTGCTTCCGGCAGCGATGTTCAGGTCGGGGAAAAGAGCGTGCGAACTTCTTCGGACGGTAGTAACTCAGATGGTGGAAAGCAGGTGTCGAGCACTGTTCAAGAGAGTAGCCGCGTCTGAAGAGGGGATCTCAATTGGTCTCGTATTTTCTGTCGCTCAATTGCGACGGAGGACTCGGCGATGATCATTTTGATTTTTCTCCGAGTCATAGAGAGCTAAAAGGCAATTTAGTATTTGATGAAATCGCATAAACAGTTAAACGCTTGGTTTTTCATGATGTCGAGTGGAAGATATAGGCGAAATGATGTATGAACATAAGTCAGCCGTCCCGTCCTCAGCTCTGAGTGGCATCGAGGAAACTGAGCCCAATTTGGAATAAAGCAACTAAGGCAACTGGCAATACCAATGAACCGGACTAGCTCTGGCAAGAAAGATGTGTAAAAAGGCTCCATCACTTTCTGTGATCTGTTTCCGATTGTCTCTTTAACTTTGATGAACATAGTTGCAGAGGGCGTTAACTGGTAGTTAAGAGCTGGGAGGGTTATATAAGATTGCTGGAGAGAAGGACGTTTACTTAGACACCTCAATTGACACCAATTACCTGCTGAAGGTTCAGATGGTGTGCGAATGACGGACTCACCCTGTGGAAGTCTGAACAGGGATAACAGTCGCGGGATCTTACCGATTCATACCCATGACACCTTCGGGGTTTGCTCCATATCTGAATAGAAGCGTTGATAAGGTTGATCGCAACCAAGGTCCATGTCAAGACCCAATTCAATGACAAAAAAATAGTTGTCACTTTATATCTTCTGACTATATCTTGATTAAGCTAAGATCCAGTCATTATCAATGTCAAAATAGACGATTACGGCTATCTGCTATCTCAAAGTGCGGTGGTAGAGCCTCCGCTTGAGTTGTGGAGCCAACCACGCAATATCGTTGCGGATATCTGTGGTCCGCGTTCAGTAAACTGACGCGAGGAGGCCATACTTCACGCTGATTCGGTAGGAATCTTAATTGCAGGAAGATAATACAATCAGACAGAAGTGTGGCAGGGAGTCGCTTGGCCTTTCTCATATGCTCAAAAAGTACATGGATGAGCATTATCCAGCGTTTGCGAACAGCCACCTTTGATTCGGCAACATGGCGAGGTTCATGATATCAGGATGTATGTGTGTGGAGTAAACAAGGGAGGTTTGCAGCTGCTATAAAGTATGTCGATCATCCGTACGTGACACTGAACCGTCGTTTCGAATCTAGTCAATTTAACAGCTATCCCAGATTTTGGCTTGGGTTTTCAAAGCAAACCTTCCATTTCTCTCGTCATACAACCATCATGTCGGCATCGATTGTCAAAGTTGCTTGTACTCAGGCCGAACCTGCCTGGCTCGACCTAGCGGCCAGCGTTGCAAAGACGTGCAAGCTTATCACAGAGGCCGCCTCCAACGGCGCTCAGCTCATTGCTTTCCCAGAGTGCTGGATCCCCGGTTACCCATGTTGGATCTGGACGCGTCTGGTAGATTTTGATCTCAACGTCCGATACATCAAGAACTCTTTATCTGTCAACTCCCCAGAGATGGCCACTATACAGGCTTGCGCCAAAGAAAACAATATCGCCGTTTCCCTGGGGTTTTCAGAGAACGACAACAACTCCCTCTTCATTGCCCAAGCTCTGATCGGCCAAGACGGCGAGATGAAGATCCACCGCCGCAAGATGAAGCCGACGCACATGGAGAGGACAGTTTTCGGTGATGCGTCGGGCCATTGTCTACAGAGTGTTGCTGAGTTACCCTTTGCACGGGTGGGTTCTCTGGCCTGTTGGGAGCATATCCAACCACTCTTGAAGTACAACACTATTGCTCAGAAGGAAGAGATCCACATTGCTGCATGGCCAAGTGTTACCCCGCACGCAGGTGGTCCCGGCTTGTGGTCAATGAGCTCGGAAGGTTTGTAACAATTCCTGCATCGCGAACTCTCAAGTGACTTTATTCAACGGGACATAGGCTGACCATTCCGATAAGGTTGTCAAACACTTTCCCGAACATATGCAATCGAATCCAACGCATTTGTCCTCCACAGTACTGCACTAATTACAAGTAAGGGCGTCGAAGCACACAACAGTGTCGGCGGTATCATCATGTCATCTCCTGGCGGTGGTACCTCGGCTGTATTCGGCCCAGATGGACGACGACTTACTGAGCCAGTTGATGATACCACTGAGGCAATCATTTATGCTGACCTGGACATGGAAATGATCCATAGAACCAAGATGTTTGCGGATTGTACTGGTCACTATAGCCGGCCAGACCTCTTGAGACTCTTGGTAGATAAGGAAATCAAGTCTCTTGTCACGTCTCAAGGTGAGGTTGAGAAGGGGTCAGTAACTGAGGAAAGTGCGCTTGTACCGTAGTCAGGGTGTGATAGGACGAAACATCTTAAAAGGTGTCAGAATATTAATTGCTGTAAATGACGACAAATTCCCAGCACTCACATGTGTTTGGTGACAAATCCATACGGCTGACTACCTTACCGTAGACAGAAAGGCGTTATCCTTACTATACAAAGAATAACTGTCCCCTAAAAAAGGTCTGCCCATTTCCGTCTCACAGGTTATAATTACTCGAGAGCCAGCTGAAGTCTTCGCAATGTGCTAGTCCTTGGAAAGCTTGGAGGTAGTCAACAGCTGCAACGGGGTTGGTGCGATCCCCGCTGAGGCCTGACATATCAAGTGTTCCTAAAGAGGCGAACGAATTTGCGTCCAAAGTATTCAAGTCCACCCTTGCCTCAGTCGATGCAGCTCCGTATGCATCCCACTCGTAATGAAGGTGAGCCTGATTACTGGCAGCGATTTCCGAGTTCCTCGCCGCCCTGTCTCTCGCAGCGCTTGTACTATAATCCCAGTCCCTGTCTGGTCCAGGAGCTGTAGGCTGAACTTGATAGCTGCACTCTATGGGCAACGCTTTCATAACGCCCCACCGTTCCGCTAAAATTCGGATTACTTCGATGCTTTTCACCGCGCGAAACGGCCAAGCAATTTGCAGTTCTCGAAGAAGCTCTAAGCACTGACGGAGCCAGTATGTGCTTTGGTGGCGGAGGGCTGGTGTAGAACTTGTAGCATTCATTAGGTGCACAATGGCAGCGCTCAGAAGATGGTGGATAATGACGGGGTTGGCTGGAGTCTCAAAGCCGTGTGCCCGTCGATAAGTTCTAACGAGCCGTGACGTTGCAGTTGCAGCAGCAGTCAATGATCGAAGCACAAGCAGCATAAACTCTGGGTTCTGGCCAGTGTTGTTCGTAGATGATGAGTCCTGCGTTATTGCGGCAAATATCCGGAGGAATGGTGGCATTGTTATTAACGTGGTCATTTGATACGCCAGGTGAAAAAGAATGACGGGTTTTGGTGTTGAATCTCCGGTCAGATGAAGCCGGCTGTCACGAGACCTGAAGAAAGCGTTGAGAGCGTCTTGGCTTGCGACCAGAATTCGGACCTGTTGAGGAATCGGGAGTGTCTCGAAAGTTGGGGTAAACCTTATTTGAAATCTCTTAGACCTTTCCAACAACCACGCCATATTAGCACAAGAGGAGACTTACACTTGATCCATGTATTGGTCATGAATATACCATAGCTTGCATTGCCATGCAAAAGATATTTGGGCAAGGTCTGCTTGCGAGTTCTCAAAAGTTGTGTCGAATCCTGGAACATTTACTCTCCGCCATGGCAAAGCACAGTTACGGCCCAGAATCGAAATGGCGGTTCGATCAATTATATAAAACATCCAGAAGGTCCTGATGTCTTGCTCGCTTGCCTCAAGCTGCCTTGCCTCGCACTCATCTAAGGCTAACACGTGTAGCCTTAGATGCACACACATACCCGCAGCCATAGAGATGAACATCCATCCAAAGTGGTCTCGACCTAGAGCCAGAGACCGCCAGGACATCATGGAAAGCCCCTGGATAACTTTGACCGTGGGGTTTTGTCGACAGCATGCAAAGACCAGGCTTTCCGCAAACTGGCCAAACGCATCGCCAATGCTCATGGCGTCCGGTCTGAGTGAGAAGGTTGTTCCTGTGGCAATGATTGCACTGTGCAGGAAAGCCTCATCAGGAGCTTGATAAGGATAGCCCTGAAGAAAGTCTGTGCCTATGTATGGTGTAAACTGATGCTCCTTGTTAATATTCTTCAAGAAGGTATTGGCCATCTCATGAATGAGGTCTTTTTGCCGGCAATAGACAAGAATATTCTCTGGGGGGTTGAACTGTGTAGCTGAAGGAAGCTCTCGAGTAGCCTCCAGTGAGTAGTGAGATCCAGTGGTTGGGTCATCGATGATGGTTACACCGTCGCCAACATTTGTCCTCCATAACATTACGCATAATTCTTCCATTGCTTTTTGAGACCTCTCCTGACCCTCTGAATCTCTGCCAGGGCTTAGGAGGTCGCCGGACTCGCTTCGGAACTCTGCGATATGGCCTTCTTCATTGACGACATCGCCAAGACCAGCTAAGTCGGTGGTGTCGAGGCTTTCACGGAGGGCCTCAGACTCCGCACGCTGTGATGCATGGTCACTCGAAGAAAGTGGTGGCGACTGCTCCTTCCCAGGGGTCTGCTGCTGCTTCTCTAAAGCCAAGAGAAGCGATTGTACTTGGGCTTCAAGAGCTCTAACATAATCTTCGTCCCAGTACTTACGTCTATAGATGCTTTGTCAGCCAATGCTCTAATTTTACGTCTCTTATTCAACTGATCGTAATGTGGAAGGGAACGTACTTCCTTGGCTTCTGCTCTGTATAGACACATTCTCTATTCTGTCTACTGCATAGCGAACATGCAGGTCGGGCTGCATCACACTGCCGAGAGAATATGTTTAGTCACGGTAGTTGAGAGAACTAGCAGGGAACACGCCCCCGATGGGGTTTAGGGAGGAGTAGAGGCAGTCTTTGGCGAGTTGTCCCGGAATGAAGGAATGGAGGGACGGAGGGACCTACTTTTCGCTTCCCCGCCCTGCACCGGTCGCAAGCGAAACTTGTTGGTTTCTGGGACATGGCTAGGAAGAATCTTTGGCACACTTGAACCCAGCACAGGAAGCTTTCCGACACCCCGCGTCGAGAGAGGACTGGTGACAACGCAGCGGCAGGTCACTCCTTTCGGCAAAAAGCTGCTTACTTCATTCGCTGATTGCCGCCGTTGTGTCTGCAGGGCAGTTAAGACTCCTGGCAGGATTGGGAGGGCTTGAGGGCTTGGTTCATCGATATCACTCCGCCATAAGCACGGTGGACGTCTCCCGTCGCGAGGATGTTTTTGGTGGTTGCGGGGTGGAGACCTCCGCAGGGCAAGCAGTTTAATTAAGTAGGGATGTGGAGGTGACGTGACATAAGGAGTGAGACATCAATCTCTGAGTGCAGGGGCTGACTTTCTTATATGGTTGGCTGTTGGGACACCCCCTCAGATCTAGCCCAATGCAGTGGTATAGTGGCCGAGTGCGTTCAGTTTGATCAGCCCGTGAGCTCTTTGGCTCTATCGCCCCCTTTTTATTCGATCGTTTCTGTTTAACCATGAGAAAGGCTAAGAAACCCCTCAAAAGGGGCCAGAGTGAGAGAGTCATGAATACAGGGCCCGCCCCTCTTCGGCTACAGTTTTTAACATCGTAATTAGATGCTCCGTAAAAGAAGAAAACCAGCTGGGGCGAATGAGATGCTGTCAAAACTTTAAGTGACGGCGCCATTGGAACTCTTTTGGCTTTGGCACTCTGACAGCTCTTGACATATACCTCAGAGCAGCACAGACATGCTCAAGCACTTTTTAACTTCTCATGTCCTGCCACATTCGATGGGATGTTTGCATAACTTTCAAAATCAAAGATCAGATCAAGACGGCAGTGAATGGGGGGAAAGAAAAAGGAATAGCACTGCCTGAGATGAACCAAGTGTACTCTTTTTACCCTCCTGCTTACCTATGCTTTCCGTTAGTAAAGGTTAGCTTCTCCATCAGCGAAGGCAAGAAAACAATCACTTGTTCTTGGCCTAACACCTGCATCGTACGGCGAGGTTTCGCTTTCTGAGGTTTCTGGAGAACCGAGGCAGCGTCATGATAGAGTATTTTTACGATTATAGATGAACAGGAGTACTAAGGATACTTCGCTTCAATCAGTGCGGACTCAATTTGACAAATTTTGGTCAAGCCCTCACAGCTTTCATGAATAGCGTTCAAGATAGCGGCCTCTCTCAAATAGCAATCGAACTGTAAAAGACCACAAGTGGGTCAACGGGCATCACGCTCCTCGAACTCAAACAGTATGTGAAACTTCGAGAGTTAGTAATGAACGCGTTATAGGTTAACTCTCGAAAGCTAAATATAAAGTGGTAACTATCTAAACGCAACACTATTACTCAGACCCCACTATATAGCTAAAATTCAAAAGCTAGATCTGGGCTTATGAATGACATAGGAAAGTCTTCAGCGTTTACAGTTTCGAAACCCATATCTATAGAGCTCTCTCTCGGAATACAGTCCCAGTCCTGCGTTGTGAAGCTTGGCCAATGGCTCTGGTTCATGGAAGTATCCCCAGCATGCGGATTAGGGACTCCGAGAGCCTGGTTACCTTCATAGGATCTAGCAGGCCCATCTTGCAAAAGTGCATGAGGCCCTAGGAAAGCCTGGGAATTTTAGCCAATAAGTCGAGCATTTTTTTACGGAAACTGACCTCTTGAGGAATGCTTGATAAAAAGCCTAGTTCTTGCTTAGGTGCAATAAATCTTCCAGTAATGGTCTTAATTGAAGTGTAAGTATTAGAATATCTATATGGAGCCAATGAGCGGGCGTACTGAAGAAGAAGGTTTTAAGCCCGTCGGCTTATTATTCGATATTGCGTCTGCTTCTGGCGGAGAAGTTTGTGGAGTGACTATAATAACTGGCGACACACCATCATCCGATGCGGTGCTATTGATGTCATGCACTGCCGAACCAACACATCGACCTTTTGGCATAGGGTTATAGCTTGGGTTTAGAGGCATATGATGACACTCTGTTAACTCGTAACGGTCATAGACGGCATACTTGGAGCCCTTGAGAAGAGTTCTTGTCCTTTTATGTATGATTTCTTTGAGCGAATGCAAAGTGGTAGTGCTCATCTGACCCTGCCAAGAGAGATCGAGATGTTTGCTTAAGAAACCTGTAATGTCTTGGGCTGTTTCCACAACGAATTCGTTGCATCCTTCATCTGCTACATCGTGGTGCTCGATCAAAGGCTCGAAGTCTGTGGCCATGATGTTAGTGTATTTCTATGCATCAAAAACAGTGTCACATACGAGGGGATGGCACCACTTCATCCTCTGGAAAAATTAAATGCCACAACTCAGACCACTTTTTGATTTTGGAGCCAGCAGTTCTGCTTTTCAAAATATCATCTACACGTTTGCTTACACCGGCTTCTGGGTCTTGTCGGTGGAGATATGTCTCCATCTGCTGATTGCGAAGGCAAACGTTAGGTGGATGATCTTCACCGGCTGTTCGCGGTTGCTGACAATACTGACAAGACCCATTACCGTGCTGCAGACTAACATGTCTCCTGCACAAGTGTGTCGAGTCAGTTCAGATTCAACGAGGGGTCGTAAATGACAATAGGACAGGACGTCAAGGATAGGAGTGTTTCAAGACATGTATAATTCTCAAAAGAAATCTTTATACGGAAATGATGGCAAGGAATTGTATACTCACTTCAAACTTGTCATGTCCCGGAAGGATAAATTCGCGCAAGCGTCAAAGTCCCGAACGTTGAATCTCCTGGGATTACGTTTTCGAAAGGGACAGCTGAATTCTTCTGGACACCCGATCCTTCGCCTCTTGTTGCGTTCTCGCTTTGTAGGGCCCTGTCCTCGACCAGGGCTGTTGCCGACGTCGTCAAAGTCATCATCTCCTCCCTGGTCTCCGGCTGGTCGCTTCTTTGCTCTTGTCTCAATAGGTTGAGCTTGGTTTGAAGTCTCGCCACAGGCAGAATTGCCAGAATTAATTTCGCCTTCTTCGACATCATAGCAGGAGAAGCCATCGTCATCCCAGTCGATAGCTGAAAAAGACTCGTCTTCCTCAAGAATTCCGGCACATTGTTCTTTGAACCCAGCGAACGCCTCAATTACTCGAGCGGGACGACTAAGCCGGTCAAGGCAAACCCCAAAACACCGAGATAATGCAATGCTGGCGGCTTTCTCAAGATCAAGATAAGAGTGAGCCATATCAGAGTCCGAGTCAGATTCTTGAAAGCCTACCGGTGCCTCAGTCTTAGTATCGATATCAGCTGTGAGAGAAGATAGTTCGGTAGCTTCATCCCGATCACTGGGAACATGGCGTCCCGACAAGTCGGTATTCCGCACAAGAATCGGTAAGTCTGCTACGAACTTATCTGAGGGTAATGCCTTGACACAGTCTCCTATCCCAGCAAGATCAAGCTCCATGGCTTGATGCGGTGCAGAGGTCATGCGCGTGGGGCTTTGAGCTCGCGATATAGTTGGAGTGGTTGCCGATGGAGAATACATGTGGAAGTCCAAATTAGGGGCTGAAAAGGTTGCAGAATGAGCTTTGGAATATGAAGTTGAAATAGTGCCCACTGAATGATTGTCGTCTACATGAGGATGATTTCGTTTTGGATACCCAGTCTTTATTGTTTTCCGAGGACAATTAGGCTCCGGTAATGCCTGTGGACTTCTACTGAAGTCCACTCGATCGGTAGTCGCCTTGTTGTGTTGCATGTTGTTTTGTTTTTGCGAACCAATGTTACCACAAGAAAACAATGATTGGAACCTTGTGTAATGATTTTTGCGTAATCGAGTAATTTAAGCCGTTGTAAGAATGACTTGTAAGAAAGATCAGTTCGGTTGGCGACAAAGCATTCGATCGGAACAAGACTAAGGGGCGGCGGCTCGTGCCATTCTATCAGGCTGCTCTGACAGGGGAGCGGCTAAAGAGCTGGGATTGGGCCATTTTCATTCTCATAAGTTTGAAATTCATTTTCAATCTACTTGAGCCCACCAACAACAGCCTCGTGCCGCAGCAAAATGCGGAACAGCTGGTAAGCGAGCCTGTAAGATATCAGCAACAGAACATGACAGTAGTGTAACTTGGCGTGGCACAGTAGCAAATCTCATGATATCATTGGCTTGTAGAATCTCAGTCCAGTCAACTTGGTATGAACACGTCTGATTGGGTCGGACTTAACCGATAAACCCAGGTATCTCTGTTACACAGCCCGGACGAGGCGTTCTCGGTGAGTAGCTGAGTGCGACAGAGCGTGGCAGTGTGTTAGCGGTTGCCTTGATGCCTTTATACGATGTGAAGCCTGGGGGGTTTGTCAAGTTTTGGATGTACATATGATCTTACCAGGAAGTGCTGCAAGGTGCTATTTTTGCCAAGCCCAGGAGTACCACCAACGGCCACATTTGCTTCGTAGACGAACCGATACATAAAGGGTACGTTATCTTTCATACTCTGGTTCTGACTGTTGTGATGTAGCATTATGTAACGGTTGAGATAGCTACTACCATCAATCTCAGCATTCGTTTTAAAAAGACTTGTGAGCCCATGAGCCATGATCGGCTTTACCCTACCTTGGCAAAAATATCGCCTTCCAACACGCAACTGCATATTTTTGTTTTTAAGCCGTTAAGAACTGGTGCCGTCATCGTGCCGAAGAGCTGTGATTGCATGGCCTTCGCTTGCTGCTGAGGCCCATGTCACATTATCTCCGAGTAAGGGTGTTCGACGAACCGTCAAAGACGTAAACCTGAGCCTGATTGGTTCGACGAACCGTCGAAGATGTAAATCTGAGCCCGATTGGTTGTGTCAAGTTGAATTTCATGAAATCAAAAATCAATTTTGTACATTTTGCAAACTCGTTCAAGCGATTCTCAGAATGATCATATTATACCTGCAGACCACGGCTCGTGGATCTGAGTTTGAAAACGATCTCACTCATTGGAAAACTTCGTCTTAATGTTCTCAAATGCCAATTTTGTGGCATATAAGCTAGGTACACAATTCTAGAGTGATGAATTTCTCGTCCATTAGTTTGTTTTCTTTTGATGCAATTATTCTCTTCCGCTGGTCGCAAGCTGCTCAATCATCCCCTAAGTTATTTCGCCCAAATTAATTGCATCGGCGACTCAGCCCAACAGCCCCAGTTATGTCCACCTCAATGTTCCAAAGCCGGTACGGTTGACTATTTTCTTTTAAAGAGCTTTTTAAAAGATCCATTCAATTAACTAGAAATGTCTAGCACCACGCCGAATAAGCCCCAAAATTATCTCGTCACAAAGCACCTTAACGACCGCAACACGTTGCAGGATCGTCTCATCCTAAGAGGCAATGGTGAGCTTGTGGGCGTCAAAGTGTCTCACCAAATAAGTCAAGCTGTTGCAGCGATTGATATGCAACTGTGGAGCAGTGTGAAACCAGTCAATGCAAGCCCATCTTGACAAGGCACATGAGCTCAATGGATTTGGATAAGCGATGGAAGGCTAGGTCTTAAGCGAAAAGGATAAACATGAGCATGAAACAACCAAGTTTCTTTCTTCGTGAATTGGCACCATCAGACGAAGCCATGACCTTCGCAAGATAGCCAAAGGACAGCTGTGAAATTTCTTGGGCAGTCATATTTAAATAATACAGGCTTTTGATTGAGATAAGTGCTACGATTAGCTATGGTGAATAGGAGGCTTCTGTTCAAACCGTTACCCTAGGCAGGGCACGACTAGAGCAAGATGGGTCTATAGGACATATCTCCCACCAAGTGCTGCTTGGTTTCACTTTTGCCATGCTCTTAAGCAGCTCTTTTTATCCGGCACTTTGTCAAAATTTCAGCTAGGGTTACGACCAGCTAATCAGTGTAAGAGTTTGGTAGCATAAGTTAACGATAGCAACTCCCTAGGCAGGTAGTACTAATCTATATAGCGAGACAGTGCATATGGAGGTGGCTAAAGAAGGACCACACTCAAATCGCCGGGTCGGCTTTCTTGCTTGTGGACTTGAAGAATTGCGGGTAGGCATTTCGCAATTCTTTCAAATGACGAATCTGGTAAGTTGATGCTTTGGTTTCGGGAACTGGTAGGTCTTCTTCAACCAAGTGGGCTGCTGTCCAGCCAAGCTCTTCCGCGCTCTTGCAATTGGCGTATGAGTCATCTAACAACTGAGTCAGAATCTTCACAATCTTCCGCACATAAAAGAAGAAAAGAAAGAGGAAAAGAAAAATGTGGAAGAGCTTTGTATGACTTACCTACAAAATAACATTTGTTTGGATCATCAATGCCCGCTTCGCGCATGGCCTTCCGAAACTTGTCCTTTGCAGGTTTGCAGAGAAATGGCACTTGAGCGTAGTCGCAGTAGGTTAGACCCTCAAAGAGGTCATCGATGCCCAAAAGCCTCACAACGCGCTTCCCGTGATTGACGTAGGCGTTTGTGAAGAGCCAAAGTCTGACCTTGTCCCTATCAATGTCCTCCAAAAGCGCCCGGAGCTCCGTGTCTGGCTTGAGAATATCCTCGAGAGGCAGGGCATCATCCACCTTGGAATTAAAGTCAAGGGGGTCCATCTGATGGTGTCGGACCAGGCCTTCTATGGCGAGACCATACTTTGTGTAGTATTCATGCGTCAATCTTTTGGCCTCTTCGGCGGGCAGGGACAGATGTGTGATGAAGTACTGATCAATGAGGTCGGCCATGAGATGGTGAATCTTGTGGCCTATGAAGAACTGAGTGAGTTATTCCAATGCAGGCTGTCATGCGGTACTTACTGCGAGAGTAGAGGCAGTTGTCGATGTCACTGTGGTCATCAATATTAGTCCTTGGTCTACTTGTTTTGCCATACTAGCAGGTGGCGGAGTTTCTTCATCTTACAAGAACAAGACCGGCTTAGCAGCCGGTGCACCGTTTGATAGTGGCTCTCCCATGATGTACTAATGAGACTTTTCCACGTGGAATTATGCTAAGTGAGTTACTAAAAAGACCTATGAGCCTGCTGGGTTGCTGCTAAGGAAGTTCGTGTTGCGGATAGAATGCGGTGCGGTGTGTGAAAGTTTGTAGTTTCAGAGCACTTCATTGCTTTAAATAATTTGTGGTCCACCGATCCGGCCTAGTCCCAGTGACAATTACGCCCATAGAAGCTCGGTGAATCACGACTGGAGCTCAGTGGAACCTGGAACCTGGGGTCTACAGTTGACCCACTAAGTCGATCCCACTAAGGACTTCACGGCTGTCTTGAGCACTTTGAGATTGGCCTTAGACATGTTTGTCAACCGCCGTGAATTGAACTAACTCTGAGCTTCTTATTCAATGCCTATGTGTCAGTTGCTCTTCACGTTGTTCAGTTCATATTTGACTTTACAAGCTCAATTTTTTCTTACTGTTAACTCACTAGTTTTTCTTCCTGACGTCATACCGAGTGCATAGACCACGTCACTGTGAGATCCTCTCGGGCTCAAGGGTGCTTCTGATCTTATTGTGAGGGGAGCTGTGAGAAGGCATCAAATCCTTGGCTACCTTTTATACTAAGAAATTTTCATGTTCGGACGAACAGTTGATTTCAATTTAAGAAGCCTTCAATTGAGATTTGGGAGCACGTGGCAAACTCATAATCACACATGTTTGAGACTGGCCAAATGCATACTAAGACTCTTCGTCTACGATAATTATCCGAGGTAGACACAACCTCACAAAATACTACTTAAAAATCATCCATTTTCACAGTGATTGAAGGTCAAAAGACATAGGTAGTGTAAACTTTTGATAATGAGCCAGCCGACAGACCAGCAAGAGCTTTTCGTAAAAACGCCCTTTACCGCGTTCGCTCAGTGAAATATCATCGGAAGCCATTGCGATTTATTTACAAGGAAAAAAAAAGGAAAAAACATGTACAGCAGAATGTCCAAGAAGACTATGCATGGGGTGTTCCTGAAGCGTTCCAACCACTGTCAAACAAAGGGGGTAAGATACTCCCGAAACACCACGTCCACCACAAGTGAGATTCAATGACCAAGAAAGAGTCTCAGTGCCTAAGCAGCAGGGCACTCATCGTCGTCATCGTTGGACTCGTCACCAACGGCCTCATCGCCAGCAACGCACTGGTGGTAGTACTCGTTCCACTGCTTGCAGACCAGACCGCTCTGGCACTTGGTGGCACCAGAGTAGCTGAGGCCACCGCATTGGTGGTAGAGGGCTACCGCTTCTCCGCCGGCCGGTTGAGACGCAATCGGTGCGGCGACAGAAGAGGAGCTGGCGACGGGAACGGCGGCGGCGGCGGAGGAAGACGCGATCGGTACGGGTTCAACGGATGGGACAGCGGGAGCGGAAGATGCGGCGGAGGTGGCGGAGGCCACGGGCGTCGACGTCTGGCTCGTTACTGCATCAGATGGAACGTTAGCAATGGTTGAGGAGGATGCTGGTGACTGCTGGACACTGGTGGGCGCGACTGAAGAAGGTGCGGCGGTCTCTGCATGTGGCTTGGTGACGACTGGAGCAGCGGAGCTGGGCTGTGCTTGGGAGGAAGAAGGGTTCGCAACCGGGGCGTTAGCCTCATCTGAGACATCGTTACTCACAGCAGAACCGGTGCCGGCACTGTTGAAGGTTGAGCCGATGGGGCCAACCTTGATGTTAGAGAAGATGACGTTAGAGTTGGGAGCCTGGGACTCGACATCGGCGGGGACGCCAGAGTCCTTGCCGCAGGTGCCACGGGCAACACCAGGGCCGGTCTTGTCAGTAGGGTAAGAGGAGTCGAGCCAGAGCATGTTGGAGTGGTGCTTTACGAGGGGCGAATATGTTAGTCAATTCTCTCCATGTGTGGAAGAGGAAAAGGGGGGATTTTTTAACTCACGTCATCCCAGTTGGACATAACCAGAACCATACCCTCCTCAACAGCCTTACCCATCTGAGCGAGACCGCCCTTCTTGGTGAAAACGTCGTCGTCGCCAAAGGCCTTCTTCTGAGCGGTGCAGAATTCCGTGTTGACGGAGTTACCCTCGACGCCAGCAACGTCAGACTTGGAGTTGACAAAGACCTTGCCGTCCTGGACGTAGAAACGCTTGATGTCGGAGAGAGCACCGCCAGACTCAATGAACTGGGTAACGACGGTGATCTTCTTGGAGGTGTCGATGGTGAACTGGGAGCCCTTGCCGTAGAAGGTGGTGTTGCCCATGCGGTAGCTGTTGAAGTCGCAGCCGTCGGGATCGCAAGTGCCAGCATAGCGGGTGGCGCTGTAGGTGCCTCCGCAAGCGTCGCCGGAGCAGCTCTTCTGGCCGATCTCCTCGCAGGGGTGAGGGGTGTAGGCGGTGGAGACGGAGTTGGCCTCCCAGATGTCCATCTCGGAGCAGCAAGAGCCCATGTTACCGACACCAGAGTTGACATCGTTGGAGGACGGGACCCAGCCCTCGATGTTGGCCTTGCCGTCGATGAACTTGAGGTCACGAGGGCACTGGCTGTCGCAGTAACCAGTGCCGTACTTGGCACCGGCCTTGTTGCCGGGGTACTTGCTGGCACCACCATCGGCATCCATGGAGACGAAGTAGAGGGCGCCGTTCAGGCCGCACTGTACTGTGAATTAGCTTTTTTTTTTCTTTCTTTTTTTCCCCTGCATTATAAGCGGTGAGGTTTATAATGACTTACACCCATGTTGGAGACGTCAACGTCAAAGGTGAACTCCTTTCCAAGGAGCTTGAACATCTCGTACTTCTCACCAGAAGCGTCCATAAGGAACATACGGGAACCGATGTTCTTGCTGTAAGGGCCCTGAGTGACGAACTTGAGGTTGAGGGCGTCACCGGAGGTGGTGGCGCCGTAGGTGCCGGAGTAGTCGGCTCCATCAAGGCAGCACTTGGAGGCGCAGTCCTCGCCGGTGCCGCTGCAGATGGAAGTGTCCCACTTGTTGCCGGAGTAGCAGTTGGTGCTGGAGCTGACCTGGTGAGTCCAGCGCCAGTTGGCGTCGACGGTGACGGCTCCGTTGACCTTGGTGCAGGTGCCACCGGCCTCGCAGTTGGACCAGGTGAGGGCGGGCTTGTTCTCGGCGTTCAGCGTGCAGGCCTGCTGCGCGCGAACTGCAGCCACTAGGGCGGCGATGGCGGAAACCTTGGTCAACATGGTGAAGAATGTTTTCGGTCGGTAAAGACGGGACGATGATGAAAACTTGGAAAAAGAAAAAGAATGTAAATTGTTCAGATGGTCTGAAGGAAAACAAAAGAGTGAATGGCGATGCCAGAAAAGAATGTCACAAGTGGCTTGGGATGAGAAAAGAGACGGACTCCAAGTGAGGGGGATGCCCTCGGCCAACTTATATAGACTCTCGTGAACTGTTTCGAAGTAGCATTCAAGGTTAAACTAATATGCCATGATCCTGTTGAGCCCCTCACTTTGTCTCTATCTCTTGTTCCGTCAGCCACTAATCTCCGGCAAGGGGCCTCCAGGTGAGTCGTGATGCTTTCAATTGGGAACACTCATACGGGGGGCTCTGATCCATTCGAGAGGCAGCAATGCTGTGGGACCTGGTTATCGAAAAGATCGGATTCCATCCCGTTTTTCCATCAAGGTCACTAGATTGGACGAACATGGTCAGAGTGCATTTTCTTTGGAAGCGGCATGCTCTCGGCAAATGCTTGTCATGAGCGCAACAACCTTGGCATTGTCACTATGTCTGACGGTAGACCGGCGGCATCAGGTTGATTAATTAACCAAAGGACCAGCGTCCTGGTGACGCGGGGTATGAGGTGGTATGAGCGAGTTGGGAGAAGCACATGTTGCCGTAACCCGGCGTGAAGTGACATCGCGCGCGCACTCCGCAAAAGCCAAGTTGGGGGTCCCTGCAAGGAACACCCGAGCGGAAGAACTCTCACCGGGCCTCCGCTCGCAAGGTCGTCCCCCTTGGTCATTGGACGTGCAATATCTATCCCCCCCCTGTCCGAATCCGGAGACCGCGGCACTCGCAGAAGCGTTAACAAACATGAAGATGCGGATGAGACGGCTTTTCATAGGGTCAACCTCACTAAGCCCACCTTACATGCGGCAATGGTCCAGTATACTAGCAATATATGTCGTCAGGCGGAAACATACCATTACACAAACCGAAAGGATTTTCTACAAAATTCAGCATGACCTCGTACCGAGATTAATCACCGCTATGATGAACAGTTGATGTAGTCTTCTAATATGCCTCATTCTCTCTCACAATGTACTCGGCCCACCGTGGTGCACAGTGGTGCCACAGCACAAACGTGGGGTGTTCTGGGGGTGCTGATTTGGACGTTTCCGGCTTCACCGCACCACTTACGGACACAACATCTTCTACTATGTACTATTAATCAATGATTTTCCTCCTTTTCATATATGCATCCGGCCCAAAAAATATTAAACTTTAACCTCAAACTACGCAGCGTGGAAAAACCAAGTTAGATTTTTCTGTTCCATCTATTTCATTCCTCGAATTTTACCCCTTTGTATAATTTACTTTTTTGGGCCTTTTCCCCAAACTAGGAGATGCCTGTTGGTCTCCGACCTACGAGGAGGCAGAGCGTCGTCCGAGTGGGGCCGTGGGTCGACGGAGCATCCCACGGAATGACGGTCCGAGGAGTCCAATCCACCTATCGATGCCATTAAGCCGAACGGTCGTTGATGATTTCTCCCCGATCTTGTTATACTGTTGAGGCTCGGAATAATTGAGGCACTTACGTGTTTAATGCTACATTGCATCTCCATAACTGAGCCATCTATCTGCCGGCAAGTTTCCCCTTGAGGATGTTAAATCCGGTACAGATTTGTTATCACGGAGCGCGAGGTACCGTCGTCTATGAACGTCAATGATCGCCCAGAGTGTGCCTTGCACTGTTAAATGCTTGCATTTCTTGGAATTCGAGTCAAGCTTTGCGGCTATCTTGGCGGTAATTGGCTCCCAGGTCGACAATCATGCCCGAATTTGAATCGTAATGCGTCCCTCTCGGAGATGAAGCCGTGATGTTTTTGCATCACTATCAATCGGTGCAAATGCTCAAAATATTTTTTTCTGGCCTATCTTTCCACCTGTGCCCTTGATATATGGTTAAATTATCAGGGTCTCTGGAACAGGGCACGCTAATGCAACAGAAAACGGTGAGTAAGGGTGTGAGCATGTTTTCAAAGTTTATACATGTCCCACACTGGCGTGCCGTGACTCCGACTATCGTCAATAATTGAGTGGAGAGCCACATTTCCTAAGCGGAAACAGCCGCGCCGGCTCAAGTTTATAAAGTGCTTAGAAGAAGCGTAAATGATGTAAAAGTCGCACCAAACCGGAAAGACCTGGTGCGGCGGCGAAGCACGTTGCGCTAGGTGCCGTTGTCGTGCCGAAAGGAGAGAGAAACTTTCTGACCATGAAGCTAAATATACTCGCCACGCGAGCTGCACACTTGAAATGGATGCATGCCTTGGTTGTACTACATCCTCCGAGTATGTGCGTCGACAGAAAGCGAAAGTCTCGGGGCCGGGAATATGCTACGAGAATAAGAGCCTGTACACACACACACACACACACACATGCCTTCCGTTTGTCAGTTTGTTGTCAGACTGCAGACATAAAGCCTAAACTGATGCGTGTTTCTGTTTCGTACCTTAATCATTGGCCATGCGAAGTTGGAGAGTAAAAAAGTCCGAAACGAAAGAGTTGCAGGATGCAGCCACAGAACGGATGACGCTGCTGATGTCAGACCTGCGGGTGTTGTGGTGTCCTTGCTGATTTAGCAATAACCTTGACTCACATGACTTTTGGGGCATCCACAATGTTCACTCTGTCGATCCGGCGTGTCGAAATAGGGCGTCAGCTTCCACGCCAGGTCCCCCACGTCTGTCGTCGAAACACTTGAAACTTTGAACTGCACATAGAACGCCGAGACATGCCCGACCAACGACCCATTGTTCGAGAAGGCATAACCGGATGAGGCTCTGGCGAGATTTCCCAGGCAATGCGAGTTGAGTAGCAATAGAAGTAGTCGATATGAATGAGTGTGGTTTTGGTGAAAGAGACTGTGGCGTTCGTTATGGTTGCTTGTTAAGGTTGAAGTGGGGTAATGACTTTAACCTTTTGCCATCTGCAAGGTACGAAGAAACTCACATGATAATCGTGGGGGCCTTTTTATTTCACTTTCCCCTTGCACTATTAACAGTAATCAACCTAAAAGGTTGTCCAAAGACTCTTTATTCAGGCAACTTTGATAAAAAGGTTAAACAGCCGCTGGATGCCCCCCCTCAACCTAGGGATGGCAGTCATGGCGTCGCCAGCTGAATCCAATCAGCTCATGCAGGCGTGGATCTTGACGCAGACTTGCAGTTGAAGTATAGTAATCCGAATGAAGCATGGTGCCCACCTGTAAGGCTTAGCACCACTGGGCGTCGACGTGATGAAAAGACAGAGTACAAGAGTTGTGTGCACTCCATCAATTTAAGGCTCTTGAAATGCATATGTTTCTTGAAGATCAATCAAAGCTCATACAAGTTTAATCCCCCCTTCGCTTCGCCAAGCCAGAAGAACACCACCAAATTTACTGTGGGGTGCCTCGGGCATTCCTAACCATGCATGCAATCGGTTCTCTCTTTCAAAACTTCTTTAGACCTTTTCACTCATACCAGTTTGGCTGCGGTAGTTGTGCCTCGCCGACCATGTAAGCGTTGACAGTCAACTGCCGAGGCGGGATAGCAAGATTCTTGATTCTTCCTACGCCCCACGCAGCCGGCATGAGTCTTCTGGGGGGGGCGGAATCGTGCCTTTGTGCGGCTCATCGTACGACGTGTCTCCCCTTATCCGTTTGATATCTTCTATTCTAGAATCCGTGCGTTTCAGCACGGGACTCGTCTAATACTACCACGGGCTAATGGAGAGAATGGCTCATAGGAGGAAAAAACCAACGACTCCACCACCAGGTTTCAAAGTGTCGGACAACGCGAAATGCTCTCTTTAGGCAATAATTCGGCTGTAGTTGTGTGTGTGTGTGTGTGTGTGTGTGTGTGCGTATGTCCGGATTCCTCAGCGAATCTCGGCATCCCGTCAAGATCCGGCAAACCGTGCTCACTTTCTTTTCCGCCCTTTTTCGTCTTACACTTGTCATGCAATCACGTCACGCATTTTGTGAGCTCCGTTGAACAGGACTCACTCTCATCTCGTCTCATCTCATCTGATCTTCACCATTTTTGGCTAATTCTCCCAGGTTGGGCACAACGCAGACTTGACATCAAATCATTGCTATGAATTTTTTTTATAATAATTTTACACACAATAAAGTTGAAAAAAATAGAGAAAAGACGTGTAACGTTACCGCTCCACAAGCAAGAATGCTTTCCTTCGATAACTTTAAATCCCGGGGGTTGTTTTTGAGTCTGTGTGCATCAGAGGGGGAGGAAAAAAAAAGGTTTTGATTAAGGGAACCACAACCAACGTTAACACGGGGAGACAGAGAGATAGAGGAAGCACGCTTTAGAAGCCGTAGTTTCTCATTAACGCGGGGGCAGTCTTTTTCTTTTTTCATGGGGCGACCTCGGGCTGGAAATCGGCTCCGGGCACAATGTAGCGCTTGGCCCATCTGAGAGCGCTTCCCTCCTCACGCTTTGCCGCGCGTTTGCCACCCTGGCGACCGTTGCGGTTGGCCTTGCCTCTCTGGCGACCATTACCAGCGTTTGCGTTGCCGTTGTTGTTGTTATTGTTTCCAGTATTGGCGTTGTTGTTGTTGTTGTTTCCGTTGTTGGCATTGTTGTTGTTATTGTTGTTACCAGTGTTGTTGTTGTTGTTGCCAGTGTTGCCGGTGTTGCCAGTCTGGCTTGGGCCGGTGTCAGAGGCAGGGAACTCCTTGGTGACGACATCAGGAACGCCGAGAAGCTGGTTGGCGGTCTCGATGTTCTTCTTGCCCTCGGCAGTGCCGTCGATCTGGTTAGCCTTGATGGCGGCGGGGAGATCGGCGGCGTTGCCCTGCTGCTGGGCGAGGACGGTGTTGAGGTCCTTCAGCGTCTTGATGTTCTGAGGGGTGTTCTGGGTGGGAGTGACATCAGTCTGCTGGATGGGGAAGCAGCCGCCAAAGGGGCCGGCGACGGCGTTGTTACGGCAGCGGACGGTGCAGACGTTTCCGGTAGAGGCGCCAGTGCATGCCAAGTCGGCGGGCAACTTGACGGTGATGTTGAACTGCTGGGCCTTGGCCTGGGAGAAACCGTTCACGCCGGGAACGTTGTTGGTAACCTCAAGAGGGATCTGGCCGCTGCCACCGAGGGCGTTGCTGGTAGGGTCCAAGTCGCAGGCGAAGGGGCCGGCGCCGTCGGCGTTGACCTGGTGGATGGTGACCTGGATCGTGCTGCCAGCCTTGACTTGCGTGACCTGTTGAGCAGCCAGGGCGTTCTCGGTGTTCTCGCCAATGTCGATGTTACCGGAGATCTCAGTGCGTCCACACTCGTTAACGATGTTTGCGTTGATCTCGGCATCGCGAATGAGAGTGGCGTCCTGCTGGCAAGGGTTGATAGTTGTGCAGTTACGGGCGATATTGGGATCGACTGGGCAAAAGTTTTAGTAAAAACACTGAACAGAAAGTGAGATTTCCTCATTCCCTCCTCATCACCACTCACCCTTGAAACCAATACTAGCCGGACCGCCCTGGTCGCTCTGAGCATTAAGGATAGCTGCGTGGCCGCGGACCACCGCCAGCATGGCCGAGCCAATAATGATATCCTTGAAAGAAAGCATCCTGTCTCGCAGAGACTAGTTTAATGTGCCCAGCACGATTAAGGAACGAAGTGAAGTAAGAAGCGAAAAAAAAGGAAAGGAAGAAGGACGATAGCCCGCTAGGAGAGCGAAGGCGCAAGTGAATGATATGATGTGTGGGTAGAGAAAGGAAACCTAACAGTCGAGATGACACTGCGAAGGTCATCTTATACATACCCTCACGGTCGACGGCCGAAACGACGTAAACGTAGTCAAACACCCACCACCAATAACGTCTACTGATCTGCTCAGATCATCTGCAACACCTCCTGTCGCAAGGCTGTGGTGCTGGGCGGAGTCGCGGCCGTCACACTGAACCCGTTCTCTCTTGGCAGATGGAGGGAAGCCTAAGAAGGAGAATAACAGGTAAGGGAGGGGGGGAGCGGTTGAGCTAGGACCAGGGCAGGGGAGAAAGGGTGGTTTGCTTAGGATTACAGTTGGCGCGTTGGCCGAGACCCTGTCAGTTTGGCTGGTAGCGAGGCCATTCTGGGAGGGGGGAGGGCCATCTGGGGGGGCACGAAGGAGGCTCTAGGGAAGTGCTGTATGTGGATGTGAATAGCGGTTTTTGGTGGATTTTGAAGTTTAGCGAAACGACCCTTGTTCACTTGGGGGCCACCCATGTCGGGGTCGGCGAACTCAGTGGCGCGAGTCAACAACCAGAAGTGGTAGAGAAAAGGTGCCTAGCCGTGTTTGGCAGGGCCGAGACATTAGGAAGTCGGACGATTAGGCGCTGAGGGGCCAGTTCTGAAGAGAAGAGCGTGTTTCACAGGGCATTATCAGATGCCATAGTAAGCAATTTGACAACGGGCCAAGGCATGTCAGGCCCTCCTATAGGAGCAGTCAGGGGGGGAGGGGGGGTTAGAACTGGCGGAGTTCGAGACTCACCACCACGGCGTGATGCCTGCGAAAGAGGAACCTAGAGGAACCTTTTTTTCCTTTTCTTGCTCACTCGGGCCATTCTTTTTCTGGAGCCCTTGGCTGCGGTCTCGTCCGTTGTCAAGGATAGTCCCATCTCTGGTCGGCCAAAAGGGGGGTCACAGACTCGATGGATGATACACACGCCAAGAGTAAATGCCCGAAGCGCCATGCAACGGGCAGCGAGCGAGGAACAGCCAGACTTTTGAGAAACACAAGGGCAAACCTGTCTCTTCTCTTCTTTTCGTCCCATTAAGTGAAATCCTGACGTTGACAGCAACCCGCCGGGCAGCGTGGCCGCTCCGGCTGTGGCTGCGGGTAGGAAGGATAGAACGTGGCTCATCTGATATCCCATCTATTCGAGACTGCGCTCGGAAGCCGGCCGAAAGGGTCGCCTCTTTAGCCCAAAGAAGCCAGAGAGGCGACGGATGTAGCTGCCGCCTAGATCCATTCGGATCGTGGCTAATCTGTTTGAAAAACCGAGATGATAGATAGAGAGCATGTGCTTATAGCCTCACCTTTTTTCCGTCTGTTGATGTTTATGGATCATGACGATCGGGAAACAAATTCCACCCGGTGACCGACTCGGAAATCCCCATTTCTTGTAATTTTCCTGTTTACTGTTTACTCACATGGCCAAGACGAAAGAATACGCCACAACCGTTGTCCGCGTGGAGTTGGTTAATGTCAATCATCAATGAAGCCCTACCGATAGTGAACGCAATCTGTTGGGGATCTGGGGAACATTTTACTGTATATTACAGCCGCCCACCTGCATCCCCGTATTCAGTATAAGCTACAAAATAGCGTACGGGTACCTGATTGCAATATTAAACGGTGCCTTGCATGGAAGCCATCCATCGGATGATGCACTTGCTTGGCCACTTGGCGGGAATGGCTGATGATTCCCCTCCCTCTCCCCCCCAATTTTTGGCACTGAAGCTACTGGCGCCACTACCCTAAAAAAAAAAATCTCCGTGAGGGAAAGGAGAAGCGCGAGATTTGCGAGATTGCTGCAAGGAGACACCGACTCCCTAGGCGGCGCAGGGGTATCATAACAAGGATCAACCCTTTACGTTTCACTTCGGCCCACAGTCAGAGCAGGTGTCATTCAATCAACTGTAGCCTCAAGTGGGTGGGCTGCATCTTTGGTGAGTGGATATCGATGTTTCGAGACGAATCTGAAGCATCGACATTGAACCACTAGTGTAAAAGAGGAGATAGCTCGGCATTCTCAGCGCTGACACTCTGTATCATCACTCGCCTGTTGAAAGGGCCTGTTGATATCCACATATTGGTCTCACGAGCCCCGGCCCCCCCCCCAACGTCCACCAATCTATCTTTTCTGACCTAGACCACGTCTCGCGCTGGCTTCCCTCCGTAACTGTAAAACTTGAAGTCCTTTTTTGAATCCTCTCTTAAAATATGCCGTGCCTATTGTACCCCCTCTCACCCCCTTCGCGAGCCTCAACTCCTGTTCGACCCGCTTGCAACCTTATGCGCCCTGACCAATAACTGGGATCGGAAGTGACCGTCTTGCCAGCGGCACAATGCGTCACTCCCTCATAACTTGTCTTCTTTTTTTTACGGACTTCAACCTTGGAGATGTCTGTCGCACCAGACCACATTAGTGTTTGACGGGTCTGCACCTTATGCCCCCTCTTCTTTTCCCTTCTTCCAGGCTTGATCAGCGTCAGGATGAACCGAAGGGGTGGCAATGTGCTTCCGGGCCTCTTGCTTTCGTTTATAATCCGACTTGAATCTCCTGTCTCTGTCGCTAACGTACTTCTCGAAATCAAACTGCCCCGGCGCCGTGAAGCTCGTCATGAGCTGCGGTTCGCCCAAGGGTAGTTGGTGGCCCTTGTCCACCTGCCAGAGATGGTAAACCTTTCCGTACAAGTGGACGACCTCCTCCATCTCTTTGTTCTCCGCCGTTTCCCATATTGACTCGGGCAGCGTCATCTGGGGCATGATGAGCATGCCTGATTTGACCTCGAACACGTGGCTATGCCATAGCTTCCGCTCCTCCTGGTCCAGCGTCTCGTAAAGCTTGGGTGAGATCATGTACTCGATGCCAATGATCCGGGCGTTGGGCTCGGGGCTGTCGTAGAGGATACACTGCCTAACATCGTCGTTGAGGTGGCCGCAGTAGTGATTCGCCTCGACTACTCGGGAAGGGTCTGCTGCGTAGGCGTGGAAGGCGTTGAGATGCGCGCAGACGCTCCGCAACGGCGCAAAGTCCTATTTACTCGTTAGATTCGTTTCGACGTCGCATCCGGGGGGGGGGGGGGCGGCCGAACGGAACCGTACCTGGATGGCCGAAGCGCCGGCTTGTAAGACCTGGTTCTTGGTGGTAATCGGCTCGCCTACGGCGGGGTTCGTTTCCGGTTTGGTTGCCATTGTTCGTGGGGGAGCGAGATTGTAAATATCGCTAAGGAAGTATGCGTACCAAGGTTGACATGCGTCTAGAATTTTGTCCGAATTAGTCCTCGTCTGTCCTGACTTTATGATTTCAATCCTAAGTTCAATTGTAGAATATGTTTTTGTGACGTCATGAAATTATTACGCGGGTATTAATTTGTATTTCATCATCATTGCGGCATTCAGCCATTTTGCTCCTATTTCGCCCAGAAAATTGGACACTCTAAGAACATGAAATGCAAACGTAACTTTATTGGCTGGGGAGCATTCTTTCCGGTAGGCCCATGCAGCCGGGCGGCTCTACCCGCCGTGGCGTGCTCCGGGTTACTATGGGTTCTGATCGGCCGGCGCCGAGGAGGGGCTGGGCATGTCGGGTTTCGAGCGGAGATGCCTGCAGGGCCGCTGGTGCCGATCGGCTGCTCTGAATCACGTCGCTGCACATCACCCCCATCAAATGTTTCAAACAGAGGTTAGCCATGTGTTGTAGCCGCCGGAAGAATAGCGGCTAGCAGATCATAGGGCCAATTTCTGTTTAATCATCACGCTCATAGATAGTAGCTGGCTTTGCATTGATGTAGGTAACGACAACTTTGGACGTAATCAATCCCACACCATCATGATATTACTTGGAGACTTTTAAAAGATGCAGGTTCGTCACGTTGAGATCAGAATCACCAAATTCAATAGTTAGGTATGTAGAGACGCAAAAAAGCGAGGTTGCATATTCGCTGACTAGCCATGATAAAAAGTTCAGAAGTCACCGCATGACTTGTTAGGCCAGAAGGTGATTATTCCACATTTTCATTGATCTTCCGCCTCACTGATCCTTTCTCCACATCTGGCTTCTAGGTGCACCAAACGCAGCCGCAGCTGAAGTCGAAGTAACATTCGCCATTGGGGGCAGCGGCGACAATAGCGTCGACGTTCTCCTTGCTAAGCTTGATTGAGTTCGCCTGTCCCTCGGGGTTCGGAGCAGCGAAAGCGACGGAGACGAGCGCGAGAACGGCGGCGGCGGAGAACTTCATTTTGAGCGTTTTGAATGTAGGTAGCAATACTATGAGGTCTGATAAGTGAAATGACTCAGATATGTTGCGTTAAACCCAGCAAGAAGAAATGGGAGTAAACTAGTCGATCATGAAATAAGTTGAAAAAAGATCCATACCTATGCTTGAAATCAGATTTCTGTGTGATTGATTTACTTACTTGCTTGCAGAAGATCGAGACATGAGCCGAGGGACATCCTGGGCTTATATAGACAATGTAATCCTTCGTCAAACTCTCCTCGCAAAGTCCAACTCCCATTGATATCATCTCCAGCGTCATATCATCACCGGCGGATAATGTCACTCCACGAATAATGTTACTCATGGGTGTAAAGAGCGCTTAGGCCGCCAAGCAATGCAGCATTGCATCTCTCTACACTATCACGAGGTCCAGTAACGAGACATGAGGGGTCAAGACCTACCATCAAATGCCGGGGTCAGCTTTGAGGCTATTCCAAAAATGGGTAACATCTTTAGGCAGTTTTCCTGTTACCTCGCTTAACGCTTCGAGATCTACGCGTATGCAGTTACGATGGTATTATTCCGCGAACCTATCGACTCTCCTGAAGTCTTTAGGCGCCAAAATTCGTTGATTGTTGAATATTCATTCGCGGAATGAATTGAAACCGTAGGATCAAGGTCTACTGGTATTCGTGTCGCCTGAATCCTGCTGCATCTCACTCTCAGGGATAGAATCTCAGAATCATCGTATGCGGCTTTAATACTAAACTGGGAAGATTTTCCCTTTGTAACTATGGAAGGATTTGTCCGCATATATCCTATAATCTACGCTAATGGCTCAGACTGCTACCCCGCGCTGAGGCACATTTACGAGGGTACTGCTGACAACATATAAGACTGTTGTGCAGCTTAGGTGTTATCAACATATGACAGTTATAGGATGCGGATTGGTAGTCTCGCGACGTCACCTGCCTGATTCGTCCTTAGATAGCCTTGTTCAAGTTTTGCCAAGAGGCGCGCTTAAGACTAGTGGATGTCATGAGCGAAGCACTGGCTTTGAAAGTCGTCTTTCTTGCTATTTGTACGTAGATTTCATGGCTTAGCCATACACTGAACATCTTTGATAGTGATTCTATGACCATGGGTATGTGTAAGTAACAATGCAATGTTGATGTACCTCCGATATTTTCATCTTCCAACTTAGACTCTTTACTTGCGGTTCATGAAGAACACCTTTCCTTGCTCATTTGTTTTGCCCAGTCAGTCTAAGAGGAGATCATTGGCTTCTTGTTTATGCATCCTCAAAGGATGAGCTTGTGTTTGAAATCCTACTTCCCCGCTTTATTGATTGGCTTGGCTTACCTTGATATTTCAGCAGCATCCACTGGTTGACCGATTCCTGGATGATACACATAAGCCGCGGTTACTTTCCAATTTTCTTCCTCATTCTTTTTGGTTTCTTTTTATTGCAAGGCATAAGCTAGAGAGCCTTCCTCATTCTTTTTTTATTGGAGGTTTATCTACATCCAACACAGCATGCTATCCTAATCACATCAACCTCTACGACTATGCCATTACCTTCAATCCTGGTTTACCTGAGGTGAACCCCATCAAGCCAATATCGGCATGTGGGGCTATGCATTTATGCGGTAGAAACTGGCGGCAAATCTGTCTTCCACCAACCCCATTCGATTCCTAGTCTACCTAGTCTTCATTCGGAGATATATTATCCAAAGGTTGAGAAGCTCAACTTTTCGGTAATTTTAGACGAGATCGCTTGAAGAGAGTGACTGGCCTGATGCCATAAGACATCTAGGGTTTATGCAGAATAGTGCAGCCTTGAGTGTTTTGGTCGCCGCTGTGTTCTGTGGCAGCTTCTATCTGACGTTACACTTTCTGTGTGCATCCACATAGAATTCCATCACTGCAAGTAGGAGTCTGAAAAGCAACTGCAAGGATTTTAACAGTTTTGCAATTATTAATATACCGTTGAAGAACTTTACTGCCTCGTACAGGTTGATACTGTCAAAGTTCGCTATATTACCAGAAAGATACTTGCAAAGTTATCTGAAAACAAAATATTGCAGCCTCCCGAAGAGTGTTCCAAAATGAGTACGATGGGAACTCATGATTGACCTCAGCGCCGTAACCTAGAAATATATTTACAAGATTGTGACATTCCATTGCAGATGGAGCTAAAAGATGGTGTGTAAAGTCCCATTACCATTATCAATAACTTCTGCGCCCTTGTTTAAAAGCGCCTGAACCACGACTGCCCTATCTTGCTTTGCGACAGCATAGAGAGCGACATCAAGATGTGGTTTATTCCGTGGGTCGACACCGGCGGTTTCATCCAAGATAGTCTGTATGACCTCCGATTTTCCTTCAGCTGCCGCGACTCCAAGAGAATTCTTTCTGCTTCCAATGACGATGTCTATGCCCCTGTTGAGCAGCATTTACATAATATCGTATTACCGCTCCTTCGGGCAGCTTGGATTCCGGTTCTAACAGAGATGTTAGGGCTGGCGCAGTTGATATTTCCGCCCTTGTCTCAGAGCATCTGTACGGTCTATGACTTTCCTCCTTCATTATTCCCTACTCAGAGTGTAGCCACAACATCAAACGTTACATCGGCTAACAGTGATGACAAAACTCGTGGCTTCGCGTCGGATGGGACAGGCGGTGGCAAAGGCGGCCGGGTCGTTACGACTAGGCATGGGCATTACCCGGCCCGCGGGTCCCACGGGTACCCGCGAAATGGGTCGGGTAGTTATAGGTAGTGCCCGAAAGTTTTACTATTACCCACGGGTACCCATGGGTAAAGTGGGTTTGGGTAAAAAAGCCCACGGGTAGTAAACTGAAGGGGGGCCCACGGGTTTGGGTACCCACGGGTGTATACCTGTGGGTAGATTTCAGTAAGTATGCATTACGAATTTTAGACATCTTTTGTAGTAGCTAGCCTCAAGAGTGGATATATTGCGTAACGAATAGACCTGCTACCTTGTTACTCCTAACTTCCGAACGCCCTGAATGCCTTCAATTAATCGCCCGCATTTCCCAGACTCGGGGTCGAACCACTTGTCTCCGTGGACTCTGCCGGCCTTCAAGATAGCCTGGACGAGATGCAGATCCTTCGGCTTAATGGTGACGCGATTGGTGTGGATCGCAGCAAAGTTAATTACTAGATAGTTCGTTCAACTCGATAAGAGTTTGCAAGTGAAGCTTACTGTCGAAAACACCAAAGAGAAGAGACTCCGAAGACTCTTGAAGAGCGCTAATAGCAGTCGCCTGCCAGCGCAGGCGCTTGGAGGGGTCGATGTCATCGCAGATTTCCTTCCAGAGTCGCTGGAATGGGGGCTTCGGAATCAGGAAGTCAAATGTCTTCTGGTAGTTCCTGACCTCCCGGAGAGCTTTTGCTAGGTATTAGGGTTAGTATGTAGCCATCTTTTGTAGCAATCTAGACTTACTGCCAGGGCGCCAACGGCGTTTCTGCTGCTCCTTAGCACCAGGCATAGTCTTTCGGGCTATGCCAGGCATCATATTATAAAGTTAACCATGAATCAGGTAGGACTCCTAGAAACACAAGTCCAGGTCCAATCAATATAGAATCTTTTACAGATAACTACTGAACAGAGGTTTTCAAAGAGATTCTTTTTGAGAAAAAAAACAAGAAGCCGCGGCTGCGCACAGACCACTTTTTAGCGTATTTTGTTTTTTTTTTGTAAGGTTCTGAAGCTTCAGAAAACTTCTCCCCAGACAACACTACAACCTACCTCCACCACTAACACCCAGCCGCACCGACAAGCCTCTCAATTAAGGTAATTTGATACTTTGATCTCACAATTATTGGTTTTGACTTATTAAATCAATTAGGGAACAGTAGTAAAATATGTCCTCAGGACAGGATCGCGGTACGTTCACACCAGCTTTGTAGCAATCATTTGTACTAATCTCTTCTAGGCCGACCGCTTGGATCTGGTGCTGGAGCCAAGCGTAAAGCTGAAGAGGATTATTCCGACAACGCGCACACCAAGAAGTCTCGTCAGCGCATCGATAAGATGACTGAGAAGCAGAAGGCACTTGATCGCTCGAAGAAGTCGATCAACTAGCAGAAATCCCGCAAGCTTAAAGCCTTGAGGGCTAAAAGCTCCTACATCAGTGCGTCTGCTGATGAGCGCGCGGCCCTTGAGGCTAGGGAAATCTAGCAAGTTGATGCACGATAGTGAGTTCTTTTTTATTTCTTTTGGTGTTTCAAATCAGTGCTCAAGTGCTTTTAGCTTCCTCAAAGGCAACCATCCAGACCAGCTGCTAGCTCAGATGACTAGCCCAGTCTCGTCTAGCTCCTATAATATCGTCGATGACGATGAAGACGAGGCTTGGGAGGATATCCCTTTGAATGAGATTGATGAGGCTACCCAGGAAAACCTGGATGGAGTTGAGGGCATGCTCAACTTTGACGTTGACCTTGATAACCAGTTGCCGACCATTAATGTTGCTGAGCAGTCGAATGCGATTATCGACAAGATGATCCAGGTAACTAGATGACTATAATTAATTACTATAGCAATAGCTAACAAACAGACAGGAAAACCAGATCCGAGAATACCAGTTCTTCCGTGATACCTGGGAGATGACTCTTGAGATACTTTACATCAAGGTCAAGCGGCTGAACAGCAATCCTGCCTTTACCCTAGCTGCGATGGAGGATTATGGCTTCATTCGACCTGGCTTTAAATTTCCAGTAGCTGGCGACATCTTCACCAAAGAGGAAGTGCTTCTTTGGTTTGCACTCGCCAAGTACTGGCACCTGAACCGCTTGTCTAAGAAGAAGAAGATACGCCTGGTTCTTAATTCTTCTGTCAAGAAGAAGAAGACGTAAGTGCTTAATTATAGCAATCCTTTGTAGTAATACTAATATTCTCAGCCAATTCGCACTCGCGCACCGCCCAGCCATCAAGATTCAAGGATCTCTCTTCACTACAGCTCAGCGCCGATATGCCTCCACTCCAAAGCCTTCAGTGAAGGCTATGTTCTCTGAGATCAGTGACTCGATGATCAAGAAAGGTGTTTGGGAGCTTCTGGGCCCTGCTGAAGTTTGGGAAGAGTTTACTGCTCTCGATAAAACAGCCAACATCTTATCTGCGATGGATAAGAAGTTCTCAGCTATACTAAAGCTGATACCATTCTTCCTGAAGCTTGACCTTGCTCGGGATAAAGCGCCATACAACTGGCGTCAGGTCCATGAGTTGGCTCAGAAGCTAACTCGTTTGCTTGACTTTTCTCTATAATTGCAGATGAGCATAGCGAGAGGGTTTGTTTGACAGATTAAGAATTAAGAATTAGCAATAAGGCTAGCATGAATAAGGACATGAATTCTCTCTAGTCTGATTCTCGTATTGTAGCAATCGTTTGTAGTAATCTACAGCTGCTAAAACAATCTAGCACTCCATGCTCCCATCTTCTTCATTAACTGTTTAACTAAGTCAAGATCTTTCTTCTGCAAAGTTACTCTTTTAGCGTGAATAGCACAGAGATTTGCATCTATTAATATTCATGTTAATATAATAGTTTGAAGATCAGGATAGGATATCTTACTCTCGAACATGTTGATTAGAAACTGTTCGCTCATCTCATGGAGAGCCTCTATAGCTATTGACTGGTAGCGGATCTTATGGCGGTTTCTTAGTGGAAGATCAAGTGTTATTTCTCGAACTACTCTTGCGAAACTGCTCCGCGGAATTAAAAGATTGGTGGTCTTTTGATATTTTCGAATCTCACGAAGTGCATTTGCTTCACATTTCAGTAATTAAATAATAAAGAGTTACTTCTTACTTACTACCAGGCCTCCATCTACGAACTTTCTGGCGTTTAGTGATCTGGACGGGCTTTTTTCAAGCAGCTTTTAGCTGCTTCTTTGGCGCGAAGTTCAGCTGATCTTTCCGTGCAATGGTTGGTGGTTGGCCAGTATCTGTTCGTCTCGCCAACTTCGTCGCAAAGTTCCGCTTCAGCGGTGGTAATTCTGGTTGACTCAGGTCTGGGCTAGCCTGGCTATAGTAGGTTGCATGACTTGAACTTCTTGGCGGAGTCTCCCGAATCTCTGTAATTGGCTGTTTCAGGGGATTACCCCTCGCTGATGATGAGGGGTAACTATTTGGCGGTGAAGAGCCCTCCACTGTTAGCGGAGAGCTCTGATCTGACACAGGGCTAGTTGATAAGCGAGGCATTGAAGGATGAATGTAAGTGGGAGAAAAAACAAGTCGAAGGAGAATTCAGAGCTTTTAGATTTGTGTACGAAACGTATTAGTCAGAAACCCTAAAATAGAAATTTACGTAAGGCTACATAATCAAATGTTTGTATTCATCTTGTAGTAATCCTGCAAACTACTTCCTGTTCACACCAAAGGTAATTCTTACTACGTATAATGTCGAACTTAATTACGTCTGACCCTTTTAGGCCAGACCCTTTTGCATCCGATTGTTCTGCTGCTTTCGAGCTCGTAAATTCTACGCAGACTCTAACAATCAATACTCTACCTTCTGGTTTATAGATACAGTCGGAAATCATTTTATTTGTTATTGAGACTTTCCAGACTTTTCTCTCGTTTTTCAAAACCCTGCCATGGTATCTCCAATAGGTAATCCTTGGCAAACACACACCGTTGTCCAAATCCCCTCAACCTGAACGAAAACGCTTCGCCAAATCCTTGTGGACTTTACAACGCCGAGTATCATTCTGGGATCACTTTCACCAAGGCTACCATATGACATCAGGGGAGCCAAAATTAGTCTGCAAGCACTATCACCAAGTTTTCAATCATCCAACAATCAAAAACTCTAGTACAAGTGCTATGCAACGACACCTCGCTGCAAAGTCTTGTAAGACTCGACGTTTAGGCGCAAACCAGGTGCCTGTAAGTTTTACAGGTCATTATAGCAATCATTTGTAGTAATCGCAATCTAGGGTACCCAATTGAAAGCAGTCTCGGAGCATCAAGCATTAGTTTACTATATTGTTGGATCCAACTTAGCGCTTAATACTGTTGACAACTTAAGTTTCCGGCAATTCTGTTCATACCTGAATCCTCTCTACCACCTCCCATCTCGAAAGACGCTCCGAAGCTGGATATCCGAGGAGGCCTTACGCATTCAACACCACACTCTTCAGCTAATTCCGCCTGGTAGCTATGTCTCTCTGATGATTGATATCTAGAGTACACCTGGGTTAAAATATTCACTGCTTGGTGTTTTATGCCATTTTATCGACAAGCACTAGAGGTTATAACAGGTTCTTCTTGGTGCTATTGATATGACAGATGGTCATACAGCCTCTAAGCAAGCAACGGCTTTATCGACTCTGTTAGAAAATATTCGCCAGAGGACGAAGAAGACAATTCGATTTCAGACAGTCTCTGCAGACAACGCAAGTTCTTTTAAGCCAAAAGTCCTAGCACAAGAACTTGCAAAAGGGTCGACATCCACAGTACAGCCGATATATCATATTCGCTGTTTAGCCCATACTTTCAACCTTGTTGTTCGAGCGATTTTTGAGGCTCTTCGAATTTCGATGGTAGAAGCCTCTACAGAGTTTGAGCCTTCTACTACTCGAGCTAAAGATCAAGAGGACTCTGACGATGATTTTGATACTGAAGATTCTACTGCTGGGGAAAATCCTTTTGGAGCTGTTATTCAAAAGGTTAGATACTTCACCTAGTTATAAGATTTTATATTAACATATATACCTCTAGATTCGTGACCTCGCAGTTTCCCTTAAGCTTTCTAGTAAGAAGACGCAAGAGTTTCTCGACCTCCAGAAATCGACTCGCATTGGCCAGCGACTACTACGCCTCCTCCGCGATGTTAAGACAAGGTGGAACTCTACTACACTTATGTGTCTCCGCGCAAGAGAGCTTAAAACAACGATTTCAGCTTAGGTTGAAAAGCACTCTCTACAGGAACAATTCTCTCTTGTGGAGACCGATTGGGAGGCTCTTGATATTCTGCTTGATATCACCAGCCCGTTTTTACTCTTTACAAACATCCTCAGCCGGTTAAATGACCTTACCCCTAGTCATACCTTTACTTTATTACAAGTTGCAACAGTTCACTTGTACTTTTACGCCTCTGCACTTAAAGATAAAGTTACTAGCAAAGACTTTACTTAGATATCAATCCTTCAGGCTGCTACGGAAAAGGGCCAAGAGAAGCTAGAAAAATACGTTCAAAAGCTAATTGAAGAGGATTCCTTCAAGGTATATGGTATTGCAACTCTCCTTACCCCTGAAGCTGGGACATCAGTTTCGAGTACTTTTGACACGCGATTCCAATTCGCAAATTACTTCGAATACCTTCCTTCTTCAGCCTCACTTCGAACTCGAGTACAGCAAGAATTTATCGAGGTATATACAAAGCAGTACCATCAAGATTCGGAACGCCATACCAATACTCAAAAAGCTGCAACTGAAGGACTCCGATACACTCTGCATAGTTTACTATCACGCAGTCCAAAGAAAAGGGTATTTGTAGCAATCTATTGTAGCAACTCACTGTACTAACCTATTATAAGGGCAAAATGTCATCATCCCAAGACGCACGAAATATCTGTAATGACTTTTTTAATATTGGTAAGATAAAGACTTATATCTTACTAGGCTTAACAGCTAATAACTATATTTAGTTATGTTCCCTGATGAAACTGTTCAGCAATTTTGGGTCCGCCTAGACAATAGCTATCCCAGATTCCATGGTATTTGTCGCATGGCTCGAGACTTCTTATCTATTCAACCGACGTCAATACCCTTAGAGCGATCATTCAGCCTTGCTCGCCATATCTGTCACTACGCTCGGTTCAACCTTTCGGCTGATACTATTTTTGATACTTTGACTATCAAAATTAGCCAGAATAATGAGGCCTGGCTTTCCCAAACCACACTTGAGGAAGTTCCAGATGACACGAATATCACTGAAGCATCTGAAGAGCGCCAGCATATTATTAGAGAAGCTTTTAACTACTCTTCTCTATTGGATAAAGCTGATATTCAGAGATATCTGAAGGTCTCTGATGATCTTACTAAGATCTCTATTACTGCTACAGGAGATGCTCCCTCCCCGCCTCCTTACGAAGTCTCAGTAGAAGAGGAGGATATTAGCGATAGAGATGAGGAGCTGCCATCCTTATCTAGCTCTCAACAGCCAAAACTATCGAGTCAAGTTTCCCAACTTAGCAACTCACCTACGCCTTCTGTATCCCAAGAACTCCCAAACTTCTCCGAGCTTGGGGGTTGCAAAAGGAAGAGACTTACTCGGCTAGATCTTGTCGAACTCTCTCCTGACGAGGATAGCGATTAAATATACATTGTTCCTCTGATTTCACTCCGACTTTATCGTATTATTCTCTATTAGTTTCTTATATTTGTAGTAATCTATTCTAGCCATCTATGTTTTATGTAACTTACTCTTTCTCCCTATAACTAACTAGTTATATTTTCTTTCTATCTTAGTTACAGTATTTCCCGCGTTTCTTGTGGGTAGCAAAATTACCCGTGGGTAGTGTAACCCATGGGTCGTTTTACCCACGGGCCTTTCAACCCGCGGGTAAATATAGTGGGACTGCCCGTGGGTAATTCGGGTTTACCCAAACTACCCACGGGTAGTTTTGGGTACTACCCATACGGGTACCCGCGGGTATTACCCAACCCTAGTTACGACAACATCGCATGCGGAGATGGCCAACTTCCTTTGCCATCGCGACTCAGCCGGTGATCATCCGTGCCGTGGATGAACTAAACTCGGAGCCGAAAGGACACGAGACCCTAGCCGGAATGATTAGACGATCATCAACGTTAAGATTGACTACGAGACAGCCCTCGATGCCTAGCCCAACGCCATCAACACGTTAGCGATACGTACCCTTTCAGGATGTGCCGCAACAGAAACACAGTCAGAGGACTGGAATGGGATCCAGGCCGACACGAATACCAACAACCGAACTGGTCGTGCGATTATGTATCAATTCCCTCTTTAGGCAACTTTCATTCCGTATTTTGCTTGCTTAACGTTCTATTCTACCTGATGTTTTGGTTCGGGATTGGCCAAGAGCCCGCGATCGGCCACTAGTAACCTCTTCGGGGCTTAGTCCCCTCGTATTGTCGATGGTCTTATAGACATACGTCACCACATAATTGCCCTTTGTCAGCTTGCAACAAGTGTTCGACGTCGGCTAAACGGCAAACGACATCTCCATGATGGCTACCAACACCGTTGTTGACTGGGCCAATTGCGTAATTCCAGCGCTCACAGCCCGCTGGTGTGTCATAAGCCAATGCTGCTAGAGACGAGCTAGTAGTCCTTCGAGAGGCGATAAACTCGTTGTGGCAGGCTCCATTCCATCATCCGCAGCAATTATCAACTAAAACTTGAAAGAGTATTCAAGTGTGGGACGTCTATGCGTTAGATGGCACGAGTCACGATGAGGCAGCCTGCGACAGCCTGTACTAGAGAGATCCCTGCCACCCGGCGGAAGATAGATAAGTTGATTTTAGGGCTGAAGATTCTAGGAGAATCAATGCACCTTACGGGCTATATCCTTTGTTCCTAGCGTGTTCAGTTATATTTGGAGGCCCTATGGAACTCTGTTTCGATTGGAGCAACGATGGCGGCGGACAGATTTGTATGACTTGTCCCCTACCTCTCAGCTGGACCGCAAGATGTCGATATTAAGACAGACAGATGCCCATTGGTTTTTCAATAGGGTGTGCCGAAAAAAAAAGCAAACCTCGCAGTTTCACTTACTGGGTCAGTTTCAATTGAATGGGGGGTGATTCTAAGCCAGTGACTGCGGTCATTCATTCTCCGTCAAGTACCTAGTATATATAGCATCTGCCTAACCTCGTGGATTGATCAACATTCCGGGCAGTAAAGAGGCTAAGTGAAAGCAAAAATGAAATCGACGTCACCCACAGGATTCGAACCTGCGCGTCCGAAGACACTGGCTTGATAGCAGATAATAGCAGGCCAGCCCATTAACCACTCTGGCAAGGTGACTAAGCTGGGAATGATGAGACCTCGCTTGTGGAGATGCTGCAATCTGGCGCTGTTCTTGCTAATAGTCAACAGCTGCAATGCACGATCCACTATTGATGCATCCCCACAAGGGAGGATTATGGGAAGCATGACATGCGTGAATACTCCGTGCTTCTAGTGCCCATTCTTTTCTTCCAGCGCCAGTAATTCTTAGTCACTTGGTTGAAACGTTACAGTTGATAGGCTGTGAAGATGGACCGGCTTGATTCTATTTTTATAGGCTTTCATGTTGAAGCAACGCGAACGACTCGGAAGGCCCTTGTGCTTCCTGGCAACACGAGCACTTTGCCCCAAAAAAGTCATACGTGTTTATAGAGATCGACTAGATCAGCATGCACAAAGTAGGCCAAGGTTTGATTAGCGCCTATCCCACAGCCCTGTTGTCCATCTTCCGGCCGTGCAGCGGAACATTTTTACTGATTGAATCCGCTTTATCTCCCGGTCCCGGGGGGAGTGTTGGGTCCCCTTTGGAGCCCATCACATTGGCGAAACCTACCAAGAATGGATGAATTAGGCATTTCCAAGGGTTCAATGACCGCATTCTCGAAGCCCTCCCTCGATGGCGACAAGCATGAGCCGCAACGCCACCCCGCTAAGGTCGGAGCCGGACCGCTCGGCTGTGGGAATGCAGCCTGGGGGAGGAGGGGAGGATCAACGATGTCATGCACGCATGATGGACCCTTGGGAAGATACTGTCCGTGGGGACTGTTGCTTGAGCAATTCGAGGATAACCATGGGGATATATGCCAATCAATGGGGTACATCCCCCATGTCGTCTGCTCGATGTCTGTCTGTACTTAAACTTCGGATGAACCCGCCTCAATTGTTGTTTCCTTTGCAGAACTCCAACACAACAAACAGTTAATCTTGTCTGATATCAGCTCAGTTTTTCTGGAAATCGCACATTCGATACGACAGTCTGAAGCAAAAGGTCATCACCCTCACAACTAGCCAAAATGCAGTTCCGCACTTCCCTCGTCGCCGCCGCCTCTCTTTTCGCGGCCGCCAACGCCCGCATCTACGGCATTGCCTTTCCCGAGACCGTGAAGGCAGGCGACCAAGTTAATGCCATTGTCGAGACCGAGAACTACATCCAGTCCGTCCAAGATATCGCCATCGCCTTCGGTATTGCCCCTGAGGCTACCGCATACCCTGGCACTCTCTCGACTGTGCTGGGTTCCTTCTACCTCGGCCCTGGTAAGCCCTCCCCAAAGCCCCCCAAGAATCAAGTGGCTCTATGATCTGACACGATCCAACAGAAAAGTCCAACATTCTCGAAAACATCACCGAGACAGTCACCATCCCCGCCGACCTTGTCGCTGGAAAGTACGTCGTAGCCGCTGGCCTTTACAGCTTGTACGGCGCCTCGTCCGGCCCGACTCTCACCAACTACAACGTCACCATCACCGTCAGCAACTCTACCAGCCAGAACTATGTCAGCAGCAGCAGGTTTTAAGCATGATAATGAAAGTCATTTGGCGTGGAATTAGCGTTAGACTTGCTTCACTTGTAAATAATTAGGGTATAATTCTATTTCAAGTCGTTGGCTGAAGCCCAGCCAGCATATTCTGTCCTTACTTGTTCCATCTCTGCGTTCAATTATAGGAAGTCTCGAGAGACGTCTTCCTGCGTTTGACTAAAGCCATACAAAATAAACAGAAACCCTGTCAGATATGCCTTGCCTACTGGACGAGTTCATTATCCACACTGTTCCCTGAGAACTCAAATGATGACCAGTACACCCACTCGTAACTCGTTGAAAGAGTGCATTAAGTGTGTCAGTGATGCCTAGCTTTCCTAGGCTATTGAGCCTTAGTGTTCGATTTCCCCGTCAAGAGTTTTATTCTATTGCTTGTTGGGCTTCGTATGTTGCATTACCTTAGTTCTCGGGTGTTTGTCTGCAAACATAGTTTCCCCAAAAAAGTTGTGGTCTGTTGGCGCTTGATTGGTGGAAAGTTTTCAGGAAATAAAATGGCATTTATATGCTTTCTGCTGTTTTTAGCGGATAAGGCCCGTCTACGTTTACCAGGAACTCTACGGATCTGGGACGCGCGGGAGACGCGCTCGAAATACCGATGGGAAGGTTCCACACAAAATGACGATGTTATTGCGTGTTAAGCCTAGGATAGTTAGGGAACATCCGAAATGCCCTGATTGGAGAGTTAAGCAGCCCATATACTCAAATTTACACACGTAATATCGTAACTGAAACCAGTTATTTTCAACAATCGACACTGCCGGTTACCTTGATGCCAATTATGCCTGGATAGACAAGCGCGAGAACGGCAGCATGAGTGACGCCAGCGGTACCGCCATGCTGTTTTTGAAGGATGGCGGCAGCAGCAACGGCCACGGCGGACAACGAGTTGCGAATGACGCATCATCTTCGAGATAGGACCCGTTATTGTCGTTGCCGTGTCAGCAAGCCGCCCGTAAAAGCGATGCCAGAGACGCGGGCCTGAGCGAGCAGACGCTTGCTGGTTATTCGTGTTCCAGGCCAATCGAAGCTTACGGAGCGGGCGAGGCAGGGATACGATCGGATGAATGCAGGGATTCGCCCAAGAATCTCCTTTTGGCAAGTTTTCTTTCCCGACCAGTATGCTTTCATACCTGAAATAATCCAGAAGCCATTCCATCCCAGCAAGAAGCAAAAGGGCGGTCTACGAGATTGTGCCTACCTTCTCAACGATGTGACGGGCTGGTAAGGTAACAACTCAACATCACCATCTGTGCAACGCAGTCAGACATGAACGGCAGCGAGGGGTGTGCGCCCCGGTTCAGCGCACACCCCTCGAATCGCTGGAGGAGATCTAATGGCTTGCCGCTGCCTCCACGCGGATAGGGCTGGGGGAGCTCCAATGGAGCTGATAGCTCGGGGCACATCATGATCATGAGCTCCAATTAGTATCCAACACCCCTCGTGGGCCACGATGGGAGCTAGTCTTAACCTCGACGCCATGAGGTCACCGGGTCCGCAAAGATACAACTGTCGCGATGCCTGGATCTTGGAGCTTTTACTTTTTTCGTGATCGAGCATGGTCATACGAGAAGAAGTTTCGACGTCGGGCACGATCGTGATCTCGCTGGCTGCGTAATACTCTTTTTCCAATCCCACGCAAGCTAGGACGGGAATGTGTGAAAGCGTAAAGGGGAGCACGCTGGTCCCTCCGTTGAGGCATTCAAATGCTTGGTTTGATTCTCTGCAAGGTATCCTGCCTTGAATTCGCGATATGTCGCATACAATATCCCGATGCCTCGATGAAAACTAGTTTTTTCAGAAGTAAATTTTTACAAGCAAATTATACTTTGTAGGCATGCTCCGAAGATGACGAACTACTTTGGACGGTTTTGTTATACAGATGCAATTAACTTTTCAAAACCAAGTTCGAACAGACAGCAAAGGCAGAGAAGACTAAAAACTTGACAGTGCTATAGTCAGTCACTTCTCATATTTCTCATCTATCTTGACTCGATATTCATTGTGGCTTGTGCATGGCAGCTTGAGAGGTGGGTGGAACTTGCGCTGGGTGTGACCACCAGTCTGGAGCCCCCTTGTCCTAGCGAAGAATACTTGTCCACTTTCCGGTGTCAGAGTACTGTCAAATTTGTGGATAGCTACAAAAGAGGCTCTAGTTGAGATGAACAGGTCAGAAGCGGAGTTGAGCAAAACCAGTTCACGTCAATTGGGCTCAGATTGGATCAGAAGCGATGAAAGAGTAAGTATACAACAATATTCTTGGGAGTTTCATCAAGCCCAAAGCTTAGTTCACAAACCACCCACTAGTCTCAAGCGCATCGTTGTGCCGTCATGTACACCAGCACCGATTATGTGGCTGCATCCAAGTGGCGTAGGGTTACATCGTAAGCTCCGTGTCATCAGTTCATCTCCAGATATTTACCAGCAGCAACGCTAACGCTCGGACATCCAGGGCTGGCAGTGCAAAACCGCGACATTAGCGAAGTGACTTTAGTGGCTCTAGACTGCTGTCATTATCCGTACACTTGACACAACGGGGAACCTAACGGGGCAACCGAAGGGGGCGAGAACAGCTCATGTGGAGTAGGAAATTTTCGAATTGTATGGCGCCAAGTGCTTGTATGTTAACAAGTTGGGTCGGCTGAGTGTCGAGGTCGGTCCAGAAGGAAATCGGCGATCGCATGAGATACACTTTGGGATGCACTGAGCGTGCTGAATACATCAAGGAAGCTGCATGGGAATAGGCACCTATTGCATGCGCAGTGATACTGATGTAGTAGTAGCAAACACGCATGCCATACTCTTATTCCTCTGGCTCGGAGAATCGAGTCAAAGGCAAAAGCCCCAGCCCATCGGTTATCCTTGCATCCCTCCCGCCCGTCCTAAGCAACGGAGAAGAAAACATAACGAAATCCATCAGCGAGTCAAACTAAATGCTGCCAAAAATTAGCGCAATGGAGCTCCAACTCGCACGGAAAGTGGGGGTTTTGCCATCTTTTAGCATATTTTCATCCAGATTCTAGGATGCAAATCGCTGACCCTATCCAAGTTCTAGACACAAATGCCACCCTCCTCGCAAGCTGTTCCTGGCATCACACTGACCCATTCGCGGCCCAAGCACAAGCTAAAAGGCATCTCTGACCAACGACTTCTGCCCTGTTGTCCCATCATCAGCCAGTTTTTTTCCCATCGGAAGACTATCCGCAAACCCCTTATATGCAGCACTAGAAAACAGGTTTCAACGGGCCCAAAACCCCCTCTCCCCAGTGGCGAGCATTCCCTTGTTTTACACCAAGTGCCGAGTACACGGTAGTATTGTGTTTTGAATGGATGTGCCACTACGCTCGAGCGCAAATGTCAGATGCAATTGTCAGATCCTGGTAGCGGCTTACTCCAGTCTTCTTTCATGAGGAGCTAGGCGCAACGTTCCCCTTCTTCATTTTCAGCGTTTGTTTTTTTTTTTTTTTCCCTTTCTTGTCCCTGCCGAAATTATCCATCTATTCACATGGTAATGAGATGAGACATTTGCGTGCCAAACTCTGCCAACAAGGTTTCGATTTCTTTGTTGAGTTCCTCACGAGGGCACCCACAACTTCTCCAATACTTACCTTGCGGCCATAAGAAGCCCATATTTGTCAGCCATGACGCCCGGTTATGATGTTAATGATGACGCCCTCCCCCTCCCTCGCTCCGGGAAGGGCAACGACCCAAAGGCTATTCCTACAGGGAGTACCGACGAGGAGGTACTTGCAAGAATTCTACCCCGTCCAGACACGACGGCCATTGAAGCTGCAATGATTAGCATTGGTCACGACTCTGATGAAGGCGGTTTGGAGGCACATCGACCCCGGCTGGGCCGTTCCCTTTCAAAATCTAGCATGGCAACGGAAGCTCTCAAAAGTCACTCTGAAACAGATGCGGTCATAATAGAAGATAGCACTGGAGACGAAGCTTCTCACCCTAGACGGAATAGCGTTGAGCTTAAAGACCGTTCCCGTCCTTTGTCCCGCGCAGGTTTGATATCCCCAGATCACGCCCAAGTTAAGCCTGATACGGACAATGTCGCTATTCCTGCCCGTGGTTCATCCCGACCCGATCGCACTAGCAGCAATGGCAATGGTCGAATCGCAGCACGTAGCGGATATAATATACCCCAGCGGGTCCCTCGTGCTGACGAAGTCGAGCTTGCGAAGAGGATCTTGGCTCAAGCTACCGAGGGTGAGCCTTACTCGCCATCCTACCACAGGGAATATTCATCACCGCCGCGAACGAATCGCTCAGCGACTCCTCCACCCATAGGCCGCTCTCGAAGGAGAATTATCTATGAGTCTGACGAGGAGGAGGAAGAGGACTATTACCAACCCACGTATCATGACGAGATCCGAAACAAAGACCGCAATAGGAGTATAGTATCTACACCAGTTACTGCGATCCATATACCGACGGAAGAAAAATCAAGGTCGCCTGCCTCACTTCACCGACATAGCCATAGTGGCAGGCTGGTACAATCGTCACGCAGGTCCTCACAGCCCCCACCTCTTTTGCGCCCCAGCATATCGCTGGTGGCCTACAAGTCCGAGTCTCGAACCCCTGCCTTCGATCAGCATCATTTGTACGAGGATGCAGAGCCGCCGCCGATTAGCCAAAGACGGCCCGATCACCCGCGTTCACGCCGGGGAACACACCACAAGTACACCGAGATGGGTGAAGAACGTCATCAGGATTACAGCGTCAAGAATGGACTCAGGGCAAAGCTGACGCCGGATTATCGACCAAGGACCGTGGAAAGGATAGCGCCGAATGACGATGCGGTTTCCATTTCACAACAATCGACATCCAAACACAGCACGACGAGCAATGGCTCAAGCCGGACCGCAGACTTTTTCGGCCCTGGCATTTTCCAGGTCGTTCTTCGCAATCCGACTACTGCGCACCAGCTGCTGAAGTTCAGCGAAGCGCGTTTCTGCAGTGAAAGCGTCGAGTTTCTCCAAAAGGTAAGTAAACTTTAGCCCTTTTTTAAATTCGATGGCGTATTACAAGTGCTGATGTCATTGAACTTCAAGGTTGAGAAATATCAGACGACTTTGAACACTCTTGCGGGAATAATGACAACGATTCACAAAGACCATCTCGCTGAAGACTCTCCGAAGCAGATCAACGTCAACAGCGACCTGAGAAAGTCAATTCACTCTGAGATGAAGTCACTCGTTAACAGAACCCTCCCCTCCATGGAAACTCTCTTCACAGACCTGCAAGAGAGTGTTGAGCATGATGTTTACTTGGACGTGTACCCTCGCTTCGTGCGTTACCAGATGGCACTGAGCGCCACAAAAGCGTTAGCCACCAATAGATATAGCTACCAAGGTCTTGGTGATTGCTTTTGCTTGACCAACCCCGCGTAAGCATTTCAACCCTGACCCTTCCGCGTTTACGATATTGAGGCTAACATATACCGATAGTATTGCTGATAATCCCATTGTCTATGCCTCGGACGGGTTTGTGAAGGTCACTGGATTCTCACGGTCTGAAATCATTCCGCGAAACTGCAGGTTCCTCCAAGGCGCACATACTGATCGCGGACCGGTCCGCCGACTGAAAACTGCTATCGAAGAAGGAAAGGAGTCGGTCGAGCTAATCTTGAATTACAAGAAAAACGGCGATCCATTTTGGAATTTGCTCTACGTCGGTAAGAACTCTTATGAACTTGAAATCGCATGGCGGGTGTAGTTTTAAGTGAGCCAGATGACTGACCATGAAACCAAACAATAGCCCCGCTGTACAACGAATCAGGAAAGCTGGCTTTCTTCCTTGGTGGCCAGATCAACTGCTCCACAACCATTCACAGTAACGTGGATGTAATGAGAGTCTTATCAATGTCGAGCCAAGACGATACGCCGACTAAACCAAGGGCGCCGTCTCTTCATCGATCAGGGTCGTTACCTTCTGCACGAAAAGCTTTCCTGAAGGTTCTGGGTGTTCGCACGGATAGTTATGGACAAAACGGTGTATCAAATGACCCCGGAATGGAAAACAAGCTGCTCCATCGCATGGAGGGCCAGACTCTGAATGCGCAGATGAAGGAATTCTACACTGCATATTCAAAAGTAAGGAATCATCCGCCAACAACCCGAAAACAAACCACTAACGCAGTTATAATAGTATCTAATCTTGAGTTATGACTCTTTCGTCATCAAATTTTACTCCGAAGGAGTAATGGATATCCTTCACCCCGCCAACAACACCGTTGGCTTAGTCGCCGGGCAGGAAGTCTTCCGCTTCTTCAAACAGAACATGGTTAACAACCAATCTGACTACAAGGGCCGGGTTCGGAACGCCCTTCGCAGCGGATCACCGATTTCTCTTGAACTTCGACTTCAGACACGACGCAGTGCTCTGTTCCGCGGGGACGAGAAATTCATGACACATTGGACGCCATTAAAGGATGAAAAGTCCCTCATTCATTGGGTGGTGGTCACCATGTCGCCAGCTATTCAGTAAATCCGTATTCCCGCTTTGGGGTTGTGAACCACGTGTGGTGCGTCGAGATCGCCCAGATATTTCTTACGGGCGTGTCGCAGTTTCTCCTAGTTGAACAAGTAGTGAATATATACCCCTTTTCTTGTCTTGATGCAATGATGTGCCTTCAACCACTCCGGCCCATAACTTGAAGAGTAGAGACAGATGAGAGAAAATCCTGCTTTAACATGAACCCGGAGACGTTTCGCCAGCCTTGAAATCACATCGACTAGATATGCGCCATTAGCGACACCCTCATCACATACCTACTCTGAGCATGACGACGTACCACAATGGACACGTAGCACCGCGCTTCATGAGCCAGGATTCGATGCATTCCGAGCAAAAGATGTGGCCGCATGGAAGTTGGGCAACAAGAGTACCGGCTACGAAGTCGTCCAGACAAACAGAGCACGTTGTCGCCGCCGCAAGTTGGGCAGCCATGTCAAGCTTGCTATGCGCTATCTTTGCTAATGGAGGTCTAGTTGGGAGATCTCTTCGGGGTGAGCGGTCGAGCGGCCTCAAAGCAAGAATTCCATATTGGCTTTGTTGCTCGTCTCGTGGCACATGACCTGGGAAAACTGTTTGGCGTGGGGTGTTCCTTTTCCTGCAACCCAACTGGTAGAGAGTTAGGCCGAACAACAAGGCAAAGGCGACACAAATCGCAGCTACAACAGCTCCAGGCTGACCCGAAAGCCCATCAGAATGGGCAGAGTCGCTTGTAGATGCATTTGAAATGCTTGTAGGGCTCATATGGCGGATAGCATGGGATTTGAAGGACAGGCAGGATGGTGTAAATAATGGAGAAAGGATGAACTGAGGTCAAGCTGGATTCACGCTTCCTGGCCTTGGTATAAATCCGAAAACCTCGACAGGTAAAGATCAGCTTTCTCCCATTGCATCGAACAATCTCACCGACTGATTCACATGCGGTGTCTCGGTTGAGGGATTAACCACCATGATGTCCGGGTTGCCAGTTCTGGTTTCGAGGGCCGGGCATCACGAATTCTTGGCAACCGATTGGTACGGGTGTTTGCGTGTCTTGGGTCATTTGCGCACGTTTGCCCATGGGGTAGTTGAAGCTTGTAAGTAATTTTAACGTAATGGCTGCTCATCACCACGGAATAGGAGAACGAGCGCTTGCCCCTTTTGTATGAGGCATTTTCTTGGCATTCCTGCGGCTCACCCGCGGCCTATGTACGTAACGCTCTGGAGGCCGCCTATACGCAAAAGCAATGGTAATTTCGGGAGAACTAACAACTCAATTGCTTGTGAAAAGCAGCAGAAAATAGGTCGTTCTCTGAGACTGTGGCTTCTTCCTCGTTTATGAAAGTAAAGCTCTAATCAGGGCGTAAGACGCACCTAGTGCTTCGCAAAAGAAATCATGCTACAGCCCCCATGACCAGCAATTCCCGATTTTGTTCAGATGTCTTTGGTACTGATTTACAAGTGTAAGCTGACTAAGTACCACGCCAGATGATTTTGTAATGTCCAAGCTCGTTGCTATGGATGTCGGAACGAATCCTATGGTGGTCAACAGGGGTAGATGGAGGTGTTTACCGAAGTTGGTCTTCACGTGTTTTCCAGGGGCCAGATCTGCGAACAATTTGCTTCTCCTATGGTCAAGACTTCCGCAAGGTAACGACGGGACTCCTTAGTTTGAATCAACAGACGATTACCAAAGAAAATATATGAAAGCTCCAATCCATCAAAATACCACCAGTATCAGCAATGAGATCTTCCAGGTCTTAGTGTAAGTAGGTAGCTCGCCTTTCCTCCTATCAAACACTCAGCAGAGGATGAGACCAAACCCGGCTTCCAATTCATCATCAGACCCTTGTGTTAGAAGAGCGCTGTTTATTACGTTGATTCATTTCTTTTCTCGCGCATTGCACATTTACCGATGTGAGACGTTAAAAGGCAACTGTTGATCTTCCGTTCCCGGTCATACTTGACGATACAATTTGTTCCATGGGTAAATCTGAGCTATTGAACGTCAATTGCGGCGAAATGCGAACGAACTACATGCTGCTTTGAGGTTTCTAAGACTTTGATCGAAGCTCAACCTCAAAGATTATCTTGGAGAATCAAGCTTTCTAATTAGGTACTCCGACTTCCATGCTACTACTGCCGAGAATAGCTTTAAAGCGGAGAAAGCATGACCCAGGAGTGATTGGAGCTGAACTTTTACCAGCCATTAGGGAGCACAAAGATTCTATAATGGAATGCGCTGGCCAAAATGAAGCATCCTCAACCTTGATCCAGCGTTCGGCCTGCCATGCGTTGCCGTGAAACGATCGACATGCTTCATGCCGCATTTGACGGTGCTCCGTTAGACTTTACCATCAATTTCGGTCTGAATATATGTCAGTTTCACTTTTAAAGCAGGTTACGTCCCCAATCAGCTATGTGTATTTGACAATGTTCTGTCTAGCAGTCTCTACATATTTCCTGCCCTGTATCCCGCCAAATTGGAGATTCTAAGACTGTCAAAAATGTATACAGATACATATATGTATGCATGAAATGCAAATGTTGCCAAGGCTGGATCCTTGAAAGCTCTCCGAATCATCCGAGAAGAATAACAACTTGTAGCCTCCTTATGTCTTTGTTGTCTATCCTGTGAAGTCAGATTCCTCGCGTCACAGCTGATCTAGGCTCATGGCATCGGTCCCTGCCGCGCATGTAACAAAGTGATCCGAAGTTTCCGGATGTCGGACTACTTGGCTACGGCAGTCCGCAGGGCGCACTGGGTCAAAATTCAATAATTTCCGCATCGGGTCAATAGGTCTACACCTAAGGGGAGGATTTTTAAAAGGCTCTGATTGGCTGAGAATTACAGGCACTTGCGCGAGTCAAGAGCGAAAAGGGTAAATGCGGGCAGTGTAATTATATATGGGGTAGTTGAGGTAGTTAAGGCAATTAGGGCAGTTGGGGCAGTTAGGTGTTACGACCCGTAAACAAGGATAACAGCTGAACGACCCACTTGGGCGTCGGGCGGCTAGAACATGATTGATTGATTGATTTATTCCTACTCGGTTATGAAGCCGCTCTTATGCCAGCAGCTATGCCCGGAAAGCGGGGTTTGGCAGGTAGCCGAAGCGTCGACAATAAACAGCGACGCCCCACTTCGCCCTGATGTTGCATCAGGGCCAGCTATCCCCAAGCTCCCCACTATGTTCTCTATTCTGTGTGTTTGTGCCCTCTGTTGAAGAAGTGTGTTGCTCTCCTGTCTGCTTTCTCGCTTTTGTGTTGCTCTCTAGAATGCTTGTTTTGCGTCCTCCTGCTTCGGTTCAGTTGGTGCTGGTAGCACCGTATCTGGTTCTTTGTACCTACAGTCTCCCCCCAGCGCTCAGCTTTGTCTCTTTGTTTTGTCCGTATCCTCCCGGACTTGTATGTGCCGTTTTCTCAGTTGCATCTGTAAATTCTTTGTTGCCTCCTGCCGGGTTCCTATGTGGCCTCTTGTTTCTTGCCTGTTGACCACTATTGCCCTCTACCACATTGGCCCAAGGGTCTTCCACGAAGCATAATGCTCTACTGACTCCGACATGTTCGATTACTGGGTATGAGAGCTCCCGCACAGATTCCGCAGACATTGTCGCGCGTTGAAGGGACACCAATCCTTCTTCGCAAAAGGGGCGACAGGGGACCAGTCTGTCTGTGGTCTGTAGTATTGTGTGGCATCGATCGTAGCATGCCTAATGCCTGGTGCTTTCTCCGTGCGGAAGGTGATACTGTTCTGTCGGACTCATCTTCGTCGTTGTGGGACGTTGCAAACTTTGTCGGGGGTGACAGGTGACCCAAAACCTGTCGGCGGCTGTTGTGTTGAAGTTGATTGTTTGGGCGCAGTCTTAGTGCTTCGTGTAGCGGCTTGTGGCTCGCCTGTGGTGGTGGTAACAGTGTTGTCTATTGATATGTCGTATTTTGCGGCTTGCTCTCAAGTTTTTCATTGTAGTCGGGGCGTGCTCTGCGGCCATCTTGGGCCCCTTTGGGACGTAGAATCAAGGCCGAGGATGGCATTGCATCGAAGGGGGCTCTGTGGCCGCGAGCACGCGTATTTGGGGCCGTTTTTGCTCCGATTTTCAAAAATTTCGTTCTCGCTGTTGTTGATGTTTTTTGGGGCGGCTAGAACAGGACATTTGTACTGCAGAATCACAGGAACAACAGGGATTCACTCGGAAACGGAAGAACTATGGTGCAAGTCACGTGACGATAAGATAAGAGATTAGATCCGTACGCTAAGAATACGGAGTCCGTCCTTGGCACATACGGGATCCGTATGAACGAGGAACGGACCCCGTCAGGATCAGGAACGGTAAAACAAACAAAGGGTACTGTTCGGACTTGTATATAGTATGACCTGAGCTCGACTCATAGTCAGACTTTGTTAGAAGTATAAGTATATTATACTTCTATTTTACTTATTTATCCTATTTAGTCTTATCTAAGACTTAGTAGGACTTACAAAAGTAACTAGCTAAGAATGGCTGCTTGCTAGTTTAAACATATGATATTCAGATCCCTATGGAATACTCTCTTTAACCTTATCTAAAAGTCTATTTAGTTAAAGAAGATTCTAGTCTGATTTATAAGCTGCTTTATAAGCTAGTTGACGTATATACTTACGTATACTAAACCTAGCTTATAGCTTCCTATATTAGCTATTATAGGCGACGTTATACTACTATATAACTAGCCTAATTCTCTCCCTTAGCTAGCTATTAGTTCCTCAACCAACTCAGCTTCAATATAAGCCTATACATTCTTTACTATTAAAGCCCTACTTCATAAGTACAAGTTCCCTTACTCTAATACCCTGTTATAAGGATATCGTACTATCTACGAGATTCCTACCTACCGTTCCAACAGACTTCCATAGCTCTTCAGCAATCAACTTTGTATTCATCCTCAGGATACTTTCAGCTTACCTTCACTGCGAATACTTGTTGAGCCTAAGATTGATCACCTTAGCCTCTGACTACCGATCTACGACACAGCCTACGACCTACGAACCAGACTTACGACACGACAATACTGTTTACTAGCGTCAATCCCCAACTTCTGTTAGCAGACCCTACTGTCGGATAGCTGACCGTAACATTAGGGCAGTCAGGGCAGTCAGGGCAGTCAGGGCAGTTAGGGAAGTTAGGGCAGTTAGGGCAGTTAGGGCAGTTAGGGCAGTTAGGGCAGTTAGGGCAGTTAGGGCAGTTAGGGCAGTTAGGGCAGTTAGGGCAGTTAGGGCAGTTAGGGCAGTTAGGGCAGTTAGGGCAGTTAGGGCAGTTGGGGCAGTTAGGGAAGTTAGGGCAGTTAGGGCAGTCAGGGAAGTTAGGGCAGTTAGGGCAGTTAGGGCAGTTAGGGAAGTTAGGGCAGTTGGGGCAGTTGGGGCAGTTAGGGAAGTTAGGGCAGTTGGGGCAGTTAGGGCAGTTAGGGCAGTTAGGGCAGTTGGGGCAGTTAGGGCAGTTAGGGCAGTTAGGGCAGTTAGGGCAGTTAGGGCAGTCAGGGCAGTTAGGGCAGTTAGGGAAGTTAGGGCAGTTAGGGCAGTTGGGGCAGTTAGGGAAGTTAGGGCAGTTAGGGCAGTTGGGGCAGTTAGGGCAATTAGGGGAGTTGGGGCAGTCAGGGAAGTTAGGGCAGTTAGGGCAGTCAGGGCAGTTAGGTATTAGGGTTAAGGGGGGAGGCGCTATAGCTATAGCGAGGTAAGTATTATAGAACACTATAATTATAAGTAGGGGATTACTACGGGTATAAGCCGGGAGTCAGACTTTAGCAGGGTTCTAGGGTTGACTTTTTATGGGTATACAGGCACGGGCTCCATACTTACCTAAAATTTCTAGCCACTCATATCTTATCGATAACACACCTTAGTGGAGACATTAGCCATATTAGGCAAGTTCTACCCCTCATACCGTATACCTACTAATTTATTGAATTTTGACCCAGTGGTCCCTGCGGACTGCCGTACTTGGCCCCACTAAACCTCGACCGGTATACGAACGGATTCACAGCGGTCAGCCTTCAGACGGACGCCATCAGTTGTCCAAAGATTAGGCCAGCTTTTTTGATATTGAAGTATCTGGAGTAAGTATACTCCTGACGTGCCTCGATAGCAAAGCAAAGTCGCTTGCACAAGAGCATTCGCTTCATTATGAAAAAAGGTGCTAGAAAGACGGCATCCAGATGGACTGTTTCTTTAATCTCGATCTTCTCATTTTTTACCTTATTGAGCTTACCGGATTAAATAGAATACACTTAAAACCTTTGAGGAGCCACTCCAGCCCACAATCCAGGCGGAGCAAACTTTATTTAGGCACGGCACTGACGACTACGGAGAAAGTAGAGGCTAATCCTTTGCCAAAAAGAGCAAGCCAACAGTTGAGACCCGGTTAATCGTTCATCTGTAGTCATGTCTTATTGGGTCGGGGATACCAATGCAAATTTGGATATCGAACCAGCAAAAGCTACCTGTTCAGCATTGACAGAAGTTTAATCGAGTTTTGTATCAGCAAGGGCGGCGCCTTGTTTCACATAAATAACAGTCGGCATCCTACATAAGAATGCCGTTAGGAGAACCGTTAAAAGATGTCACTGAGTCAGGAAAGTTATGCCTAAAGGCGTCGTAGATTGAGCTACGCCCACCTGTGACGCAGTAACAGGCGTTCTGCTGAGGCGTACGCCGAGAATTCTATTTGTAGATATGGCGGGTCCAATTGTACATATAAGATGCTAAAGCGCTTCAATGAGTTGATAAATAGTTCCCTGAGGTCTTCGACAGTGGTGCTTCTGTTTTTAGCGTTCACTATTTCCCGCGCCCTGTACTCGGACCAATCATTGCTAAGAAATCATTTGTTCTTCTTTGGAATTAAGACTTATTGTTAAGACAACTCAATCCCGTCACGATTTCAAATTGTACGAAATTGTAGTCAAAATGAAGGCCACTTTCTTTACACTGGTTTTTGGTCTCTCTAGGTAAGTCGCACATGGGTTTGGGTTTAACAGTAAACTAACCTATCCAAGTGCTGCACTGGCCCAGCAACAGTTCCGTTGTCGCTGTGCGGACGGAAACGACAACAACGTTCCTCGCATCGGCGATATCTGTACATCGAAGGGTGGTCAGCTTGAGCAGGGCCGAGACGATCTCTGTATCAAGATACCCTCAAAGTTCACAAACGAGGACTGTGCCAAAGTACAACAAGGATCAAGAGGGGATTGCATTGATGAGCCTACTGGCGGGGGAAGTACTGTCGTCGTCACCGCAACTGCTGCCAAGCGTGCTTTGCAAACCCCAGACGTGTAGAGACGGTACGGAAAGAAGTGGAGAAGATGTTTTTGCGACTGCATTTTGAAGCTGTTGATTTCAACCTTGTGAAAGATCAGCAGGGGATTTAGAGGTTGCCTACCTGGTGCATTAGACTTTTTGACCTGCAAATATTGGATACCTTACTAAACAAAATAAGAATTAAATCCCATTAAGTCTACTTTTTCTCTTCGTTAATTAAGCTTGAGCCCCTTGGTACTTGTGATACTGTCCATTGAAATCTGGTACCAAATGCAAGTTTTTCATCCGAAGCAGCTATAGTATCACTCAGTCATCATTGGGAAATCACTTTTGGAGAGGAGCTTCTTTGTATCCTAAATGTGAAAAGATAGTTTGAACCTCACAGCATAGAATTCAAGGTAAATAGCCGGTAATGAGACAGTTCATTGCGCCGCTGTTAGAAGACTATCATTATTCATCCTTTATTCCTTAGTTAGTGCCGAAAGGTTAAGCAGTACTTTGGAGGTCCATGATAAAACTTTCCGACCCTCTGGGTATGTACATCTTCGTGATCATTTGCCAAGAAGAACAGAATATAATAGATAGATCACAACTACTTCATGTTCGTATATTTGGCTAAGTTGGACAATTTCTTTGTGTTCACTTGGTGAACGATTGATTCTATGTGTCGTAGTTAAGTGCTAAAGTTCCAATTTGTGGTTGTCTTGCTTGTTTATGCGAAGTAAATGTTGACCTAAAATCAGACCTTACAATACTTTCCCGTATTCGCTCTCTTATTAGACATGAATCTTCATCGTTGTCAGGCATGTTGAGCACGGAAATTGAGCAGAACAGACCTGATGACATGGCGATGGAGTTGTGATTGAATCTGTTTAAGTACAGAGAGGGTAAGAAAATACATGTGATGATTTGTAAGTGAAATAACATCGAGACTGATGAAATGGCGACCGAAAACTTGTTTACGATGCCTAGGGTCTTGTGCTAGAAACCAAAACCACCATTTAAAGTTGCCAGCCATCCAGAACCTTGGTGTCGTTGAAAACGGTCAAGTCCATGTAATGAATTTCCCGCGTTCCGCCCCTACCAAAGTTCTCCGAAGTAATGTTGAGCAAAGTAGCAGAGGTAGTTGAGGAAGTCAGGTTCGTCAAGCCAGGGAATGCCGCATCAATCAGATGAGAAATTTGCTGAGGAGTAAAAAAGTCCGCGCTCTTGCTCTCGATATTCTTCTGAAAGAAGGAGACATATTTGCGGGTGTGTTCGACGTCCTTCGTTGCGCTAAATGTATCGGCGGACAGCGCGTGTCCGGGAATGACCTTTTCGGGCCTTAGACCGGAAATAAAGTCGAGGGTAGCAAGCCATGACTGGGTGAGAGCAGGTGTGAGGAGGTCTGCGAGCCAGGCGTGCATCTGGTGGCTGTAGACAACGTCTCCCGCAATCAAGGTTTTAGAAGACGGAATCCAAAACATGGCCTCGTCCATCATGTCACCTCCCACAGGCTTGACAATCTCAATAGGGCAGGCTTCATCGCCAGGAAGAGTGAAGAAGGAGAAGTTGTAGGCGGTTGGGATCGCAGGTACCGGGGCAATGATTCCCTCCCCGTAAATAGCGGACCAGTCCTTGGTCTGTGTTACGTAGTAGTTAGCACTGCATCCAACTTTGGATTATGTCAGACTTCGGAACCAACCTTGTTCAAAGCCTCATTCTGGATCCAGTGAGTAGCTTCGGGGATTGCGTAATGTTTGGCCTCGGGGAACTGTTCTAGGAATGCCTTTCCACTCAGGTAGTGGTCGGGATGGCCATGAGAAGTAAAGGCTGCCACGAGGGGCTTATCGGTTGTGTTCTTGACCCAATCGGCCAAAATCTTGGCTTGCGGAACGGCCATGGGCAGGTCGACAATGACAGCCGCTTGAGAACCGACGATGAGTGAAGATACTACATCGAGAGACAGGCCTTGGTTCACATGGCTCTGTACTTTCAAGCTGCAATTGCAAGAAGCGCTTGCGAGTTTAAGGGCGGCCAACAAAGTGGCAGCTGTTGCAAGGTTTCGGATCATGTTGTCTAAACGGATTGGTTGCTTGTTGTCGTTTGTTTACTGCGATGATCAAGCCAGTGTTGGTTTGATGTCTGAGTATGTGGATGCTTCATAAAAGAAGATGTATTCAATCGCAGGACTTTCATGGTATTTATGTCTCTTTCAGCTGCCCCCTTAGCAAGCTACTGTCATACTCGAAGCACACATTTGCAATTTGGTTCCGACACTCTAGCAGCATTCTCTATGACACCAGGATTACCAGTCATGAGTGGTTGCTCAGATACTCAGATGACTGTTAGCGTTGAAAAAAACGCAGTTAAACAGGTAATTTACAGATCTTTAAAGAGTGCGGAACCAATCTGCTCCCGTCGGTACAACTGTTTGGGGCTCTAGAGATGGCTTTGGTGGAGATTAGCCACCCGTGAAATTAAGCTCTTCAATGCCGCTCTTACTAACACAGTGGTTTCTCACTAGGCTAACTAAAAAACAGAGACAGTGGGTTAAGAAAAATCACTTCCTCGGGGACTACATCCGTAGGGTCACGGCATCTCCTTGCCATGATTTAAGGTTGCGAGGTCCGAGACAATCGCGTCGCTCCCGAATGCTCGGGCCGTCTCCACTTTCCTGTCCTACGATCAGGTAAGCAGCCCTGGGCTGGTGAGAACAGCTTGATTCTGCTCGGGGAAGGAACGACTATCTCTCCTTCCCTCTATTCCATCCAAGCTCAATTTCCCCGGTTACCAGGCTCACGCAGCCTCATCTGACATTGAGGGCGGCGATCCACCACAACCAATGGCGTGGTGGCAGAGTGGTCTAATGCGCAAGACTTGAAATCTTGTTCCCTCGGGAGCGTCTGTTCGAATCAGGCCCACGTCGTTTTTTGATTCATTGGAAACTGTCTTATTTTTTTGGGGTGTTCTAGTTCCGTTTGGTAACCCATGCGTCTTTTAGCAAACAGTGACGCGGCATTGGAGAACTTGAAAGAATGTGATTTGGATTTTCCAGCCGAGTCTCCCAGAGTAGTTTGGCATATTTACCGGTAGGATCAAGATGCCTATCAGTTTACAGCATATGAATAAGCTCACTGTTCCTAGAATTGGTTGGTCATAAGCTGCGAAAAGCAGGCCCAATCCCACCCCACCCCATCAGACACACTAGGAGACCATTCATCCCCAGGCATGGTTATCCCAGAACCCATTTGATCGTAGCCAAATTCGCCTTCGCCAGGCAAAAAGTAGTTTTGGTTAAAAAGAGGCGTCGCTGCCGACACTACAGACGCAGCGCTTGCGTCCTTTATCTGGGCAGATTGAGGCCCAGCCCAGGTAGTTGGTGTTTGATTCAGATCATGCCTTTGGATTGGCAAGGAACTGTCTTGATTTTCTGCTCTGTTTGGTAATGCTTCTTGGAGGGGTTGCGCAGCTAACCGACTAGGAGCCGGGGTGGCTTGTTGCAGGATCCCATCAACTTTTTGCAATAGACTATCGAACATGTCGTCGCTACGAAGCTGCGAGTACACTTCTTGCATTGATTCCGAAGCTGTTTTAATAAGCTTTGGAAAAACAAATTAGCAGGACTTCTGGGTACGAAAATAAAGGTAGTATTGCTCACATGAAAGTCCATCGTCGAAATGCGGGACTCGGGATGGGTTACGATGTGCACTGCCAGTGTCACAAAAGCATTGAGTGCAGCCAACAGACTTGGAAAGACAGCATTAGACTGGGAGTCCAGTGTTTCCACAAGTATTCGGAGTATCTTCCGGGCTGCGTTAGCAGCTATCGACTGCCCGTTCCGAACGATGTAATCCCACGGCTTCCCTTTTGCAATTATGTTAGCACCAGAGTATATCGCCTCCTCGCTAATGAGGAGACTGTTGCGGGATAGGATGACAAGACTAAAATGACAGTGTGAGCTGCAATAATTCTTCAGTAAGCATGGTTGTTTGAGAACTTACGCGCTATTGTAGTGAACAGATATGAAAGAAGCGTATGGACAGATTCTGGAGCCGATTAGGATGTCTGAAGTTGGCCTAAATGGTATTTTATCAGCGTCAGAATTTCTCCAGTTCGTCCTCTAACTCTACTTGAGACAAAGATGCCGATTGAGATCTCACCGTAATTCGTCAGGCACAGATTCGCCCCATCTAGTGAGCAGCAATTGAGCCTCTCCGGTCGTCTCTACCTTTTCAGTAATGACAGCCTGGAGCGCCGACCCCGTTACGCCATCCTCCTTCCTACTGACGATGACTGACTTTCGGCCAATCTCACTGAGAATCCTCGCTAGATCGACTGTAACCGCGAATGCTTTTTCTTTCGATGATGCTCCCGATTCTGTGAGTGCTGCGGATTCTTGTACGTAGGGAGGGTAACAGTCATCATCATCAATGGTCGATAGACGACCCATCTCGAACGCCAAAAGCTTCTCAAACGCGTAAATTCCTAACCAGAATATGCGGCGCTCTTCGTCGTTAAGCGCATCTGGTTTTCGGTTCTGACATTTCCGGACACAAGTACGTGGTTTCTGCAAGCGCAGCGCCGTAGCCATCGAGACCCCGATACTGAGTGTATTCCAGGCCCCGGCGCAATCGTCGTAACAAATCATACACGCCGCTAGTAGCACAGTTGCTCGCACATGATCGACATCGTTAATCGTGATCAGATATCCGAGCAACGTTTTGCAGTAGTCGAGATATTTCTTCGGCTCTACAGTGGTTTGGAAAAGTGGTCCCGCTGCAAACCCAATGCTCCAAACCATGTACATCTGGACCAAGACGGCGACCCCCCTTGCTTCAGCAAAGTCAATTGGTGTTAGATCCAACGCCAAATCGAGGTCTCGCTGGAACCTGTCATGGTTGAGCAGAGGAAAGAGGACATTGAGGCCGTCAAAGAACCTGGCCGCTAACAGACGTGCAGGCCCAGCTGGAGGAAAAGGGCAGATTTCAGAAGAGAGGAGTGCCCGTATGCGGTGGTTTGCGGAAGGATTGTTCACGCGAGGCGGCAGACCTCTCCTGTGTTGAAGATTCAACCGGCGTGCGGCGAGGTCAAGCCAGTCACCCAGTATCTCCACGGATGTGCTGCCACGGCTTGGTCGAACTACGGGTAACTTCCCTTGAAACTTTCCATTGCCGTGACTTGAAGGTTCCTCTTCTTGGGCGACTGTCGGAGCGGACGTCGAACTTCTCGGTACCGTTGACTGCTTTACAGTGTCGTCATGTGTGCGGTCTGCAGCTGATGGAGAGCTCTTGAGGCATTGAGTGGCCGTATCCACCGAGCTACCGCAAATTTCGGTTTCTCTCGTAGACTGCGGAGACGCGTACGCCCCGGCCGCGGCGCCCGGTGTGGATGACGGAAGAGATGAGGTGGATGCCCGAGACGTGCGGCGTTTAGTCTCGCGCCGTTGTACCTCAATTCCGGGACGCCGTCGATCGGTAGTGACGCAGTCAATCCCAGCTGCGATGCATGCTCTACATGACGGCTTCTGCTCGTCGCAGCGTGTCTTGCGGTTCCGGCAGTAGTTGCAGGCGAAATTGATGCGTCTCCGCTTGGTTATCGGGCCAGCGTCCGATGCCGACGGGTCAGCGAACGAATCCACTGATGTGGATACAAGGTTCGCGCAAGAGGATGACATGGCCATATCAAGATCTCTGAAATTGCTGTCAGGCAATGTGACGGACTATAGGCTGAAATGCCGCTCCCGAACTATGGGACCGATCAGGACGCGGGCGGGTTGGGCATCGGCTGGAGAAAAGCAAAGATACCGAAGCGTGTCGTTTCGCCAAAAAAGATACATTAGGGTTCATGTACCGAAACAGAGATGCGGCTTTGCACAGGTTGTGCGTTCTGAAGGGGTGCGTTTCGGCGATTCATGTGGATGCCGATGAACCGGCCCCTCATTCCGTCGACGCTCAGATCTTCCGGGAGGTGGGGTATCCATGCAAATGCCGCGTTGACAGATCTTCTCACGTATTGCCGCTTCTGTGAGTGGCTGATCAGGTGTGTTCCCCATGTTGTCCCCATGGGGTTAATCTCAGTGAGAACGTGGGGAAACTTAACCCAGTATAACTATCTGGTTGGCTTGCATGCAGTACTACTTGCGGTATAGAACTGGAGGTGTCGTTTCTCGCATTGTCGGGATCTCGTGTGTCTGAGCCGAGCCGACGGTGAGCACGTAGGGTGGAGTTACGATAGCAACTAAGGGCCAATACGACAAGAAGGCACACTTACAGACGCCCAAATTTATTGTTATAGAACTGATTGAAAGACAGCAAGAAGGTCAGGAGAGATCCTCAGAATGTATTTACATACAAAGAAACTTTAATATGCTCAATCGCCCCTGTGCTTGTCACTGAGTCAGAGCACTCGCTTCACCTCTAGCCCGACAAGTTCTTGAAGGTTTCAAAACTTTTCCTGTGCTGAGAAACAATCAAGCGGTTATGGTCTTTGAGAGACGCTATAATGTCTGAGCTTCCAGTGCAAAAAGATGATGAACCCCGTGTCGATACCTTCGAATCGCCCGTCCACCAACCCCATGCAGCACACGAGAGCCAGGCCCATGGCACCGTTCAACTTCTCCAGGGAGGTTCCGTTGTCCTGATTCCCACCCCAAGTCCGGATCCAAAGGGTGAGATCATGTTATGTCATTGGAAGTTGATGGAGCACTAATATCGCGAGATAGACCCTCTCAATCTTCCAAAATGGCACAAATACCTCATCATATTGGTTGTAGGCTCATACTCCGCCATCGCGGTCTTGGTCACCTCAGGCTTAGGTGCGGTATTCCCATCAGTGTTAAAGGAGTATCCACCTGAGGAGGCTGGCCGAGCAACAGACCTATTGACCTATCCAACACTATTCATGGGCATCGGCAACCTGTTTTCAATGCCGCTTTGCGTTACTATCGGACGAAGACCAGTCTTCCTGGCATCTTTGGTCCTGATGGTTGTATCTGGCATATGGTGCGCCTTTTCGGGTTCACTGAGCAGTCATATTGCTGGACGCAACTTTTACAGCATCGCTGCTGGACAGAGCGAGGCCCTAGCACCTTTCATAATCGAGGAGATCCACTTCCTTCACGAGCGTAGTGCAAAGCTGTCCTGGTTCATCGGTGTTCAAACTGTGGGCACAGCTGGAATGTTTGTTGCGACTGCTTACATCGTCCCGGCGTGGGGTACCAAGTGGTGGTACATTATCGTCACGCTCATCAACGCCGCCATCCTGGTATTAGCCTTTTTCTTCGCGGTAGAGACTAAGTACAACCGACCTAAAGATGCTGACCGTAAGTCATGCGGAGCTTTTCTTTCAAAATTCATGTGTGCTAACACTACCTTCCCAAGGCGGAGCTGTCCACTTAAAACTAGATGACCTGGGGAACGTCTGCAACAAGGGCGACACAGAAATGGTCTTCCAAGTCACAACCCGAGAAAACCACGTGCTTCAACCGGAAGTGTTTGGCAATAGGACATGGCGATCCGATCTGAGGATATTTCATTTCAAGCCTGAGTGGAGGCAGACTCTTGTCTTCTACAAGGAGACGTTCCAATCGCTTTGCCTGCCCAACATTGTATGGATGCTTCTCATTAATGGCACTTTCCTGGGAATCTACATCTATCAAGCCTCGACGTTTGCGACAATTCTAATGTCCCCGCCATATTCATTCCAGTCGGAGTGGCTGGGGTACGTTCAACTTGTTCAGGTGCTGGATTGCGTTATTATGGTTCCACTTCTTGGATATGGCTCTGATATTCTTGCTCGAATGATGAGTACATGGAAGAATGGCATTTTCCAGGTATCTTAGCCCCTTTTCATGTGCTAGTACCAAGAATGAGGCTAACAGGAAACAATGTTCAGCCGGAGTACCGATTGGTCATCCTGAGCATCCCTATTGCTTCGGCCATCGTGGCGTGCATCTTGTATGGTCAAGCTGGCGCGAACCCCGAAAGCTGGCATTGGATGGCCATCGTAGCACCATATCATGTGGGATATTTTGCTTTCTTGGGAGCCAACCTGATTGGTATCACCTACGCCATCGATAGTTTCCCGAGCAAAGCTGGCCCTCTTCTGCTGGTCATTTGTGCCGGTCGTGGCTTCATCTCGTTTGGTCTCAGCTATTCTACCGTGCCGCTAATTAACCTGACGGGATACAACGGTGCGATGAACATTTTCGCCATTATATCCGGAGTGCTGGGAGCCATCACTATCCCTGTGTATTTTTGGGGTGCTCGTATTCGGATGTGGGCAACGAGGAAGCTTTGGCCTGAGTTGGCTCAATGAATGTTGTCTGAGGTTTAGGGTCATCGGAGCCTTATTATCAGTGATTTTCACAGATGCAGAATGAACTTTTGTTTAGAAGCTCATAAATGCGTATCTCATCTTTACACTTCTTGCCATCCTTCATAGACTATCAAGCATAAGCTGAACTGCAGCTGATTTCACGTCCTTCAAATCCGGACAAAACCGACCCCGTTCATTGTAGATACAACTGATGTCGTTACGTAGCGTTGGGATTAAACAGGCCAAAGTAAACATTAAATTTTCCCTTCCTGAGACTACAGGTTTTTGGCCGACTACCATGCACATTTGCAAGTCGTAGGACCCTCTTGTATCAACCCATTCAGCAACTACACCTTCATCAGCACAATGAAAATTCACATATAAAAGATCATAGTTGATCTCAAACAAAATTTCGAAGAGGAACTATTTTCATGATAGCAAATTCAGTATGAAAGCGACTAACTATTCAACTTCCCCCAAAACAACAAGACAATCAAACTTCAATGGGAGCGTTCTGGATGTACGGAATACCGGTCAACCTGAACCCTCTCTCTGACAATCTCGGCACCTCCCTAGGCTTGCCCGTATTATACGGACACGGCTCCCCATTCCTCTTCACCGGGATACCTCCAACATGCATAGCATTAGGCCAATGCGTCGTGCTCTGCAAGTTCTCAAAAGCGCCCCTCTTCCTCACCAAATCCTCCTGCGTCGCCTCCGCAACCGGCATGAAGCACGTATAGACACAGAACCGTGGCCTGTCCCCCTCAGGGCTAAGATTATAATGCGGCGTCCGGCTATCCCACAGCAACAAATCGCCCGGCTCAGCATTGATCTTGACCCACTCGCACCCCTTCTCCTTCAACCACTGCATGCCTTCCTCGGTGAACCCGTACCACTCCTTTGTCCAAGCCCACACGCGGTTCGGCTCGTCTTTGAAGGCTTCGTGGAATTCTTCGCTGAGGAGGTGCGCGCCCTTGCAGACGATCAGACCACCGTCCTTGTCGCCGTTGGGGAGAATATTGACGAGGCCTTGCAGACAGCGGAAACCAGGCTTTTCCGGGTCCTGGTCCTGGTGCGGCCATGGTTTGTTAGGCGCAACGTCGGAGCGGTTAGGGAAAGCCATGTTGACGGCGTCGAAGGAGACGATGAGGTCTTGTGTGTCGTAGACTTTCTCAAACGCGGAGACGAGGCCTGGTTCTTGGCGGACTGCCCATGTGAAGGACTCGTGGGCTATACCGTAGCCCAGACACATGCCCTTTTCAGTTATGATGGGGAGGTTTGATTCCTTGACTGTAGTTGGATCGTTACGGTCGAAGCCGAGACCACCGGCGCTAAAAGGGTTTAGTTAAGACGATGAGGGAAGGAAATTGAAGAGGCTTACAAGTTCTCTAAGAACGACATCATTTCATCGCCATACTTCTCGGCTCTGTCGCGTGGGATGGCGCCTTTCACGACGACGTAGCCATCTCGGACGAGGTCATCGCGGAAGTCTCCGTGCGTGACGCCGTCTTGAGAGAACAGCTTGTTAGGTCCAGCTGGCTTGGGTATGAGAGGGGCAGATGCCATTTCCGGCTTCTTGTTTGCTGAGACCGTGATGGTCGCGGAGGAAGAAGCGTAGTCTGTGGCAATGACCATGATGGAGGAGACAAGGGACGTGGGGTAGTCTTAAGGTAATAGCCTGTAATTTCTTGAAACTGCGTCAAGCCGAAAACTTTGATTGCAGTTTGGCTTCAGCAAACAGACTGTTTAGAAGAGGTACGTTGACACATGTTTATACTACTGCTCTCTGAATTGTTGTCATCCGATGTTCCGATATTGTGTCACACAAGACAACCGTTTAGATGATCATCTGCAGATTCAACTTTTGCCTCACCAGATCCAAGGTAACTTCCTCCAACCAGACTGCCTAGCTTTACTTGCTCTGTTGCTACGGCACGGAAAGTCGTGGAGGATTGATGGTGTTCGGGACGGAACCATCGGTTCGGGCAGCCTTCGTGTACTCGGTTCGGGAGTTAGTGGGGCTCTCGCGCTCCGCTCCCCGAACTCATATCGAATTTGCGGGAACACTGGTCGTCAGGAAGCTGTCACGAGCTTCATCACGGAGAATCAACGCGGCTTTTGAAATGTTTGAAACATTCATTCATACATTCTTAAGTCATAAATGATTGAGACAGCATCATGTTTTTGAAAGCAAGTCCCAGCCTGTTCCGTATTTACTTCACACCCCTGGTCAAATCGTTCGAGACCACTTAGACCAGAATACATGAACTGAAAGTTGTACACGATACGGAAATTGGCCATCATGACGTCTCTCGACTTCAAGGTGCCCATTGAACCTCTCAGCGCTCCAGTAGTTGGACAAGATGGTTACACGGGTCTTAACCCGCGCTCAGAAACCCTTCCAAAGGGCTGGAAACACCCTCACCCAGACTCCCGTCCTCTGCCCTGTGACATTCTGGTAGACCATGACGTCGCCATCACCGTCCGCGACGGTACAACACTATATGCAGACATTCTCCGCCCACCCAACACCATAGAGAAAGTCCCTGCGTTGATCTGTTGGTCCCCCTTCGGCAAGAAATTCAATGGCCTCATGTCCCTGGACTACATGACACCATGGAAGCTCGGGATGCCATCAGGCACGCTCTCCGGCCTCGAAAAGTTTGAAGCCCCGGACCCGGCGGACTGGGTGCCTCGCGGATACGCCATCGTCAATGTCGACACGCGGGGGACGTTCGACAGTGGTGGCACAATGGTCATCATGGGTGCGCAGGAGGCTGAAGACGGCTATGACACGATCGAGGCAGTCGCTAAGATGGACTGGTGCAACGGGAAAGTCGGTCTAGCAGGGAACTCGCACCTCGCCATCGCGCAGTGGTTCATAGCCGCCCTCCGACCGCCCAGTCTGAAAGCTATTGCTCCGTGGGAGGGGTGCGGAGATTTGTACCGCGAGCAGTTTGCGCGAGGCGGCATCTATGCCGGAGACTTGTTCGACGAGCTCATCGTCAAGCACATGCTCAAGGGCCGCAACGGCCTCGAAAGCTTCCGGGAGATGTATCAAAAGCATCCGCTCGCCAACGCGTGGTGGAACGATAAGAGACCCGACATGAAGAGAATTAACGTCCCGACGTATATCACTGGTACGTGGACGAACACGATGCACGGAATGGGTGCCATCAGGGCTTGGTTGGAGGTTGACACGGCGGATAAATGGCTGAGGTGGCATCCGTGGCAGGAGTGGTTTGACCTCTGGGGTAATCCGCAGGCCAAGGATGAACTTTTTGCCTTTTTCGACCATTACCTTAAGGACGTCAATAATGGGTGGGAACAGACGCCGAAGGTGAGGATGGCACTGCTGAAGTTTGGGAACAAAGTGCCGCAGGCAATTGAGAACATTGTCGAGGAGGAGTTTCCGCCGGCGAGGACGCAATATAAGGTGTTCCACCTAGGGGAAGGAGAGCGTCTGCTTGAGAAGAAACCAGAGAAGACGATTAATGTCAGCTATGATTCGACGTCTGGCGACAGCGTCGGTTTCAAGTATACCTTTACCGAGACAACGCGCATCATGGGGTTGCCCAAGGCAGTCCTGTACATGTCCTGTTCTGACCACGACGACATGGATGTGTACGTCATGATACAGAAGCTCGACAAGGACAGCAAGCAGATGAAGAACCTCAATATCCCCTGGAAAGGCATTCCTGTCAAGTCGTTTGACGAGTTTACGCCCGAGCAGGAAACGGAAGTTGTACTCTATAAGGGCCCCGTCGGGATATTACGTGCTTCACATCGTGCTATCGATGAGGCTAAGAGCATGCATCCACATTGGCCGTATCATCAGCATGAAAATGAGGAAAAGATTGAGCCAGGAACGGTAGTGAGATTGGACATTGGGATCTGGGCTACTGGGATTGAGTTTGAGGCTGGAGAGAGCCTCAACGTTGTTGTCAGTGGTCAGAGTTTTGCAGTGAATAACTTTGGAAAGGATCATGGGCTGAATCGGGGACATCACATTGTGCATTTAGGAGGGGAATATGCGAGTCATGTGGTTCTCCCTTTCGTGTAGATTTGATGCTGAAGTCCTTATGGATTGTATCGTGCAAGGTATACTAATGAATGGTTTCTGGTGATGATAACCTATTGCTTCATTCACTGTGCTCCTTCCTATGGTTTCTACGCATGCAGCCGTCCGGTAATAAAAATGCATCAGTCTAAATGCATATTTTTTTTTTTTTTTTGCAAAAGACCTCAAGACTCATGTTATTAACATCTCACCAACCAAGTTTTCATCGCTTGGTTACAACTTGTATTTTTATTTTCAGTCCATTGCGATATTAAGACTGCTTTCATTTTCCCTTCCTTACCATACTTGATCCAGGATAAGACGTCCAGAACTTGCCAAACCGATAAACATTACCTGACCAAAAACATCATCTCTGTTGGGTTCCTCATCTAGAAATTACAATAAGTCTCATCACAAAACTCATCTTATATTACTCCGTAAGACGGGGGAAAATGGTGACATTCTTTATTCAGGTACGGTTGTTATTTAATGAGTCCAGATAAATACAGGGGCATTGAACCCTTCCTCTGATATCGTCTGAAACATGAGATGCATCTTGCACAATAGTTGTCTTTTGCCTGCGAGTATTTGTAGCTATATGTTCACAACTCAAGGCTGAGAAGATGAAGCAGTCGGTGGATTTCCGGCCTCAGAATGGCCAGTCTGTGCTCCCAACGCCGTTGTAGGTGACAACGTCTGGTGGGCGGAATGAAAAGATTGAGCATCAGATGTCATGCTATCATGACGAGAGACGCCCGCTACAGTTCCAGTTGCGGATGAAGATCTCGCTGGCCTTGGCGACGATACTCTGGCGGAAGCTGCCTTCAGAAGTCTCTTCTCAGCACGTTTCTCTTTGCTCTGCTGCTTATGGAGTTCGATGAGTTGCTCGTTGCTCGCACCGTCTTCCCTTGCCTGCGTCTCAATCTGTTGCAGATCCTCTAGAGATTTTCTCTCGGTCAGTCATGGATCTCCATGAGCACAAATGGAAAAGCAAAAAGCTAACCTTTTGTGATAATGTGTCGTATAGGAAGTAAAGGTTCCGAAAGCTTATTAGAGATTACGTCCTCAAGCATCCATTTGCTGCCAAGAACGACATCAAAGGGCAGGCTACCGTCATGAACTAGGAAGTCTGAAGTTGTTGTGAGTGCCTGGTTCTCAGAAAACCAGGTAACAGTAGCCTGGCCCAAGGGCTCGAAAGGAAGCGGGGTTTTGCTTGCTCCGATGAATTGGCCGAGATTTCCGACTACCTCATATGACAAGCCAGCTTTGCGCAAAACCTCAACACTGATCCAGTTACGCCGACTTCCCGTGTCAAGTTTCACCCGCGTTACGACATCGCGTTTTTGTCGGACCGGTATGATGAACGGGAAACACATGGGATCTCGTTGAAAACGCTGACCTCCAAAGTGTGAGCGAAATACGTCGCGGATTTCTTCAATCTTTTTCTGCGTTTGTCCAGGAGACAACTCAGGATAGTCCTCCCTCAGCTTTCCCGCGGTTCTCCTTATTTCTTCTTCTTCAGCACCACCATCTGTGAGTCTATTCTCCAGTGAACGAACATCATCCCGCATCATTTGGTTCTCCGATACATATTGATCGGATACTTCGTAAAGAGCCGCGAGACGGTCTTCGACCCGTCGCAGGGTCAATCTGCCCAGTATAAGTGTTAGAAACGTTTGTTTCTTGTATGTATCTTCCATAAAATCGGTGGGAACATCCTATCTACTTACGTTTGCTCAATGTCCCGTAGATAATGAAGTAGACCCTCAGCTTGATCCGCAATTTCATACAACTTCGCCACAACATCGGTGTTGGGCTTGCCTATGAAAGTCGTCTGAAGCTTCGATCTCTTTTCTATCTTCTCAAGGATGGAATGGATGTCAAGAATCTTTTCCAATTCATACAAAACATGTCTTTCAAATGCAGGACGAAAGATCCCCACAAGCTTGTCCTCGTCTGTATCTAGATACAGGACCTTCAAGGACATCAATGGCGTTTCGATCCTTCTTAGAGCTACCGCGGTCTCCGGATCATGTTCGAAGCTTCTTCTCAATGAATTGCTTATCCCCAAGGCTTGCGTAGTAGCAGATGTCACTGCCAATAGCCTGGCCGTTATTGATTGAGGACCCATTTCAGTGACAGAGGAGGCTAGAGGTTGATATTCAATGGCAAGACAGGCAGGCCACAGTAACGCCACAAGAGGGATAAAGTACAGTACTTAGCAATAGCATACGTCTCGACATGCAAATTAAAGACGCAAAGATCGCGGACCCCGCACGTAGATAATGTAATGAGTCGATTGCACGTGATGTATGCAGGCATAATGCAACGTAAGCGGTAAGCCTGTCGTTCTTCCATACCTAAAATGTGATAAGCCTAAGAGCGATCCCATCAATGACAGCTAGAGTTCTCGCTTTAATGGTTTTGGTGCCAATCTTATCCATCGACGATGCACTTTAGCTTCGTGGACTTGTACCATGCTATCATCGGGCGGTTCAGCAAGGTTCGTAAACGACGAGTGCCAATTCGGACAGATCAAATGGAGATGAAAAGCTGACACAGCAACTAATCAGTCTGCTGAGAAGGTACGTGATGGTGCGATTCGGGACTACGATGGGAGAAAACTCCAGAGGTTCAGTGACATAGCAGTTGCAGCCTTCTCGGCAGCTCTCCCGACACTGGTTATCCTTGTTCTTTACTTTGTGCAGAACATGATCCATCGCATAGGTCTCGTCATTGTCTTCACCACCATCTTCTCAGTGGCGTTTGCAATGTTCACAGGGGCGAAGAAGGCCGAGGTGTTCGCTGCGACGGCCACATTTGCGGCGGTGGAAGTTGTTTATATAGGGAGTGTGGCCTCTAACGATAACGTTTGTGTCTGCTCCCCAGGCTCTGGTCAAACTCAGTAGTTCTTAATACACCAGATTGATTTTGTGTTTGATTCTAAGCTGATTACCACAAACAATCATCACATATAGAACATCTAACTGATGCTGGTTCACGGACTGAGTATGCATGACATTGTCCAGCTTAGAAAGCAGTTGAATAATTGTGTAATGAGATGCGCCAGTATTACCTAGAAATGGAGCTTGGGCCAGGTGTTCAAGCTGGGCATAATGGGTCACGAATGGAGAGGAACGGCGGCAAAGGCTGACGATATCCCGGATTACAGTTAAGTGCTTGCATGAAATGAAATGAAGCCTCAAGCCCGGCAAGCCTCATTCCTGTACCCAGCCTCCTCGATCCTAAATGACGGAAGCCACTGTATCATCTCAAGACATTCAACTTTCTTGTCGCAGGACATTTGTCTCACTGGCTGTCATCAGTCGGACACCCTGGAGTAGATGGTATTTGGTGTCAGGTTCGCGCACGCGTTCGCGTTTATCGCGTATTCATGCAGGTTCGGCTGAGTCGCCAAGGGCAGGATGCGACATGGGTGGCCGTAGGACGGCGCTTGAGTATGTCCTTTTGCTCTAGAGCTGAGGAGGCCTTGGATTTGTTCGGCTGTGGCATTCTCAAATGACGTCTTGCTGTGGTGAGTTGGTTGGGATGAACTCCATCACTATAACTCAACCCACTAGCAAAGCCTAAGCAAACTTTCACAACAAACTTTGAACAGTCATTTAGTCGACTCGGAACTGAGTGTGATGGGAGAGCCTACGGCCGGGTACGTCGCGCGCCGCCAGCCCAACGGGAGGACCGATGCTGTGACTATCATCTGGGGCGCGTCGCACGACATCCGAGTCATTACGAGACAGAAAGATTTGCAATTCATAGAGGCCGGGTATCTGCCGATCGAGCAGAGTGGTCAAGTTGGGCGCCGACGCGGAGAGCCACGAACAGCTGGACAGAATCTAAAAACAGGGTCAGCATGGAGGGTATCCACAGCAGCAGCGGAACGTTAACCAGATTCCGGGAACGCTATTTGGGCCCGTGGTGGGCGGCCACGGCGGGTACCCCCGGAACCCCTGGAGTACATGGCAGCGGGCGGCGTTTGTCAGGGGGGCTGAATGCCGGCTGGTGATGAGAATTCCATCTTACTCAAGTTCATACTCAGGCTGAGAGAAGTTGGTAGGTGTTTAAGGATAAGACAACCGTGGGTTCCTGGCACGCAAAGACGATGAATAAGGCGGGTGGCTTGGAGATTTGGGGACTATGGAAGCCCGGGGTGAGCCGTTCCACGCGGCGGTTGGGCCGCGATATAATGATTCGAGGTTAGTGACTTTGGATAAGTAGCTAAGGGACGGCTAGATGCGACGGTGTTGAGTCAAGAGCCAGCGGCCGTACTACGTCGTAGACGGTGGGGATTGGCATCGAGATACAGCCGCCATCCATGGACATTGATTGTGCAACGCGGCTTAATTACTTGTCTCTTTTGGGGCGAAATAGTGGCCAAAACCAGGACCCGATGTGACCTCCTTGGTGCCGGCAGCTGCAGATCTCGGGCATCGGCGGTGATGAAGCGACAGACAGGCTGGCTGGGCTGTCTGGATTCTCATGGATTTGTGATATGTAATAAACAGGCGTACCACAAACTGCCATCATATTTCAGTCAAGTCAGCAGGTACAGAGTAGTTAGGGAGTGTCTAGGAATATACCTTCAACACCAACCTCTTCAGAGAGATGGCTTTTGAAAAGCAACGTCTTTCTCCCTCACCGGATCTAAAGGGAGCCCCTCCAACCCCTCAGCCCCTTTTGCGAGAGTGTGTGTGTGACGGACACCCCTTAAAAAGTGCACGGCATAGGTGGGTTGCAGCCGGAGACTGGGGGAGACCTTGTTTCCATCACATTGGAACAGTCGCTAATTGGGCTTTCATTGTTGGAAGATGCAGGAGAAGAAACAGAAGCAGGGGTGACAGATCGGGGCAATTGGATGACACAGCCTGGGTGGACATTTTTTGCTTATTTTGATGCATAGTGGGCGCATATGTGCACAATCCCTTGCATAAGTGGGCTATTGAGGGCGTTTTGTGCAGCCGCCGTGGAAGAAGCTTGGGCCTTGTACAGGTTGTTAGCGCAGCCCTGCTTCCAAGTAATGAGAGGCAGTAAGCACACTAGCACATTAGGTACCTATATTCCAAGGTAGCTCTCTCTTTAAGTTTCCACAGCTGCTATTTACATGTACCCCATCCGCAGGAGCACCAAAAAAAAAAAAAAAAAGAAATGCGAGATTGACAATGGTTACTGAGGGTCATAGCGAAGGGCACCTGATGTATGTGATGAAAGATTTGACAGCTGAGCTACCCTGGCAATGGAGCTGGGATGAGTTCGTGGTTGGGGGTAGAAGAAGATGCCGTACAGATATTATCAACGAGAGCTTGGTATTAGCTCCATAATGCTTCGTAGAGGATGAGATGAAAATGGCCAAAAGGGATGCAGAAAACTAGTGTCCCGTCAGCATTGGATCGCAAAGATGGTTGCTCACCTGGAGATTTAGCATTAGTGGATTAGTGGACTGGTTGCCAAAGCCACCCGCTAAAGGACTGCTAGTGTTTGATGGGTGGCCCACACGATGCACTAACAACAACAACAACATCAGCCCAAGGAATCTCCGTCTAGTCCTGTTCCTGACTTTCGTAGGAGCTCTGCTCTGATATGGACCTCAACCAAGTCGCGCTCTCCGAAGGCGGCCAAGCACCAACAGCCAGGACAAAATGAGGCGTAAGCACGGTTAGCTGGCTGGTTGGTTGGCTCGGTTATGTGGATTGGCCCAATAACTACAAGGAAGGGGAGAAAGAAAAACACGCGTTGACAAATGGAAAAAAAAAAAAAACATCATGACTGGGCTTAGTGCAAGCCCTGGCTTGCTCTTTCCGTCGTTGGGTAGACGCAATGGCCATAGTCTGATAGCTCTAGTAAGTGCAATCTGATGGCAATGATGCTCTTGCCCTGCCTGGCCTTGCTCTTCCCTTTCTTATTCTTACCTCATTGTGGTCGTGCCTTCCTTTCCCTTCGCCAACCCTTGCTTGGCCTGCACCTGCCATCTCATTCCTCTTCTTCATCCATCTCCAACATTCCTTCCCTGCATGCCTTTGTGCTTCCTTCCTCCAAACCAACCAACATTAAACAACCACCACGCCTTCCCCCTTCTTAGTGTATACAGACACACCCTCCAATTCTTGGATTTACAGGTCCACGCTATCTCATCCCCACCCCACTTTCTATCCTTGCACCTTCTATTATTTATTCTCCAGGTAGTGACAGTCTTGCTTGCCTTCCTGGACTGTTGGACAGGGCTGTCTTCCGCTTCACATTGCAGCTGGATTGGATCCAATCACAGTCTTTCGGCAACCCCAGCTCTTCTTGATGCTTGCCTGCTTCGTTTGCTTGGGAGGCATGAGCTGTGGGTCGTCATTGCACTGGTCTTGTTCTTCCCTGTCTACCCCTACAAACCCCTACAAACCCCTGCACCTTGCCTGCTCTTACCCCCGTCACCTTTGTCTCGTTGCATGAGACGTCGCCTGCCCTCTTGCCTCTCTCTCTCTCTTTCCGATTGACGGCCGAGAGAAATGCGGTTTTTGCACCTCCGTCAGCCATTCTCGTCGTCTTCATGATTCTGTCTCGCCAGTCCTCCTCTCTAGGAAAAGGTCGCCCATTTCCACCGTTGACCGGCGTCGCGCCTTTTTGACGAATCCTCTTGTCAACCGCGCATTCCCTGCCTTCAATTGGACGAACCCCACGACAACCTTGTCTCCATCATCGACCGCTCGCCGTCCGATTTCCCAGGGTCCAAGGGTTCCCTCGTAGCGAGGCCCAGCTTTCGACCGAGTCCACCACGATAGGTCCTTGTCTAGCCAGTTCGTTTCTTAGACGACGCTGTCGACGTTGTTGTCCTTCGCAACATCAGCGTCAATATTGACCGCGATTGAACCCGCCGTTGGCCAGCGTTATAGACAAATACCCAACAGCCAGACCGACACCTTGTAGCACGATTACTCTTTTCAATTCAAGATACCCAGCATTCTTTTCCTCCTACTTCTCCAGCCTCCTCCGTCAGGCTGACTTTGCTTCCCACCGTTGTTCCCATCATCCGAGACATTCTAGTACTACACCTAACTTCAATTGAGACATTCTTGTGCTGCAACAATCGAAAAAAACCTGTGGCGGGATACACCCCGCGACAACGCCCAACACTGCCACTATCTGCAGATCCAGCGGCCAGAAAAAAGAAGCAACTTCAAAATCGCCTGATCGCTCTCTTCTTTACGGCCACGTCGGCTCATGGCGAGTTACTTGACGCCTCTTGTCTCAGCGACTACTCGGCATTCCAAAAGACACTCTCAGAAAATTCAGTTACACGCGTACTGCGGAAACACCCATCACTTGCCGTGATCAGCAGTTGAAAATTCCATCCAGTGCTGCAGAAACTAGGTCCTTGCCTGTTCTTCGCAATAGGAGCCTCCATTATACCTTCAAAGCGCACCCACCGCGACTCAAAATCTCTGCAGCTATATTTGCTCTCTTTTTTGTTGCACCGAAGCACAGGGTTTCCCCTTTATCTAAGCCATCTACCGCCCAAGCTGAGCTCGAACCCTAGGCACGCTAGCTCGACGCATGCCATCCGTACTTCTGCACTTCCCAACAGGCATCATCCCAATAACTTACTGCCGGGCCACCGACGAATTCGGCTCTTTATGATCTCAATTTGGCTGCCGGCCTGAGCCTTTTGTCAAAGAGTCGTTCAATATTGCGTATTCAGGAGCACTTGCATCTACACAATCGTCACTCAAGGAGATTGCGCGCCTGACCTTTGTTTCTTTTTTCCGCTGCTGAACAAGATGGATGGTCGGACACAGTTTCGCGACCGCGAAAGGTCGTACGCCTCTCCCACTCACATTCGCACGGCTTCAAGATCAAGTACAAGTACTAGCGCAACCCGAAGAACACCCCAAAGTCCCAGCAGCTCCAGTTCGCACTTCGTATCCTCTCCCCGACCTTCGAGTGGCCACCCTTCCCACAGGTTTCACCACACCTCCTGCGCACAGTCTACCACAACCTCACGACCGGCGTCAGTAGTATCGAGAGATAGAGGCTCCGAATCTGGAAGGCAAAGCGCGGCATCGAGTTACCTACAAGAGAAGCTTCAGAAAAGAAGGGAAGAGGCTGATAGATTGGCAACCATACGATCGGTACATGACATGAATGCTTTAAGCGAACATCCTCCGAGAAACCATACATCGCCCAGCAGAGGTAGCACTACAGACGGTCACCGGCCAAGGTCCGGCGGAGGCAGCAGCGAATCTCCCAAGAAGAAGGGTATGGGGTTGAAAGAAATGGAAGCTGTAAGCTCACCTCACCACATTATTTGGCAAATGATGCTAACCTAAGCTCTAACAGACAGTCTCCACGTTACATAAACAAAATTTTGACCTGAAGCTTGAACTCTTTCATCGACGAGAGAGGCAAACTGCTCTTGAAGACCAGCTTGAAGCTCTTGAGGCGGAGAAGGCACAAGCAGATGACGTGAACGACAAGCTCTTGGACGAATTAGAAAAGAGAGACAAAGCTTTGCAGGAAGCGGTCCAGATGATCGTTTCTCTTGAGGCCCGGGTCGAAACGTTGCTCAGAGAGCGAGAGATGGTCCGGCAAGTCGATGCCGCCGGTTACATGCCGTCGACTGAGCTCGGCGCCAGGCTCAATGGGCCCACGGCAAAGCCTCGGATGGCTGACTTGAACCAGCTTGAGGAGGACGCCAAGACACTTAATCGTATGCCAAGCTTTGTGTCAGAGCACAATGAGAAGACAGATAACCTGCGAAAGGTTTATCTCAATTCTCGCGGCAGCCTTCTCAGCTTACCCAGAGCTGCAATGCAAGGCATGGATGAGACGGATGGCCGACGGGTCAACAGCCTGACTAGCCCGAGTCTCAGCATTCTCAGTGAAAGCTCCTTTCTAAGTGTATACGGGGAGAGGGAGGACCAGGGCCAGACCATGGTTGCGGATGCAGACGAACCACCCCACCTAGACGGCTTGTCAAACCATTCACAACCCCGAAGACCTTCTTATGACAGCCAACATTCCAGGTTACGGAAATCCGCGACGACAGCCCTGGAAAATCCAAACAGACAGAGTCGGTCTAGTTCTATCAATCGGGTGCCGGGTCCGGGCCAGTTCCAGTCTATCTATGATATCATCGACCACAACTCACCACTCCAACAGCTAGCAAGGCTTGATCGTGTCTTTTTGGAAAATTCACCGATGCAGGAGCGCTTCTCAGTTGCCAACACAGGCCAAACACAAAAGTATGTCAAGGACATTAAGCGTGAGAGACTAGCCCGAGTTACGACAGATGCACCTCCCAACAGACCGAACGACCAGGTTCTTCCTCCGACGCCTGATACAATCTCGACATCAACTCTTCGAAGGTTCAAAAACTCGGACGACACACTCTCTCGTCAACGAGATGTCTCGGGGCAGAGTAGCTATCCCTCTATTTCAGAAGACACATCAACAGGCGAGGGGGCAGAACACAACGGAGGTGCACCTGTTTTGCAACGAGCTTTGATATCCGCTTTTGGCAAAGAGCCCACCAAGAATACCCTTGGCGCGTGGCCATCGTCAAATTATCGCCCTAGATCAGCAGACGAGAGCACCATATCGCATCGCAAGGGAGCTGATTGGGAATCTGATGTCGATTCTGTTCACTCTCTCGACTCTAGCCTTGACATTTGGCTTCAACAAGGCAAAGAGTCAAAGGGACCTGGAAATGACAGAAGCGAATCCCCAGATCTCTTCAACTTCCCTCCCTTGGGCGGAGGATGGCCTCCCCAGACCGACATCAGATCCATAGGCGGCCCATTCAACGTCTCTGGACTTTTCCAGGAACCGGGCAATCATGTTAAGGATTTGATGTCAGCCCAAGAAGCTCTGTTCCCAGACACAAACCAGGCCCCTCCGCCGCCTAACAGGAGGTCAAGTTTGGGTGCCCAGACCAAATCGCCGTCCAGGCCTCCGCCAGTCAATGGGAAACTGCGCAAATCGCCTTCCCGCAGCGGCTCCAGGCGCAACAGCGTGGACGTGCAGATGCTTCAATTAGCGGAGCCGGCCTCTCGCACCTCTCAGCAGCCAGAGCCGAAGTCTGAGTCGCGGCCAAAGGACGGCCACTACCCCCCTTCGTCTGTAGCAGCTCCGCGGGGGCGTAGGTTGAACTTCTTCCGGCGGTCCATCGGCGGCGGCTCGACGGTGCCTTTGCCGGAACCAACTCCTGTGGCCGCCGATGAAGCCGCTGCAGCGACAAAAACCGGCCCAATGGGTATGCCATCGTGGGTGCAGCGAAGCAATTTGGCGGACGATGACAGGGCTAGTGCAACACCGCCCCCTGTTATGAGGAACTCCAGATTCGGCCGCGCTGCTAGTGTCGATGAGGGGGCTCCCATCGATGACCGGCCTCCTATGACCCCGACAACACCCGTGGCACGACGTGCTACCCTCACTCCCGTCGGTAGAGACGCAGCTTCTGCCGAGGCGACCCCTACGGCCCATAGTGCAGGCGGCGGAGCGTCGCTAAATAAGCGGAAGTGGCTCCCAGGGTTTGGGCGGGCGAGCAGCCTGAGGAACCGTGGTGGCTGAAGAGGCCCGTCACTATGACTGTCGGGAAGCTGTGGCTCAGGACTGGCTGTTGAGCGGCTGTCATGACGATTGTAATCGCCGCCTCACCAGATGCACGAGCGACATGTACAATATTACGATGGATAAGTTGATCCCTTATGCCGCACCACTGTTCTATCATGGACACTTTTGGATCCATCGGTATGATTAAAACCAAGAACTAGGGGTTAAGGGCTGCGAAACAATTGGGAACTGCAGGCAGCCAGTAACGGCTAGGCAGATTGTAATGAAGCATGATGACACGGAGTTGACTTTAAGAGATGTCCCGGCGAGGACGCGTAATGGAATGATGACGAGCGTTGATGAGTTACGAACCTGGCTGTTACCCGATTCTATGGCGGGTTCGATACTTGAGGCTTGAGGCGTGGATAGATGATAATATAATTCTGAAATATTGTTTGAGTATTTACACTTGTCGCATCGTATAGGTTGCTTTGATGTGTTATTTTTACTTGAGCACCTTTTACGGATTACCAGAATGACGAATCTTGACAGGAGTTCGCCGGCTGGATTGTTCGGACACCAGCAGCCGAGCTTTAACCTGGAATACAGAGAGGTGGGGCAGTTATCTCCCCCCTGCATGAGCCGACTTCACCTCGTAATCACATCCAGGCAGAGAATTTCGACCTCATCTACATATTCGTCAACGTCGCCAATGGATTAGGTTATTACAAGCTGCGAATGCGTATTTTAGAAAAAACGGATTCCTTAATTTCTCAAAGTCTGTTGCGCTGTCCGTCTCCCACCGTCGCGACGTTCGGTCAACATATGCTGAAGTCATCGAATTTCAAACTCGCCTCTCAATCAGAAAGACACATTTACTCTTATTCTGCCGGCAACAATATTCATCGGGACCCCAGAAAATGGCAATATCAGGGGATAACCGTGCGCCGAGCCCATTCCTATCGATCACGCCCATGGCATGGAACACCATCGCCCAGTTCAAGCTGCTCCTCACCCGCCTTCTCCCGTTCTCAGTAGCACACCCGATAACGGGCTTGGCGGATCGGTACTTGATACCCGGACACACCGGCTCCTGGGATCGAACGGGTTTAGGGACGTTCCTAGATGATCTACGAGGCGGCGGCGGCGGCGGCGCCGGGTACGGGAGGAACTTTGCGATTGTGCTGTTTGCGATCCTGGTAAACCATGTCCGGCGCGTGTTGTTCCCTTCCACTGCGGTCGGCGGGTACGCGGGTCCGATTGGTATGCTTAAGCTCGCCGCTGGGAGTCCCGAGTTATTCCTCCTGGAGGAATTCGAGATGGGGTTTCCCGGGAGGAACTGGGGGTATCGGAGTGGCGCTCTGGCCAAGATCGCGTGGGATTGGGTCGGGATATTTGCGGGGGAAACGTTGAATGGCGGTGTGGCGAAACTTGATGCGCGAAACAGATGGAAAGATGCTGCTCGCGGGGATGGTGTCCGCCCTGCTGCCGGACGGCCGGTGAAAGCCACGCAGGAAGATTGGGGGAGAGAGGCGGACGGCGAGAGGATTGAGAGGAAGATAAGCACCGTTGCTGCCGTGGTCGTGGTGGTTTGGTATCTTGGTGCGGCGGAGTACATCCACGCACGGATCGCGCACGTGGTCTCTGTCGGGATTGCGTATTGGAAGATGGCGAGCGGCGGGGACGTGTATAGGGATGCTTTATGGAGGGCTTTTGTCCCGGGCGGTTCGCTTCCTCGCGGTGCCGGGTTCGTTGAGGTTATCGAGGCTTTTGTTACGGGGTTTTGGAAGAATGGTGATAAGTTCCGGATCATCTTTTTCCATTTCGAGCTGTGGGTTTATCTTGTATATGCGATATATCCGCTTCTACGGCTCGCTCTGCTCAGGGCGGTGGGATTCGGGCAGACGAGAGGGAGGGGTGGAGTGAGGTGGCTTGGGCCGAGTCCTGGACTGGCCGGGGTGCTTGCCGGGTGGGTTTGGTTAACGGGATACGTGGCGAAGTACTCGAACAAGTATTATATCGGGTTGCAGGTGAGTGAGGCGTTGCTTGTTGGGTGGTGGGCTTTTGCGGCGGTGGTTGGGGTTGTGGTTGTGGTTGTTCGGGATAGGATTCGGAAGATGAGGAGTCGGGTTGAGGGGGCGAGGCGTTAGATGGTCTGTAGATACCAACTTGCTGTAGAAGTGTTTGAATCGTTCTTAATAACATGCGAAATCGTAGTCACAGGTGATCAAGTAGCATCCTTCAACATCTCCAAGCGAAGGGAAATGCAACGGCATCAGGTCCTAACAGAAACTGAATTAGTGGTACATATATCATCTATGAAAGTTTGATTTTTTTGGTCTAGATCAGACAAGTCTGCAATGACGTTTAGGCCAGAACTTTCTGTCTAGCTTTACAGCTTCATTATTTCCCTAGAGATATATACTACAGCGCCAGAGCCGTCAGTCGAACATAGCATTGATGCGGCTCTCTAGTCAGTTTGTCGTACGCCCCCATGGTATTCAGCTCAAGGGGCAGCTCTTCAAGTTGGAAGCTCCATAACACCAGAACCACCATCATGCGAAACTGTACGTACGCCAACTTCCGCCCGTAACACCCTCTAGGGCCCATGCTGAAAGTCATGTTGCGTCCACGGGATGCGTCGAACACGTCTTTTGTGCCGTCTTCAGACTTGACCAGCCATCTTTCAGGCTCGTATACCGCCGTACTAAACTCCGATTCATCACCTTTACATCCGCCGTTGCCCATACCTGTGGCCTCCTTCGCCGCCGCCGCCGCCCGAGCACCCGGGGTACGTAGCGCATCGGATATAGGAAAGCCGGGCTGCGTATAGCCCGCCTGGTTCCACACCTGAAAGACGACGGTGCCCTTGGGGATGCGGCAGCCCAGGATCTGCGTATCCTGCGTGGCGCTACGTACGCACATGGGCGCCGTCAACGACACGCGGAACAGCTCTTCGATGCTCGCTTCGAGGTACGGACATCGTACCTGCATGATCTCCTGAGCTGTTGGCACGCGCTTTTCGGCCACCGCCGCGGGAAGTGCAGAACGCAGACTGTCGCGCAGCTTGTTTTGTTGCGCTTGGTGGCGCGCCAACGTTTTGATGGCCCACTGGTTTGCGTTGGACGTAGACTCGTGCCCGCCCAGGGTGAAGCCGTATAGCTACGCATTGGAGCAGCGTCAGTCATTCTGTAGTGTTTATAAAGCCACGGTTCAGATCATCTTGCTCACCTCGTCGTAAAACATGCGTGTGTGAAAGGCTGGCGCGCGATGCTCCTTTTCCGCTTGGCCGGTTTCCCTTCGTACCATCTCGTCTATGGCGCAGCGAACCGCATCCTCCTTCGATGCGGATTGGACCCGGGCCGCGGATAGGTCAATTTGGCGTCTCAAAAGATCTTCTTTGAGCCTAATCGCCGTGCTCAAGGCTTGGCCCTGCCGTAAGAGCCAGTGTGAGATCACTGGGAATAATGACTTCATCGTCGTCTCGAGGCTGTCTGAGAGCTTCAGGAGAGCTTCAATGACTGGGGTGGTTGGCGCGTGAGGAAACACCACCGGCTTCATAATATCCCCATTTTCGCTGCCGCCAATGGAAGGCAGGGAGGACATCGATGACAGGTACTCGACGTTGGGCTGCGTCGCGCCGAGTCCCTCCAGGCCGGGGCCGAAAGTGAAACCAAGTACGGCGTCCAGCGCGCAGTAGCTGATATCCTTCAAGGCCGTGAAGGGGTGCCCTCTAGCTAGCCGAGCCTTTTCCCGCCACAAAGCTGTCATGCGCATCGTGCTTTCGTGGAGGAGAGGTGCGGCAACCTTGTTGAGGAAGCTGGGGGTCAGAATGTCCCCAACTAGCCGCCGACGACTCTTGAACTCTTCGTTGGTCTGCCATCTGCTGTGATGTTCCGGTATTACGCCGCCCAAGAGGTCAGCCGTGAAAGCCGATCTATCAAACTCCTTGATGCGGCGCATCAGAATGTCTTGCGTCTCTTGAAAGTCCGAGATGATAACCCAGGGCTTGCTGAACGGCCGGCCAAACACTTGGATGATGGGCGAGTTGTGCTTGATGTTTTGCGCCCCAAGCCAGTCGTACATTTGGCCCGTCTTCTTGGCATGGCCTACCATCTCCGGCATATCACCGAGGAGGGACTGAGCCGCTGCCTTGTTGTAGGGGATACCGGGAATTGGCCGCGGCAGCAGTGCTCTGTAGAGCAGATACAATGTGAGCGCGCAGGCGCCTATAGCAAAGGCCAGAGTCGTTCTGGTGACCATAAATCCGGACATTGCTCCAACCTTGTCCATGGCGATTCAAAACTACGTTTCTCTATTGGAATCAGTGATGTGAAGAGTAAAAGATGACACACAGTTTGAAAAGAGCATGCAAATGAAAATCGAGTACTTCAACAGTATAAACCATACAATCTGACAAACGTGAAAGAATTCTCAACATTATGATGCCCTACTTTGCGTGAAAGCTTCTGGGAGAGGTACTACTGTGTTTCGTCCGCCGGATATAGACTTCGCATTCGTTTCCAAGCGTGGATATCTCTGGAGGATTGTATTATCCCTCGTCTCTTCTCAAGTCCAAGCGCTGCCTCCGGCATATGCGTTTAACTTCGGCCGTTCTTGCCTTGTAGGGCTCCTTCTAAGTTCTCGCCGCCGCCGGACCGCGTCAGCTTCTTCGGAATCTGTGCGACGGCTTCCCCTTCTTCCGATGATCTGGATCCGAGATTCTGTGGCAGCCAAGGTAAGGAATTGACTTTCTGAAACTTCTGTATATGGTTCAGTGGCTTGCGAAACCAGAGTTGGCAGCAGAGTAAGCTTCAGCCCAATCTTTGCATCCCATCAGTCGTCGTTTTCTGTATCCGGTGATTGGCCAGGACGTCCGTCAGATAAATAGGGAATCCGAGTGCGATTTGTGTTGGGAGCTTCGGACCGGTTTCTTGGGTCAGGTCAGCAAATTTAATACGATATCGATCCAGTGGTCTGGCCTCATTTCGCGTAACCTTAAAGGTTTGAGAAAAGTATCAAATCCCAAAATTATCATCTTTTGGTTTCTATTTAAGGTTGATCACGCAAAATAAGAAAGATTCCGTGTTCATCTCGGATGAAAGCAACCTCAACTTCGCCGCTGATAATTTGAAGCTTAACCCTATTTTATCAATCTAGCAAATGACGCTGCCTCATCGCAGCCGGCCCGACCAGCTTGCCGCTCCCATCCCGCTCGTTTCCCGCGGAGAAGGTCATAGTATTATAGTACAAAGTTACATATGGCCCATCCTTGTTGTATGACAGGCCGACATATGAATGTCTCCCAATCGTGTTAGAGAAGTCCTGGGTCGGGCTACAGAGAGGGGAAAAAGAGTTAGCTCGATGCTTTAGGCATGTGAGAATGGTTCGATTACGGAGTAAGAGACTCACAAAGCTTTCTGCACTGCGTCGACGTATCTGTCGGCAATATGATGAAGCCCACAAGCACGGAAAAAGCTGCCGAGGGAATGGGCAATTCGGAGGTCTGTTCCACCGTAATGGCGCACCGGAATATACACCTTCGGAACTGGCTCGGTGCGGTTGTGCACCATTTCCATGTTGAATATGATGCCCGATGTTCGGTGCCAGCTCTGAGGTAAACTTTCCTCAGGAGCAGTCAACCCCAAGACATGTAGGTAGAACAACCGAATCAGGTCCAGGCCAGCCTCGATATTGGGACCCGCGAGAGATCCTCCGAGTGTGTAAATCTCCTCTACCCGTGCCAGACAGGTTTCTTTGGTCCGCAGGTACAGTTTGAAGCGCGCATCAGTTGGCTGGACGGCGTCGAAGGCGATCAACTCTAGCCTCAGAATGCTCTCATTGTCGCGCTGCTTCTTGTATTTATAGACGAATTTGCGTATATAATTGAAGGAGGGCCCAAGGTTGAGAGGCAGCTGCCCGATAACGTCGGTGATGATCTCGCCGGCATGGTTTTCCAGCAGAAGCGAGATGGGAATGGGGTAGAAGTACACTTTCGGCACGGGATACTCGCCCTCCAAGTCGAATGAGATAGTGTTGGTCGTCATGTGCTCATTGGGTGCCATTTTTGACACAATGTCGTGGGCATATTTGGCCTCGACATGAAGGTGTTTCTTGAAGAACTCCCATAGCTGACCGTCGATTTGGCCACCGCCATGGCGAATCAACCGTGACATGACCACCTCAGGTTCGTCTTGGTTAAATGGATCTTTTGCTGTTCCAGCAAAGCGACCGATAGGTTCGGATCCGACTCGAATCTTGGATTTCTTGAGCCCAACATTCCAGCTGAGCTCGGCGGGCGAGAAGTCATCGGAACAGAAACTATCGAAATGAGGCAGTCTTGTGCCCGCCTTGGTTGTGTTTGGACGAGGACCAAGTGACGGGACGACGAATTGGTTTACGAAATCGGCATAGTGCTTCTGATCATCGACAGAGTAACCAGCACTCTGCATCAGAGACAGGAGAGGATGCGAGATTTCATTACGCCAGAATTTTAGGTCTTCTTCACTTCGAGTGAAGTCTAAGTCATTTATTGCCATGACCATCTTGACAAACTGTGAGGGTTGAACTTGGTATAATGGGCTGTTACAGTAGCGAATAATGCACTTGAGGCAAAGGAAACTGAATTTACGATGTGCCAAAGCAAATGATTGAACGCTCCAGTAGGCTTATATACGATAAATTACTACGCAGGAATACTCGAACCGGAGAACCAGGTGGCTACTAAGTCACGGAATCATCCGAAGCAGATATGATCAATAGCAAACAGTAGGGCCCCGGTCAACACCTCACCTCTGAGAGTCTGATTTCTGTATGTAATGTGTAACTATGAAATGTTTGGGACGGCAAAGTTGGCTTTGATGATCTAGGTCCTCTCAGCTCTCTAGATTTACCTAAAACAGACATAATGAGCAAAGCAGGGCTCTTGAGCTGAAAATGATTGAGTTGTGAATCTATGTTTTAACATCTTAGCCAACACGCGACGCCAACAAATCCGAGCTCGAGGCCGGCACTGCAGCTTCGAATCTCATTTGAACCAGGGTTATCTCATTGGAAGTAGCGGATACGATCACGAAGGTTTACCATGAGCTCGAGTAGCATCCGAAGAATTCGTCGTATAATTTCCCCTCAATTGTCCGTAGTCCTCTTCCGAAAAGCTTCAAGCATCCCATTTTAAACAATCGCTATCGATCACTCCTTATAGAAGTCGAGACCGAAGTACTGGTAAAGCTAATTTTATTCTGGACGCTGTGCCACACCATTCGTACTATTCATATCTAACCTGTTAAAGTATTGAGCATATCACACGCTCCTGAGCTATTACCCTAGTGTTCGTCTTTCTTCTTCCTTTTAAGCTTCTTTTCGAGTTACCAATCTTTACACAGTCGCGCACGTCGTTGAATGATGGACTCTGTTATTATTCCCCTCCACTGGCCGCCGCAACTAGTGGGCAAGTTAAGCAATGGCACAGCTTTGGCAGGTGCCTTAATTCTCGCCGCTCTGTTACCATTTGTTCTTAGTTGGATCACTGCGGACCGTTCCATACCTAAGCTCACTAGTTCAAAGTCTTGGTTCGCGAGTCGGCAGGATTTTGCTACTCATGGTGTTGAAATCATCGAGAAGGGGTTCAATCAGGTCAAAAGCGGCGTATTCCGGGTGACGGCTCTAGATGGTGAATTACTCATTGGCCTTGCGGCGTATCAAACACGAGACACCATACTTACATATTTAAGGCTCTGATTTAATCCTTCTGGCACCTGAGCATTGGTTAACGCTCTGCAAAAAGAAGGATGACGAGGTTGCTCCCGCTCGTAAAGAGGTTTGCCATCGCCGAGACACCTTTCTGAATGATCATTGCTAATAAGAACAAGTTCTTTCTTTGTGATCTGCACGGCGCGCCTTTTGAGGAGCCATTTCTCTATCGCTATCTTCTCGCCCGTATGCCTGGCTTTGGTATGCATTGCCACAAGTATTTGAGGCGATTACCTCGTGCTGATCATTGATCTGGTTTTAAGACCGCCATCTCGACGTAATATCGCAGGCACTAGATGAGGGCATCTCTAGTATCCTTGAGAAGGGTTTTGACTATTCAAATGGCGGTAAGTGTGGCCAATTGTATCGATATAGCTTGTTCTTTCCAGACATTCTGGCTTTGTAAGATATTGGAAACTTGCTAACAATCCACAACCGTTAGCACGCAAGCATGTCATCATTCAGCCACAAATTTTACATGTATACTCACATGTCATATGGCGAGTCATTCTTGGCGATAGTTTTACTCCCAAAGTCGTGGATATCTTCGAAAAGTACTCGGCGACACTGATTCCTGTGATGAAAGCGCTTAAGGCCCAGAGACCGATGATGGCTCGTATCACTGCCGCTTTCTCTAGCGAAGTGCGCCAGGTCAATATGCAGCTGGAGCGAGCGACCGCCTTCTTTACCCCCATTCTTCAGCAACATTTCCAAGCTTTTGAGCAAAGCTCCGGTACTAGCTCGGCTAACAACGAATGGTTCGAAGAGCTCATTCGCATGGCACCAGCAGAGAAGCGTCGTGACTACAAATTTCTTACCAACATTTTGATTGGCTTTGCATTTACTTTTGTATTTTCTCCGGGGCCATCAACGACGCAGGTTGTTTATGAGTTTGTTTTCCGCCCTGATTATACTGACCTTGTGCTCCAAGAAGCGCGAGACGTCCTCGGGGAACAACTGGAAGATTGGAGCTTTACGCGCGAAAGCCTTCGAAAGCTGTCCCTTTTGGATAGCTTTTGCAAGGAAACCCACAAACATCATCCAACAGCAGCATGTACGTCACAAAAACACCTTTTTTAAAGACATGATGGCTGGTTTTGGCACCTTTTCTATTACGCAGACGACACCTTGAATTGGTTACTAACATATTGATTTTACAAACACACAGCCAACCTGATGAAAAAGATCCACAAGACACAAACGCTGTCTAATGGCGTGGTTCTGCCCGCAGGAACCGTCTTCGAGGTGGTGATGACAGCAGCCCATCTGTCTAACCCCAGCTTCAAGGACCCCGCCGAGTGGAATGGACGGCGCTACCACGACTTGCGGCAGCAAGCATCGTCAGCGACAGGCGCCAGTAAATACGACTGGGGTGCCGCGACGCGAGACGATGTCAACTTCGGATACGCGTCTCACATGTGTCCTGGTCGCTGGGCTGGGTGCTCCATTGCCAAGATGTTTCTAATCAAGCTGCTGTCGCGCTATGAAATTTGCCCCGAAAATGGAGAGACTGAGAGATACAGAGACTTCCATTCGGGGCAGTACGTACGTCATGCCCTCAAGACGTGCATTTCTTTGGCCTTTATTTACACAGGAATCGTCTTAAACACTGCTCTTACTGACTTGCGCAACTGACAGATCTTGCCAAACCCAACCAAGCATATTCTTATTCGACCGAGGAAGTAACAGGTTGGGGTCAGCCAATGGTCTGTTACAGATGTGTCTGTAGAGCGAGTGTATTGCCTCGAGGTCCGAATATACAGTCTGGATCACATTACGTGGGATAGGGATAATTTTTATTGTTTCGGCAGACAAGATAACGAATACGAACAATGCTAATCAGGCACTGTTCCTGCCCCTGTTGTAAATCTTAGGCCCTTTACATATAGGAGTAAGCTTGTAGTCGCAGAAAAAAGCCTTGCAAGAGTGCCCTAAAACCACTGCTTAACATGCTGATAGCCTGGCGTTGTTGGCATATGTTATTTTCGGACAACGGGAGGTCTCAAAGAGCAACCAACACAGCAACCTAAAACGCCTAATGGAACAAATTGGCGCCCAGATGATATGAGCACATGTATGTTGGAAGAACAACTTTACTTCGAATGTGTGATTGGCTGCCTTGTCCTGCATGACACTGCGCCGCAGCGTCAAGGCAGACCCCAAGGTTAATTGCCTGGCCAGAGAACGTGATAAACGCCGAGATCATTTATCTGGGCGCTAAAATCAAAGCTCTTCCTTGATTTAATCCTCATTCCCCGCCGATGTCTTTGGGCCTTCAAGCTTGATATCATAACCCTCCTGTCAACATGGCCGAAGCGTTGGTTAGCTTCACGGCTGCTGGGGCTGGGTTTGTGTCGTTGTTGGTTCAAATCACTTCCGGAATCAAGAAACTACGCGGGATACAAAAAAGCTTGGAAAATGCACCAGCCGAGCTTGATTATCTCCTGGGTGACTTGGACTTTTTGATCTGTCTCTTAAAAGAGGTTGAGAACAGGGCCCCCCGCGGAAATGACCTCGGCTTGCGTCATTGTGAGGCTAGCTGTAATCAAGTCATTCAAGGCCTGGAAGAAATGAACGAAAAGTTTGAGTCTCAGTCAAGGAGTAGTGGCAGACTAAGGGTATTAAAACTGCTCTCGTTTCTGGATTGGAAAGAAGACATTGAGGCTCTACGACGGAGTATTCAAGCAGCCAAAGCTGACCTAACCCTGTAAGTATACGCCAGCAGATTCATTCTTATTTTCTTTGGGGCCTAATGGTAACATTCTCCAAGAGTAAACACGTATCATATATCAGTTTATTTGGAAGAGTTAAGCCCCGCTATCCAGATTCTTCTCACACGATCGACGAACCCGAGGCCGAGTCTCCTCAAAAATCAACCCTCTCAGCAACCAGTGCTAGCTGGATCTTATGATTCATCATGCACAAACTTAGACAGTACAAAGAATTTGACAGGAATAGTACGAAGAAGGCCCAGTTACAATGGTAGTTGCCTAACCAGGCTCTGTTCCTGTGTGTGTCACCAGACCACAAAAACAGCTGGGCGCTTTTGGGCACTCGAATTTACTCCCCTTGCAGTTTTTTGGCAAACGTGCGACAAGGAATCTTGCGATGGAGCCAAATATGGTTGGTCTTGCAGACTCGCGCTTTCAAGGCTCGGAATTCGTTGGTCAGCGGTCATCCGGTTTCACATCCTCTCAGAATCAGGGAAATTCTCGCTTCGACCTTGCTTGGATATGGAGAGGATTGTGCCATATACGTCGCCTGGTTTTGAGATACTATTAAGGTGCCAAAACTACTTAATGACAGTTAATGAGGCTCGAGAAAGACTCACTGAGCTTTACCGAACCGACCATTCATTCGTAAACCATGTAGACCCAAGCGGTAAATCCTACATTGAGGTAAGGCTGCCGTTTTACCAGGTCTGGCGCTCTTACCAACCGAAATAGGTTCTTTTGACAGCTCCATGGCCAGGTAGTCAGGAAGACCAATTCTGTCTACTCTTGCTTTTTATGCGAGACTTCAAAATGAAGCGAGGAACGAAGACCTCAAGGTGAGCCAAGTCATCTGGTCCTTGCCATATCATTATAACTGACTTGGACGCGTCCCAATTTAGTTTTCTTACTCAGTGCGCAGGATGGATAGGTGAAGGACGACATCTAGACTTACTTGAAGCTCTCATTGACCTTGATTTGCGCGTTACTGAAATCGAGATTGATTCCCGGAGTTGGCCAGAACCATCTTCACCCAACTGGATTTCTGAAGGCAGAACGCCTGATCCTTTCTTTATTGATTATATCAAAACCCTCTGCTTGAATAATCAAGGTAAGTCTTTGAAAGAATTCTCGGATTTTATGTGTGGTAACCGTTACCAAACAGGGTTCGCTGAAATGACGCCCCTTCACGAGGCTGTTCTATTCGGTTCATCGGAGACTTTTAACAAGGAGATATCCCGTTCTCAGAAAAATGTGAAGAACTTTCTCGGACAAACGCCTGTTCATCTTGCAGTCTGTGATCCGTCACATCTTAAAGCTCTACTACAGGCCGGCCATGATCCTGATGCTCCTGACAACTACGGCATGACTCCTCTCATGTATGCGGCAGCCATGAATGAAGAAGGGTCCTTGATGATACTCCTCGATTCCACTAACAAGCTTAATGCATCATGCAAACGATTTCAGCGCAGCTTCATGCATTACGCTGCTGCCCATGGACATTGGAAACTTATTCTCATGTCTCTTTGCCGTATAGAGACTATTTTTGGGAAGAAGGTTGCAGAAAAGTGGGCAGAGGCTGCGACGATTGAATTTCAAGTTTCAATCATCGGTTATAACGATGGACGCGATGTATCTCTTCACGAGCTTTTGGCCAAATGCGGCTCGCCTGATTTCACGTTCGATGATGGGACATGCGGCGTGCAGAACAACTGCCTCCTACACGAAGCCAAGACTGTGGCAGATGTCGAGGCCATTCTTTCTAGCGGATCCAAGCTCATAAACCATACCAACACTGCTGGCCAGCATCCCCTAATAGCTGCTGCTAAAAGACACAATCCCGAAATGGTGAGAAAACTCCTGGACGCTGGAGCTGACGTTCGCTTGAGAGATAACAAGCATCGTACATCACTCGACCACGCCCTCAAAGCACTGCATAGGCCTTTTTTCGATGTTGTCGAGACAAGCTTGGATACTGTTCGCATTTTACTTTCTGCTGGCGCGGATGTTTCTTCAAGAGATTGTTGTAGATGCCCTTGCTCGCCGCAAGGATGTCTTCCCACTTCAGTCTTGCCACATTCGGTCACGGTCATTAATGCAGTTTTTTACACTATTTTTCCAATTTGGACAGCTGAATGGCTTAACCTTGTGCACGAATATCGAAGCGCCGACGAAGCAAAGGCAATTCTCTTGTCACTCCTTAGAAGACGGAAGCACGAGAAATTGGGAATGACACATGTGTGCTGTCGACGGCAAGATCAAAGGAAATTTCTTCACTGCGATCAAGTACGAGACGATGAGATCGACGGTATAATGGAGGAGGAATCAGAGTTTATCGAATTGTTGGAGAGAGAAATGGGCGAGATCGCTGAATACCAATACGAGGCACTACTTGAGCTTTGGGTCCGCGAAATGAAGGTTTCTTTCGATGAGGTATACAAGAAGCACGCCGAAAGAAAGCAAAAGTGGCCAAGCACATATGGTCCAAAGGTATCAGTCACACATTCGTTCGTCTACATAATTTAGTTGCTAACCAGCAAGGCAGACAAAATTTGAGGTAGACCACAAGAACGACCGTTTTATTGAAGTGGTTTCACTGGGGATAGGTAGAGACCCCACCGAAAAGCTGAATTCAGCAATTTCAGAATACATCACGTGGTTGGAAGGCGAGTATAAGAGCGGGGAGGCCTCCCACCTAGAAGAAGACAGCCGAGAGGATTGGTATCTGAGAAGACAGTCTCTGCTCCAGAAGATCATCGACACAATGCAAGTATCAGTAGGGGATCTAGTTGACGCAGTGCGCAATCTAGCAGCGAGAAATGATTCTAATGTTCGTATTGACGTGGAAGGAGCTCTTTGTCATTTTTTTTGCATCAAAGGAAGTTCGGATGAAGAATCCGTTTTGAATTGACAGCCGGGACCTCTTGAGTATTCTGATTCGAGGCAGGGCACCGATTGCTGTGTGCCAGTGGCATGACTTTTTATAAAGGATAGGGAGTCACAGTAACAATTGAGAAGAAATCATGGTCATTACGGCGATTCTATTAGTTTCCTGGAAGGGCGAAAAGTTTGACCCCATGTTAACAGCCCTATGGACATTGAATCTTATCTGTTTCTCTCATCTTTGATGCTAGATATAAAGTCAGTTTAGTATGATACAGTAAACCAATTGAAATTTATATTTCGCGATAGGCTGCGGGATTCAGGAGCTGCATGAAAGTAGGCTGTTGCGATGCGTGTTTTGGCATCCCGAGATCCCGCAAGTTTAAATAGCAAATGTTGTAAATGCTAATTGTGGTTGAATGCTGGCATGATGGTTCAATCGGTCAAGCACTGATCGATATAATCTGGCATCTCCGTTTTTCCAAGTCTATTTCTACCCTCTAAGGATTGTTGTCTCGGAGGACATAATGCAGCGCGTCCCGGGCCGTGGAGGATGTGGGATACCGAAGTAAGGCCTGGTGACCCCACGGACGAGGGGGCCAATAAGGCTTTTGATGGGGTACGGCAGTCCGCAGGGCGCACTGGGTCAAAATTCAAACATTGCCTAATTAGGATGCATAAACGAGATAAGCATACACCACCCGTATAGATAGTTAAGCTTCTTATCTTTACTATGTAATTATCACAAATTTAAGCGAATTCTATGTTTCGTATACGTGCATGTACAGAGTTTTACGGGGCCGCACAGGAGTGTATTCTCAATTCTCAACAATAATATTTACCATATTTTGTACGAATATGTCTTTAAGGTGCCCCAAGCGGGCTAACCTGGACCACTTCTCAGCAAAACTGCTATGGAAGTGGAAGACGTGTGCATTTTGTTCAATCGATTTATCCCAAGTACAAGAACCGGACGAAATCGACCTTACCAATACTGACGACTTCGAAACTCCAACGGCTACGATTTCATCACGTACACGACTTTCCAATACTACAACCAACCCGATCGAACAAGCACTTTATATACCAGATACACAGCCAGACAATAGTCTCCTTACTGCTCTTATTAAGGGCTCAGAGGAGCGTACAGCTAGTATCCAGCAAACCCAGAAGAAACCAGTTCCGAACCCAACTGTGGATATTATTATTCACCTATGGCTTGCATCTTTCTATGTTACGGATATAGATGGAATCTCTATTCGAACATACACTCGGGTTCAGTCTGTTAAAAAGTTTATTGGGAAGTCACAGTTCTTGTTAACTTCTAAGTTTACTTCACATACAGATATGATGAGTAAGGTCTTAGTAAAGTTTACGTCTGAGAAGCAATTCCTTGACCGAAACTGGAAGGCAATGCCCGTTACTCCAAAGAATCCTACGGATATGCATGAGTTTCGTGGGGTAGCGTACGAGGCTGAAGACCTTTTTACCTTTCTTCGCGAAGCCTCAATTACCCCTGACAAAGACGTTTACACTATCGCACTTGTTTCCGAAAGTCAAGTAGATCCGCTTGTTACTGAACCACAAGTATCAAAGAAGTTACGACTGAAACAACATACGCTTGACATGGTAACAACTAGTACAACACCTTTACCTACTGTCAATATGTTTACGAAAGCGCCTACGCCTAAACCTCCAACTCGAATTCAAACTCGAACCGAACGAAAGCCTTCTCTTAAGGCACAAGAAGTAATAAAGCAGGAGAGAGAAGGAATAAAGTCACGCAAGCGTACGCACTCGCAAGTTGAGCAGCAGGGCCATACAGACGTTATTCAGGAGGATATAACTCTTAAGGGGGGTAGCCAGGAAGATAAGGAAGAGGACGAAATAGTAGTACGACAAGAGGAAACAATCGTTTAGGTATACTCTATATACTCAAGTTTCATCTATTTCTGAACTACTATCACTTCCTGACAGTGATGTATAAAGTTCATCTATACTAATCCCGCGGCTACGGAACTGTTCTTTTACCCATTCAATACCTCCATTTTGTTTTGGTAGTAAGTGAAGTTCTGGTTGAATCCTAGCCTCAATATATTCTTCAAGACGTTGCCGTAGGAAGTTATATGCTTCAATACGTGGATATTGTGTACCGCAGAAGTTTGTAACTGGTGGAAAGGTTTGTATAGGCTCCATAATACCTTTACAAACTTGAAAGACTTCGTGCGGAAGGAATTGATCCAAATTAAGTTCTTCACTTCCAAGTAAGTTTTGAAGTTTTTGAATCTTTACGTGATCGATTGGCTGAGCAAAGTCTTGTGCGGTTTGATGATCTGGATGATGATAAAGTTTCCATGGTTGACCAGAAACAACATGTGGGCGACTTTTTTGTGAGCGAATGCGATGGTTATTCCAGAGTTGAACAAAAGAGGTAAAGTCTTTACGGATAAGTGGCATAAAGATAAATAATAAGGCAACACGGTCAGAAAGCGATTGGTTATAAAATAAACCTAACGCTTGTAATCGATAGAAATATGCCTAATACTATTAGTAAATAAATAGATATAAAGGTAAATAATACGTACTCTCCAAGTTGCAGACTGTGCTTGACAAAGTTGGTTCCACCAGCTTTCAATCTTAACATTATGGATACTTTTACTAAAGATCCAACAGTCACGGAACTGAATAGGAACGTCTTGGCCTGGCTGTAAAGGGGCCTTCTTTGTACGGTCCTGTGATAGATACCAATGACTACCAGCAGTTAAGATAGTTTCTGTACCACGGTCTGAACGAATAGTTTGTGGCATAATACCCCGTGATAGAAGTGTAGATAGATATTGGGCTAATACAGAACGGGCCGTATGTGCAGAAAACCCAACGTAAAACCACACAATATAACGGGAGTATGCATCGATGCTAGCATATATCTCAAACCCAAACGGAAGTAGTTTATCATATGCATCGAGTGACCATATAAAGTTTGGACCTGGCGTAGTCCAACCTTTCCGCCGGTATCGGATCTCTTTCAGTCGGTTTGCAACTTCCTCGGGAAAAACTGTACGATATGCTTCATATAAGACCGAGCGGCTAATAATATGGCCACGTTGGCGCATATATGTAAAGAGGAATTCTCGGCCAAAGTCTCGTGTAACGCGTGCTTCATCACTTGTTGTAGAGGCAAGGAAGTTTACAGCTTGGTGAAATGCTGCTTGAAGCTGCTCGGGGGTTTGACGGCGCCATAGTTTGTGGCATTTTCGAATATCTTCTAAGCCACGTTGTGAGACTGTGAAGCCTTCCGTCCGTAAGCATAAAAGAATATCTAAATCGGATAGCCTATGATCAAAGAAGAGCTGGAAGATACGTTGTAGTAAGGCGCTGGAAAATTCTGTACGGACTTCGCGGCGGAGGTTTAAGCTTTGTAGGAAACGTTTAAATGTTGACGGAGAGACCTGAATTTGGAATGATTCGGAAAGATATGTAATTATATTAGAATAAGTCCAGCCATTCTGGAACTTTTCAGTAATAATAGATTGAAAAGGGGTAAGGTCGATACGTGGCCGGCCAGCCATGGTGAGGTGCTGCAATAGTCCATACGGAGATTCACGAGGGAGAACGGGAAAATACAGATGTTGGCAAAGAAATACGAATTGGGTATCTTAAAAAAAACCTAAAAACGCAAGGGTACGGACAGTCCCACGCTTCTGTACAGGGGTGCCAAACCCTGTACAGAAGTGCCCGACCCGCAAACCAAAGTTACCAACCGTAAACGCCTGTATCCATCCTCCCATTCCTGTAAGTATACCTATCGTTTCTGTACGCCGGATTCCCGATTCCATACGCCTTGGTAGGCATCTGTGGCATTGTGTAAATGCATGTTCACGTCATCTCCAGTTGTTGTACGGTCGTGTAGGATTTTGTAAGGTCCTGCTTAGTCGTGACAAAGCTCGATCTCGATGTTTTCGTTCTCATCTGTACATAACTGTAGTTAGCAAAGATGTACAGACGGCACCAGACATGTACGATAACGTACCGTACTTAACATCAGCGAGCTTGTCTGCGACAGAAACTAACGCATTTCTAATGAGTCGTATGTGCTTGGGCTTAACGCCACGGACCGCGTTGAGAAAGTCATACTCCGCACGGGAGACGCACAACTTCTTACTGCTCGGGGCGGAAGTGTAAATCTCTGCGGCAGGTCGCTTCGAGGGGGACGGGGCTGTATAGAATAGATCAGATTCATGTTTAGTTGTGTACAGGTTGGGACGAAACTTACCGAAGCTGCAGTTGGAGGCGCCGGAATTGTATGTACAGTTGGCGCAGCTAGCATAGCCGTCCAGAACAACACAGGTGTTGTACGGACCATTGCCCTTGATGCAGTTCTTGCACTGGTCCTTACCCTCGCGCGTATTTCCGTACACGTGCATAAGGAAAGAGTTGGCATTCTGCGCACCCTTGTACTCAAGCGCTTTTTTCTGACGTCTTCCGTTCTTGACCGCAGAGCGAACATCGATCAAGTTACGGGCCTGTACAATATGTAAGCAAAAGAGTAAGGTACGTACGGGGGTGTAAGGAGACTATACCTCCGCTTCCTCATTGTCCAGAATGTTATTAATGAGAGTGTTGCTGGCATGAGGAATACCATCTGTAACAAGTTAGTACAATATTGTAGGGGAATTACAGAAGTGTACATACGGGTGAGGTAGTAGCCGGTTCCGAGAGCATGAGTGTACATAGAGGGTAGCTCGGCGGGCAACTCCATGTCCTGAGCCATGATGTACGGTAGTGTAAAGTGATGTCGAGTGTCGTTCGGGATTGTAAGGATGTTGTAGGATGTTGTAGGATGTTGTAGGATGTTGTGAAGCTTTGCTGGAAAACTGTACGTAATGTGACGGGGGCGACGCCTGGCGCCCGGGGATGTGCGAATCTGTACAAAAGCTAACAGTTAGCAAATGATTGTACAGAAATGTACAAAAGCTCAAAAAATCGGAAAAAAAAATCAAAAATAGAGAAGACAAAAGAAAACGGAAGTGTAACAAAGGATAAAAACTGAATCTCTGTAAAACAGTGTAGAGAGCGCTGTAAATTTCTGTACAGTAGGGGTCACATACCTAAACTCTGCTTGGCGTGGGGAAAAGGAAGAAGTTCTGGGCCCCACTGAATTCCTATTTATTTGTCGATTTGGGCGCACAGACCATGCACCTAATCAACCGGAACCGGAAGATCTAACCTCCGACGGATTATTGTAGAGCCTCGTAGGGGGCTGTGGTTCTATGTAGTAAACCCTTATTTCCTAAAAGGGCAAATACCCACCTAGAAATGTACAAAAACAAAAATCGTTTTACGCGAGATTACATATGTTTACGCTTATGGGGTGTTCCTATCACTACCTTGAATTTTGACCCAGTGCGCCCTGCGGACTGCCGTACATTAGTTCGATTTCTTTTCGGGGAAGCGCCCGCATTTCAAACTAGATTGCATAGTGGTGTCATTGTTGTTAGACCAGCCTCGGATTCTGGACCGCACCTTGGTTATCAATCCCCTTGTTAAGGCAACGGGGAAACATACGATTCCCAAGCCTACCAACGAACAGCCGCGCGCCAAAACAAACTTCACAGCACTGTCTTGTCCAAGATGTCTTTTGGACTACGCACCGCCATGTTCTGTCTAGCATTTGTCGTTACTTTATGCATTTAAGGTAAATTAGCAATATTAGCGTTGCGTCTAGCGCCCGGGGAAGACCTCCAGCTGCAAGAGGGCTACACACGGGTAGGCCCCTTGATCCTCCTTCAAGTCTCACGCAACAAGAGCTGGTGACCTTTTCCACGGTCGTATCAACACCTCTTTATTTTTATTACTAGATCTAATATTTTCTTGAAAATTACTTTATTAATTAAGCTGCTAACTAAGGTATTATCAGTAAAACCACAGTAGCATCTATCCTAATATTAAGGATCAAGCGGGACTACATGCGCAGTGTCACGAGCTACCTGCCTTTGAACCTTGAGACTCGGATTCTGAATCATTGGAAGAGTCATCTGAAATCCCGTTTTTTTGATTTTCACTCGATGAAGCCAGGTGCTCCTTCGACGGTGGGTATCCAAGCCCCCGGGCGTTTCGAGCTGATTTCGATACCTCGCTTGACCCTGAGTAGGGCCGCTTCCCCACCAAGGAAGCCGCGTTCGGGCACCTAGATGACAGATGATAGCATGTGGTCGATGTTGAAGTGGTGGTTGAGTGAATCAACGATGGCTCCAGCGCCTGAGGACTTTTACTAAGCACAAATCGGGCAGTGGTAGTCGGCAACTCTGGGTTGTTTGTAACAACACTTGGCTCGAGATGATTCCCATGATTGCGTAAGTGGACTGGCTTGGTTCCATTCTCGCTCGCAGACGGCTCAACCTCGGTTGTCTGTGCTGTCTGTAATGCTTGCACTGCAGTTGCATAGCGGGTTTTTCTCTGGCACGTCTTCCGATGTGGTACTTTTTTGGCAGGCTTTGGTGGTTTTGGGTCCGGCCCCCAACCTAGATTTGTGACGTTGAAACTCTTGTCCACAAGAAAACAGTTTTTGCCACCATCGAAGTACAATGGCAAAGATACTGATGTCGCTTCCCCAGGAGCATCAATGCCCTTAGGGTGCCTTTGTATGGGTGGCTTTGGTTCCTTTGGATGGCTAGAGAACCACTCTCTTCTTGCATTGAGGACAACAGATGTCTGGTTCTCGGTGGTTCTGAGAGACAGTCCAAACCGCCATCTGCCATTCTTCAGTTTTCCAATTTCCATGATGTCGTAGCACCTGCCGAACTTTAATTTTCCTTTCTTTTCTTCTTGCACCTCCGGGTCCTTTTTTCCCCTCTCTTGTTGCAATTCAAAGAAAGGATCACAAATAATCTTGAATTCGTCGTTGCCCGTGACGAGGATCTCTAGTGGGTCTGGATTATTCTGCTGAATCGATAAACAAATGGTCTAAGACGGCTAAAGCATCGGCCCAACCACTTACCAAGCTGAAAACAAGAGAGGCTTCATCATCCCATATGCCATCGGGGTTTCCCTTCCCTCGACTAGGATTTTGTTTTCGTTGAAGGCCAAATGCTGCCCCTCGTCGGAAATATTGCTCAATCGTCATGCGGTTACAAGCCGCATACGCAACCCCTCGAGCAATATAACCCGATCTGATAACCATTAGTATAGATATTAATATGATCTTTTCACTTCCAAGAGTCGATACGTACTCGTTTTCAATGTTGAGATCGGCGACGAATCGCAGTTTTTGTATACCATTCTTACTGCAAATGTCCTTTAGGCGCCTTTTGATCACCACATGCTTGGCCGTGCCCCCGGATACAACGACGACCGGCGTGACTCCCTTCAGCTGTGAGACCATTTCGATATTGGATTTGGCTATGTTGAGGATTTCTTCGACCGACTGCTCGAAACAATTGTTGATTTCCTCGGGAAGGAGGTCGATGTCCATATCCCCACCAAAATCAATCATTTCTAGCTCTTGCAGCGGACCAAGGCAGTCTTTGTTCCTATGGAACCATTCCAATTGTTTTTGCCTTTCGCGATGTGTGATTTTGTATCCCGGAAATCGATCTAGCTTTCTTAAGAAAAGCTCGCCAATGTTGTATGCCCAGTGCTCGCTCCCGCCCCCTGCGCCTTGGCCAGTGTTAGCCGAAGCAAGAACAATTAGGTGCGCGACAAACACTCACCGAATGGCTCAGATATGCCATAAAAGCTTGCATCTTTATTCTGATCTCTTTCTTTTCCGTAAACAACGTTGAATATACACCCGTTCTAAGTACAGGAGATAAGTAACAATTTTCAAGTACCTAGGTAGCGTGGGGATGGAAGGAGTTTGGTTTGACTGACCATGTTATGCCCACCAAAGTCCAGGAACAAAAGAACCTCATAGTCGGCCACGCTATCACATTCACCCTCTTCATCTCCGCTCTCCAGCAGAAGCGCCCTATGATCTTGCAGAAGAAAGTGGGCAAGGGCTTCTGTCTCAGTGTGAAAGAATATGCCATCTCTAGGCACCCCAAAAACGTCAATAATGATTCTGCGATAGGCGTCTTCGAAATCCAATGTCCACTGGGAAGGAATTGAAAGTCCTATCGAAGTAATCTTAAGCCGTCTGTTCTTGCATTGTTGCGTTGCCAACTTTCGGACAGCTGAGAACAAGTCCCTGAGACCGGTTTCGAGCCTGAAAATAAAATTCGGGTCGTCTTTGTGCCTTCTCAAAGGATTTACAAGACTGTACTGCTTGAACAGGTTATCTTCTCCATGGTCCGACTCATTTACCAGTACATAGAACGCATATTTCAGGGAGATGCCTTGTCGTTTTGGATCAATGAGCTCTCCTATATATACCGGCTGGTCTGTATCGAAAGGGTACGCTGTTGATGAAAAGTCTCCCTCCTTGTATTGGGCGATGTTCTTGAGAAAGCTTTTGGTATTTCGTATATGAAGTCGAATGTTTTGCGTTGGACACCAAAGAAACGCCCGTGTGCTGGTGCTTCCTATATCTAAGCCAAGGACACTGAATACGAACAACAAGTTAGTATTAATATGGTAAAGTTTTAACTAATCAAGTAAAATTGATCAACAAATTCCACTTACGTATCAAATAGTTCAACACCTCGCTGGGACATGTTGGAGTAACGTGTGGTTCAATTCCTGGGTAATGGATGTGGTATCTGAACATCGAAAATAGGGCACAAGAAAAAAAGAGTTGCTGGAATAAAAAGAACGCTTTTTAATGCAACAAAACAATGGCACCGACTATTAAGAATTGTTTTGAGTAGGGTAGGTGATATGAGCGAGTGATATAGTGACTAAGGGATTTTTGAGCTGCAAACACTGAGCTTTTATTCTGGGCCAAGTTCCTTTAAGAGCATGTATTTCTTAATTCTAGCTAAGGAAACATGTAAAATGTAAGTGGTACATCGCGAATTTATGGCCCACCCCGCAAGTTAACAGAAGAAGGACTGAGGAAGGGGACAAAACTCGCCGTTCGTCCACCGGCAGGGGACTTAAAACTGCAATCTAGCTTGGCTGGAATGGTGTAGATATCTTTACATAAGACTACTTTGGATTCCTTGCTAATACAGTGCGCAGTTTTCGCTAACGAATGAAACGTTGATTGGCCTGGAACAAAGGGGGAACGCCACCCAACCTCCAACATGCAGTCCCTGGCCACACCAACAGAAGGCAAAACTGTATTTACGGCACAGCTGAACAGGGTATAAGGTCAACGGTCTGGATAAACGACTAATCATGAGCGCTCAAAATTTTCTTTTTCCTGGGCCATCGCACGTTCTTCGTTTTCGTATCTGTTGAGCATCAAGTATGTCACACGCTAAACGTACATGTGGCTCTGATGATTGGTAGCCTGATCAAAGAGAAAAAAAGACCTTTGCAGATAACTATGCAAATTTTCCTGAACATAGAAAGGCCTCTGCAGATGACCATGCAATATCTACTGGACATGAAACCTACCTGCAGAGATCCTGGACATAGTCTTCCTCCGAACATTAATCAACCAATGATGAAAAGACCAGCTGATGAACATGAACCAAGCCCGCTGCCCACCACTTCAGCCAAGGCCTAGAATCTGTCTGTTGTGATAAATGATCAGAAGAGCGAACCGCCCCAGCCCCTGATGCTTTGATATTTCGAAGACGGAGGCAACTCGGCGGCGCAGCATTCATCATCCTTGTCAGCTGAATCGGCATGCTACGCACACAAATTCGGCATTGTGAGCCAGCTCCCCCTTCCATTCACAAAGCTAGAGGATGCCTTGTTTATAATCTTCCTCATGAGCTTCCTAATAGTCACGTCCCGACGTTGGTTGCCAGCTTTTAATTCACAATGCCACGCTACAAGCATGAAGAGCTCCCGGCGTCTCAGACGAAGCCAACTGAGTTAGTGCTTGAGGCGTTGAAAACGAAGTTAGAGAACAATATCAACATCCGACGAAGAGCTGCCTCAAAGTTCAGAAACGATATCAAAGTCCTCGTTCACAGCTACATGAGCTTCTGCGAACAATTACGATGTCAACAGTCAAACCTCATAAGCGAGGCTTTTAGCCATGGATCCCTCGCAGATGACATTCTTGGAAACAAAAAGTCCTACGATATATCCAACGGAAGTCGTTTCCTGACAGATAGTGGGAATCTCATCATTTCGTACTGGCCAAAGTCTGCGTTTTTGGAGGACTCTCCTCTGGACGAAGATGACAACGACTTACACAAGGAAAACATTCCCCATGGACCATCCACGCACATTCAGCGTGCCAAAGACGATATGGAGCCCGTATGAGTTGACTTTATTCAGATACGAGTTTATCAATGCTGACATATTTTAATGTGGTAGGTGAAAGAGCCAGTCGCTGGTGTTGAAAAGCGAAGCCTGCGACCCCGTGTGCGACGTCTCCGAACCTACTCAAAACGAAAACGAGAATCAGTTTTTAGCTTGAAACAATCACAAATTCTTTCAACCGAGCAACAAGAAGAAGTTGTTTCTTCAGATGTAGCAGGGTGCAAAGACAAACTGATTTCTGAATTTCCGCCGAAGAGAGCAAAAGCATGGTCCCAGCCGTTAGGCCTGACAGGCCAACTGTATATCAAAGACGACGAGATTAGAGATTCGCGGTCATGGGTTTTCTCGTACACGCTAGATCGAAAGACCGCGTTCTACACCATAAGATGCCCAGCAGACTGCCCAAGTCCTGTTTTCTCAGTCCATCCGCTTTACGAATCGAGAGCCCAAAGGCATTTCGAAAACTGCAACATAGGCTTTGAGAACGAGGAGGACATGGTCCGAAAATACGCGCGACAAGGTAAGATAACTATTAATTACAGCCTCTTAAGAGAGTTTCTAACACTTTCTATCAACTTGAAGTTGTTCAAAGCCGTAATGATAGACTCATCACATGCAAGTGGGTCAAGTGGCACAATAGTACCTTGCTGGGAAAAGCAGAAACACAAGCACATTCGGAGAATATCCGGTAGAAGTGGTCTTTATGGGGAATGTATTATTTTACCAGATTAGCAGCCTCGTTTCGTTTTACACGCTGCGATAGCCCCAATGAATTAATAGCCCTGTTTTGAATTCTCATTGAAGCCATCTTTCGCCTAGTGTCTTTACCTTGTCGCCGATTTCGATTTCAGATGGCTTCGCAGAAACAACAACTCCCATCATTCGAACCCATGAATCCGATCGGTTGATCCATCTGCCGCACAGATTTCAGTATTGTAAATTTAGATACGATGAGAATTGTACTTACGCATGCATTGCTCCACGTTGAACAGCCACATCTCCAGGTCGTAAGGTTTTCTCACAAACGTCGTCCAAAGTTCCCTTCTCATTCTCTGTTCTGAAAGACCCTTTCGGGGTGACAAGAGTTGGTGTTCCTTCATTGACAGCTACAAAGTCTAATGACGGAGTTCGATGCTTCAGAATCATTAGAAACATAAATTCCACTCAAGGTTGGCCGGAGGAGCAACTTGCCATGGGTGTTTCAGACCCAGGAGCCAGGTCAAGGAAGTAGATGTTGATACCGCCAGGAAGTACAATTCCGGTCCCAGGAACTGTACCAATAGATGGAAGTCTTTTTATCAGGCTCAGCATGTTTCTTAGTCTTTCTCAAATGTACTCAATCTTACAGTCCATCATTGCTGGCAGGAACAGTCGGAACTGTACCAACGGGGGTTCTCCGCAGCAGACCGTTAAATAACTCCTCGGTCTGTAATTCTTCTGTAAAAACTTCAACTCCGGGTTCCGTATCTGCTGCTTCTGCAGTCGAATCTAGGGGCAGGTTCGACAAAACGATGCGTCGGGGAGTAGCAGGAGGTGCCATAGTAAAGAAGATCAAGTGTCGTGAGTGAAGAATCTGGTGGTATTACAGTTCGGAGACCTGGTTATTTGTAAGATGGGTTCTTGTTTCTTGATGAGTTCTCCTCCTGATTTGGTTGAAAAACAACTGCTTTAATATTGTAAGTCAGTCCCTTCGTTGCTTAGAAGCGCTCATCAATCATCAACAACTCGGCGCCGATAAAGTCAAAAAGTGGGTCATTTGTCTGACTTCGGCGCCGCCTTAATGGCCTTGGTGACTAATGCCATTCACCCTTGGATTTTGTGTCGGGATTTCCGAAGCGCCCACAAAGACGCGGCTGGAGTTACGCTCCCTGCACTATTAACTTCTATTACAAGATGGAGAAAAACGGAATTACTGGGGGGCTAACTATTGAAACAATCAAAACACCGATATCGTGTTGTATATGTCTTGGTCAGCGGGCTGATTGCATGATTGCAGTTAAAGTTGATCGCTCACAATGTTTAGACACTTTTCGCCTGTGAGTCGCCTAGTGAAGTATGTAGACCATGCCACTCAATGTACTAGCATTGAACATCGACAAATAAAGAGGATAGGATGTGTGATTAGATCATACTAACAGGAATCTTGGCCTACTGCATTGGGCAACAAAGAGTTCACATTGTGTATTACTGACAGATGCAAATCATAGATCAAAATCTTCCAGCGATGCGTCAACTGCTTGAATATTGCTTTTGCATTATGCATTACCTAGCTATCGAAATCTTCGTGTCCAATGCCCTCAGCTTCTCGCCTCCCTTTACGCGACGGGTCCATAGAAGCTGAACTTGCCCTGGGGATCGTACTTAGCCTTCAGTGACTTCAGACGATCCTGGCGCCACTGCTCAGCACCATACCACTCAGCAGGGGTTTCATCTCCAAAGGCATAGTTGAGGTAAACGTGAAGGTCATCACGGCCACTGCCTTCGTGGATGATCTGGCGGAGTTGGTTTCCGAGTTCCGCTGCTTGCTTATCTAGCTCTGCGCCGCCGGGTGTATAAGTGATCAAAGGTGCGAAGAGCAGGTTATCGCCTCGGTAGGCAAATGCTGTAGAGTCTTTCTCAATCGCCTGGACACCCTTGACTGAGTAACCCTCAAACATAAAAAGAGAGTTACTGAAAGGGGAAGAACCCTTGATGGAGGAGGCGAACAGGTCGTAAGCCTTGCGCTGGGCTTCGATGTTGTACGACTCAACATAAATAGGGAAGCGGGGGTTATTAAGGCCAGCCTTCTGGCAAGGAATGGAGTCGAGAGCGATGCCAGTCCAAGCAGCCAGGTCAAGGTAAGTTCCGGCGGTGGGCTCAGCAGAAATAGCGCCAATATCATAGAAGGGTTTCGTGTAGATGGAGTCAACAGCAGTCACACCTTCTTGGATGATCCAAAACAAAATAATTGGCTAGATTTGATGTCAGCTGTTGTCAATCATATCAGGTTATCATGATACAACTCACATTTTCGGGATCAGCATCGGGGTTGTTGAGCCAGTAGGACCAGTTGACAACATCAACAGCTTGGGTTCCGTTCTTGACAAGATGATCGTTGGCAGCCTGGTAGACCTCTTCGACCTTCTCGCCGCTGAAAATAAAGGTCTCAACCGCCCAGTCACGGTGCACGATGTCGTAGATCTTGACATCTACAGAGGTGACAATGCCAAAATTGTGACCAGCGCCCTTAACAGCCCACCAGAGATCTGAATTCTCATCAATGGTTTGGATAGTTCCATCGGCCAGAACGATGTTCATGGAAATGAATTGGTCAGCGACAAGACCATGGTGGCCCTGAAGCCAGCCATGGCCACCACCAAGAGCAGGTCCAAGAGTGCTGACACATTCGCAGGTACCGGTAACTTGTAACATGGTCAGCAATCTACGGGCAAATGAAGTTCTATGTTCCAATAACCACACTTACCCGTCTGTTTTCCCGCTTCCCAAAGGATATCAGTAACGTCCTTGGACCGGGTACCACCGGCAATCTTCGCAGACTTGCCATCTTCGGCGACCTCCACACCACTCAACTGGCTAAGAGAAATCTCGATACCATTTTGCATTTTACCTAGCGTCGTGATAGCACCGTGCACACCATTGTACGCGAGGAAAGGCAAGTTTTTCTCGTTTGCGAATTTAACCTAGCAAAGTGAGGTTCGAATGTAAGCGGACCCTCGGAAGCAAGACTGACGAGATATTAAGGACTTACCGTCTCAGCAACGTCCTGCTCGTTCCCAGGAACGACGACGAGGTTTACAGTAGGTGCATTGAGGTTTGACCATCTAGTGGATGCCGCAGTGAATTCATCTGAGCCAGGCTGGTAGATTTTGGCAGTGCTCGAGAGCTTGTCACCGAGCTCTGCAGTATCTCTAGCGCAGATACCCCCCACCTGGCGTGCAATGGGAACATTCAGACACGCTGAAGTGATTGCCCACGCAGCCACAGCTGTAACTACTTCCATCTTGAGTCGATACATTGTGGCAAAACTGTCAATGAAACGGGCTCAAAGATTCATAAACAAGGATACAATTGCGCTACGACACAACTGTAGCCTAGGGCAGCTTGTCGGTGACCAAGAATCGGAAGGAGTGTGGTAGTATCTGAAATGAATGAACAAGCCCTTCTGGTCGTCGAGCGTATCAGACAAACAGGACTCTGTCAAGACACACGCAGCGCCTCTATGAATATTTATTACAACATTCCGACTAGCCAAGCCCGCTGTTGCAACACCGCATGCATCTCTAATTTCGGCCCCATGCACGAAGTGGTCCCCAAACCTGGTCTTAACATGCATGTGGCCTTCCCTCTAGTCGCTGATTCAACACACCATCTAGATACAATTTGGTAAGAGCTTTCCTCTCCCTCGTCAATATCTGTCTTTAGTTGTGCCTTGCCCAGGCTCAAGGGAACAGGTTTATGCACTTTCTGGAAGAGGCCATAGTCCGACTGCATTGACATAGCCTCGTCCCAACCAAGGGTCAGATCCTGTCTGAACCTACGTTCCCTGCCCATAGCTCCCATATCCCTATGTTTTTCTTTCCCACGTGTCACTCCCTTGAAACCCGTTCTCATGCCCGCTGGATCAGTTGAGAGACATCCTGGTGATTTAACAAAGGCTACCTTGAGAGGAGGGGCATGGTTGCATCGAGTTCCTATCCCACGAACGGCTCCGCTTCCTTTGCAAATTCCACGACTTGAATCACGGTATACTGTGCACTAGGATGCTACGTAGGATTCCAACCGCGGCCAAGCAGTAGGTGCCAAGTCTTTCGACATTGAACAAAACCTCCGGATGACACGTCGGTGCCACATAATGCTGCACAACCCGGAATGGTAAGGGTACAGTCTCCACTTCTTGCCCCTCGCCCCTTTCCTCTATCCATGATTCAACTTCGAATGCGGCACAGCACCCAAAAGCATTTGAATCTTGGGAACGCGGCATTTGACGGATGGTAGACGCCACAACCGCTGCGTAATACAATACCGAGCGATTTTTGCGTCTGGAATGGTCTGGACTGATGGCCTCATCCTCGGCTATGGGGAGAGCAGGTCGGAAAGATAGTTAGAGGCTAGCGTTTCTTCAGTCAGGGGACCCATGTAAACTTGTTCATACTGGCACCTGCTATGTAGTTCGGATTGGATAAGATTGGTTAAACGTGCGGATAGTCAATTTCTTTGAACATGCGCCGCTACATGTTTCCATTCCCATACTTTTGAGGCCGCTATGAAATGTCATTCGAAAGATCAGTTCCATGATTAATCTTTCATCCGTCCATCACTCTGAACCAGATACTCGCTGCATTGTCTTATGATGTCTTTTGCTGAGGAGATGTTGAACCATTGAGTATCGGCTTGAAGATTTATTCATTCATCTCCCGACTCGGACCACCTTCAACACTGGGCTTAGTCCCTTCCGTCTCCGCCCCCACATTGCAGCCCCTCAAGTACCCGTATTACCTTATCGTACAAAAAGTATTGAAGCAGGGATCCTCAACACCGGGGAGGCAGAGCCGGGTTGTGTCCGCTCGGACCGCCAGCAGGGGCAAAGGGTCTTGCTTCGTACACGTACATAGTACGCTTCCGAGTCAGGAACCGACAGGGCTCGATTCCTGATATTCTGATCTAGTAGCTTGGCACGGTGGAGATGTCCGCCACTGATGACCGGACTGAACGGAAAGTGATGGCGATATGGAGATGATAAATTTTCTGGCTGGCGCGAATGTAGCATACCCTCTGTGAGAAGGTCAAATGTAGAAGACAGGCACCTACCACAGAAAGTGAGCTTGTAACCCATGTGTTGATTTCGTAGGCCATGTTGGCATAACAACGTACACATTAAGGTATTAACCTGGAACACAATAAGGAGAGAATTGGATATTGAAAGAAAACAAGTTATTCGTAGACCACTGAACATTTTGTTTAGTATTGCTGTATAGATTGCCCCAACCTCTTGTGCTACCGTCATCGAAGCATACAGGACGTTCTTCTCGGCAGACCCAGATTTTCCCCGACCAACGTTTTCAATAGTATTGGAAGCTTCTTGTAGCTTGGCTGCCTCCTACATCACTTTTGTGGCTGTTTACGGAACCCCTTGACACATATCTCGGCTCACGACGTCGCATCTCGGAGATGGATATGGTCACCCGACGAATCAAGGCAAACGCAGGCCGGGGCCCTGGCAACGAACCCATAACCTGTCAGTCGCCTTACACATAGTGGTGATGTTTCCTTTTCATTCAGGGGACTTCGTAGTTGCCGAAACTGTTCGCTACCACGCACCACCCCTAAACCTGTTCTCTCATCACCAATCAACGTTCCTCCAGAAGAAAGGCTCCAGTTATGCCACATGAAAGACCCCGAGTCAAACGTTTAGATGTTTTGAGAGTTCTTGTTTCACCCTTGATAAACGAATAATGTACTTGTATAAAGGATAATCCCGAGGGATTATTACGCCTTACTCTGGCCGCTGCTCTCAGTGTTTTCGACGATTTTCGCTGCCGCCTACCCACTCAATTGGCATTGACGTATAGGCAGAGCTACATGTCATCAAGTGCTGCTCCTCTTGACCCTGCGGCGCAGGCCGCAGCGGAGGCCACCATAGAGGCAGCTCGCCGAATGACGATCGAGGCATGGACTCTTTACGGGATCGGAATGGTTGTGACCATGCTCAGAACGTATGCTCGAGCAAAGGCAGTGGGATTCCGGAACTTTCGGCCTGACGATTATCTCGCCTGGGCTGCTGCTGTATGTTGTATCTGCATTTGATCTGTACCTTTCTTCCATGAGAATATGTTGCCAATTATCTCAATGCACTCAGCTTTTCTACACAGTTCAGTCAACCCTGGCCTACGAGGTTGGCAATGTTGCCCAAGGCCTTGCAAACAGCGGCATGACAGACGAAGAGCGTGCAGCTTTGTCTATCACTGATCCTGAGTACGGAATGAGGCATGTTCTTCCCATCAGAAGCACGGAAAGCCATCGTTATTGACTCAAATTTAGAATCATTGGGTCAAAAATTCAGGTTGCGGGCTGGACAACGTATTCAGCGTTGATCTGGTTGCTAAAGCTGTCCATGTTGTTTTTCTACCTCAGACTTACAGTAAATATTTACCCAAGCCACCGGAATACTCTGAAAATTATCAGCTTACAGCCAGTTAGGAAGGCCTCGGTCGCCGTTATCGATTACGTATCTGGATTGGATTTGGCCTCGTCCTCGCAACTTTCATTGCATCCATGGGCTCCGTCTTTCTATCCTGCATTCCTTTCAACAAATACTGGCAAATCAACCCAGACCCTGGAAGTAAGTCAGTTTTACAACAAGAAGCAGCTATCAAACTGATAATCAATTGCTTAGACGCATGTCAAGCCGCCATCTCCCTGCCAATCATCTGGACTTCGTTCGCTGCCAACGTCTCGACTGACATTTACTTGATTTTGATTCCCATACCTTTGCTCTGGGAATCCACGTTGAGACTTGTAAAGAAAATCGCATCAACCATTGTCCTTGGTGCCGGCATTTTTGTCCTAGTCTGTGCCACCTTGAAGAGTATTTTTGTCCTGGTGGTGAGTTCGATTACCTCCTCTGTTTAGTAGCCACGGATGATTTAATTCGGTGTTCTCATAGGATCCCGTCAATGGGGCCCAGCTAGCCGGTACATGGGGCACGCGTGAAACATTTGTTGCGGTTGTTACCACAAATCTCCCTATGATCTTCCCCCTTATCCGAACCTGGCTGAAGCCTATGTGGCCCAGTATACTGCGCTCGTCGAAAAAGGCGTATACGACGCCTAGTGGCTTTCAAACCATTGGTGGCGGTAACGGGCAGTCTCGCAGTCGCGACCGTCGTACGGCACCCTCGAGTGCAAACCCACTCACCGCAAACTCGGCATTTACGGAGAGTGAAGAAAGGATCATGAATGATGTCAAGATGCAGAATATCAAGAATTTGGCATGGCCAACCCTCGGAAGTAGGCCACACAATGGAATTGTGGTGTCCAACGAGGTTGAGATTACTACTGAAGATAGGACCAGCCAATTCGGAGGGCAGCGACCCCAACGTGCTCATGAGGCCTGGTAGCCTATTAGCAAACGTATGTATAACGTTGAGTTTCTTCCCAATTATCCAACAAACGAAAACAAAGGAAAATAATTATTCAACCTGAAGAACGTAATCGCACTATGTTAAAGGTTTCTCGGTCGTATTTCTGTAACCATTCCGGCTGGGGACGTGAAAGTGATACTAGCATACAATAATTGTGATCATGCTTTGGCATCGTACAGAGCCATGTTATCCGCGATGGCTCGGGGACGATCCTGCACTTAATACCATATAGTAGGTTCCCCACCTTAGCGTGAGGTAATCAAGAAAAGCCTCCACATCCCGGAAGTAGATGATGCGCGAATTATGTCCAACTCTTGCTATTGATAACGAGACGGCTCGATGGAGGTTGCGTAAGATCGGTCTGGCTCGAGCTAATGTGTGTTTGAGTTATTGAGAATTAAATAAATATAGTCAAGGCCGTGTGACTTTAGATTTTGGTATCGATACATTGGTGGACGCTGAACTTTAGCGCTGGGCTTATGAGAAAGCAGTGAGCTTTGAGAGTGAGAAACAGATCCCTGTCACACTGAACTAGTTGTTTTCATTGAAAGAGGGGTGGGGGAAGGCCGCTCCCTTCATGTGACATTCCCGCCCCCTGCGTTGTGATGGTCGACAGCGACTCGAGTCTGGAAGCTCAGCACGCTCGCCAAATATTACCTAGGCACTCTTTAAGGCTCCCAGAAATATCCGGAAAAGCAAATGTTTTGGGAACGGCAAACAAAATGTAGTGACAGAAAGAATTCGGAGGCTTTTAGCATTATTAATCTTAGATTGACGTCTTGTAACATTCAAACTATTCAAGGTGCCCCATGTCACGTTTGGAAGACAGTAACTAGTTCAAGGGAAAGCAGTAAGTTCAATGTCGACGGCTGCCGAAAAGGCGTTTCCTACATTCATTCAGGCTTTGTTTGAGTAGGTGTTTGGTGTTTGTGGCTGCTTACGCTGCTTACACAAGGCTGCAGCTGAAAATCCTTTGGTGTTCTCGTTTATCTCCTTACCCTTTTTGGAGGATAGTTTCGGTTGCATTTTAGCCGCCCCCTCTGCTGGTAATTTTACTAATTTCTGGGACCGTTGGCGACTTTCTATGTTTTCTTACTCCTATCAGACCCATTTCATCGTTATGAAGGCTTCACTTTTAATTTAACGTTCTGCACGTCTCTCAAAGTTCTCTGGGTGTTTACTCGAAATGGAAGCAATACTTGGACCGTATGATGGTTAATTTGAACAAATTTGAATACACTAGACTAGATTCCGGCAGTCCAACTGGCTTCGTCAGTCAAAATGGCTGCGTGGTCGCCCTGAATGTTGATAAAGGCGTCATGTGGCGCCCAGAGCACAATTGCCTACAGGCGCATTTGCGGCAGGCTGGGCTTGGCATTAAAGGATCATGTTTAGTAGGGGGCTGAGAATTTTTGCACTTTTATGTATAAATCGGAAGGCTCTCGAACTGGAGGGCTGCATGACAGTTGGGGCTGTCTCATTGGGAGACTTTATCCCCTGAGGCTCGGCGGATTCAGACTCTAAATCGATCAGGCTGTCATTTCCACAATTCAAGAAGCATAGAACAGGCATTTAATATAAATATAACGTCTTTCCACATATTTCTTCCTTTCAAAAGTGATGTTAGCGGTCCACGCGCCTGTCAATGAGGTCAAAGAAAGCTGATTAATTTCACCAGGATGGCCTCAAACGCATCGAAAATTGAGTTCGCTAACTGGAAACCCCCTCCTATCGAATCACTTGATTTTTCTTCAAACTGCACTGTTACCAAAGCCTTCCTCGAGTCCTGGTTCGACCTCAGTTTATACGAGGACGTTGGTGAGTTGGCCGGGCATTCTCAGAATGTAACATTCTGGGTTCCAGAGTCTCTTCACTCGCAGGCAACCGAAAACCACTTTCGCTTGGCTTTGCCGTTAGATATTCGGCAAATTCCCTCGTATGGAGAAATACTTCTTTGGGAGTACTCGCTTCGCACCTCCTACGCTGAGTCTGTTCACGAATGGGTCGCCTCTGCGACCAAGATTGAGGAAACCACGGATAATCGTACTGAAATCGATCAAAAGACTGACAGGCTTCCCCTGGATACTCGATATTTTAACTCGGTTATCCAAGCACCAAGCCTCGCTTGTAAGAAGGAGATCTGTGATCTCGGCTTCGAATGGGGACATTTGGGTGACGTTAATGGTCCGGGGGTAACGTTCCTCTCTATCTCACAACTTGACTCTAAACTGACATGCCTATTCTTTAGATATTCATCTACTATATTCTCCTCCTGTGCGTATCGGTTGTATACTCCCTCATCGCTCTTGTGGAAGCTTCACGACAGCTTGGGCGAAGTCAGCATCAACATCAGCAGATTGGTCGGCCGAAGAAGAAAAAATCTACAAGACCAATCAACAAGCTTTATCAGGCTGCCAAGGAATCTTTCAGTGGGTTTTCTGATGCCGCAGCAGTATTCTCATTCGCATTGCCTTTTGCTATTATTGCACACTATTTTACCGCCGGGAGTCCCATCGTCACATCCAAAGACATAGCTCTCGTGCTTTGGATTCTGGCGTACTCCAGCTATGTATCTGTTTGGCTCTATCGCATCGGCGCATGCATTCGCAGAGTCGAAAGAGCCAAGGCAGAAGCGGAAGCGGCCTTGTCTGGTCAAAAGCCACAGAGCAATAAAAAGTACACGTTAGCAACTGCCGTCATCATAGGGTTTGCGACTCCAGGGTTAGTCGTGCTCCTCGTTGCTGCAATTTTCGCCGAGGTTGGAGACTACTTCAAGCCATTCAAATTTGAAGAATTTTGGGACGGAATTTGCAGCTCGGGTCACACATTTCCTCAGAAAGATGCCTACATCTGTATAGGCTGTCTTGTGGCGTACTGTTTATTGAGGACTATAGTTGTGGACTTTGTTTTAAGCTGCCTCTCAAGACGGGAAAGAAAAAGAGTGCCTCAATTTGACAAATCTCTCAGCCGTGAGCAAAGAAAACAGCGATTGAAGCTACTACGCAACATTTACAGCTTCTTCCGTCGGAAAGATCCGCGATATCGAAAGGCAACGGATGTCCTCGGCATGCTCGACATTGTCATTCTTGGGGTTGGGTCGGGTGTGATCCTCCGACTTTATTGGAGCTATCGAATGGAGCTCTCAGAAACCACAGGTGTTCATCCTTTCAAAGATAACTGGGGTCTTGGTCAAGTTCTTGCACTTTCCACCCTAATCCCTGTCATGATAGGGTTCTGTCACATCTTCTGTAAGTGACTCGGGAATCCCTGAAGGCAAAGACCTCTGCTGTGATAATGCTAATGAATTCGCTTAGTATCAATTAAAGCATCTTAAGGATGATACTAGGCTGCTTCAAGAAATTTTTCTGAGGAAGATCTTCGGGGCGGAGTTGTTCTTTGCTTGAGTGGGTGCTTGTCTCCAACTCTCAGTAGAAAGATTAATCTGCGTGAATAACATTATGTCATTGTTTGTAAGCGATTGGATTACCAAAGAATGATGATCTTGTAAATATTCATATGGCTTATGTTTGAGATGGAATTAAGTTTATTAGCGCACAGGCGTCATGCGGACTTCAAGCGGCAACTCGGCAGTCTCAACATATGATGACAGATCCAGGCCAATGAGAATTAAGTTCATCCAAGTTGCCGGCTGCAGTAAGCTGACCAATTCTGGTAGGTGTTCATTGCTACCATGCCAACCCTATAACCAGTAAGCAGCCCTGACTTACGCCTGCGGGGAAGTAAGACTGTACATCCCCACTGCGGCTGATAATGCAGGCCCTGAAGTTGAGACAAATTACCTGCCAACGGACGTTCTTTCTAATTGGCTGGCCCACTGTCGTTTCCCCATCTAACTATTCCCGTGACGAAGAAACATGCTGTTTTCGGTAGTAAATAGCCTATCCTGTGCATACAAACCTTCTTCGTAGCAGGAAATCCCCTTACTCATCTCCCTGCAGGTCTCGCCCGCCTTGTCTTACTATTAGTAGGAACGCTCATGCCTGGCGTCCCGTGCCGCTGCATTATTTCAATAAGCCTGTGTTCATGCATATGCTTCTTGCCCGATTAAGTCCGACATCCAAACATTAGCAAATCAGTTTTCGCATCCCTCGTTTGTGTAACATGGAATCCATTTCACAGGCTTGGCCACTGTTACGATGAGAAAATTATAATTGGATGATGAGAGTTACTGTCTCTGCAATACCTACTGCTACTAAGTCCTGATATAGGAGCAACCTCGAACATAATTGTTAAGGTTGCCCACCCAGAGTGTCCTTTCATGTGGGAATTGCAACCCCACCTGAATAAACAAGTATGTCTAAACAAGGTAAGTTAAAGCTGCGAAGCAAGGTCCGTTCATTGCTCGCAACTGCGCTGTTTGTCATCGGAGGGCCTAATCTCCGGTAAAGGCGAACAGTTGGAGACGTTACAAGCATTTGCGACAGTCTCACTTAGGGAATTTGTGGTATCTGTTAATCTTATTGGTTAACTCCCGAAGAAGCTAGGTGCTTGAGAGTTCAAAACGGGTCTCTTTTCAGGAAGTCGGGCTAGGCAGGCGCCGATTGATGACTATCGTGGCAAACATGTGTTCGTAGTTAAGTTCTCGAATCAAGCACATAACGTCCCACACCCACTTCTGGGCACCCCCCACATTTGGGCACCCCATTTACACCAAAAACGCCGTTTTTCGAAATTCTATATTAAACTAAATACTTTACTTATTAAAGAGAATAAATATATGTTAAATAGATTAAGACTTAATTATAATACTTAAGTAGCTATATACTAGTATTATTGATAATAAGTATTATAAATTCAAGGTTTAACATTTATAATACTAATTTACCTAGCCTATATCTTAATATATAAAATAGGTAGAGATATTTAACTAATATGATTAGAATTTTTAAGTAAGATATAGTAGATTTATATATTCTTATACTTAGTAAAAAATTCTTTAAGCTTAGAATAATATTTTAAAATTTCCCTTAAGAAAAGTTTCTATTATAGAATTTTAACCCTTAATTATACTATATTTACTAAAGTAATACTTTTAAATCTCTTTTAGATATAATTATATACTTTTAATAAGTATAAATATTAATTTCCTAGATTTTTTAAATAAGTATATATGAGCGAAAATATATTTTTCTAATGTTAAGGAATACTAGTAAGTTACTAGTATCTACTAACATTTTAAAGCTTTTAGTTTTAAACTTCTATATTATAACTATTATTATATTTAAACCTTTATAAAAAATTAGATGGCTATAATTATACTTAACATAGTTTATATATATTTTCTTTTCTTAGTAAGTATAGTAGTTAGTTTAATATAGAATTTCGAAAAACGGCGTTTTTGGTGTAAATGGGGTGCCCAAATGTGGGGGGTGCCCAGAAGTGGGTGTGGGACGTTATCTCCAACTCTGGAAGTGGGGCTAGCCACTTTTAGATCGAATGCGAGCTTCCTTTTGAGGCAACTTTTCTACCCTGTAAGGACCTTGGCTGGTAAGTATTCTGACTTCCGGAGCTCATTGGGTGTCAGTTCGCGCATGGTGATCTGCCAGTTGTGAATTGAGCCGTTGTCTTATTGATGACGCCCCATAGTACTATATCTACCTAGTCCTAACGAGAAGAATATAAAGGGGCTCGAAATTCCCGTCTCAAACAATCTTCTCCCTCATCATCCATCAAACTACCCATCTTCACAAATAGGACAAACAGCCACCAGTTAAACCCTTAAACCCTTCTATCTTCAATATGCACTTCAGCACTATTCTCGTCTCGGCGGGCCTCATGGCTGCTGGAACTGTCCTTGCTGCCCCCAGCCAACTTGTCGAGCGCGCGCCTGTGGCCGAGTCCATCGCCAACGCTACTGCCTTGGGAGTCGATGTATACGGCTCCATCCCTGATGATGCTACCAAGGTTACTGATGGCCACTACACCGCGGAACCGGGCACCAAGGCATGGGCCTGGATCCGTGCTCAGATTGATCTCCCCAACACTGCAGAGACTCGCTCAGAGATCGAGAAGCGTCAAGGCTGGGCTAACATCGGCATTGGAATGTTTGCCCAGGACTGGTGTATGTGTTTGCCTTCATTCTGCAGTAGTCGAAGCTCTTCAAGAACATGAACTGATCATTGCTTATATTATAGGCAGCGGCCAGGCCGGCTGGTTTGACAACGTTATCTACGGTAACCAGAACGTTGTTCATCTCAACATGTTCTCCGTCGGCATTAGTTACCGTGGTCTGCGTAGCAACGAGCAACTCGATTTTAGCAAGCTGTCTGGCAGCGACTGGTGCGGCACTTATCTATACAGCGCTGGTCAAAACACCCCAGGTAAGCGAGTTTTGACGAGGTACACTGAACAGACTGGCTAATATTGGCCAAGTGGGCTGCTTTAACTCTCAAGCTATCAACTGCTTCCGTCTGACCCAGCACTAAGAGACGGTGGATGCGCTCAGAAATCAACCTATTCTACCACGGAAAGAAAAATGGTTGATGGCAGTCATGAGCGCGCAACTGCTTAATAGAAGAACAGCCAAAGCACCTAGACAAGCAATAGTGGGGTAGGGCGTTAACGATCGTTTTAAGATTCAGAGTCATTCATTAGCAATCTGAAGGAGTGATCAACCTGCAGGTCGCGGAATCATAATTTACAAATCGAAATTTCAACCTCTAGCATTCTGCTTCGTTCAAATCGTTTGTGATGTGTTTTGGTAACCCTGAAGGTCTTTCTTGCCATTTGAAAGGGGAGAGGACGTCAGGTGTGATACGTTAGGCCAATTTCTGAAGACTCGATGCTTCGTAGTGACTGGGAAGATACAATGAGACGATGTCCATGAGTTTTTTACTGGATTAGAAGCCCGAAAACTTTAATTCCACATGAGATAGACTGTTTGGTGCTGCCTCTCAAAACATGATAAAGATGAAGCTTGAATTTGACTGTACAGAGGTTTAACACCATTATCTAAACAGCAGATTTGATAACCTTCAATTAACATCAATTTTCCTGTTAGAGACCACTAGCCCTTCGTTGAGTTCCAATTTCCCCCTTGAAGTGGTAGTGAAGCTTGCTATAGTCGTTCTCAAAGCGATACAGGCCATTGTTGTCGCCCTAACGCGCGTGTCGAAGATTCCGAGTCCTAGACCTTTCAAACGCCCAGCTTTGGAAGAATCTCTCGATCATTCTATGATCTGATACATGTAGTCACGCAGACTCCGTATGCTGACGTGGCAAGGCCCAAGCAACCAGCAAGGGCAATGCCGGCGGGAGCAGTGAGGGTACCGCCACTACCAGCCGCAGCTGTGAGGGCAGCAGCGCTGCACAACCCATCGGCGCTAACATAGGCGACACCACAAAGGCCTTTGCACACGAGGCAAGCAGTCTTGGAGCGCTTGTCACAAGACAGATCAATGAGCCTACGATGCCTCGAGTCTCGTTCACCCAATGCTCTCCGAGAAGCTGATTTAACAGCTTCACGAGCGGCATTTGTCTGGCGCTTGGACATCTCATTGCCTAGATTCTCCTTGAGAATGAGCTTAAGATCCATAAGGTACGTATTCTTTGTTTCCTCGTCCCAGGCGAGTTGATCACCGAAGTTTACCCCGAACGGATGAATCCAGTTTTGAACGTCAATGTCCGAGGTGTTAGAGGACGAAAGTAGCTTAGAGACCTCTTCGGGGCTTACACCCCAAGCTGGGGCGACATCTTGGAGGAGGGATGCGTGAGCGACAAATGGCTGGCAGACGAAAACAGCCGCCGCAAGAAGATTGGTAGATAAGTTCTTCATTGAGAAAATGGATTGTAGAGGTTGGTGATATGACTAGAATAGATGATGGAGATGTGACTTAAGCATACTGAGGTCTCTATTTTTTCAATGCGGAAGAAGCAGCGTTCTTATACGTTTCTGTCTTCCTTCTATTCTCATTGCATCGTGGTGTAGACTACCTTAGTCGGCGCTCTAACATATTATCCTGTTATCGTTGACAAAGTTTAGACTATAGAAATTGCGATATTTTCGAGAGATTCATCTTAGGGAAAGCTCAAACCACTTTCACCCAAAGTCTCCGGTGGGATGACGCCCCGGTGGGAACAAAACTTTAGCCGTTTCGACACATTAGGGAATAACCCCATTGATCAATCAAACTTGCTTTGCGATATTTCATGTTTAACGATGTCATAACCGTCTCCAAATCAACTATTGAAGCCCCAATGAGTCAGACAAGTTATCAATCAATGGTGTTATTTCAGAAGATCAAGTAGTGAAATTGAGTCATTTATTTATTTTTACTTGGCGGTCACGTTTGAGGATGAGGACTTTGAACTTTGAACACGTAATGATATGAGACCAGCCTGTCGGGTGATTCGAATTGACAGTTTAATCTAATACTTTCAATGGCGGAGGGAAGAGTTAAGAAAACATAGAAATTTTTAAAGAGATTAAATGAAGGTAAAGTTGGCTGTGATAGGACGATGCTATGAACTATCCCACCGGGACTCTTGCGGTTTTCCTACCATACTTTGCAGAATATATTGCCAAGGAGGAAACTCGTATACAGAGCTCACTGTTTGCTAGAAGCCACAAAGGTCTGAGCTGAGTACAGCTAGCTCAACTTTAATTCATCGCTTGATATTAGTCGATTTCTGCACTGGGTCTGGTTTAGAATTGTAACAAAAATAAATAGTCGCTTGAATTTGGCTATCTGCTATTTTTTCATCCACTTATCCATCACCTTCTTTACATTCATCCTGTTACTTGACTCATAGTCCACACCTGAACAATGAAATTCTTTCACCTTGCTGGTATTGCTTTGTGGTAAGTAACGCAGACCCAAATATTTGACAATGCGCTTAGACTCCCACAGGGCGCCTTCCCTAACAAGCGCTTATCTTTGTACTTGCGTCGGCATTCCGGAGAGGCCTATTAGTGCTGCTGCTGGACTCTGCAACGATCTTAAGGGGAAGATATGTTACGATAAGGCATCAAACACGAATGCGGTGAGCTAGCTTTTATGAATGTTTGAGTTGATCACTAATGGCATTGAAGTGTATCATGACTCGGAAATTCACCGACCAAGAATGTGCTACACGATATTCCAAGCTCGTGAATGGCAAATTAGTTCCTGACACCAGTTTCAAAGCTTTTTGCCAGTTAGGGACGACTTGCTGATCGGGAATTTATAAGTTATACAGGTCGCTAGACGTCTAGCTCACCTGTAGCACAGCCTATTTCCCTGTTCTCCAAGCCTCGATGGTGTAAGATGGGATCTTCATACTGTTATGATAGGTACATTGAGCTTCTAGTGTACTTCTATACTAGACATCACAGTAACCTTTCAATTTGAAAGATTCCATTATCTGCTTGAGCCTTTGGCCTGTCTCTTCCCTGAGCTGCGTGCTATCGTCGTAGAGGATGAAGAACATCAACTTGTGACGTATAATAGGGGATAAAGAAACAAACCCATCAATGATCCAATCTCTCTAGCGCGTGAAAGGCCCGTGGCTTAAAAGAGCCGACGCCATCCTCCAAATTTGTGCCTGTTCTTGACACGTTGTTGCCTCGGGCATATTGCACCGAAGTGTTGGTCTCAGTAAATGTGCTCAAGTGGGCTGTTCCAACAGCTGCTCAGTGTATATGTGCAAGGATTTGGTACCGTCGCTGTGCTGTAGGACCAACTGTATGTTGATGACGGTTTAGCAATTTTTCAAGTCAACATGTACTGCCGGGACATTGTTGCAGCATGAGCATTATTGTGAGCCGATGTAGCATGGGCGAAGTTAACCCTGGTACAGGGGATAGAGAAAGCCGCTACAAGTATTATTCACAGCAGACTGGCTACTGTAAATTTTGTACTTTTTATTCTATTTATTTGTGTTCTCGAAGCGTTCAAATAGGGGCAATCAGCTTATGTCCTTCGATGAAAACAAGTAGAAGTCCAGGTGATGCTCGCATATAGCCGCAATCTTATGCACATCTTCAGCTGTAGGTCTCTTTAATAATTCTAGAGCATTGAGTTTTGATCAATAAGGTACCAGACGGTTGAAGCTTTGTTGTTCATGTCCAGAAACTTACAGATGAAGGAAGTGCATGTGTGAAGACAACAGAGGACTTGATCGTACATCTGCAGTTTAAGTGATGTTGTCTTTCCTTTGCTCTTCTTCTATTGGACTCCTAATACGAAGTCATCAGGATTAACTCTTTTACTGCTTCTAATGAGTGCAATGCCTCATAGTAATACTTGTTACTTGCCTCAGATCCATCCCAAGCTCAGACTCAATGCATCTTCCGAGCTGTGATGATTTTTAGATCACGGTTGAGAAGGACCAAAACACACGGCAAGTCTAAAAACAAATTCATTAGCCGAGAGCTTTACAGTTTCAGCTCTTGTGGTTTAATTATTTGTGGTTTTTGAACGGAATACACTGACGAAACGCACTCAACACTTGATCGGTCCTAATGAAGGGCCGTTGTCAGTAAGCCGAGATCGGAGGGGTTTTCCCGGGGTAACGGTACGTACCGGCATTTAAGTGGATCTGCCCCTCCAAGAGTCGGCGCCGGCAGGGTCAGTCTTATCGATAACGAGCTGTCGAGTCACTTCAGTCAATCCATGCGCGAACGGCCCCAAATTTTACAGGTAACTTTCTTCTTCATCATCACCACGTATCATCTGGAGGTCTGATTTCCACATAAAGAGATTATGATGGCGTTCCGTGCTCCTTTGCGCCTTCAATTGGCCAAATGCCAGCCGCTTCTGGCCGTTTCTTCCCGATTTAACGTCCGCGCGCTGTCGTCTGCCACCGCCGCCGCCTCCAGCCTCCCCGAAGATGTGAAGAGCAGCATTAACGTAAGTGCTATCTGGACATGGCGACAACCTTACCGGGACGATTCAGCTAACATTTGACTCCCAGAAGGAAGCCTCTGTCCCGAATCCTGATCCCACTGAAGACTCTCCCAGCGCTGCTCTTGTTCGCGAGCATGCGCCCTATATGGTGGCCACTTATGCCCGACCTCCGCCGGTGTTCGTGAAGGGTCAAGGCTCTCTCTTGTGGGACATTGAGAACAGGCAATATCTCGACTTTACTGCCGGTATTGCCGTAAATGCTCTGGGTCACTGCGATCCCGAGATCACCAAGCTCATGACCGAGCAGGTATGTGGTATCTCCGAGATGCCGTGAGTCATTTTGCAGAGTCACTAACAGGGTTGCCAATTGCAGGGTAGCACTCTCATGCACGCCTCGAACCTCTACTACAACCCCTGGACCGGCGCGCTTTCCAAGCTCTTGATTGAGAAGACCCTTGAGGCTGGTGCCATGTACGACGCCAACTCTGTCTTTGTCTGCAACTCGGGCTCCGAAGCCAATGAGGCAGCCATCAAGTTCGCCCGGAAGGCGGCGAAGATCAGCGACGCTTCGGGCGACAAGTTTGAGATTGTTTCTTTCAACAATGCCTTCCACGGCCGCACCATGGGCAGCTTGTCTGCCACACACAACCCTAAGTACCAGGAGCCTTTCGCGCCGATGCTGCCTGGCTTTAAGCTCGGCAAGTTCAACGACGTTTCGGCGATCAATGAGACTGTCACCAAGAAGACATGCGGAGTAATTATCGAGCCTATCCAAGGTGAGGGCGGTGTTACTCCCGCCACTGATGAGTTCTTGATTGCTCTTGCCAAGCGTTGCCGCGAGGTCGGCGCTGTTCTCATTTACGACGAAATCCAGTGCGGTCTCTCGCGCACCGGTACCTTCTGGGCACACACTCACCTGCCCAAGGAGGCTCACCCCGACATCATCACCACGGCCAAGGCGCTCGGCAACGGTTTCCCCATTGGTGCCACCATTGTGAACAAGACCGTTTCTGAGAAGATCAAGGTTGGCGACCATGGCACTACTTTCGGTGGCAACCCGCTTGCCTGCCGCCTGGCGCACAACATTGTCTCCCGTCTTGCCGATCCCGCCTTGCAGAAGGATGTTGTGGCCAAGGCCGCTGTGTTCAAGTCCCGCTTCGATTCCCTTCGCGAGCGTTTCCCAGACTTGATCAAGGAGGTCCGCGGCCGCGGCCTTATTCTTGGTCTGCAGCTTACCCAGGACCCTACCCCCATTGTCAAGGCGGCTCGCGAGCGTGGTCTGCTGATCATCACCGCCGGTACCAACACCCTTCGCTTCGTTCCTCCTCTGACCATCTCAGAGCAAGAGATCCAGCAGGGTCTGGACATCTTGGAAGAGGCTATTGCCGCCACTCGGTCATGAAAATGCTTACACGACAAGATTACAACCCCATGTATTTAATCATTTGGCGCCGGCGTTTAAAACCTGACGAAACTTAGACGTAGATTCCGTGGACGCAAGCAGCGAAGCGTTCGATTTCTAAAGAAGAGACGGGAGCTAGGGATTCCGGGTCCCAGTTCGACATAGCGTAGTATAGGGTGGTCTTGCTACATAAATATCCATGGATAAATACAACTACTTATGCACATCGTTTCAACTCATCATGTATCGTCTATGTGCAGCCGCCTAAGCCGTTGTTCTATGGCTGTGCAACCAAGAAAAGCAAGCATTTAGGAAGCATGCTTGTTGTGATAGGAGAGCCAGGGTTTTCAAAATCTAGATACGGTCCGTAAACTTAAGTGAAATATTAGTATCAATATCAGTATATCCTCTTTGTTTTGGGTTTCGGTCAAAAATCAACTCGCTGGCCAAACTTTAAGCTTTTTACTAATAACATCAACTTTCCAACGGCAATGACTAGACAGGCATTGGACTTTATTCCCTTTCCAGCTTATAACAAAACCAAAAGCTGGAGCTAGCCAACTGCTAATGGCTATTACTAGTGGATTGTGTCAACGTACCGCCCTGGTGCAATTTAATGACCGGCTTAGAAGTGTTTTCAAAGAGCGTATGCCTACACAAGAGTGACTGAGGTTGCAAATATGGCCCCGGATTTTGAGCCATGTCATAATTTCAAGAAATGATTCCCAAAGAGTATTGTGGCAAGTCACTTATAGCGGACTAAAAAGCTCAGTATATTATTAGATAATATGGTGTAAATTCACTATGCTCTGAGCTTTGCCGTATGCCTTTGTGTTTCTATGAGTTCCAAACATGACAAGGAGCCAGCAAAGTGGTTTCTGTGTCCCAAAACGCCAGTGCTGTTGCTGACATATTCCTGGCGATTTAGTATCCACTGTATGTCTCCTATGTCTCCTTCTTCTCAGGTTTTCGACCGACAACGCAGTATCTAAAAAGATGGTTATTAGCCCATACTCCGAGAAAGTGGTAGCTGAGGACTCACGCTGGCCAGTATGCATGAATGGCCCTGTTCTTGATGTCTTTACGCACATCAATGAGGAAGACGTCAACCTCAGCGCGGGTCCAATCATGAGCACGCGTCAAAGGGGCCAAGGAGAAACCTTCAAGGCCAGACAACATGTTCTCGTTCTGCCATATTCCAAGCTCCTTGTACTTGGCATCTTTAGGCCAATCATTCGAGGGCAACTTAAAAACGCTGACAGTGACGTCTTCAAAACCAACGTCAACCAAGATGTCTTTAAGCGTAGGGATGTGCGGGCAGGATCGCCCGAACTTTTCGGATGCCTCGAAAAGAAGCTTAGACCACTTCAGCAGGGCACTATCGGGTTTCAGGGTTTCATCATCAGAGACAGGGATGAGGTCGTATTCTTGTAGCTCGAGAAAACCGCCAGGTTTGAGGTTTCTTTTATCAATCAAACGTCAGTCTTTAACTCCTCAGTCGTGCTTCTGGGGGGTAACCTTCCAGACCAAGAAGTCTGGAAAAGTATTTTTAGTGAAGTTACTCACTCATAGCACCTGCGCAGATACAGTCGCCAATCACTGATGCTTCCTGTCATAAGCCGACTATGGATGTAGTCGAATGGTCGGGAGTAAGTCCAGTCTTCCTCTACATCATCGATCTCGAACTTAACATTCGGCGACACACTAGATATACCGGATAAGTTCTTCGTCAACATAATAAGGGCTTACAGTGAGGAAACACGCACAGGTCCGGTTGAGTTGGGGAAAGGTCATTGCCCAAGACCTAGAGCATTGTTAGAAACATCGTCAAGATACTCATGTAATGGGGCTTTAAGTGGTTCGAACAAGCCACCTACATCAGCTTCCGGGTGTTCGTCTCCGAAATCAAGCGCCCATATGCCCGTTCCTGTGCCGACATCGAGAACTCGGCCGACTTTGGCGTTTTCCTTACACGGGGGCGCGACGCCAAGACTGTTGTCAAGAGCAAGAAGCCAGATCTGATGCTGCAAGTCTAGAGTCTCACGTTAGTGAAGCTGCTGGTGAATGGGCCAAAAGAAATGAAACTGTTACCTAATCTATCATTCTCCCTCTCGTCATTCGGGAGGTTATATTCTGACGCAATTGTTAGACAAGCTCTCTAGTTCGGCATTTGGTGCGGACCTACTGCCGTCTTTGTATCGGTGGTAAGTCCTGCCATTCTCAAGGCGGTAATCGAGGATAGAGCTTCGCAGGCTTGTACTGGATGATGCGATACTCTATAGTTTGGTAGACGAGTGAGCCACGAGAGCTTCGCGTCGAGATGATATAATCACTGGACGTGCTAAACAGTTGGAATTGGCAGGGACAAGATCTTACGCTTCCCATATCTGAGCTCGAATCATCTATCGGCTGGAAATTCAATTAGGGGAGAGACTATAGCGCTATCTTGACATTGAGTTACCTCTTCGTCGACGGCAAGGACAACTTCTGGGTTATCCTGAGACATTTTGATGGTCGGTCTTTCTACGCAGGATCTCTGAATAAATGTCGGCGACACCAGCTTTGAATGATCCAGGAAAACAAATTGTCCAAAAGGACAAATACGCGGGGTAGTTATATCAGTACCGCTTGTTCCAGCAAGCCACCGCCGTAGCCCCTCTTCTTGGCTAAAAGCTGCAGGGCGAGCCAGCCTGCATACACCCGCCCGCGGTGAGGTTCCTCGAGTTCCTTTAGTGGAGGTGAGGGAATATCGCGCGAATGGGAAGGATTGGTTTGAGACAGGGAGATAATTTGCCTTCCAGTTCTATTGAAAACCACGTTGTCTTTTGGTGGCAGGTATGCGGTGATTGGGATTGCGTACCCCCTGTGTATCCAGGGTTGCTAACAGCCCATGCCTGATGCGGCGACCGATGCATCCAAATGATCTTTAGTCTCTGCATTTTCCCGGTCACCTTCATCCGCTGTCAGTTTTCAGAACCCTTCGTGGACATGTAATTTGCAGGTGCATTGTCCCTGGCTGATGGCGAATGTTTGGAGGTACCTTCGGTTGTGTCAACCCCTTACTTTTTAAGGGAGAGAAAGATGCTTTTCACCACTACACTTTTATTTTCCTGTAGGCCGTGACTAATATTTCCTTCTATTATGTCATTTGAACCAGTCTTATAAGCATGCAGGGCATTGCCTTCGACTGAATCTCGAGGACAAGAAAATTGAGAGATCCTATGCAGCTCTTAACCTGCATTTTACTTCTTACTTTGTTGATGATGACATCTCATATAAATCCTAAGCCTACAGCTTTATCGCCATAGTGCATGAAAGCCATAGCAACACCTGGTAAGTAGCAACTTCTCGTTCACCATTTCCGTAACTTTAGAACCTGGTCAGCCTCACAAATACACATATCAGCATACTTCACTCTGAAATCCTGGTCAAAGGGGTTGAAAGTGAATTTTAAAATCAGCTATTGCCAGCGTTACTTTCGAGCAAGATCCATTTATGTTGATTTGCAGCCTATTTCGTCCACTATCGAAAGGAGACTTTTGGATCATTGACGGGCATTGTAATAGGATATTGGGCTGGTTGATCCTAGACTCGTTACGTTTCACGCAATCGCAACTGCCATTTCCCTTCACCCATTGGGGCCATATTTCTCCGCTTTGTATTGTACCGAATCGGATTTCCCTACTTTCAATATAGTCGTTCTCATTTGCCATTTTGCCCTTACTCAAGAGTTACTGGTTTCTTGTGGCATCTTGTTTCCTTGTCCTTACTGCCACGAAGAGCTGGCGTTGAGTTGTTGCTTCGCATGTGAGTTATAAGTTCTGGAGATGCAGGATGGAAAGATAAGATATATTAATGCATTGCACTCTGGCAGTTTCTTGCAATGGGTACGTTCACAAAAGTGGATGCTTCGTACCAAATATGACTGAGTCCTGATTTGGCTGGCATGACACCTTGGTTACCTCCCCGCATCGTCACTGCAGGAAGTGGGAACAAGAACATCATGCTTCTCGGCAATCGGGCGTTCCACAGATCGCCAAGCGCAAAGTCGAAGAAATACCTTCCGGGGGGGAATAAGGGCAAAAAGTTACGTGATGTATACTAGAAAACTGGGTACCATGTTAAACTCCTGTCTCCTACGCTAGCCCCCGTTGTGTGTGGGGAAGAATATCCCCGAACGTTCGCATTGACCCGAATTTCGGCCATCGCTCTCAGCTCAATTCCGTTGGTGATTTTGTTTCTTATCCTCACGAAACATTCTTATTTCACGTTCCCTTCTCTTGCAGAAATTCTCCTCTGCAACCTCCACCTGGGTGGCTTAATACACGAGTCTTATAGAAGCTTAAGTGGACTACGCCCATGCTTTTTCAACACCTTTTAAACATCAATGAAGTGTCATCGCAAAGGGACATCACCAAGACAGTTGTAATGGATAACCCATGATGGCGTCCCATGATGGCGTTCCAAGCTGCCGTATCGCTCTCTAAATGACGTCGCATCACTTTTGGCCACGGCCGCATCTTCCCCGACACTTGTCCGGACAAGACGAAGCAGCCAGTCTCGCAAATCCATCAGAAATCTTGAGATGGTCTCTTGGCACATAACCAAAGGGATGGTCCTCAAATTTCGACGGACAGGATCTGATTTGCCAAAGACGCGGGTGCCGAAGCACGTCAACCTTACTCCCGGGATATGATGAAGCGGCGCATTTGCTGAACGCCAAGGGCATGAGAATATCTAGAGACGAGACGACGATGAAGAGAAGAGAAGAAGAGAGGACATCAGACTAGAGACAAAGCGCATGTCAGAGACCTGCCATTTCGGAGTGGGGCTTCCAAATTGGTTCACCAGCGCGAATCTTGCAAAGTCTTCACACCCACTCAGCTCGACGCACCAAAACACGGTCGGTACAACTCTGAAAAGCTTGGGAGTCGGTGTCACCCATCCGTTGCAGCGCACAGCCCGCCTGTTGTTTCGGATCGACCTGATGGCGACGACCAATCGCATTCAGATCCTCTCACTGTCCGTCTACTGCAAGTTTCCTCCGATCGATAGTCTCAGCCCTTCTGGTAGGGCAAACGTCTGCTTCCAGGGTCCACTTCAGGACATCGATTAGGTTGCGTCTTTGGAAGTATCGCCGTTAACTCCAGATGTTTGCTCGAAGGAGGGACCCTGTCCGTCTAGTATTGGAATCAGGCTTGATCCCACGTGGAGTCCCTACCGTTGATCCGCCGTCTTTTCCGCATTGGGATGAGGTTGCGGTACCTGAAGCTGTCCTGCTGCGTCAACATCATACATTCGATAAACGAGCAAAAGAAGCTTAAAGCCGGTTTGTTTCGCGTGGGACTGTGTATCCGGAGTCGTCCGTATCGGGGCGAGATGTGTGAGCTAAAATCACCAATTTTCGCTATAAGATAGTAACCACATCCCCATCTCATCTTAAAGGTCTCCTAGTGTACATTGTAAACCATCTTTCTACTTGTTCCATCATACAAATTATCTAATACCCCTAATATCCTCTGTAATCATCAACAATGCATCACAAAACAGCAGCATTCCTGCTTGCCTTGCTGGGCACGGCAACATCCACCCCTGTCAACATCTCTCCCCGCCAGGCCGACTTCTCTGCCAACACACAAAACGGCCTGCAGTCTGGCCAGTGCAAATCCATGATCATCGTCTTCGCACGTGGAACCACGGAGCGGGGCAACGTTGGCACCATCGCCGGTCCTCCGTTCTTTCAGTCGCTCGCCACCCAGATCGGCGCCGATAACCTCGCGGTTCAGGGTATCGAATACCCTGCCGACATCCCGGGCTTCCTGGCCGGAGGTGATGCCAACGGCTCTCAGATGATGGCCACCCTCACCCAGCAGGCCATCACCAACTGCCCCGGCTCCGCCGTAATGATGTCTGGATATTCGCAGGGTGGCCAGCTGGTTCACAACGGCGCGGCGATGATGCCCGCCGATATGGTGGCCAAAGTCGCTGGTGCTCTTATCTTTGGTGATCCGCGTAAGTTCAGGTTCCCCAAAAGACGTAATGTTGTTTCGGCAAATGAGCGTCCGTCTAACGTTGCACTCTAGTCAACGGCCAGGCCGTCCAAGGAGTAGACCCCTCCAAGACCAAGGTCTTCTGCCACGACGGCGATAACATCTGCGAGGGCGGCAACCAGATCCGTCGCGCGCATCTGACCTACGGAAACGACGCCGACGCGGCTGCACAGTTTGCTGCCTCCCTGATGCCCCAGGCCGGTGGTGCCGGTGGTGCCGGTGGTGCCGCCGCGTAGATGCCGTTGAAGAAGGAGTTGATCGCGGGGTGACTATATCTCACCTCACAACATGTACATAATGTTATTTCTTGTACTCATGTTAGTATGCCGAAATTGCACGCCAAAATCAGCCGGTCTTTTCCGTTCCGTGGCAAACAAGGCAACGTGGAGGATGTTGATGGAGTTGGGTGGTTGTGGATTACCAAGTTCCTCATTGGCATAGCTTAGCATTTATGCTGCCAGAGTAGTATTTAAATCCTAGAAGACTTGAATATTGTAAGACTACTGCAATTACGAAAGCGGTCGAGATCAAATTGTATCGTTACCTTAGATAAAAAGAGCCGTATGCGCCTTGAATGCAGAGCAACCTTCACAAAATTCTTGGAATCGACGCCGACATCAACCTCATGATCATGGCTTGACGTAAATCGGAAAAAGCAAGCTGTACATTGAATCATGCAATTCGTACGTGGTCATACGTGAGCATAGCAGCACATCACAAGTACGACAGCTCAATCGACTTGAACACCCAAAACACACACACCCTAACTAATGTTTCACATAATCCCACAAAGTCACCCCGAAGCCCGCCTCATCACAGCAACACACTCCCACGCCCGCCCCCCAACCTCCTCCATCCTCTCCTCGCTCCAAAGCTCAATGGTCCCGACACCAGGCCTCTCAAACGCACCTTTGAAATCGTCCCAATCCATCCTAGGACCTATGTAAATCACCGTCTCCGGGCTGCCGCCGCCGTCGTTGTCGAACAACGCCGCCATGTACTCCTTTACCAGCGCCACCTGCTTCGGATACACAAATAACCAGGCACCAGCCTCCGAAGCAAGAGGATCAAGAGCCCAGGTTCCAGGGACGGTGCGGTGAGGGGCGTGGTACTTATTCGGACTCGGCGCGACCTCGACGCTGACGAGGTTGATGGGATACGGCTGATCGGGCAAGGACTGCAAGAGGGCCTCGACGAGACCTGTTCCGCTACCGATTGACAGAGAAATTGCAGGTGCTCGAGGTACACAGGCGTGAATAGCTCTAAGCAACGGTATTGAAAGGCTCAGGCAGGAATCTGTGATCGTCTGGGCCTCGTTGGTGAGCTGGGGGAGCGGGGCTGGGGTGAAAGGGCTGGAAGAGACGGCTTCATCGTCGTCCATCAATTCGTCGTTGAATTCATTTGAAGGCTCCATCTTACTCGATGTGGTTGGGCATATTGCACTGCATCAAAGCCAGTGCAGCAAAATTGCCGAAGGAGGATGGATGCGCGGGGTACACTAACAGTGGCAGTTAAGCCCCACAGCATTGGATGGATGGCGGGAGGATTAGGTAGGTTGTAAGTTGCTCGTCACAAATGTACCATCTGATCAACGATTTCAATGAAGATTTATTTGCAGAACGATCCACACGCTGAAAAATAGTTTGTTGGACCAAAGAGTACTTTCGTAGACGAACCAGCTAATGCGACAAGCTCCAGGGACCAAACCGGCCCAACTCCAAAGTCGCGACTAGACCCCGCGGAACCATGCAACCAGAACCATAGACACTAACCCAGTTTACACCTAAAGTATACACTTCCATCCGCACCATGCCTATATCAGAACGGGCGGGACTTAGACGGCACTGTAACCGCCACGGCTACCACTGCCATTCACCGTGTTGAGCACGCTGCGGGTCCAATCCTTGACCAGATAGGGAATGTCTCTAATGGTATCCCCGTGAGGCAGAAGGTCCCAGCCCCTAGCGCCGTATCGGTTGTAGTTCAGCCAGGAGCCAAAGATCAGGTAGGCCGCGATACCGAGAAAAGCCCTGTGCAGATTTAGTTAGCCGGAGAATGCCCAAAACAGAAAGATGCAGACGTACAAAACGATAAACCAGGTAAAGAAGCCCCAATGGCTGCTCGTATCACCATTGCCGGGTTCACTGGGCTTGCCAAAAGCATCCTCACAGGCGTGCTTGGTGTGCCATGTCAACCTCAAGACGTCGATGTCTCCCTTCTCAGCAGGGCCATAGCTGTTCCAAATCAGGGCGGTATCCGGCTTCACAATCTGCTTCTCATCGGGTGATGGTTCGTCGCCCTCCTTGTCTTTATTGTCCTTGTCCTTATCATCCTTTTCATCGCGTGCGCGGAGTGTCTGAGACCCGTCGTACTTGTCTTCGGACGTGACCTCTCCTTCAAGCCCCGTCTTCTCGCGGTCACAGATGAACTCAATGATGGCTTTCTGTTTTCTGCCGCTGCCACTCAAAGGGTATGCGCCGCCATTAAAGATAAGGCGAACGCCCTCCTTTTTCGCGTCCGAGTTGGAGTCGCTTGACTTGAGACGTTCGACCTTGGCGTCAAGAGGCTTTCCACCAAGGTTTTCCAGATCGCCAGCGATGGATATCACCTTCTCCACGTCGTCCTTATCAGTCCCCGGACGGATAGTGCGCTCAATGGCACAAACTGTTGGCGGGGCATTAGTGATGGGCTCAAATGTCTCATTTGAGATTAGCAGCAGCAAATACCTCTTGTGCCGTTAGGGCATTGTTCGTCCTTTTTGACATCACCCTTGCGTTTAAGTGGCTGACAAATGTCGACAGTATAAGATGTGTTGGAGAATGTAGGAGGATGCCAGCGACTGGTCAGGACGCTGTGCGGTCCGCCTAGAGGCTTGAGGTTGAAGGAGACATCGTCCACGCGGATGTGTCCGCAGTCGATCGTTGCCGCTGCTGCCAGGGGCGAGAAGAGAAGCCCTAGTAGAAAGACCGATTCCGATCGAGAGAAATGCATTACGAGAGTGCGGGCGGAGTCTTTCTTGTCTTGACTTCGATGGAACTTCGCGGAAATCGTTTGGGAGTTCTCGAAGACGCGCCGATGGATTCGAAACTATGATGGAAAAGGAAGGCGGCGCTGGCAGCTCCGGAGCTTAGCAAGGTTGTGGAAAGGTATCAACAAGTTGAGACAAGGAGAATAAAATAGCTGCTACTGTTAGTAATGAATGTGGGTTGACAGCCGAACAGGCAGCAGAAGGGATGGTGGAAGCTTGAGGTCACGGCGTGGTTCATGTGGCTTAAAGGCCGTAGCAGTGACAATGGAGGAATGACCCGGCACCTTCCACTTTGGACTGCTCGACTGGACTCGCCGTTTACTCTAGCGGGCATTAGCACGTTGCATCATCGGCTCTCTCCCGCGTCATGCCGAAGTTTAGGCGATGCACGTGATTCGGATATTGTGGATCATCAGCATGTATCACTGGACCATTACCACCTTCCGTACTTTGCTAACCACAGCCAGGCCCACCAAGCAGCAGACAGGCATCGGAATCAACTCCAGTTAAAATCACTTCAAATCCCCGGTGCTTCAGTATAATGAGTCTTAAGTTGATACATCCAGTGATACATTAACTCGCTTCCCAGAGTCTTGAAACGCTCTGGTGGATGCACCATCCCGTTCCCTTTCCCCAAAAAACCGTTCAAAGCAGTAACCGTCCATCCCTAACCGCACCTGAAGGATAAGGTAGATGCGCCTTCGTAGGGGTATATAAGATCATGCAAGATCAAAAACCTTCCAAACCCTCCCTCAGCTTCCTTGACGCCGAAATAAAAGACGCTCACTACATGGTCCATTGGAATCTACAGCCATCATCTCCACTCAATCTCCCCGTTCATCAGAGCAGGCTCACTCCGTACTGGGCGCCCTACATTCCATGGGGTCCCATCATACCGCCCATGCCCTGCATCTGTTGTTGCTGCTGTTGCTGCTGGTGTTGTTGCTGCTGATGATGTTGCTGCATCATCACCTGCTGCGCTCTACGTTGAGCCAGGACGCTCTGGATCTGATTCTTCGCTTCGACCATACACTGTCTTTTAAAGTTCTCCATCTGCTCAGGCGGGATATTCTCCACATTTCCGCCCCATTTGGCGGCAAGGTTGGCAATTTGTTTGTTGTAAATAGCCATACCCTGCATCTTGACTTGGTTTGTAAGTGCCGTGTTGTTGTTCATGGCTTGTTGTTGCTGCATCTGCATCATCGCCTGTTGCACATTTATGTTCTGGCCATTCATCATGTTTTGGCCTCCGCCCATCTGGCGCTGCATAGGGTTGCCCATCTGCGCCTGAAGTTGTGCCTGCAGTTGGGCCTGCATCTGCGGCGACATTTGACCCCCGCCCATTTGGTTTCCTCCCATTTGATTGAGCTGCTGAGCATATCGCTGAGCCAGTTGCTGAGTCATCATGTTACCCATATTTCCGCGCTGCTGTTGCTGCTGCTGCTGTTGTTGTTGCTGTTGTTGCTGCTGCTGTTGCTGCTGCATCATCATCCTCTGGTGCATTTGCTGTTGGAGGAATTGCTGCTGCTGCGGCGTCATTTGTTGGGGGTTCATACCACCGTTCATCATGTTACCCATGCCATTTTGCATGGCAGCTGCCATCTGCTGTTGCTGGATATGGCGCTGCTGTTGGGCAACCTGGGCCGCGATCAGGTTGGGATTATGCATTTGCTGTGGCATAGACCCTGGCGTGCCCATCATCATTTGCTGGCCCATTTGAGAATTGGAAGCCATCATGTTGGGAGGAGGACTGGCCTGTCCCATTCGAGGCGTGGCGGCCACTGCAGGACGGGGCACTGGCGTAGCCTGCATACTTGGGGTTCCTTGCGGCATCCGGGGCGTACCGGCAGGATGGCTTTGCTGGCTTGCGCGCGCCGACATGCTGTGCGTCATCGGAACACCTCCAACGTTGGGAGGATGACCCTGAACAGCGGAAGGGGGCCGAGGAGGGCTGTTGGCCATGTTCGAGTTGGATTGTTGCATTGGCACGGCGCCAGGCATGGGCGAAGACATGCTGTGAGGGGTGCCCTGCCGAACAACTGGCGAAGACACGGGAGGCTGTGATGCTTGTGTAAAACGAGCTTGGGCCTGAGTTGGAATACCACTTGCAACAGCGCCAGATGTACCGTTGGGCATGGAAGTAGGCGTCTGCTGGGCTTGAGCCATGTTCGCTGCGGCGTTCTGGTTGTTCTGGGCTTGTGTTGCCGCCGCTTGTGCGGCCATTGCCCTTCTTTGCTGTTCCCTTTGTTGCTGCTCCTGACGTGCCTTCAGCTCCTGAGCCATCATATGCTCGCGCCGCAGCTTTTCGGCCTCGGCCTGACGTTGAGCCGTGATAGCTGCTTGCTGTTCTTGCATCTGCTTCTGCTTCTCTTGTGCAAGCTTGCGTTCATTTTCGGCCGCCTTGGCCTTCTCTTGCTCCTTTCTCTCATCGTGCTCCCTCTTAATGTCGGCAATGACCTTGAAGCGCTCGAATCTTGGCTCGAAAGTTGAAACAACAGCTGGGCCTTCTTTGTCGGCACCATTGGCACCGCTTTGTGCTCCATTGGCCGCCGAAGACAGACGCTCGTCCAAAATGAGCATGTACTTCTCTTGGTCGGCGGCAGCTGCCTCGTCGGCAGCCATCTCGGCGACAGTCCTTTTCCTTGTCTTTGGCTGAGGTGGAGAATCCGAATGCATCGGATGCGCAAGGGCATCCAAGAGAGCAATTGTTTCCTCCACGTCTCTTGTGGGTTCCAAGAAAAGAGGTGCATTGGTGGCAAGAAGAATTTGCGATTCCGCCAAGTGAATATTGCCAGCGTCTAGCTCCATGCGCTCGCGCTTCTGCTTCTTGGCGGGAGGTGGCATGCTCGATGCCGTAGGCGTTGGTGGCACCATAGTGATAGGCGTCGACGGCGGTATAGTGCCGTCGATGCTGCCACGTCCGTCTGCGGCACCTCGGGGGGTGGCGGCCTTAATCAAAAGGTCGGTCTGGAGACTTTCGGCGGTAGGATGCAAGACAATAGTAAAAGTCTTGGGTTTAGGAGGGGTTTTACTCTTTTGGCCTTCCCCTGGCAGGCTTGGTGCTGGCATACTCTCCTTGTCTATCTCTTCTGCCGTCTTCGATTTGGAGTCCTCTGGTGCCGCAGGGGTAGCTTCTGGTTGTGTACCAAGTGTCTCCTTTGGATAGGGAACATATGGGGAGGGCACAATGTAAGGGTTATGGTTATGTATAGAGGACGGCACCACTTTGCTCGAAGCAGAAGTTGGTCGGGCAACATCTTTGGATTGCGCGACCGATTTATGGTCATGGACTTGGACGATGAGGCAGCCCTCATAAAAGGGGACGCCACCTTGTGTAAAGTATTCGAGCAAATCGTGAGGTACCGTGCGTGTCCGCATGTGTTCGAGGAAAAGCCGCATCGGTGATTTGTAAGGGAAAATGCCATCTTGCTGATCGAACCGGAAATGCGTCGCGTGCATATGTACAACCAAGGACGGAGGGTTGCCAGCGTATTTCTTTAGGATATAATCATCAGTTACGACTGTCTCATGTCAGCATCTATGCCATCTCGAACCCCCTCAAATCACGGCAGCAGCCTACTGTAAGGTGGCGGCTCCACGGCCTGAGCCGCGGCCATGTCAGCAGCGAGTGAGGCCGATCGAATTCCTGCGCTATTCCTGGAATTGCGATTGCCGTGGGCGGAAGGTTCGCGGCGCGTGCGGTTGACCGGACGCGCAGATTGTGAGTTCGCACCATTCAATGTTGCGGAGTTGGGAGGCTTCTTTGTCGACATAGACGGCGACGGTGATGAGCGGATGGAGCTTGCTCCATTTGTTTGGATGCCCGGGGGTGCAGCACGTTTGATCTTGGACGCGACAGCCGGCGGCTGGATCGCCGTCACGACCGGCGCCATGATTGCCGGATGGGTCGACTACCGGACCGCAGCAAAGGAGAAGGAAAAACGTGTCGCAAAGATATCTCCCACTGGTGTAAGTAGCCCAAGCTGTGTCAAAGAGCGAACATTTGAAAAGGTAGCGGGGCTTCGTCGATCGCGATAGATGGAGAGCAACGGTTGATGGATTGATGGATCGTGGTTGGTGGTTCGCGTTGACAAATCGGGTGACGTCGGGGTGGAGAGGGTCTTTCGGACGAAGAAGCGATCGCAGTGGATGAAATATCAAAGTGTAAGGCAGGAATAGAAAATAATAATTGAGAAAAAGACTTGGGGAGGATGCACAACAGCTCAGATTGATGACTTCCGAGTGTGTGGGGTTGGGATGTAGTCAGGCTTCCGCGAGAGAGGCTCACAAGGAGGAACCGCCGCATCTCCGACACGGGGGCGCAAGCGTGGAGGAACTGGGAGCAAGACTGCGCTAGTCGAGCCTCAGGCAAAACTCCGGATAATGTCTTCGTACTGTGTCTACACAGTGTTTGTACGGCTTCAATGATAAATGCTGTGGACCTGAACGGATGGTAAATACCAATTCTAGCAAACTTCAACCATGACAAAGGAATCATCAACTTACCTCTGGCACAAGAGGCATAATATTTAAGGCAAAGAAAAAGCTCACAACTCATGCCCAATCGAACAATACAAGTCCATATAGGCCGAAGACGCATATCGCAACCGCAGCGGTCGATTAGCTAACTACTCATGATAACGTCACATGATATCTCGTGGTATATACCAAATCAGAAAAAAAACACAACCCAAGCCCTGCCTAGCCTCCCATCATACGGCCCTCAATCATTGCAAAACCCTCTTTTGTACAGTCGAGGCAGTATTTACTCATGTCCCTGGACACGACGCGCCCAGTCATCATGAACTCTCATCCCATCAACGACGACAACACCCCGGCCCCGGCCAACTCGGTCCGGTCGCTGCCACCACCTTTCCTCCTTGGTGGGTCTCTCCGCCTCCGACTCGCTGTCAGCAAGGCCACCATGTCCACTCTCAGCGCCCACAACTAGAATAATCTCGTGACGCAGCCACGTCTGGAGGTTGGATACCAGGTTGCCGTTGTCGCCCGCCAAAGACTCCTGGAGGTAGACGATCTCAGGCTGCAGGTGACGTAGAATATGGGTATGCCCGTTGGGGGTGGTAAAGGGCAGAACCATAGTCTCCTTCTCAACCAGAGACAGGGCCTGAGAGTAGACTGCGTTAAACGCCGGGTTTGTTGAGGACGCGTGCATCAGCGGGCTCTTGGACGGTTCGTCTCCTGGAGTTTGGGCTTGGTGGTGCTCAATGTTAGAGAAGGACGAGCTCAGCGAAGGTGGCGGAAGGTTACTGGTGGATTCGCCCGTCGCCTCCTTGAGACCGGGGGCATAGATCAAGACGAAGAGCTTGATGCTAGAGAAATCGGTATAGCGCGGAATGTGCGACAAGATTGACTGTGGTAACATTAGCATCGTGCATCCTAGGGTCAAGGCTTAAGACCGGTAAGCTTACAGCATGTTCGTGGAAACCATCATCGTCAAAGTCGTCGCCGCCGCTGTCTGCTGACACAACAATTGCGACGGTCTTCCTACGCTTGCCCGGCTCTCTTGGTGCCGAAGTTCGCTCCTTTCGGGCATCAGCTTCCTCGGACCACGTCTCATGATCGGCGTAAGCGTTCTTGTCTTCCTCTCTGATGGCCGCTAGCGCCCGGCCTGCCACAGCGCCGGCCGCAGCAACACCTGCCGTGACGGTTTTTCCAGCAGACTCGAAGAATTGCTGTGGGCTAGGCGTGCGTCGCAATGCGCCCGACATACGCGCGCCCCATGTGTCCGCGCCCGACGTCTCCGCGCCGGCATCTCGAGAGACATCGGCGGTGCCGTAGGTCTCGGTCCCAACGTTGCTTGGTGGCGGCTTAGGTCCTCTGGAAGTCCCATAGGCCGGATTGTCGCCGTAATCGGCATTGTCGTAGTCAAGGCCGGCTAGGTGATCGGACTCGGGATTTTCGTCATCTTTGCGCTGGCTCCAAACCCAGGCTGCGAGACCAACTGTCGCAACAGTCACGGTAACTGCAAGCGGCACCCAATGGCTCCATACACCGCGCCTTCGAGAATTTTGATCGTTCCACGACATTTAGTTGGACGTGACCATTGCACTAGGGCACACGGCCCAAGATTTGGTGTGTTGTGTAGGGATCGACAGGAGGATTCAAGCTTCCTTAGAGCTTCTGGTAGCAAATCGAGTGCTTCGGAAAAACTGCCAGACAAGATTGCTAGAGAAATTGTCAATTGCTCTCAGGTACTCTCTGTAATCATTGAAGTAAAATCAATGGTGTCGAGAGATGAGGGATCCAACGGGGTGTGGGCTGGAAATCATCCAGTCGTCGCGAGCTCGGGGTGGCTGGTCTTGGGGGGGACGCATCAACATGGGATGGGGGATGGGGATGACGAGGAGCTAAGGCCCAGGGGGGATCCCGAGGTTGACAGCGCTTGCCATTGGTTGCCTGGCCAAACAATACAAAGCACGAGGTAGCCCGGACCGAGGATGAGCCGCTAGTCACGTGCATCCCCCACCATGACGCGCTGGAGATCCAGGTGGGTCCGACAGTTCCTGCCGAGTCGCATTTTTGGTCGATGACTCCTTCCAGCGGGCAATTATCAGAAAAAAGTCGCTGAGTCGGCCTTGGGATGGACAGCGCAAACAACACAGATATTAGCCGCAACAAGACATACAGGATCATATCCTACTAGACCAAACCTTGTAGTCCCTCAAATACCACCGTTTCGTCTCGGGGGCATTCTACAGCAGTCCCTAACGCAGACGCAACACCCCACCAAACGCATTTCAAGATGCCCCACGCTGTGTCGATGCCCTCACCAGGGCTTCAGGCCTTGATCCTTTGCGGTCCGGGTTCTTCGTTCCCAACCTTCACGTCCAACCCCGATGAGAACCCCAAGGCTCTGCTGCCCATAGCCAATCGGCCCATGGTTTGGTACCCTATCGACTTTTGTTACCGCATGGGAATTACGAGTGAGTTGTGAGAAGTTGGCGTCAGAATGGCATCTCAGCCTTACCCCGCCATTGTCCCTCACTCGTGCAAGGCTGACCACTTGCAGACATCACTCTTATTTGCCCGGCTACTGCAGAGGAGGCCATCACCACTGCCCTGAACACCAACCCTCATTTGACGGCACTTCCCCTTCCCAGGCCAGACATCCTCGCTCCCAAGGATCTGGACCAGACCACTGGTACTGCTGAGATTCTCCGCCTGCCCGAGGTCAAGGAACTTGTTACCTCTGACTTTGTCATTCTACCCTGTGACCTCATATGTGAGGTCGCCGGTGAAAAGCTGCTGCAAGCATGGATGGTTAAGGGCGCCAGCATGTCGGATCTCCTTGGAGCACCCAAGTTTTCCGGTAATACCTCGAATCAGTTCAGCGGTGGCTTGGGTGTCTGGTATGAGACCAAGACCGCAACTCCCGTCAAAGGAGAGGAGACCGACTTCGTTGCCGTGACTCCCTCAGCCCAATCCGCAATTGCACCACCAAAAGGCTCTCTGCTGCCGCACCTGTCAAATGTCGTATACTCCATGCCTACTGATTCCTTGAAAGATTTGACTGAGGAGAGGAAAGGACTTCCTATCCGTCATGGTCTTATGAGGAGCCATCCTCGGATACGAATGCTCACCACTCACAGAGACGCCCACCTCTACATTTTGCCTAGGTGGATAATGGACTTTGTCGAGAAGAACGACCGCTTAGAGAACATCGCAGAAGATGTTATCGGCTGGTGGGCCAAGGCTGGCTGGCAGAATGGTCTTGCAGAGAAGCTCCACTTGAACGAAGTATTGCACAAGGAGGACAATGATGACGAGGACTCGGTTCAAGAAAGCGAAACAACACCAGAAGACGATGACCCAGAAGAGTTACGCACCAACGCCGGTGCTGACGACAACAGGAAGACTGAGAACGCCGATAGAGATGCGCTTACAAACTCCCATGGTGAACTGACAGTACCCCCGATCCTTGCCTACGTACATCCCTCGCAGGCAGATGCACCGATGATCCGCCGTGTCGACACTGCTCAACTCCTTCTGAATGTCTCTCTTCAACTCGCGAAACTGCCTTCTGTTGAGGAGATTGGCAATGATGCGGCCTCTCCTTTTGCACATGCAAAGAAAGTTGCGTACCCAGAAGGCGTCAAGGGCCGCACTACCATCACTAAAGCCGACAGTCTTGTTGCGGAAAACGTCACCGTGGAGGAGAAGGTCGCCATCAAGGAAAGCGTGGTGGGAGCCAACTGCCAACTTAACGAGGGCGCGAAGCTTTCTCAATGCTTGCTGATGGAAGGAGCCGTTGTAGGCAAGAACTGCAAGCTCACAAGATGTATTTTGGGCAAGAGATGTGTTATTGGAGATGGCTCTGTCTTGACAAACGTCGAGGTTCAAGAGAATCTCCTCGTCGAGGCCAAGAGTAAGTCTAAGAAACCCCTCACTACCATACAATGATTGCTAATCCATCCGCAGCCGAGGAGAAGGATACCAAGCTCATGAGCTCCGATGGTTTGGAGGCGACTGAGGAAGAGATGCAGGGAGTCTTGGACGACATGGACAACGAGGTTATGGCCCAGAACGAGGAGGCTGTGGAGTAAGATTAAGAATCTATCCAAGAAGAAAGCCTTACTCTCCATTGCTATCGCATCTCTTTCGTTCTCGACCTTTCTTGGTGATGTGCCTTCATGTGCTTACAATTTTGTCCCCCCCCCCTTCTAGAATATCGTGAGCGCCACCTGGTCCGAGACAAAAGCAATATTTGGTGAGGGTGGAACGACAGAGTCAGTCTGGCCACCTACTGAGAACGAAACAGCGGCCACTAGATCAAACTTACGGAGTCAGTTTTTCTAGAGTTTGCATGTGCAAAGGGGTTCCGAAACACATGGAGATCTCGATCGACTCAACTCAACGGGAAAGCGGAAGGGCGTTTCGAGGCACCAAAGGGCAATCGTTGAGCCTCGCTTCTAACTCGGCCCCGACGGCCTGGAATAGAGGACACGGCTGACACTTGGGAGGGAAAAAATCACGGCGGCGGGCTGGTTGGTATCCACGGGAAGCGCGGAAATCCAACATTGCCCCCCCTTGAGTAGTGGAGCGACGCGGACAATGGCATTCCTAGTGCCCGTGAGAACTCGGGTCTGGGTGGAGGGACTCTCCTCGACTGCTGTGGCCCCAGCTTGCGCCCCCTCTGGAGGGGTTCGAGGCGCCTTGATGAGCAAGACAGGATCTCGAGTGTCTATTCGTGGCAGTTCCTGATACTCATGGCACATTGTGGAGGGGATACCAGATCGACCAAGCCTCATTGGGCGTTTCCCGTTCACTGAGATGGCGTCTAGGAAATGCTGTGGATGTTGGGACAAAGGAAAAAACCCCTCAAACACGGCTTACACATCATGGCGAATGCGAAGTTCCTACCAAGTTGCAGAATGGAAATCAAGTGAATCCCTTGATCTGCCTGGAACCGTGTAGCATGGGTAAGCTACCCTTTTTTTTTTTCCCCTCCCCCCTCCCGCTCCCGACAACTGCGGCGTGCGCTAGGGACACGAGGGACCTTGGTAGTTTTACAGAAAAAGCCCTCCTCCTGCCAGGGGCAAGACTTTGTCTGCAAGGATGCAGCAATATTGGGCCACTGAAAAGTCTGAGTAGAGACAAATCAGCCGTATGGATGCCATGGTCCAAGCGGAACCGGATTACAGTACTGTACTCCCCTCCCCCCCTTCCCCATAGTCAACTTCGGGATTTGCTCTCAGGCGAACGAAAGTGAGCTATCACAACCACTTCCTGAAGCTCTAGCTGCGCACTGTCCTCCCGTCCCAGTCCCAAGATGGCGGGATGACGAAGATGTGTTTGGCTAGCGGATGGGCGGCGGTGCAATTATCTCACCCCTATCGGGATGATGTTCACAGGGGCGCCTGCCTCAAGAGGAGAGGGGACGATGATGGAGTCTAGTTCTGAATCTGAATCGCAAGCGCTGTCGCACAAAGATCGATTGAATCAAATCTGGGAGGGGAGGAAAAAAAAGCCAACCGGGGGAGGCTTTGATAGGGGACAAGAGGCGTAGTGAAGGAGCGGATGGCAATAGCCCACCCCCGAAAGAGGAGAGGAGGAAAAGAGTGGTGTCTAGGTCAGAAAGAAAAGGTACGCCCAGCTATGGCTAGGAACGCGGTTACGCGGGCCACAATTGTGAGACCAAAAAAACAAGTGAGTCGCTCGCGCGAGAGTTGTGCGTTCCTCGTGGGAGCCGTGGCAAAGCACGAAAACCTGACTAGAGGAGAGAGAGCAAAGGATAGGAGGACGGGAGGGTCCTCCCCACGCGTGAGAGGGCGCTGGCACAACAAAGGCAAACATCACCCAGCATTCCTCTCGCGTGTACGCCAAGCAGGCAAGAAAAAGTAAGAATTTCATTAATGGTGGTTGAGAAAGTCTTTCCACCCCCAGTTCGCCCAGGCGAAAAGGGTCTCGCCCAGCGGGAGGGGTTTTGATCGGGGGCTCTAGGCCTGGACAGCAACAGCGGCGAAAGCCGAGGCCTATGGATTTGGTCGTTCATGGGTAGCAACAACAGCCGCGGCCGGTATTGCTGTGTCAGTCTCCGGAGTGACCTAACGGCCGAAGGTCCAGGAATACACCTGCTCGCCGCTATCCTCGGTGTGCCTCGCTCACAGGGGCAGAAAACAAAATGGCACTAAGGTGGAGGCGTAATGGGGTTGAATCATGGATATGAGATATGCGTGGTTTGTACCTCATTTTCCGGGGTGGACCAAGTCCCAGGCCAAGAGACATTCTAGAGGGTGTGCTTGGGATGTCGCGTACGTAAATGGGTGATGCGTGGGAACGAGCGACGTTGTGTCATTGAGTGCCACGGCCTTGGCCCCGATGAGCGGGCATTGGGGGTGGTAATGGTGATCGTCGACCGTTGGGTTTTCTTGTGGAAGCGTTGCGGGGGGAACAAAGACTTGAAGGTGGCTTCGTCCGAAAAGAGAATGTTTCGAATTTTACATTGGTCATTGACCGAATCTATCGAGAAAGCTAGCGAACGTCGAGCCGAAAATTTTGTCAAGTACAGGGAGCATGAGCCAACGCCAGGCACGAACGACGTCGTTGGTGTAAAAGAGACAGAGAGAGGGGTTACAACCAAATCCTCTATTCTAAGGTTATTAACAATGGTTGCGTCTTGGATCGACTTTCCTTTCTCCACCGGCAGTACCACTCAAGAAGCGAGAGATCTGGATATCTCATTCTGGTAGCCGGAAGCCTAGCCTTGTTCGTACCCCAGTTACGATGCAATTCACTTACGGAGTTTGTAGTGGAGTATAGATTGCCGACAGGGAATATGGCCTTCCCGGGTCCATCTTGAGTCTCGGGTTCGGCAACTCGTCGATCATGGATGGGCTAGGAAGAGACTGCAGCTGGACAGGGGCAGATCCAGAATAGGTGGTACCGCTGCTCCTTCTTTGGGTAATGACGGTATCGCTGCTCCGACTGCCGGCTTACCAGCGAGTATTCCAGGAACTGGGAACCGGGACTGACATGGGAGTATGCTGAATTTGCAATACTACGCTGCAGCTGTGATACACACAGACTGATGAGACTAACTGCAGCGCACAGATGCTGGTGTGTGTTCACTTCTTGGAGGCCTAGGGACCTCTTTGCACGCGCCAAGTAGCGCGCGACGATAGACGCAACTCGAATAGTTGGGTGTGACAATAGCCTTCCAGGCATCGTAACCAGCTTGGTATACAGCTTGGGGTTCCGAGGATGCAGCCTTCGGTCGTATCGGAGACTATCTCAGAGGCTCAGTTGAACAGCCGGCATATGAATCGACGCAGCAGGTACGGATAATCGACCTGCAGTCCGACCTGCAGTCCGACCTGCAGCAGTGCTGCAGTAGCCTTGGCCGGGTGTGAGCATCCGCGGGTGTGTGGTGATGTACTTTGAGTCCAGTTGCCGCGATGGTGGCTGTGGACAGAGGAGGGGTGTGGTGGTGAGCTCATCCCCTGTTGTTGATGTGGGGCCGGAACTGGACCGGGGGAGGGGGGCGTCTGATGTTGGTGATCCGAAGGGTCTCCGCTTTTCCTATCAAGCCAGTTTTTGAGCCCTTGTTCACTGTCGGGGTTTATCATTGTTTTGAAGCACTGAATGGGTGAGGAGGCGACATAGACATGAGCCGCCAATGACCCGGAAGCCATTAGGCGAATGATGAGCAGCAAGCATCATTAGCGAATGTCCCAATTGGCTAGCTGGTTTGGCCAAAAAAAAAAAAAAATACAGCTTTGCTAGAAAGATGTTATTATGCACCATTTCACTCAATGGTTTTCCCTCGTTCTTGGCTTTCGCCATCTCGTTCACTTGGGGGGAAAAAAAAAAGACCTATGAGTTCGCTTCAGAGTTGAATAGATGACTTTCGACATTGAGTCTTCCAACTCAACCTCTGTGTATCCTTATCCCTTCCTAACACTCTATCATTACCAATGACTCTCACTCTCTCACACATTCCGGTTCTCCTACTTGTTCCGTCCTTCTGCAGTTCTAGTCTCCTCTGCCTTCTCATCCGTCTCCTCAGAACTGCTCAACCTTTGCTTTTTGCACATCTCTCGTGTGCATCTCCTGTCTCAGCGCCTCATTTTTTTTATGTGAGAAGTTTAGCCACTTAGCTCTCTTATCCAGTGAGATGTGCATGTCATACGTCAGGCACTGCACTTCCATATTTTTTATTCCGTTCTCACTGTGCGGGCTTCTGACGGAGCTAATGGAGCGGAGGGTAACCAGGATTCAGCGCCAGCTTGTGATTTTTTTGCTTTTCCCTTGCCAGGCTCTTCACAGCTTTCGTCATTTCTCACATTTTACACTGTGTCTCATGCGCAAATCATTCATCCGTGCGTTGGGAAGACGAGATTGTGTCTACCTTTTGCCGAACCTGCATTGAGGCCTGTGTCCATGTCTCAAACCTCACTACAGCTGGCACAAAATCTCGACCCACCGAATATCGATCGTTTGTACCGTTTCATCAACTCTCATTCCATAGATGGCGTGCTTCCATTCTTGAGGGTTACACACATTCACGGTGCCCTCTTACACGCAAAAAAGAGAGACACACGCGCAGAGAGACACCCACGGCAGCCCAGTATGTCTGGGGCGTCTTACTCTCCATATGCTCAATCAAGTCACTTTACCTCATTCTGGCTTCTGTCCTGTCCCTTTCCTGTCAGGCACAATGTCTCCAACCCCACCACCACCATTACTACGGTTTTCTGTCCCACGCCTGTCCAGTTTTGCCGCACATGTAAGGCATTTGCTTTGGTACGCTATTATCCACGCGTTTTTCTTGTCCCTCACGAATGTGGTGATGGAGCCAGCCGGCCTCCCTGCTGCTTGTTAGGTGTTCACCAGTAGGAGCCTACTGTCTGTCTCGCCTGTTTGGGCTTCCTAATTTGGTAGAAGAGAGAGATCGAGAGGACAGAGTCAGAAAGTGGATGTTCAAACCCTTGTCACTCATGACCCTCACCTTTCGCCTACCCAAGATTCACGAACAAGCCAAAGCGGTTCATGCAGGTGCTCTTTCTTCTTTCTCCTCCCCCGGCCTGAAAATCTCCAGTTGCCTGGCAGTTCCTCGGCCGTCGTTCGACCCCAGTCAATGTCGACTCGGCCACTTTACTCCCCCGGACCAGGGTCCTTCACCCCCAAAATGCAACCTAAGCTAGAGTAGACCGGGTTGACCTGGCTCGCTGGCTGGCTTGACGAATGAGAACAAGAACGTTCATCTTTTTCTTTTCTCGCCAGTGTCCAAACTTGAACCTAGCTGTGCTCCCATGTCGAATCCAAATTCGGAATCTCTCTCTCTCTGTGTGCGTGTACCAGGGCCAGGCCTCTTGCATGGCCTGTTTCCTCGCATCGAGAGCTTGACAAAGCTGGCTCGAGCGTTGGATCGCCAGGTAGAGCCGACGGCTAGCCATAGAGAGCACTGTGCCTGGTTCAGCTTATCTTCTCATTCTGACACATATATGTACCTAGTCGCGTTCATGGACAGGGCGATCGTCTCATTGTTTCTCAGGGACGACGAAACATACTGGCTAAACTGGGCCACCCAAGATACACTCTCCCACACTCCTGCTTCTCTGGGCTTTCGTACATTTTGCACATAGATCAGTGGATCCCCCCATATGAAATTAGAGTCTTTCGCCTCCCTCCGCCTAGTTCTCATTCGTGTCTTTCCACACACCCCCTTCTACCTGCCCTTTACCCCCCTTCCACACTCCACTCCTCCTCTCCACTATCACGTCCTTAGACCTCGATACATTCCTATCTGGGGCTCTCTGTCTCTCGACTGGGGGTATTGATGACACTATTTCCCCATTCTGTGAGGATTGTCCTGTCCTTCACTCTTTGGAGGCGCCATCTTCATCTCCGCCGCCATCCGTTCCACGATATAACTTTGGTCGAGCCGCTCATCCTGTGGAACGCTCATCTATCCCATCATTCTTGATTATCTATTCCACCTGCCAACTCGCTCCCTCTTCAGTCGACCACGCCCTCAACTGATTTCATATCGAAGAGAGCAATAACAGCAACCGCCAGGCAACACATACAGACAGACACAATGATGTCGCACCTCTGGCAACAGGAGCAGGACCACTCCATTGATGGTATCATGGAGTCCTTCGCTCCGGAAAGCAGCTTTACCTTTGATGGTTCCATGTCCGTTGGGACCACAACACCAAGCTTCTCTGCTGCATCATCCGTCTACGACCCTACCGGTCCCTTTACACCTCGCTCTGGCCGTTCTACACCTCATGACCAGAGCTCATCGCAGTCCACCATCGACTTTGACGGGTCCTTCTCCTCTCATGGCTCTTTCAACTTCGACCATGGCTCAACACCAGACAAGAGCTACTTCCCCAAGCCCGAGAAGGTGGAGATGGGGATGCCTATGCAATATGCGCAGTCTACTATTCCCCTGACGCCTTCGAGGCGACAGAGCTCAGGTTACGGTATGGAGCACCTTGACTACAACACTATGCTTCACGTCACACTCAACTCGCACTGCGTGCCGGGCATGTCCTCTCCCCATCACCACAACCACCACCAGCCTCAGACAGAGCAATATTCCCTGCCGCAGGACCTCAACTCATCCCCCTTTGTGATGCCAACGCCTAACCGCGCCCTCCCTAACTCCACGCCGAGCAACATCCAGAGCATCTGGAGCTGCAGCAGCGAGAGCCCTATCATGATGTTTGGCAGCGAGACTACACCATCAACCTCCCCCCTTCACCCTATGGCTGTTAAGCGCGAGACCACCAACTCCCCTTCACCCCTCCGCTCTCCTAACAGCGGTTCTGCCGCGTACCGACACGGCGTACGACGCCACATCTTTGCTGAGGCTCAGCGCAAGACTCTTGCTCTCCAGAAGAACCAGAATGACATGGAGGCACTGAGGCAACTGCGATCCATCCAGGTTAACCAGGACGGATCCGTCCTTGACTGCGGCGCCGTGAAGGTGCGCCACGTTGCGCCGAGGCGGGAGAGATGCACCTACCCAGAGTGCACAAAGACTTTCAAGCGCAAGGAACACCTCAAGAGACATTTCAAGGCGTGAGTTTTCATACATCACAATCTGCCACAATTGCAAATCTAACATTACATCTTCAGAACTCATGAGAAGGAAGTCGAGTTGTACACTTGCCCCGCGACAAACTGCAACCATGTTTTTAAGGAGCGCCGTGACAACTTCGTATCTCACCTTCTCCTACACAAGCAGGGCAAGTCCAGCAGGACACCCTACAACGAGAAAGCCGCCAAGCTCTACGACGAGATGTGCCTGCAGAGCAAGAGCCGCAAGCGTGTCAAAACCGGCAGCTCGAGCAGCAGCAGCTCCAGCAGCTCATCCAGCGGCAAAAACTGATTGCCCTGTAAACTCTGAGACACGCAGGTCGAAATAGACTGCAAAGTTACCAGTTTTTTTTTTTTCAGCCCGCGTCGTTATACTGCGCTTCGGCCGAGAAAGAGGGGGCCCCCCCAACCGCCAAGCCGGAGACACCCATCCAGAAGCTGAAGCGCATGGCTGATCGCCTCGTGTGTCTTTTGATTTTTTTTATTTAATCTTTTTTTTTTCTTTCTATTTGCTCCTTTTTTTGCGAGACAAGCCTGCAGGCCATATGGATGGTGAGACCTCGCTTTATGCTTGCACGGCAATGGGAAGTGGCCCGGCACGCTACACCAAACCGACAAACTGTCAAGCAAGCCGAATTTACAGAAAAATCTTTACCTGTAATAACTTTTTTTGTTGCTACCAAAAACTCTTGAAGGGCGGGGGGCGTATATTGACAAACTGTTTGTATGCATATGTTCTTCTGTTTCTTGTTTTATCTGAAAGAAGGCTAGGGTGTTTTTTGATTATTCTTTTCTATTATTTGGTGGCATCGAGTCTGCACAACGACGTTACACGCATTCTTTTCTACGAGTTACTCGGAAAAACAAAACCCACACACAAAACGAGAGATATATTTCTATGATCACACGCGAACTCTTTTTCCATTTTTACTCTTTTTTGGCTCTCGGCTTTCCTTTCTGTTTCTTGGGCGGAAAAGATTCTTGTATGTGCGGAGGGAGAGTTGACTTGGGAATTGGGGGGTTGATCAAAAAACCCGGAATACCAAAGGGGGCAAAGGCGCGAAACAACTGGGAGGTGAGGCCATCTTGTCTTAGTCTAACCATGGGATCGTGTGGTCAACGGCGAAAAAAAGGGAATCTGGTGGGCGGACGGCGATTGTTGCCGATGTGTGTTCATTGGAGTTCGCACAACATTTACTCTTGTACTCTGTACTAGCGGAGATTAAACAAAAAGAGTTATTTTTTTTTTCACAGCTTGGAAAGAAAGATAGATTGCTACTACAGAGACAGCATCAAAATGGGGACATTAAGATGCGTGGCTGCTTTCGCCATCGCAATCACAATTTCACAAGAGAAGCGTTATTTGTCACTGTTCTCATGCATGTTAATCTGCAGCTTTATTGGGGGAGAGGCTTGATCTAACCCGAGATTACATTGAACCTGCATTTCTCTTCAGTACGCTTCACGAGGCATGATTGGAGGATCTCAAAGTGAGTCGGTACCAACCTGGAATCCTTTGAGTAGTATCGTTACGTAGCATTCTTGAGGATCACAGATGAGTACCGCAGGTGAAGCTAACCTCATTCTCCTTCTCGTTTCTCATTTCGGTAGGTTCCTATGCTGATCTCTTGCAGTGCTTTGGGGGTTGAACATCGACCTCGACCACGCACGTAAGGCAAAGTGTGATTGATTGCTTGTCTCAGATCCGGTGCAATCGCCACGGGATTCATCCCATGCTGTCAAGTCAGGGGTCGTGAGCAGCTGCAGCAGCAAATCGAGTGGGTTTGATACGATTAATCTGTCATGCTTCGGCTAGGGGACGCGGTAAGGCGGAAGGGGACGGTTGAAGCCGTCAAGGTGTGGCAATGGGATAAGGCGGATTCCGTCACGATGATCTGTCTGCACGAATCGGGGAGGATGGACTGGATCTTGAGACGGGCGGGAGGGGAACAGGATGACAGGGGCGATGCCTCTGGAATCTAGGGGTTCTGCGGAAGACGTCGACGATGATGGCATGACAGGGGACTTTGTGCAACAAGGACATGGGGGCAAAGTTCTACTCGGTGCAGTATGCATGCAAGAGCAATCAAAGCCAGCCTGATATCGGAGCAAAGTAAAAAATCTCCGTTTGGCATGTCTTGGGCGTCTTGTATCCATGGAGAGTGGCGGCCGTACGTATGTCGTGTAACCGTAGATGATGAAGTATTGCAAGATCATGAGCAACAAGGGGAATTGGCGACTACCCCAACACTATTGTCGTACTACTCTGGGGTTCACAGTTTCTTGATCCTCCGAGATTCGTCTAGAAGGTTTTGATTGCGATGACTTATCTGTGAGATTATTCAATGTCAACAACACAATGGCTAGAGACAAGCAAATATCATGACAAGTGCAGGTTGAAATGATTGCATTGGTCCTCAATATCGTGCTACGCAGCGTTGTGATTGTGTCGTCTTTCTCTTTCTCAAACATCTGATTTCGTTGATGTTACGACATGCCATGAAATTGTTTCTTTATTTGCTGAACTATGTGTGTCCATCACCCTTCCGATTGTCTTGACCAACCTTTCAGAAGTTTATTTCACCATTGCGTCTATTTGTCCAGCCCTCTTCGACTCTTCTTTGTCTTCGTCCTGGCCATTCTCTATCTACTGATTCATGGAGTCAAGCATAGGAGAGTCAGACACAGAGTGTAGCCTCGACGAAGAAGGTGCTATTGGATTGATGTTTTGCTTGAGTACGACCTTGCGTACGAGTCTCAGGTAACGGCCGCGTGTAGTGCGTCAATCAAGATGCAGGCGATCGGTTGCGGAGAGCTGCGGCATCTGGCGTGCTGCAGCTAACCATGCTGCCATGCTGCAAGTCATTGCAGCGTCCAAGGATGTCCAGGATTAGAAATTTGCCGATCACCAAGGCAACAATCTGCTGCTGCTGGCTTGGCGAGGAAATCCGGCTTTCCGCAGAACAGGCCAACTTCTCGGACTGCAAAAGTCGATACGACACTTCTGTCCAGCTTTTACCAACCTGCACGTTGCTTCTGATAATAGATGAAAATGGCACCCTTGGTGTGATGAGAATGAACGAGCCAGACTAGTGCTGTGATATCGACAAATTCTGCATTCGAGAAAGAAAGTCCCGAAGAGCTGAACCTCGGCACTTGGTTCTCGTGTTTGCACTTTTGGTGTTGGTCCGTCCATCCGGTTGTTGTTTGCTTTTCCAGCAGTCCAGTGGACGAATTAAGGTGTGGTGGTGACAAGTGTGACAAATTGTAAAGGCAATCAAGGAGGGAGGGTGAAATAAAAATAAAAAAAAAAAAAAAAAAGAAAGAAAGAAAGAAAGGAAGGTACGAAGCCATGCCTCCGCAAGCCGTTGGATACGCCGTGCATGGCTCTGGGGAGGTCCGGGCGCCGGCCGGCCTTCTCCATGACCTCGACCACGCGGGTAACGGAGCGATTGGTCGGGGTCGACCGGTATGTGGGGCGGATGCGGGTCCCGGGCGCAGTTAGCGTGCAAGTGGCTTGCTGATCGTAGCTGATTATTTCTTTCCTACCGTGCTACCACACCACTGTTTGTCTGCATAGTGTAGACCTTGGTGTGCCTGACAAGGAAATACAGAACCATCTAGATTGAACTGTCAGAGGTAGCTGGTGTGCTGCTAGTCTTACAAGTTGGTCTCAAAACTTCACATGCTTTGTGGTGTCGGTTCAGCGCCCCCGAATTCAGGCGGCAGGGTTCGTTGATCGTACGTATCGTTAATATGCCTATGATTGATATACGTACATAAATAGCATAACTTATGTAATCAGACCGAAACAATTGGCCGAGGTCATCTTCCAAATCATTTCCCCTCACTTTCTGTTTTGTTCCTTTTCACTACTATGTACGTACGGATGAGAAAGCGCTTCGGCATGCATACACCACCAGCCAGCCAATTCAGCCGGATCCACTGACGTCAAGAATTAATGCAGGTGATCCCATGAACATGAGGCAAGCGTCAGAAGCACCTAGGCAGCCTTACCCGATAATCTTTCACCCTGCCAATCTGCAACTCCACTAGCCCGTGCGCCTTTTTGTCATTGCTTTCCACCATGGCCGGGCAATCCCACGCTTGGCCACGTGCAAACCCGTCTGATCCCCCCAAGGAGTTTGTAGGATCCATTGACAATCTCATTGCGACGATCATCAGGCTGCGAGGCCTCTCCTATCTCATTCTTTCATAACGGGGTTCCTTCGTCATCATCATTCGCACAGCTCATTGCCTGTTCCATCCCACATCTCCCCTTTTCTTGCTTGCTTGCTTGCTTGCTTCTTCTGCACCTACTTGACAGCGCCACGCAGACTCGCTGTTCCTTTGGGTGCCAGTACGTATGTCGCCGGCTATCTAAAAGCGTTCGGAAGGAGCCGAAGGATCATCCGCTGTCGCATATGGCCAGACTTATTGCGGCGACTCAGTGTGACATTTCGGAAACAAACATACGTCCGTATGTCGTTTGTTCAATGATTGTTTTCATCTCAAGTCGATAACACAAGTCAATCTCGGTGAAAGACTACAATTGTTTCATCAGGCGATAGCGATACATGATCACAGTGTGAAGCCTCCATTCGCCTGCAGCGGAAGACCTAAATCATGGCTGAATTGCCATCGTATCAGGATGCTATCAGCAGGCTCGACTGGCTCGAGCTGGTAGCCCCATACGTTCAATGCAAAGACTTCGCCAATCTTTGTTCTGTGAATAGACGTTTTTACGCCACCTTCGCACCCCGCCTCTGGAGTGACCCGTTGGTTACCGTTCGCCGGTTGGGACTAGATCCTAGTGACGGTGCGTTTGTCTCAGTCCACAACACCACACTTGTCATTACTGACAGGATAACTCAATTTGGCGGGGTCCAGATCTTGAATGGTACCTCACGTTTGCTTTCGACCGGACGAAACGTCTGAGGGAGTCTACGAGGGCTCTCGTCAATACCCTCGATTTCCGTGACTTCGCCAAAGACACTGCTCATTTCTCATCCGACAATAGCACCAGGACACTACCGGAGTCGTTACGCTGGCTCCCCAGGATATTTCCCGACCTCCGGTCTGTCCTCCTGGATGGTCACGCCGAAGCCGATCCTGCCTTCCTAATCGCCAGCCCGCCTTCGGAGGTGGTGGCTGCACCCCCTGACCACCACCACCACCACCAGCAGCACTTGTTGGTGCTCAGCATGGCACACTGCGAAACACAGCTGCCGTCAGCCTTTTTCACGTCCTACAAGCTTCAACGCCTGACCTACCTTGACGTTTCTGGGCTTCCAGGCTCCCTGCAGCCGCTACTGGTGGCAGCCCACGGACGTCGCCACTTGGCCCACCTAAAGGTCCTCAAAGTAGGGCGTCGGGAGATCAACGACGGGCTTGCCATGCAGCTCTTCCAGACCTTCAAAGGCGCATTGTGGAGCCTGGACATGAGCGGGAACAACATCACCGACGCCATTCTCGACAGTTTTGCTGCGTTGTGCTTCAATAGTCCTTCCTTACGGTCTCACTCCAGGTTCATGACAGAAGGCAAGCTCACGTTTGATGGACACGGGAATGACTCTCATGGGCGGTTCATGTCTATCCAAGAGTCCGAATGGAGCGCAACCTTTAGCCATCCGGAACGATACTTTGTGGATGCCCCCATCTATTCTGCTGATGCGACCCGGGACCTGCAGGAGTACGAGGCAGTTCGGGCCAATGGCAAGACCCCCTTGAGGCGAGACACTGTGGATCATGTTAAGGCCGCAGTCGCGGGAAGCATGGATCGGCGAGCACCTGCTTGGTCCGATGTGCCGCATCTAGACGTCTGTAATGCGCCCGCGGGGATCACACATCTGCACCTCTCAGACACACAGATCACGTCTGCGGGCGTGGACAGACTGGTTCGGATCTCTCAGGGCCAGCTAGAAGAGTTTTCCTGCGATGGTTCATTGTTCCAGCCGGTCCAATGCTCTGATTTGAAGCACCAGCTTCCTTGGCTCAAGAGCGTTAGACTTTACGGCGTAATGGGCTGTGCTCACGTATTCAGACCTGTCTTATCATCTAATCTCAGGGTCCTGCGCATACATCATTCGCTAGTGACTCAAATCCCGACGCTCGAGACTGACGGCCTCTCGACAATGGCGCGCCTTTGGATTGCAGAGACCGTCATCAGAGACCGGTCCGAGATGGCCTTCCCCCAGGCATTTGAGCCTGATATGAACCCCCGATTGACATCACTGACCTTGAGGAACATACCTCGTCGCTCCGCCGGGCCCCTGATACAGAAGATTCTGCGATTTCTCAAGCTGATGGGCATTCAGGAACACGCGATAAGAGAAGCGTCGCAATCGACATCTCGCCGAAGCCCTGCGCTACTTCACGGTCTGCGTCATCTCCGCCTGGAATTCGAAGCTGATCCGATCGAGGACCCTGCAGGGTTTTCGGTCGCGGACGACCTTGACGCCGAGGGGCTCATGAGTATGGGCGAAGGTGAGGGTTTCAGCTTCTTTGGCAATGAGCAGTCTCAGCCCCGCTCTCAAAACCCCCCGAAAAAGCAAGCGGAAGGCCGCGAGGCTGTTGTCACGCATCTGGCCGATCTGTCAACAGGTCGACTGAATCGTTTCCCGTACGACGAGATCGAGGGCGATTACATGGGCTATCGAGATACCTGGTCCGGGCAGCCCTTTGACCGAAAGGTCTGGATCGGACCGGGCGTTCTGGGCCCCAGCCATGCAATCAATGAATACATGAAGTTAGTGACCAATTCATCCTTGCGAACAAGAGTCGGGCCCGCGACCCCCGCACACATCAAGGCAGGCGTTCCTGTGGGGGCGTTACTGTTCCATGCAGCGTGGGATGCCATGATCATGCCATCTGAGCTGAAGCCGCCAACGACGGTAGAACTTCATGGAATGCGGGATGTACTAGAAGCGGTAAAGACATTTCGTCTTGAGAGCAGGGCTGGGCACGAAGCTGCCAAAAAGGCGGCTGTTGGGGGCACGTCAAGACCCGGCGGACCTCCACAGCATGGCTTCTGGTCTGGGAGGCTTGAAGTCTTTGCTCAGCAGAGCATGGCACACTATCGAACGCCTAATTATTGGCGGTAAAAGGTTTCAGTGTCTCTGCAGAGAAAAGTTTAACTCTGGGTTATCATGCTATGTACACAGACACAAAGTCTTAAGTCGTTGTGAATAATCCAGAAAAAGAATATGAACATAGAAATAAGGGGGGGGTTGGCTAAGACATTATATCCGTATCCAGATATCGGTCTCAGTGGGAGGGGGCTAAAGGAAACCAACAACCAAGTACGTTAACCAACAGGTCGGCTGACCTAAGCCACCTAGGCAAGAGAAGCTGTGTAGGCAGTGGTGGTGAACTTGGCATTGGAGCCGACGAAGGGCTCGGTGCCAGCACCGATGCTCTGCAGGATCTGGGAGGACGGGAGGCCCTGGCTGTTGATGAGGTATGTGACAAACTGCTTGAGATCGCCGCTGAAGCTCTGGACATTGCTGGGCGCGACGAAGCTAAAGACAGTCATCTGGCCGTTGGTGCCCTTGTACAGGTTCCAGGTGCGGCCACCAACGTTGGGGGTGGCGATGGTGCTGCCGGTGGCACTGATGGGGCCGGCGCCGCCGAGAGAGCCGAGCCAGATCATGATCTCGTACTGAGCGGACCCGGAGGCTGTTGATGAGGTGAACAGGTCGTAGGCAACGTTTGCGACGAGGCCGCTTCCGGAGTAGCTATGGCATGTTAGTATCCCAATATATTCGGTACGATTTGGAGATAGAGCAAAACATAGGAACAAAAAGAGACTCACCTCCAGTTCCAGGTCGTAGGGATTCTGCTGATAGCACTAAGTGCCTTCTTGCTGACGTTGACAACAGCGTTGGCGTACGACTTGACGTTGTACTGGCCGCCAGACCATGACCATGTAGTAGACCATTGCAGGTTGCTGCCAGACAGTCCGGTCAAGGTGGTGCATTGGCTGCCGGTGCCGGAGGAGGCACCCCAGAGGTTGTTGTAGACGATGTAGGTACCCGTGGTAGCAGAGCCCCACTGGTCACAGAAGGTAGTCGCTCGCTTCTCGATGGTAGGTGTTGGCGTCGCAAGGACAGCCAGGGGCATGAGAGCGAAAATAGCAGAGAACTTCATGATGACGGACTACCGTGTAAAGCAGGGTTGTAGAACTATGCGGGGCCAGAACCAGGAACCGTGATGAGGCAGATCAGATAAGCGTATTCGATAACTTTGGGGCTACAGATTTTGATGATCGATGGCGATCAACGTTTATATATTGCTCGTTTTTGACCTCATGGGTTTACAAGTTCATGCTCTTACCCCGCCGACGAATAACTATCCATTTTTACTGTTCGTCTATTTCCCCGTGGGGTCATTCATTCGCATTCTAGTTTGCCCGTGTGGAGTTTGACGATACATCCGCACGAATAGTCAAAAGAATCAAAAACTCTCTTTGGCGAGACGGCCGACCTTCCGCAATTGCTACGGAAGGGGACGTCACGAGAGCTTTATGGCTTCGTGGGGCATCCAGGTTCTTTTACCCGTTACGACGATGATCATACCCTCTCCTGATCTAACGTCACTGTTAGGTACAGTTTGGTGCCGTGGTTACATCAGAAATATCGCGGATATGGTCTGCCATTGGCGGCACTTGGAGACCAAGCTCTCCATGCTGTTGTCGGTAATCGCAAGCCGGGGGGTGTATTACCTCGGGGGGTTATGGAAACCACGAATCAGGTAAACCCGGTTACGTGGAAGAGACCAGGACCCATGAACAAAATGACGACTAGACGGTGCTTCATTGTGACTGCCAGTGATTAACCTGGTCGGGATTAAGAAGCCAATTTCAACACAATTTCAAAAAAATTCAGTCAGCATTGGATGTTGATAGTGAGCACACTATGAGGAATAGGAACCTCGCCTCCCATGAAGTCAAGATAGCATGCTTGGTTCGGACACTGCATAGGAACTTTAAACTGTGCAGCATACTGCCGAGATTGCCCAGCTTCCGACCCCCGAAAAAGGCCTTGTGTGGGAGTTTTGTTGCCCTGGTACTGGAAATAAGACTACCGGTAAATGCGGGGTTTACTGCCGCATCCGCCCCCGGATCTCCGAGGTAGCGGCGGGATCAACGGGTCGCGATTGGCGGGAATGAAGGCGGCCGTTAATCTAAGAGAAACGCGAAGGGGTCAATGCTCCCATTGGGGTTTGGTTAAGTCCCATCTCTCTTCTGCTGTTTTGTCACCTAAGGGAATGACATACTCATTCACAGAATACGTGCGTGAGAATCGTCTCATAACAATGGCAATGGGAGAGCATGAGCAGCGCTAACTGATGTGGATCGGCAGAAGTTCTAGGACGGAGTGCACGGTGCACCGATGCGTGAGCTAAAGATACGTCCGTAGCCGTAGATGCATACTCCCACTTGTGCAGATGGTCGTTTAACCGACCTTCTTTGGCTACACTCTTTTGCTGGATGTTGCTGCTGGTTGTTCTCCACATCTCAGCTTGCCCCCAGCGACAATCAGAAACAGTAATGCGTCTCGGTGGCGAGTTTTGGCGGCATGGGCCTAATTGTTCTCAATGTTACATAAACCTGCTTTTCATAAATTATACTTGGAAAGTGGCATCCATATCATTCTCGTTGATCCGGGCAAAATGTGAGGCTGTCTTCGAGCTGTTCAATTCTGTCCAACGAGTCGAAATCCCTGCCTAGGTCATTTCTCAGCACTAAATGTTTTCGACTTCAGCTGAAGAACAAGCAAAACGTGGCATCGGATTCTTTGACAACAAAAATTGCCAAACGAGCTAAATGAACAAAGTTAAAACGGTTCGATGTCGGCATCCTAACGCCATGGCTGGCTTTCAGCTCACCTCAGCCGCGTCTAGCACGAAGCCTCCGCGGGGAAAGAAGGCCTGAATACTAGCCAAGTCTTCCGCTTAGCCCCGTTTGAACAGGAAAAACCAAGAACTCTTGACAGAAAACTGTTCAACGGGTTGTGAGAATGTGAGAATTGAGCATTGCTGAGAATTTTGGTTTTTCCTCTCCCCTCCCCTTCCCCCACGCTTCCACAGCCCCAGCTGGCGCACTCGCGAGATTTGAGAACTGAGCAGCTTTGTGTTATTTGGTTTTTCCACACGCTATCACCCGCGTCTGGCCCCCCTAAAAGTGATAGATAGTTTTGCCATTCTGTTTCTTCGTTTTTCCTCCTCCTCCTCCCGCTCTTTTTTCTTCGTATCTGCAATGTTGCCTCGCGTGGTCAGCGGTTTTCCCACATGAGATTTTGAATGTGCATGATTTAACAGATGTGTTAGATTGTGCCACTTGGAGGGCTTCCAACGAACATTGACCCCTCTCGGGGGCCATGAAGGCAGAACGGAGGGCATCTGGTACCTTTTCCACACTACGGGACGATCGGTCCTGAACCTGGCAGCTGTCTCAGTTACGTGCCTAGCCTTCTCCTTCGTCCTTTCTGACCCTGAACTGCTGGCATGCTCTGTGCCTGGCACCCCAGTGGGGTAACGTGAACGCGTCGCAAAAAAGGGCCCAAGGTGCCAAGAGGCGACGGTGGTGATGGTTGGGAGTAAGGTGGACTGACACGTACTAGGGGTCTGAATAACTAGCGCAGCCGAGAAAACTGGCTCAACTTAAATCCGAATACATTGCTTTTGATGGTAACGGGGCGTGTGAAACGACTACCCTTGCTTGTCTCGTTTATCGACACTTGGAGGGTTGTTGTAGTTCGGAGGTGGACTCAAGTTCCCGAGGAATGGAATTTGAGTTGTTGTGAATCCCTGAGAGCAACTCAACACTGCGCTGTCTCATCTGGCGTGCGCTCCCGATCAGCGTTGGACAGGGGTTCTAGTAGTAAAGAGGTTCCACGTGTTTGGGACCATACAATGTGCAGTAGAAAAACCAGATTGAGTGGGAAAGGTTGAGAAGGCTATGAGGAAAGATAAGGGTGGTGTAAGTGAAGTCGCACTGTGACAGGGGTTGAGAAAAGACAAGCTGAGACACTTGATGCATACCGGCCGGGACGGATTTTGCGGCATGTCTAGGCCAGGCTTAGATTGGACAAGTCGAGGAACGAGCTTAACAGGGAATGGAGCGGGTAGAAACGCATTGGCGGGAACGAGGAGAAGACCAACAACGAGTGTGAAGCTAGGTTGCTTGGCTTTCCAATCGAGCTAGGCTTGGTTGAGTTTCTCTATCTTGACAATCCTGCTGTGAGTGATTTGGGCTCATTACAGACTGGGGTCGAGACAGCATGGCCCCATGTGTGTCGGAAGAGGCACTTGCAAAGTTTTACTAGTTTTCTTGTCCAGCTTGTTCCCATTGTTTTCCACGGGGCTAGGCGTTGTTATGAGAGCTTTAGACCACGCGTCTACCTTGTGGGAAGAATGTACTGTCTAACAACGCCTCCAGGGGGAGTTTCATGAAAGACTTTGTCCAGTTGAATGGCAAATATGAATGAACAACGGATAGGTAATGCTTGTTCACCTGACATGTATCTAATGCCGATCTTTGAACTTTCCTAGCTGCTTTTCCTTCGGATAGGACACAAAATGAGGCTTGGTACCTGTATATCGAAGGGTCCCCTCCATGCAAGTTATCTTCCTCTAATCTTCACGTCAGGTTTGCATAATGGCTTAACTGACGGACTCATTGTCTAGACGAGCGCCACATGCATGTCTCTGTCGCGACTGCAGGTGGACGCATTGGGACAGGAACGACTACGTCTGGTGGTTAGGTTCATTGCCCCCAGGGACGAGGCAAAGAGGGCGGCGCTAGGGTATGCAGGCAGATGTGATCCGGGGAATGTTGCACATGTGTGTGTGTCAATGGTGTGCATCTTGTTTTGGGAATGGAAAGAATTTTCAACCCCCCCCCCCCCTTCCTCTGTCTTGGATTTTGCGACAACTTGGTTTTCCTCAGTGGTTACTGGTTTTCAGCCCCCACATGAGCTGAGATCTTCGTGTTTCTTCGCGGATTCCCCAAAAGGTTAACGGCCTTGTTCTCGTTTTAGAATCTCTGGTGAAAAGTTTTTGCGATTGGTGCATTAGCGCCCCATAGCTGGAAGACGACACAGGATAACCCCCTGGATCGAGATCTCTATCATGGCGGATGAGTGCACTGATATCAAGGCGGGTACCTGAGTTTGTGGACCAGCTGAACTACTTAGACCTAAACCTCTCGTTGGGGTTCAGCCCAAACTCATTGATCAGGGGGAAGACCCAGACTCCTTTCCTACTAGTATATTTTATGGCAGCCTAGAAGCGTAGTGGACCGCGGATTTCCTAGTTGTTGCTTGTGGGTATTTCTAAGTCGATTTGTAGATGCGTATTGGCGGACTTCGCCGCTCCCCACTCCCCGTCTCTGTAGCTGTAGAAGTTGTAAAGTTTGTACAGGAATGTCAGTGGAGACCTTGAAACGCCATTGAGGCACTTTCAATAGGCTTAGACTGGTAACAAAAACCTCGTGTCAAGCCTCTCGTTTGACAGGTGCTGGGCTGAGACTTGAGGGGAACCAGCCACCTGCAAAAGTGAAGACCTCTGCTCTTCGCTTGCGCCTCCTGCGTCATAATCGTACGGAAAACTTAGACAAAAGACTTAAGATTATGAAAAACATGATATTAATTATCTGGTTTATTTTCTCTTATATTAGGTGGACTAAATGAGGTATAGTGGTTTACGACAGCTCGACGCTTATGAAAAATCAGAAGGACGGAACAAGATCGTGAGAATGGCGTACCTCCGTAAATAGCCTAATAAAATAGATTTAACTAGAAGAATTCAGTGGAATTTAGTAGATATTTAGAACAAAGTATTGTTACACAGGCTTTGTGAGATAGAGATAGCATACCTCAAAGTGGCGAGTGGACTAATCGCTCCGTTACATGACCTGTTGGCACATTCAGGATTACAAACCCATTACCGTATGGTTCCTTGTTCCTTTTCTACCGTATGTCAGTCTGAGAAACCGCTTGACTTCAAGTATTTGAAATGGACATTGCCGTTAGCAAAAAGCTTTCACTAGGTTTTTGGCGTATAGCTAAATCATACGTTTCGTACACTTCGTTCCGTCTAAAGGCTTCAGGAGGGTAAAAATGAATGGTTGTGCAAAAGAACATCGGCAAATTTAAGAACGAGCCCTTCGTCCCAGATTTCCCGGCTACTATCACTGTCAAAGTAGTAGAGCCATCAACAACGTTTTTTAAGTGAATGATACAACTAACTGCCATTTCACACATTGTCGAGTTTATTGCAAGTTAAAATTTTAAACTAGAATGAATTTCAGGTGCTATTATACGGAAACCGTTCAACGTGGACCTTATAGTGTTACAAGCAAATATGTTCTGTATGCAGAGACTATCCTTCATCATAGATATGTGAAGTCCTGGCGACATTTCACCACAGACGCTCTTGATGATGCTATTTTATGGCTTCTCACCAGCACCTAAGACTCTCTGCCTTCAGGAACGGTGATCGTTGTTTTTGTTGTCTCGATTCAATCACAGCACACTTTCCCAGTTGGGGGCAAAAGGTTGATACTATGACCACTACCATCCGCGACCCTTCAATGTGTTCTTAACATTACGACAGATAAAACTTATACATATAGCAGAACTAAATTTAAATGTTGTTTGGCTATGTAAGTTGCTGGAACTCTAACATGAAGCTGTTCCGGGTTTCAAGAGCAAAGTTACCTAAGGACAAACATGGACAAGCGATGAATCCTGTATGTCCAAACAAAAACTTTTACGGTCACTTGGTAAAATGTGACATAAGCCTTACTATCGTTCATTTACTATGACGAAGGCAGATTCCATCATTGAACGCGTAAATGAGAAACAAAAGTTACATTGAAATTTGCGTCTCTTTCTTTCTCATCTGCCTTCACCTATTTGAAAGCCTCTGAATCCTGGACCTTACTTGACATAGTCCAACAAGCCTTCTTCACCATGGAATCTTCTGGCCATCAAAGTTGAGAAAAGTACCACCGACGTCTTTTCTAGTAGCAGACTGAACTCTCTCCATCAGCCCCTTGGCACTCTCTTCTACCGTGATGGCACCCAGGTCCTGGGGGTTCACTGGATAATCCTTCATAGTCTCCATAACCATATCGGTCATGACAAAGCCTGGATTGAGGACAAAGCTAGTGAGCCAGTCCTCATCAAAATGGATTCTTCTCATGAACCAATTCAATGCCGCTTTGCTACCACCATAAGGACTGGTGTCAGAAAGGCCGGCCATTATATCCATACCGGCAATACTGCCTGTGTTGGATGAGATGGCAATGAACTTTGGACAGCCACTGGTGCTCGTCTTAAGAAGTGGTGCGGTGGCTTGGTAGAGCAGCAACGGGCCGAGGGTATTCACGGCAAAATGTTCTTTGACCGTGTCTATGAGGTTGTCCACGACAGGCTTTCCCGAGTGTTTAATCCCGGCGTTCGCAATGACCACGTCCAAGGAATTAATGGAGTGTTTATTTTGAAGAATTTCAACGGCAGCAGAAGCTCCCGACTCATCAGCCGAATCGAGTTGAATAACTATGACGCGAGATGTTGAAGATGCGGGAAGATCCAGGAGCTGTGTTGAAGATATATGGGTTGGATCACGAACAGCGGCAATTACAGTCGTATCGGGTTGCTGGAGAAATACAGCGACAAGGCCGTTGCCAATGCCACGGTTTGCACCAGTGATCAGAATTATCTGTTTGGACATGTTGCCAGGCAGTTTTGAATGACTATTGAGAGGAAAGAAAAGGTAATGAGATAAGGACTCGAGGAACTCTGATAAGCAACACAGAGTGTCGGCCCAGCTTAAATAGAATGTTTGTTGGGCAGGTAGACAAACTGCCACGAGGAGCCGTCAAGCAAATCGACAGCCAACCCTCGTATACAGCTATCATTGTTACAAATACACGGGAAGATTATCATCCCGAGTCTTAGCGAGTCGGCGTGTCTACAAGTGCCGTTTGCGATGAACAAAATGGGGGGGAAAAACGGGGGAGTTGAGTTAAGTCGGGTATACTTTACTCTCAATGTACTACCTACCGACGCATGCACTTAAGCCATACTTTATCTAGAATATTGGCAATCACGGCTAGATAAAAAAGGGCTAGCATTGAGTAGCGAAGCTCTTATAATTAGGAAACAAGAGGAGACGCGATCCATCAGACTTTGTCGCACTTAATAGACAAACTCCGACCAATAGGCTAGTAATTAAGTCTTGAATGAGATGAGACTAGGTTTTGTCTTTGTCTAATGATTCGCTGTCAGCTCGGGACTGCCCCACAACACGTCCCACCTTAAAGGAAACCTCAAACTCTTGAGCCTTTGACTGACCTGGTTCGGGACGACACGTCTTCCGTAGGATAGTGATAAAATCCGCATCCAAAGTTGTTGCCATTAAAAAAAGAAAGATTCCATTTTCTTCAAGTATCATCGATCTATGCAGCCGCTTCGGAACTGCCCCACGTAAACTTACGCAAGGAAACTCTGTTCAAGAGATGTTATCAATTGGTAGTGCACATGTTCGGACTGGATGCCGGACTTGCAAGTAAGAGCCTGAAAACCACCCCAGTGTATGGGGTTTGCCGACTAGTACACTGTGATAACATTATTCTTACCTTTACAGGACTCGGAAGATTAAGTGTGACGAGGCCAAGCCCTCTTGCAGGCGATGTGTTGCCGCACAACGGGTGTGTGATTATGAGAACCCAAACATATCAAGATACCGACCTACTCAACTGGTTGCTCGTGACCCCAAGGAAGGACAGGCCTTCCATTACTTCAGAGCTGTTGTTGGCCCAGAACTGTCAGGCTTAGTGTATTCACACTTCTGGACAGACTTGGTTATGCAATTCAGTCATTTTCAGCCTGTGGTGCGCCATGCAGTCCTCGCTATTGGCGCTCTTTATGAGGACTATTGTCGGGACCCTCGGAAAATACCGCAAAACGTTTTCGCCCTTCGTCATTACAATGCTGCAGTCAAAGAAATAGCAACTGTGAACGACAAGCAATCGGTTCTGCTTCTTTGCGTCCTGTTTATTTGCATCGAGTACTTGCAAGGAAACGTGGACACTGCCGTCTGTCACATTCGACATGGGATTGAGATCCTCAACCATTCGAGTTACCCATCCTGGGTGGAGAAACATCTTGTGCCAATATATCGTCGGCTGAGTCTTATTCCTCTGTATGGCGGTGCTAAGTCAATGTGTATGCCTACACTAATTGGGTTCGATGCGTCGACAACTTCAACAGTTGATTGCATAGCTGCGGCTGAAGCTATGCTGGATAGTCTCATGTCCCGCGTGTTGAATAACATGTTCAGCGATAATCATGTTCAACGGCACCAACTCGAAATTATGTTGGAGAAGTGGTATCATCAAGCCAATACATTGGAAAGCAACTATTCCATAACCATTGCAGACAGCTATGCCATTTCCACTATGCGTATAAAGTGGGAAGTCACAAAGATCAATTTCGGGTATAGCCATCAATATAGCGAGGCTTGGTTTGATTCACGTATTCCCGCCTTCCAGCGTGTTGTAGACTTGACTAGGAAGGCAATACAGCTACGAGCTATGATGCGACGGCCAGATGGATCCCGGTACAACTTCAGTTTCTTTAAATTCGACAATGGTTTGCTGCCGGATCTATTTTACGTTGTTTCCAAGTGTCGCAAACTCGATATACGATTACAGGGCTTGGAGTGCATGACGCAGCTAGGCACTTGGAAGGAGGGGTTGTTCGAGTCTGCGACATTGTATCAAGTTGCGAAACGTATCATTGAGATCGAGCATGGAATTTTGTTAGAGGAAAGAGGGCAAACCTTTACCAACAGTTTGAAATTTCTTAACTATGGGCGTAAAAGCGAAGCGTTTCCACTAGGAAGCAGTCGCATAAGTACTGTTTTGATCAACCACAGGCTTGAAATTAGTGGCGATAAGGGCCGTGAGTGTAGAAGACACATCACCTTTGGAGGAAAAGACCAAGAGGGACGGTTATATACTCGCACGGAATATGTTACTGTTTATAGCTAGCAGACTTGATTTATAAATCAATACATCATTGCTCAATTGATTTGCGAAGGTCTGGCAGCATGTAACTCTATTACCTCAGTTATTTCTTTTAGCCTACAATTCTCTGCTCGGACTCGATCAACAGTGGCTATGCGTCCTGATCAGCATTGAAGACAACTGACTGAAGTTGTTTCTTAAATCTTCATCGGAAACTTTATTGACAATTATCCCACAGGTCAGTTGCTTCCAGCTAGATAGCGACACTGCTATGCTAAGATTCAAGTACAGCCTAGCGGATGAGAACACACAGTGAGCTCTTGATTTCTTTTTTCCAGATGACGGTCAATCATATCTTGTGAAACAGGCTGGAATCACGGCTGTCTACGAACAACAACACACCCAAATTACACAACCACCCAGCTCATTGGTAGCCATGGGGGGGCGAACCGTCAACTCGCAACCGCGGGCCCAAAAACAAAAGAAACATTGTCTTTCGATAGAGGTTGGTATTCGCAGACCCAGCCTGAAGAAACAGACGAAAAAGCTTTGAAGTTGAATTCTCATTTGATGGTCTAAAAGCAAGAGTGTACGAGTTGTGTTGATGCTATCTGCGGTGTTTTTGCTGCTAATTAAAAGACAGCCTTCTGCGCACCGGCTTGGGGCTTCACATTAACAGACCTGCTATGCCCTCGAACCCTTCTGCTGCCACTTTTCCTATGCCCTTCCTCATTAGGTGTTGTACTGAGCCTTGACAACTACTCCAGCAATCCAGCATAGAAGCCTGCAGCGATGATGAGCATAGACCATACTACTAGTGCTACGATCCAATCTGCTGGGTGCTGGCCGACGTGGCTACACAGTGCAGAACAGGAATAACGATGCAGGCGCATCATTGCCGAAGTTATTGCTTTGTGCCGCAGTGAGTTGTCCTGACTCTGCGCTACAACTACGGGTCAACTCTCCAGCGCGTTTCTTAGATGTTCGGTCTGCGGGTCTTCTTTGGAGACACGCGGCCGTTACAGGCCTGTAAACCATATGTTCAGTGGTCAGAAGGCCGGGGCACACACGAGCAGGATCCAGGCGATTGGGACGGTATGGGAGCCATGGTTCACCCTACTTATCTTCCTCGCCGTTTCACTCGTTAGCCTGCTCCTCAGCAATGCGCTCCTGGACAGCAAGATACTAGAAGACCAAGATCAGCAAACGAGCCGCTAGTGAGAATATTAGCAATCAAAACATACAGAGACCACTGCGCGAGACATGGCCTCGAACGCTGAGACGAAGCGTTCCGCGTGAGCGGGGCCGAGCAACGTAACCTGCACGGGGGCAGTAGTGGAGTCAGCGGTAGGCGAGGGCGCGGACGCAGGCCCTGGGGGCTCCGGTGGTTGAGAAGGGGTCGCGGGAACATTGGACGCGGGCGGAGCACGCGGGGGAACAGCAGAGGCACCGGACCCGTAAGTCCGCAAGACACGCCCTGCATTACCGGCGGCGATGCGGTAGGCGGCCTCGAGCTATAACCAATCAGCAACAGCGCAGCGCATGAGCAGCTAGCGAGCAGGTGAAATGCGCTCACAGCATCAGCCTCCTCTATAGCAGTGCTGGTAGTCACGTTGTTATAGGCCGCAGCAGTAGCTACAAGCTCATAGTAGTATGGCATGATATTATCGTCAATCTAGATTGTATGAGCAACACGCGAACAGTGAGGTGCTAATGAACAGGATTCATACAGGCCCAGGACAAGAGTGGCTGCTGTCGGCGCACTGGGCACAGCGAGTGCCTGAGCCTGGTATGCGGGTTAGCAGGTCGCGCAAGCGGCTGGTAGGTGTCGTACTCAGCTGGTCGGCGCATAACTCAGCGTCAGGATCGCGGGCGAGGCGCCGGACGCAAGTGGGACAAGGTGCCGGGCGTGTCTCGCCGCGGTCGACCCTGGATTTGGTCTTGAGCTTCTTGTTCTTGGGGGCCTAATAGCGAGTGAGCTTGTGGCGTAGGGTTCAAAAAAACCAGTGAGCATATACAGTGGAATACGAAGCAGGGCGCTTGCGGCCCATAGAGGCGGAGGCGGCAGCAGTCGGCATTTGCAAGATTTCTTTCTTGGTTCATAAGCGGAGGGGATGCGAAGCGTACGCCAGCGCAGATTTGACAAAGGAACTTAGTAATACGTTCCACCATGGAATTAAGTGAAGCCGATGATGTTGTGGGTGGCAGGCCTCGCCGGCCCGTCACGTGGGCTGACGGCCGCCACCACTGGTCTTAGCCAGCCTCCACAGCCCTCTAGCCAGTTAGTTAGTTCTTCCAACCAACAACACCACTTTTCCCATTCTGAGCGTTCTGTGCCGGTTCTCGCCTATAGGTTATGAGCCTAGCGTTATTCTTTCGGAATAACGTCGTTTTACCTATTATTCTACTTGTCTATTAATTTTCTATTGATTTACGAATTTTTGCGATTTTATTCGCTTTATTTACCTTTCTATGCGATTTTCTTGCTTTCTTTCCTCTTTGCTAACGAATTTTACTTTCTAACGCGATATTAGCTACCTAGCGCGTACGAATATCACGTAGCACGCGACCGACTACTATAACCTACTAGTTTTTATAAATACTACGGAATTCTACTATAACAATAGACCTTTTAGTTATAACTATACTTTTACTTCGATTTCCTCGTTCTTACGAGAATTTAACTATTTTAGCTTTAGTT